AAAAAAAAAAAAAAAAAAAAAAAAAAAAAAAAAAAGAAAAACCCCGAATGGAGAACCTGACTTGGGCGGCGCTAGAGGAAATGAATTGTCCTCGGACATGTTTCCCTTTAAGTGTCAAAGTTGTTGGTACATAGACCTTGTGTCGGCAGTTTAATGTCGTAGATGCCTCCGTGCTGTTGTTTAGTGTACCATCATAATTCCGGTCTCCCCGTTGTCCTCAACAGTAGACTGCAGCCGGCTTCTGTGCTGGATTGACCAAGTATCATACCTAGTCTTGCCAGTACTAAATAGTGATAAGTCGAGAGTCAGGGGGCTTTCCCGGCAGGCGATGCAATGCATTCTTCGAGTATCCAATCGGCACCTCGACTCCAGCAATGTCGGAAGTATTTATCTGTAATAGACTGGTTTCTTTTTCCGAAGCCATTTCGATTTGCTTGCTAATAAGCTCGCGGATTGTTACCGTCGGGGTAGTGCCGGCCAATCATACTAGTCCAAGTAAAGCCATTTCCACCCACAAGCTTGCCATGGAGGATCAGTCATCCGGAGACTTCACCTTGGAGGGTTTCACTGACCGAGTTTCTTAATTCCGTGGCAGCGAACGAACGTTCTAGTTTACCTTTGGAAGTTATGGTGGTCTCGATTTGAAATCAGCCGTACACGGTATCTTTGGTGGAAGAAGAGGTCGTTGACGAATGTGGAGCGGTTTGAGGGTGTTGATTGCTCTCCAGTTGAGTTGCGCATCGAGAGTGGGATGATAAATGGATTGAAACTGCTCCTCGGAGGATTAAGCAAGGCGTTTCGCAGTATATCAGTGTTGGGGTCAGTTATGAATGATGGGGGTGGATGGAGGCACTCCCTCAGAGCAATCAAGACATATAAAGACGCCACTCAGTTCCGCCTTGACCTCGTGTTGCAAAAACAACCTTCAACAAATACCTTTTCTCGACAACTTCTCCAACACCATTATATATACAAAGCAAACTAGTCACGATGAGCTTTCCAACAGCTACCGCGACGTATCACCATGAGCCCACCCCGGCAGTCGACCCAACACAGGAGCACCTCTCAGTAGCAGGCAAGACCGTCCTAGTCACCGGCGGTGGAACGACAATTGGAGCAGCCACCGTCGAAGCCTTTGCAAAGGCCAAAGCGGACCACATCTTCCTCATCGGAAGACGTCTGAATCTCCTCAAGGAAGTCGAACAAAGGGTTAGTGTCTACAATACCTACAACTAGAGCCGCCAGGCCTAACATTTTGCAGCTCGCGAAACAATATACAAGCACAAAGTTCCACTCCATACAGACTGACCTGTCGAAAGAAGATCAAGTCAAGGATCTCTTCCGGCAAATCAACAAAGTCAGCTTTCTCGACATTCTAGTAGCCAACGCTGGATACCTGCCGACGCCTGGACCCCTTGCTTCCAGCGAAACGAGCGAGTGGTGGAAAGGATACGAGATCAACGCCCTTGGTACCTATCTTCTAGCAAAGTATTTCCTTAACCAATCCCAGCCGGTGCGAGGAAAGCCCGTCTTCATCGGCGTCAACACCGGCGCGGCTCACATGGGTCCGGCCGCCGGTCCCATGAGCGGCTACGTCTCCTCCAAGCTGGCCACTGCTTCGGTAGTGGAGTTTCTCCAGGCTGAGAATCCGAACATCAAGGCGTTTAACGTGAGTCCTGGAATCGTGAAGAGCGAAATGGCTGACAAGGCCAATTTGATGCCGCCTCAGGATTCTCCGGAGCTCATGGCCAACATGGCGGTTTGGCTGGCGGGTCCCGAATCGGACTTTCTCAGTGGACGTTTTCTTTGGGCGAACTGGGATGTGGAAGAGCTGGTTGCTGCGAAGGACAAGATTGAGGCAAATCCGGGGGCGTTGCATCTCACTTTGGAGGGTTGGTGGAGCAACTTTGCGTCCCTCAAGTGAGTGACTACAAGACAGAAGAGGGTACTGATGCAATCGTTTCAGACCATCCATCCTCAAGTCTTAGCACACAGTGATCTTTTATATAGCCGTTTTCAGTCTATAGCGAATTCGACAATTGAGTCCATTGAACTTCCGACTTGTCCATCATGAGGCCATCGTCTCTTGCAGGCTTTCTAAGGAGGAAACTGATATAAGGTATATCTTAGGAAAGAAGAGAATGTTTTGCTTACTATTTGCTGTCTACCAATAGTCGTCGAAATCACAGTGTCCGGACCGCAATTGTGTACTCACCTACCCTAAGAGCCTACCATACAGCATCAATGTACCACAAGGCTCTCCCTTGCATCGGAAATACAGATACACCATAGGGATATTGATTGGCTCGCGATAATGCAGTTATTGCAACATTAATCCTCTCCCAAAGCCTTTTGAACTTTATCTCCTCGTTTAGGCATCAATCAGTCTCGAACGCAGTTTACAACTTGGATCAGAAATTATTCCCAATCCACCAGCGCCAATCTATCCCAAGAGCATCTTGCGACTATTCCATCTGCAATGGCGCCCATCTTCCTCCACTCTAGCGATAGCCTAGAGGGCTTGATCCATCTATTCAACATCATAATCGAGTGGCTTTCTCAGCCTCGTAAGTCGCAACGGCTTCTTGACCAATGCCTTGCTAACAGAGAACGCGCGAAACAGACATCCTTGCCGTGATCCTAGCCTGGGCGGTTACCTTTACCGCAGTCTGCACCTTGATACTTTGCCTGGGCTTTGGACCGATTGGCATCGGAGCGGGTACGTCGTTACATATCATCCACATAATGCTCCATACACGAACAAGTCATCAGAAGAAATGCGGTGTGCATTCAGCTAATGGACGTCAAGGAACACTTGCTGCTGCATTCCAGTCGTGGGCGTATGGAGCCCTCACCCCCGCCGGCGGAATATTTGCGACATTGACGAGCATGGCGATGCTGGGCACTTATATGCCTGCTGCGTCTATTCTGGCTGCTGTGGTTGCGACGGGAGCGGCCATAGTTGTTTGGGTCTTGGGCGTTGGGCGATGACGGTCCAAGGGCTCAAGAGCTGGTAGGATGAAAGCCACTCCTGTGGGGGATATCTAGCACAATAGTGCAAATGGTTCTTGGGTGGAAGAGAGCAGATCAATTATTTACATCTACCTGCACTGGAGTTGCTGGGCTGAAGTAAAAGGCATGTCAGATCAACAGCAGCACACCCGGTACCCTGTCCTGTACGGAGGTATGCATAATGACAACTTAAAAATAGACAAGCTTGTCTTCTTGTACATAAGCTTGACTGAATAGTCGGAAACTAGGCCGGCGCCGGGGTATTATATCAGGTCTCCGCTGGTTGAGTCCTATCTCGTCCGTTATACCACAAGTCCCGAGCTCGCAAGGAGACTATAATCTGCCCGAACAACTTTGTCATCACAGTGCTGACTGCGTCCTATAACCATTGTACCGCCGGCGGGATAATTGATTCACCGCTTACCTGCATCCAAACGGGCGTAGTTGGGGTCTTTCGGCAGCAAAATCCGGGGGCGGAGCAGGGTAGTGAAGTTATCCCGATGCTAGCAGGGTCCGGGCATGATCTTCGTGGGGACGTCAGCAACCGCACGTCAGTCAATCAACAGACTCAAAAGAGTAATCTTCAGGAGAAATACTCGCAGAGTATTGCCGACACAAGTGGAGGTTTCTTTGACAATGAAGCATTCCGGTATGTGACTGGCGGATAAATCAATGTCTGATGTTACACTGTCCAGAGATAAATACAGACGTCTCTCCCCCCAAGTCCAACAACATCATAATCACCACGATTCTTAACAACAAACAGGTTTCAGCCTTCCTAGAACCTGATATACCAAAATGAAGGCCCCAGCAGCCATCGCGCTGCTCGCCAGCCTCCTCGGCACAACCGCCGCCCAGCAAACCACCTCTCTCGGCTCGGTCACCTTCAACGCCCCCCAATGCGGCGACGGCAAGAACAGTGGTGTCAACGCCGCAGACTGCAACACCGCCATTCCCGAGCTGCTCTCCGCCCACTGTTCGAACGGCGTCTGCAGCATCCCTCCCCCGACTCAGGGCGCCCAGGAGTCTGCTATTTCTGTCCTGGTCGGACACTGCGAGGTCTTTATTGGCGCCTTTGCGAACGGAAACGCGGTTACGTTTGATGAGCAGTCGGTGCAGGACGCTTTCCCTGGTTTCATTTCGGATTGTCTTGCTACTTCTGGGGGCTTTGGCAGTCCGCTGCTGATTTCGACTGATGGAGTTCTTCGGTTGGGCATCTCTAACGGCGAGAGCGGTGGTGGCTAAAATATCCGAAGTCAGAGAACAAGGGAATCACATGTGACGGTGTTCGAGCCATGTGGGAGATGGGGAGACAAGTCAGGATAGCAGACGAAATGCATGAAGGCAGCTTTACAGTCAGATACGGAACTCTGTTTCCACCTCCATCATGAATGCAAGTCTCATGGACTGTGGGAAATTTTGTATAGTGGTCTGCCTACGTATTGAAAGACAAAGGTGTCCATCGCTTCATATCTGGCTAAATTGTCCCCTTATCGCATATCAGGGTCTACCAATTGTTCCTCTCTCATGGTTATGTAACTAGGTAGTAAACCCACCCCGGGCGGGAGCTAGGCTCATCCCGCAGACGACTAACTTTAAGCGTTAGGCGGCTCTTCTTGGACTGTTTGACGTCAATTACAGGCACTACATACACAAAAGGGACGAATAACTGAGACATTGTTTGCGAAAATGCCCGGAAAGCCGATTAAAACACACTGTAAGTTATGCAGCCTCCTCGCACGGTCTGCGTTGCTATAACCAACCACTGAACTTCAGCAGGACCTGCAGAGAGCAGAGCCCGTCTTGTGACATATTCTTCATGTATGTAATCAAAACCGTGCGGGACTGCTGGGCCGTACGAGAGGTGGCCCGCATACGAGCAGAGTTCGGTAAGCCTGGACTGATAGCCTTTCTCATAATCACTGCTGCATCGAGCAAGGCTACATCAGTTGTGGCGTCTTTTCGCTTCGTGCGGTGTCGAAGCTCTGCCACCTCAGATTGCTCTTTCGAGCTTGCCTTACCTTACTCACAGTACTTTTCCAAGGTCCACAGCTCTTTCGTCAGCTTTCATCAAGCTTCGGTATCGTCCCTCAGCACCGCTTGGGCCGAGATCACTCTCCCGCCAGCGTGCGGTATACTAGACGCATCAGCAAATGCTAGCCTATCATTAGACGCTCAATGTATACGAAACCAGGCAACCCAAGGCAACCAGGCCATGTACAAAAACAGCTACAAGAAGTGGGAGTCGCTTGAACAGCTCATACATCCAAAGACCAATCATCAACGATATGCCATGACAACTCATCACATCACCGAGATGCCCCTCGATCGCTCAACTTGCTTTTTAGGCGACCCCCACTCTCGCTCTAGTCATTCCACGGAAAGACAAAAAGAAAGAGGGAAACAGCAAAGCTCGAAGACAAGAGAACAGACAAGGCGCGAGGCACGGCCAATAGTGCCGTATGTTTGGGCATTGGCGCTGATTTGCCTTAATGCCTTTTGTTTGCCTTGTCTTCATTGAGCGTTTTCCGCTCTGGTTTCCCTCTCTTTTTGTCTTGCCACTCTGGTAGCAATTAACGGGTGTCTGGACCTCTTCATGACGAATTGCGAGAACAATAGTCCTTGTGTCGTGCCTTTCCCCTTTGTACCTGCAGGAGATTGTGAGAACATCGCATCCTCAAAAGGCCCATCCAACACCCGAAGCATCATTCAATATTTCCTGATGACAATCGGCTTGTTGAGCACGACCATATCTGATGGTACATAGATAACAGGCGCTAGACACACACTTCTGTTCACGCAGCCATGCACTCCGTGCATCATGTGAGATTGCGTGGCCCTTCATGCTTCCCCCTTGCATGGAGTGTGCAGCTACAAACGAGGCTTCCAAACTAAAGTTGCGTGAAGACTTGACCGAACGCCTGCGGAAACGGACCGCTTCATACATCCATGCCTTCCGTAAGACGGTTGAGAACTTTAAACAAAGTAAACTATAAATACATGTAAGAGGGCTTGTCAAACTTGACCTCTCTCCAGTTACACCAGTGCCTCTTCGTTGATCTATTAAGAAAAAAAAGTTCTGTGATCCCAAAATGTCAGTCTCTAGTATCCCCAGTTTGCTGTACGATACTGCATGTGCAGACCTCATGATATGCATTGGCTAACATTTCTACATTCGTCAGCAAACCATACGACAACAAAATGCAATCGCCAACGAGCATCAGGAGAAACCGTGACTCACGACGCCCCCGCCAAACTTCGAATGCTCTGCTCCGGCAGAACTCATCCACGGCCAATAATCGTAGGATCGCAATACTCAACGCCATTCCTGGTTCGAGCATGCTCCCAGAGAACATCCGCGATTGGGCCACGCAAGGTGTGTCCGAAAGAGCTGCTGTCACAGGGAATACTGCTCGCACCGGTGCCTACCAGTCCAACATGGCGGCTGCAGAAGGAGCTACGGTGGCTGACAACGAAGCGTCGGATAAGGGGACTAGACAAAGGAATAAGGCTTGCATTTTGATGTGAAGTAAGGTATTCTTTTGATACGGAAATATGCCTTGTTCTTACCGATGGAGACGTTTATTAGAAGTCTGACTTGCATTTGGGGAGATCGATAGGGGTAAATGAAACTTGTTCCAATTTTGCTATGATGCCACTTTCCCTCTTCATGAAGTCCGCGACTGTGACGGGAGAGAGTCTACTCAATGTCTCCTCATAACCCTCGCGCTACCAAGAAAGAAGACCTTTCTTCTTGCGGTCTGTGAACGAGATCTCTGAAGCCTTTCCCCTCTTTGGTCGTAATTCTTCGAACAATCCTGTAATTGGAGGACCTTCGATGTTTTGAGACCTCTCTTCTTCCAGCTCTTCGTCTTCGTTTGATGCAGCTGGAGCAGTTTACTAATCTGGAAAGGGTCGATGGATGAGATCAAGTTGAGTTGTTCGCTTTCCCCCACGCATTTATTCCCTTTTATACGCCCATATGCACTTTCACGTGCGTTGTTAATCACGTTCGTCTGTTGGGCCCCGTAGCTCGTATGGTTCTCTTCGATGACTGCAGCACGTGTCAGTCAAACCATCCGTCTGTACACATGAACAATGTCTGACTCTACCTTGTGTAAACATCATCAGCTCCCTTCTATCTGTCCAAGCAAGTTGCTCTACGATTGCCCTCGTGGCGCAAGCAGCCGTTGCAGAAGCAAATGCCTGCCATCGCTTATTCTTGTGGGAATCTCCATAATCAAATGCTCCTTTTATCACGATACTGGGAAGTTCTTCCCATATCCCAGCCGCCTCCATCTCAAAGGCAATCACGTCCTCTTCAAACGCAAGGGTGTCTCGGTCCTGGCCAGACCTCATCACGGTATCACCGGAGCCGTAAGTGCCGAACCATATTGCTGGATTTTGATGCGAGATGTCCCCCTTTTGACACAATAACAATTTTTCTTCAAGCCGTTTCCGGTAGACCGAATGATGGCTTTGACAATTCAGTTCTTCGCAGGATGCGCGCAGCGCATTTTTGCACACGGCATCAGGTGATTGGTTGCAGATGATGCAGTCCGTGGCTCGGTGCTTATGAAGGTAATTGGCTTCAAAAAGTCTGTCCTCACGGATACCAGGATACTGATACTTGACACCATAGCCAAGCCTGGAAGTGCTTTCCTGCATGTTCAACAATAAACTTGCTGTCCTTCCCGTGAGCTTATCCTTCATCGTGGACACTTGTAGCGCAGCTAAGATGTTTTCGATTTCTTTGTGTGGCTTGCCCAGACTGCTCTTGACGCCATCTTTTCGTACAAATCCGCCTGGATGCTTGCTGCCCAAGTCGTATTGAACTACACCGGTGCTGATGATGACATCCCCAAGTAATATATCGGTGTGCTTGCTTCGAGGAGCCGCCGCGCAGCCCCCCACCAAAGCGGCCAGACGCAGTCGAGGGAAGCTTGCGCGAAGGCTAGATGCCGCATTGGCTGCAGAGACCTTGCCAATGCGCGATAGCAGCAGCAGGACGACGTTGTGTTTGCCAATGCGGCCGGTACGGTAGTTGTTGGCATCTCCATCTACTTTGCCGTAAACGTTTTCTTCTTCGTCCCAGAATTCGTCGACGACAAGGCATAGTGCTTCGAATTCGACTTCGAGGGCGCATATGAAGGCAATCTCGAAATCTTCACGCTGTGACGGCCGTGGAAAGACCATGGTCAATGGCTTTTTCGATTAGACGCTGCGGCAGTAGATGGAATCGGCCGTCGTCTAGGCGTCTCGCTGGTGTAAGGCAATAAATATGTTGAGAGGAAAAGAATTCATTGAGTATTCAACTCTCATCGTGACCTTGAAAATCTAATCGAGATATCAGAAATCGGATTCAACAACATCGCATGTCCCTCAGCCCAATTCACGCACCGGGTATGCTTACATGGAAATGTACGTTGTCCTTGCATTCTTATTACATCCACGACTCAGGAAGACCAAAGCAATGGCCGACACGCGCTTCGCTGGTGCATTGATCCCTTTCAAGTACTGATGCTTCGATCACAACAGCCGACTGCGGCGAGTGAACCATTCCTCAATTTTTCACCGGTCAGACATGTGTTTCTGCTGTACTACAACTACGGAGACTTTTTGAAACCTGCCGGAACAAACCACTTCCGTACAGCTTGAGTTTATACAGTTTGGCAGGAGAAGGCTGAGATTATAAAGGATGCCATGCGATACCGTACTTGGAGAGGCTCTTTGTGCACTTTACTCAATTCTCCTACAGAGCCATACATACCCGATGTATCGAAGTCAATGATGATCTAGCACAGCAATTTCAGACGGAATTTATCACGATATACCTTTCCCAAAGACATGATATCCGGTCATAAGGTACGCACAGCTGCGGCCGCATGAAACAACCCTCCCTGCGCACCCCAGCCACGTCAACCGACGGCATACCGAAACCAAGCACAAGCAATATTCGGCCTGCATCGTGGCCCCAATTGCGTGAGAGACGATCCACCAGATGTCGTGGAAGATGGCCATTCGTTGTGTTTCTTGACACCGTTGATTGGACCAACTCGGAGTATGCTACTGCGGCTTCTTCCCGAAATGTCCAGGCAGGAATGGCACCTCAGCCTGCATGCAATGCGGCTCTGCGTAAGGCATTTATGGATCATTGATGCGGCTGAGCGACGTTTTCCCAACGATATACTGGAGCCGAACAAAAGTGCTCTGTAAGGGATACCTCCTATCCGCCTTAGGCACTCAGGCATTCATGAGTGTAACGTACAGCAGCATATCAAGAAAAAATGGGGGAAGAAAGGGAGCTTTGACAGCTCATCTTGCATGCGACAGAGAGCGAGGTCGCTAGTTGGGGGCGAGATGGCTTCCGGAAATTCGGCGCAAAGTGCTGCTCACCAGCAAAACATCTCCATTCAATTTTCCTTCTATCAAAGGACGGTCTACGAGACCTCCACGCATCCACCGAAGCCCTGCGGCTCAAAGAAAGAAGATGCCGGCCTACGGATCAGGGCCCACGAGCAAATCATCCAACGCGAAGCAGGACGAATGGCGAGATATACCACAAGGTGTCTTGAAAGCATCATCCACGGCCGTCTCCCTATCAACACCGAGCTCTTGGATCTCGACTATATTCTCCTTATCGGAAAGCAACTACTGGAAACTTGGGAGCAGAGGAAGAGAGCGAATGAGCTCATTGCTCCCCGGCAAATGGTAAAAACGCAACTGTATGTTGACAGGTTGACAAAGCTCCTCCTCTGGCTGGAAGCCATCGTCAAACTCGCCTTGGGCATCTAGCCACACGAAGCACTTGTATAGTCCAGCGGCTGCTTACATCTTTGTGTAGGTTGCCAGGGAAAAGGCCCTCCCACCAGAAAGGCCAAACGATCGACATCGTGCTTACATGCTTTAGAATCTTCAGCGCAGATATCCCTCCAAAGACGAGCCCCCAAGGCTTCGATTCCCTCCCTGATGTGCAAATGTCCTGAATATCCTTCGAACTGGCCTACAAAGAGCTTCCGAACGCCCCACGACACAGAAGCTTCCCATACACGGTCGGATTCCTATTAGGCGAGAAAAAGACTCCCGCGGTTCTGGCAGGCCAAACATTTGGAAGCCATGTCATTTCACGATCAACAATGCATGGCCCTTTCATCAATCTGCAAACACTACGCATCTAGCTCATCGTCAGCATCTGGGCCCTCTCACTCATCCGCCATGATCCCCAGCTTCATCTCCACAGGCCGGAAGTAAAGCATCCAAGCCTTTTGTATTGATGCATTCTCCTTCTTCTCTTTCCTCTTCTCCGTTGAGCCAAATCTTTTCCTTTTTCTTTACCAGCGGCGCTTCTATTTTCCTTGATTTGATCTTTCAACGCCAACCTGGCTTACCATGAACTCGCTTTTATCGTGGCTGTTTAAAGGTTTGTGTTGCCTGTCCATCAAGGCATCACATCCTTTCAACCTGCATGACGTATCGGGCTAATCATTCGGCGTTAGTTACAATCACTCATTCACAGAACCAATTGTTTTCTTCTTTCGTACAGGATAGACTAGAATTTGATCGACTGGACAAGCCCGCAAGGCGTTGGCATGGGCGGATGCATACGTGCTCCATGGCTGTAGCAGGGAAACAGATAGACTAGAGCTTACATAGACAACGGTGATACAGGTGCATGGGGTAGGGCATAAGGAGGTAAATCTTTTAGTTTTGCATATTGATTCAGCGCCTAGTAATATTATTTCGAGCCACTTTCTCACTGGCGCTGGTATTATAGACGACATGGTAACAATGCTCGCTTGGTGCGCCATATGTGAGAGTAGCAAGCATTGGATTCTCCCAAACAAGTGAGGATGAGGAGAGGCGCATGAATAAATGCCTAGAGTCTGATCTATTAGGATCCTAATAGGAATGCTACCGGCTCACCGAACACAAGGTCCAAGAATCTGGGTGTGTGCGTCTTGTCACAGCCATCATGAACGCGCGTCAGGCTCATTAGCGAGAAGTAGTATGAGCATCAAGTAGGAGCATCATGTATGAGTATCAATTTCGAACGTTACCACCCAGCCTCCGGCAGGCTGCCACTAAGGCGCAAACGAGGAACTGACAGTCGCAAGGCGCAAGCGAATATATTTATACCCACCGAGGTAACAAATCAGTCTCGGCAATCCAATGTCGAAGTGATACTATTGGATAATCTGTTTTTGGAGCCATCGTTGGATTTACTTGGCTATTATGCCTGTTAAATAAAGCATTTGTGCGTACCTTAAGGAAGGCAAGGGACAGGGGACGAATCTGTACTGCTATAGCACACTAACACCAGCAGTTCTCTGCACAGTCGCGAAGCTCCATTGTCAGTGTCTCTTTTATTGTGGCGAAAACGTTCACATGGTGCGTGCAATGGGTACAGGTAATGAGAGCGGTAGGCTGTAATTCCATCCAATCGATCAAGAATGAGGCAAGAGACCTGCATACGATCGTTGCCGTATAGATGTAAGGCAGCCATGTGCACATTCCCAGCGGCTGCCCAGCTGCTGCGCCTCCAACCTCACCGAGATTCGCGCCCAACGTTGGTCGGGAATATATATTTCGTTTCCAGCAACTCTTAGCCCAGTCTACGGCGCTCTATTTTGATGGCATCGCTGAATTGAGCCATGGATGGTGCAGCAATTGACTCGAAAGCGCTGTCTGACATCGTGGACAAGTTCCTAAAGGGAGTCACAAAGCCCTATGAGAAGGAATTATTCCAGTCAACGACGAATGAAGATGTGCTCGAATACATCAACTCCATCCAGTCAATCCGGGAGTCTACTAGAAATATGATCAATATGAAGCGAATAAAGCCATTTCTCACCGGCATGGAGCATTTCGAAAAGGTCCTGACAGCTCTCGAATTTGAGCACGTCGCAAAGATCATGGCTTGTGTTTGGGGCCCGCTTCGATTTCTCCTCGAGGTATGCTTTAAGTAAGGGCTTACTGATGTTCTAAGCAGCTTTGCTGACGTCGGTCGAACAGGTCACAAATCTGACGGACAAGGAGATTGACAACCTACTGGATGTATATGAGAAGATTGGGAACAAGCTGCCACTGTTGCACGAGTATGTACGCCTGTTCATCGCGATACCGGAGACTGCGGCGTCTTTGGTGCAAATCTACCAGGACGTCATGACCTTCCATCAGCTTGCATATGGACTTTTCTCTCTGCGACCGGCTTGTAAGCCCGATCCCTAGAAGAGCAACATGACGAAGGCTGACACCTGCTATAGTATTTCAGAAGATCTATAAACCCACATGGAAAGCCTTGAACGCCACTACCGATCATCTGTTGGGCGCTCTCGAAAGACACCAAAATTTTATACAAAGCAGCGGATCTCGTGTTCAGAATTCTGGCGCAGAATTAGATCTGCACCCCGATTTGCTGACACAAGACGGTGAACGTGTGAAGGCTGATTTGTCCGATTACCTCCATGGTGTGAAGAAATATCGAGAAGATTATGAAGAGAGCGAGGAAAAGAGGAAAACAAAAGCGAAAAGGGGCGTTTTGGCGTGGATATCAGCCTCAAAGAAGACAGATTCTCTTCACAAGAAGTTCCAAGATACCCGAATCTGCCCCGATACTGGCCGCTGGCTGTTTAAGAGATACAGCGAAGTCAGCGACTGGATGAAGGAGGATCAGCCACCCGAATCCGCTATCTGGCTTCAGGGAACCAGAGGCTTTGGTAAGGATCACCCTCTTCAGTGAGTTGATCATGATCTAATAACAATCTCCAGGCAAAACAATTCTCGCGTCGTTATTAGTCGATGAGTTGGACGAACTGCGGAAGAAGAAGAAGTACATAATTCCCTCAGAGAGCAGGATATACTACTTCTATTGCCAAGAAGAAGACTCCGAGCACCGCACCTATCTGGACATTCTCCGAGGCATTCTCCATCAAATGGTCGATTCGAATGATGATCTTCTACCTCTTTGCGTGGAAAAAGCCGAGTCGAGCGGAAATCCAAGTTTGGCGGACACGGAAACTGCCCAATCTCTCATCGAGGCCTTCATCGAGTACAACACTAGGCAATATGTCATCATTGACGGCCTAGATGAGTGTGACACCGCTGAAGCGCGCAAAGCGGCGACCTTCTTCATGGGACAAGTCACAAAATGCGACAATGACATCAAGCAAGGTCACCTGAGGCTGCTGTTTATGAGCCAGCCCATTCCAGAGCTCGCTAGGGCAAAGGTTATGCCAGAGGACGATGCCTGTGTGCAGCTCAAGGCGACAGACAATGCGGAAGATATCAAGTCTTACGTGAGGAAGCGGATTGAGGAGTTTTCGGAGGTTCGCGCGACACGAAGCGGGTTCAATCTCCTGGAAAGCGACAAAGACCAGATTGAGAGCAGCATCTGTCGTCGAAGCGAAGGTGAGTCTTGAGCATAAGGATGTCGAATCTGGTTAACGAGGTGTTGAAGAAATGTTTCTCTATGCTCATCTGGCCATTGAGTATCTCTTACAGCAACCAACCAAGGAGAAGCTCAGAGAGAAGATGAAGGAGGAGATGGCTCCCAAGGAGCTCAAGCAAATGTAAGTTCGCCTTCTACTCCCCGGCTGTATACGACACGGAGGTACTAATGTTTGGTGCAGATATGAGAAGCTTCTAGGCATAGTCAAGGCCGAGCTGTTAAACCTGACAGATGGCGAAGATCACTGGGACATGGCCAAACAGCTTCTAGGCTGGCTTGTCTGCGCAAAACGTCCTCTCAAATGGCATGAGATGCAGTCTATTCTGTCATACGTCCCTGATCAACAAAAGGTAGACTTTGACAACAAAATGCTTCGACAAGATGCCAGCAAGTATCTCGGATCGCTGGTTCATGTTCTCGAGGGCGGGCATATTCGAATTGTTCATTCCACAGCGAGGAGGTAAGAAAAGGAGGAGCTCTGTATAGGTAGTGGCATTGAAGCTGACAGAACTTAGCTACATCATCCAGAATCAGTACATCAATGCGCAAGCGGTTTATTGCGAGCTTGCAGTACGCTGTCTGAGATACTTGTGTTTGATCAGCGATTCAAAAGCTTACGCCGAGGACGAACGTAAAGAAAAAGTGAAGCTCGGCTGGTTCTCATTCCAGGACTATGCTTGTTCTCAATGGCACAGCCACGTCAGCACCGTGATTGAACTGTGCGGCGATATCTTTCACGATCCGAGCCAGAATTATGGAATCAAGTTTGGTTCTGCGTTGCAAGACTTCATGAACCAACATGCCGCTGATCTCGCAAAGGAGCGTCATCGAGACTTTGCGATACAGATGCCTCCTGAGTTGACCAGATTTTCGGGGCTCTTCTTCTATGACAATCTTTGCAATTTGTGGAATCACATATATACTCATCAAAAAGGCGAGTGGGAGATCAGAAACACCGTTGGGATCACTCGCATCGATGAAGCCCTGGCTGAGAACCGGAACGTCCTGGAAACCTTCACACCCGACATGGAGGCCTACAATCACGACACCATAGAAGATTACTACGGCCCGAATCTCTTCAAGTGCAAGCGCCTCTTGTGCAAGTTCTTCCACGTCGGCTACGACAAGAAGGAGGAACGCGAAGCCCATAACAGCCGCCACGACAGGCCCTATCAATGCCCCCTTCACTGCAACGCCGCCCCCATCGGATTTCCAACGAGGAGGGATAAAGAGCGGCATGTGCGCTTCTATCATCCCGACTTGACCGATGGTCCGTCCGTGTTCGAAGCGATGCGTCCAAGGAACGGGTCGAGGTCTTTTAAATGCAGTTTATGCGACAGAGAGTTTACACGTAAGATTACGCAGCTTGGGCATGAGAGAAGTCACTTTGGGGAGAGGCCATACAAGTGCTCGACTTGTGACAGGGCGTTTGCAAGGTTGAACGATTGCAATCGGCACCAGAGGCAGGTTCACGCACACAGGGGAGTGCGGTAGGGTTAGTACGCCTGTAGTTCCTTGCTGAGAAGTTCTCATCCTCTATAAGTCTACCAAGTCTTGTTCTTTTCCCTCTTCTTGCCCTCCTTGTCTTCCTTCTTCTTGCCCTCCTTGTCTTCCTTCTTCTTGTCAACTCTTGAGTCCAAAATTACGCCCCTTCGCTGTACGCCTTCCCATATTGTCATATCGTGGAATTTGACGAAACCAAGCCTTTGGTGAACTCCTCTGCCAGTATCTATCACAAGTAGGCCTACCCCTTCTTCAGTCTCCTTATTGGACTTCACCGTTCCCAGCAACAGATATTCCGATTTTCCATGTTTGAGCCTATTTTGTTGAAGTTCAGCGACTGGGTCAAGAAGGTCGGGCCGCTCCGCTATCGTGCGAGCTTTCTCATCTGTTACATCGCTTTCTCTAAGGATGCGACATGACAATTCTGCAGCCTGAACAGTCAAAGACTTCAGTCTCGCATCTTCGGTTGAAAGTGACCCTTCATAGAGAATCACGCCGTCTAGAGAAGCCCATGACCAGCTGGGAGCCCTATCTAAGTGTCGTCGTTCTTCTCTTTCCATCTCTGGCTTATACCAAGCTAAAAGCTCAATGAACCACTTCTTCCAGAGCCCATAGATGTTGGTGTCACGCCATAGTGCTTCCAGCTCGGAGGTTATTCCCATAATCGCGTTGAGCTTATCGCCAGTGTAAGAGAGCTGACGATTGGTGTACTGTTGAACGATGGTCTTCCATAGATACACTTTGTCTGAGTCGAGATTTCCGTAGTATGGCTCTGCGTCATCATCAAAGACTGTCCATGGCAGCGTTTCCAGAGGCTGTAGATACTCGAGACCTTTCGCCGAAACGCTGCAAAGGTCAATCTCCTTGCATTGCCATAGAAGCTCGTAATCGGAGAATATCAACATCCTCGACGACAGCATGAACTCTTGCAACGTCCAACCTCTCTTGTCAAGGGGATGATCGGGCTCGTATGGCTCTGTGGAAAGATATACTGTGCCAGTCGTATTTTCAGCCATACGAACGTGGACTTCGTGTTGCGGACAGTAAGGCCGTAGCTTCTTGGAAAGAAACCCATGCTCCGCGTTTGACGAAGTAGCTGCCGCGATGGTTATGGAGGCATTCTTGTAGATGGAAGCCATGCGCCCGATTTCCCTTTCTTTGTCAATCTTACAGTTCTGTATGATACAGAGCGCATCAACCCAAAGATATCGATAGCCAAGTTTGCGAGTGGCGAAGATGGCATCCTGTATAGACTTCTGAAGATCGTGTAGCTTGATGCCTCCCTTCAGGCTCTTGATATTGTTCTTCCGCAGCTGAAGCGGTTTTTTGCGTACAAATGTAGGCTGCTTCCCCCAGCAATAGCTTAAGGCGAGGTATGGAGCATGGGTATCCGTCTCGTTGACCTTTAATCTGACCATTGAACGTGGATCTCCGGGGTAGTCAACGTCGAAAGTCAGCGGTGGAATCTCGTTGACCTTTGCTTTGACCGTTGAATGTGGATCTTCGGGTTTGTCAACGTCGAGAACTCGCTGTGGAATCTCGTTGACCTTTGCTTTGACCGTTGAACGTGGATCTTCAGGTTCGCCAACGTCGAGGACTCGCAGTGGAAGCACAGTATCTCGAGAATATTGGCAGTGTTTATGCGGATTCTTGGGGCTCATACACTTCTTAATCAGGCCCTTTGCTGCAGCAAACACCTTGTTGCTTTGCACGTCTCTGCGAAGTGGTCGCCGACGTACGACTTTTGCCATGGGATCGTCTGTGTCTAGTGAGCAGAGGAATTATCAAGGAGGTTTTATTGAGCGAGCACCGACCTTGCTTGGCAAACAATTGAATTGTAAGAATTGATGCTGCTGGACTGGATTCGAAAGCTCCTCGAAGATTGTAGATTCCAGCCGAGTCCCTTGTCGACATCGTCAAAGAAGATCGCGCATCTTGAGAGTTTTGGAATAAGAGTCGGTCTTCATACTTCCAGTCTTCGTCATGCTCTTTACAGACGGCAAACAGGATCAGCTTGCATATTCCGCATCCCTGATCTGCGGAAGCAGCGCAGCCTGTGCGATTCTGATGTAGGAACCCATCTGGCGAGTTCAGGCGCTGCAGTCCCTGCTGAGACAGCATGCGCGTGCATACCTGACATGAGAGCTCACGGAAGCTGCTCCGGCGCCTTCTGTGTGACTGTCGGAGCCTCTTCGTGTTGCTGTTGAGTTCAAGTCGTCGCCGTTTTTGTCCGACTTGCGCACTCATTGTGCTTCCCAGATAGTGAGCAGGGTTAGTGATATTGAGGCAGGTTCTGTCAAAGAATAGGATGAAGTTTGGTCATCTTTTGCGACTGAAAGAGAAACTTTTGCGACTGAAAGAGAACGCAACTTGCCTCAGGCTCATGTCCGCGTCTACGGCTTCCAAGCAGAGCGCTGCCATCATTCCCATGTATGCAAAGCGCTTGAATGCAACAAATACAAGCCCTACATCAGCGTCCAATCACTCCCCTATAACAAAGTCAGCCTTGCTGCCCAACCAGCGTTCTGCCAGCTTCATATTATGCAAGGAGCGTCTAAGCCGCCACCAACGGTGAGCAGAGCATATGCGACCCGCCGAGAGCGGCAAACGGGCAATGAAGACACACAGGCATATTGATTGCCTTGCTAGGGTATCCAGCCAGTACGCTGACAGCAATCCGCTACAGCCTCAATTTTCGGTGAAAAGAGTTTCTGCCTTGTTACATACACAATCCGCCTCTATTACCCCCGGTAGGGAACACCCTAGCGTGGCATTCTTGAAAGGATGTCGAATTTGTAGTGCAGCTTGAATTTCTGCCGTTAAAAGGAAGGGAGAGAACGCAAAAAAGGGAAGTGTTATGTAGACATTCTATGGATCCTAAAAGCAAATATCCCGATACATCACAATGTCAAACCCTTTGAAGCGACGGTTTGATCCCGTCAGGGAGCTGAATGATGAAGCATTCAGCAGCACCCCCAGCAGCAGCTCGTCCAGCGTGGAATCGCCGCACTACTACGACCCAAACCTCTTGCAGGGCTATGATGGATTACATGACGCTCCGAGGCCGAGTCCTGGGCCGAGCTCCATGAATCCAATCAGGTTTGAGCATCTTTGGTTGATTCACACAGGCAGTACTAAAATGTCACAGTGACATACCCGTTATGCAGCAGGCCGACTCTTTGCCTCAGCTGTTTGGCGATATCCTGCTAGATCCGAGTATTGGTGACCAAATGATGTCGCTGAATGTGAACGAGACAACTTACGACTTAGAAGGCGCCCTTGAGGACTGGGGAAATGGATTGTTCGACTTCGACTCGTATTTTCCCCAATTGATGCCGTCTTCATCTGAAGAGGTTTCTCAGTCGCCGTCTCTCACACCGGAGTCCAGTTCGGGAACTGAAGATACTCCTTCGGTAGGCGAGCCTGATACCGTATGCTTTGGGATGGTGAGTAACCGCAAGCCATCGTTAGAGCAATGCAGCGTCTAATTCTGTTGTATCAGCTGCATAATGTCGACGTCAAACTTGTTGGCGAGATGCAAGCCATCCACTCGAGGCTCAACGAGAGCGAAGCCTTATACGCACGCTTCAGCATCAGAAAGAAAGAAGCTCATGTCGTTCTACGTTTTCAAGATGCCGATCAAGACTTTGGATACTTGCGCTCTGCCGTAGGAACGACTGTGTCACCGTTGCTAGCCAAGCCAAACCTTGAATTTGAGCCTGTTGCCTCGGCATCCGAGCTTTTGCGCATCATTGGAAATGCTAGCAAGGCTTCAGACGCTATTGTCAAGGTCGACATCAATATATACGGCCCACCATCCGCTGGAACAGAAGTCGGCGATGCTCTGTCGGATGGGAAACTGTGGTTACAGAAGTCAGGCCATATGAGAGGTGGCCTTGTATACGATAACCCGCACTACTTGCGTATTAAGATTAACGGTAATCAGCCGCGGCCTACATGTGCTGAACCTGTGCGCCAATTGAAGAGTGACAGGATCACCAGCAGGAGGAAACGAGAAGAACGGTTGCGAAAGATGATCGAAGAGGTGTACAGTTCTCTGAACCGTAATCAGCAATTTGATGACGCTGCCGATGCGGGAGACAGAGTCAATCGAAAGCTTCTGAGGTGGTTACCAGCCGGCCCATTTGGTTGATCATTGGCGTAATTGATACTGACCCGGAGATAGACATCAGCAAGTAGCGCTGGGCTTTATGCTGCGGAGAGAAAGCGGCCACATCAATGAGACGAGTTCTCTGTGGGAGTCTGTCAAGTTTGAAGACGGTCAAGAAGGGTAGGCAATTTCGAACTATGACTCCAGGTCAATGACTGACAGGAAGATGGTAGATTTCGCCATCGAATTACTCGTACCCCGAGCAGAGACAAAGTCCGGCCAAGCGAACGAGGGGGTGGCATTCTGGCCGACGAGATGGGCATGGGCAAGTCCCTGTCAATACTTGCTCTCGTAATGAGGATGCTCGACGATGGGAGGACATGGGCTCAGGAACAGGAGAACAACGCGAGAGTCGAGGGGGCATTCAGGAGATCACGCTCCACCCTTGTGATTGTTCCATCTGCGCGTTCGTTGCTCTGATTTCTTTCGCTCAAGGTGCGGTGCAAGAGGCTGACTTGGAATAGTCCTGGTACACAACTGGCTCAATGAGATCAAAGAGTAAGGCTGATTGAGTGAGCGGCTGTTAACTCTGCTAACCAAGTCTACAGCCACTTGAAAGATGGTGTCACTCAAATTAAGTATCACGGCCAGGACAGGCCGAAAGACATCGACACGATTGCAGACTCAGATATCGTCGTCACTACATACAGTACCCTCACTTCAGAGTTTCAGGCCAAGTCTACACCATCTCTCCTCCATTCCATCGACTGGTACAGGATTGTCCTAGATGAAGGTGAGCCTCATCTTCCCCCTTTTAGCTGCCTCCCACCATGCTTAACCGCCAATAGCACATATCATTCGCCGCCGCGCTACGGCATTCTATCGTGCCTGCGATGAGCTTCATGCCAACTCGCGGTGGTGTCTCACAGGAACCCCTATTCAAAACAAGCTTACCGATATTGGCACCCTCTTTGCCTTTATACGCGCCGAGCCTTTGTGCAAAGCCGCTACTTTTCGGAAGTGGATTGAGCTACCATTTGAGCAGAGCGGCGATGACTTTCAAGTGGTCAAGGAGCGCCTCGTCATGCTCATTGGAGCCTTTTGTCTGCGTCGAACGAAAGACATCATAGAGCTGCCAGAACTTGAGCAGCGACTCCGAGTGCTGGAATTTTCCCCCGAAGAACGCAAGCAATATGAGGATACGAAAAAGATCCTGATGCGCATGATTCGCCATCGGGTAGGTGAAGTAGAGAAGAGCGCCAAATTCGGGCTCTTCCAGGCGAATCTGCAGATGCGTCTCTTGTGCAATCACGGAACATATCAACAACCTTTCTCCTGGCGCCGCCGCAGCTACCGTGATGAGCGCGAGGCCATTCTCTCAGCCGCACTCGGCCAAAGCAGCGAGATTACATGTGCTGGCTGTCAACTACCTATGCCCGTCCTTGGGTCCAGCCACATGAGCAATGCATTCTACGAGAATTGCTCTCACGTCATATGCTCTGATTGCATCGAGCAGTCGAATACTCGGAGTGAGGGAGGAGAGGCTCCGCATTGCCCTGTGTGTATACGATGGCTGAAGCATGCTATGGACAATACTGTCGGGACGGCAGACTGTGACAATGCGCCCAAGTGGCCGTTGACGAACAGAGAAAGAGACGACGATGCTCATTATTTTAGCAACGAAGGTCATTCGACGAAGATGGAGGCACTGATCAAGGATGTTAAAGTGGACTTGGACAAGTCCAAAAGGTAAGCTCGCCCGTGACTTCTGAGACAAGCAATCTGACAAACGCAGTATAATATTCTCTTGCTGGACTCGAACGCTGCAGCTGTTATCAAGGTATCTAACCAAGAATAATATACCCTACTTCCTTATCGACGGAAGCTGCTCTCTTGCGGAGCGACAGAAGAAGCTCGATCAATTTGCCGACGACAAGGAGACGCCGGTGCTCATCATGACGACCGGAACTGGAGGCTTTGGGTGCGTCAACAAGCCCCCTAACTCTGTAACCTTGTTGACACGATGCTAATCATATCTCAGGCTGAATCTGACATGTGCGAATCGCATCTTTATTGTCGAGCTGCAGTGGAATCCCGGGGTCGAGGCCCAGGCCATCGCGCGCGCCATTCGACTTGGGCAGAAGAACAAGGTAGAAGTGACCCGCTACATGATTAAAGATACAGTTGAAAAGGTATGCGACATGTTTTGTGCTGTAGTGGTGGAGCGAATATGTTAACTGGGAAGCAGGAAATGAGGTCCCAGCAGCAGTGGAAGAAGCAGCTCGCCACCTTGGGCTTCGACGAGATACCTGACGAAGGTGACGAGGAGACTGACGAAGAGGACGAAAAGACTGACGAAGATGACGAAGAGATGTTTATTGAGTAGAGAAGCACTTGTGGAGCAAGACAACTTTCATAAGCCATATCAATAGTAAATACTAGAATGGCAATCATCTTGGTATCAGGCGAACTTGTGTTATACCATCTCGCGCCGGGATGAGCTTAGTTTATAGACGAGCTGTCGCATTGAGAAGAATCCACGCCGTGTCCCTCCATCCCCTCACCCTTACCTTTTATTGTTTCTTTTCTATTTTTCTCTCTCTTTAGAAAGGGGGGAAAAACTTCATAACAAGTTATAGTAAGAGTCAATTCGGATGGGATAAGCCATTAACCTAATGTTCCCATGATCATTGAAGACAACACCAAGTGCTTGTGTGTTCGAAAAGTTTAGACAGGCTGTAAAGAGGTGACGCTGGCATTTCTTCTCCATAGAAAGAGAATAGCTTGTTCTTTGCAGTCAAGAGGAAACGACCTTGTATGAGGTTTGGAAAAACTGTGTATTGGGCGCCACTGGATACTACATAGATGGATAACATTTGACTCGTTGGACACCTACCTACTGTCTCTGTAGGTTACCTAGGTATGTAAGGTAGTATACAGCATGCAGGCTGTGGGCCTACCAACATGAAGCTGCACTGCCAAGCTGCACCGCCTTTGTACCTTGGTAGCGTTGGCTAACAAGGGGGTGAAAGAAAACACCGCCATACACATCCATGAATACGAATTTATAGTGGCGAATCGGCGGTGTTTTTCTTTCAGCCTGTTGGCTAGTTGAATCTGAAGGCATCGGGAGGGATTAAAAATGCTGTGAAAGTCAGAGCCGCGACCCGTCTATAAGGCAAATGTGAGGTGTTCTTCCGGCTGTTTGAAAAGGCAACCCAACGCCTTTTCCTCTTTTGATTCCAAAGGAATTCTCATGCGCGGTATTTCCTGCATCTGTTCACATCTCGCATGCAAGTGTCATGCGAGCTTTGCGACTGATGGCTTTCTCAACAACCTGGGTTTATTCACGATTCTTCAGCATGCCATTTACAGTATCAGGCGCCATCTGGCAGCGCAGAAGTGTTCGAAGGCCGCGTCGGCTTGCCAGTATAGTTGCGTTAATAGAAGAAGAATACATACATCTGCGAATGTCCGTAACAATTTTATTCTGACAATCATACAGAGCATCAAACCCTCAAGAAGGCGTTGCCGTACCGGCCTTGTTATGGAGCACCATATGAAAGCCAAGAGAAACTCGGATAGTATGAATATTAAACAGTCGGTCGACAATTGATGTCTAACTGTAATCACCCGCTCAATCACACCTCAGCTTTCACAGGTTGCTCGTAAATCATGTACCGAACACCATAGTTGCCGTCCCCTCCATACATGGAATCATCCTGAACGAGCTCCCGCTCAACACGAAACCCAAGTCGACTGTATACTCCCCACGCAGGTCTAAACGCAAGCACAAAAATGTCCAAGCCCAGCTTTGCTGCTTCTTTCATGCCGCTCTGTACCAAAAGTGTAGCAATTCCCTTCCCTTGATTCTCAGGGTGAACGGCCAAATAGTCTAGACCTGCAGATTGGCCAGTTTAGCATCTTCTGCTTCGACCTCACTCATGAAGCGTCACTCACATAGATATTGCTTCTTTTGCATCAGCTCGTTCTTTATCTCAGTAACTTTATCATCCAGCGCATCAGTGTCATGACTCGGATTCCACGGCGTTGCCTCCGCAATTCGCTTAATCTCCTCCTCTTCCTCCTTTCCAACCAATGGCCCCAGCGCCTCTGGCCATACCGGCTCACCATCTGCTGTAGTAGCATACGACTTGGGCAGTATCCATCGCGCATATCCCACGAGACGACCAGTCTCTGTATCGACTGCCTTCTGGTGCCGTGAAGTCGCGCGGTCACTTATCAGTCTCCGGGGATAGCGTCGAGCAGTTGCCTCGATGTGCTTCTCCAACGTGGTGTTGCGCCATGTTAGCACCCAGTTGGGATCCTGCCAGAATGCCGACATGTTGTTGCGGCTTAGAGCTTCGCTGTCGGTGAGGCTGACCGGGGCAAGCGTGTAGGAAGCCATGTTTAGAATGGAGAGGTGCTGTATGACAGGAGCGATGCGAGAGAGTTACTGATGTGAGCGTGCTATCTATGTGGCTTTATGAAGCGTTAAATATGTATTATTGAGAATGCTATTGCAATCTGTTCTCAACTTCAAACGACAGCCTGCAACTGAAGGATCGCGAGAACCCCGCAGCTTAGCCTGTAGTGGCGGCATTCGCATCTCGTATGAGATGATATCTTAATCCAAGCGTGAAATAGGCAGCCGAAGTAGCATGTCCCTCTATCAAACGTGGGATGCTACGATCTATAACATTCCAAGGTCAGCGGAGTTACATGTAGTCTACAGGGCGTATGAGTTGAGCTGTGGTGGAGGCCTAAGTGAAGTGGTACACGGGCACCCTTTGACAGCAGCCAAGTGGAACAGCAACTGGAAGGGTGCCAATTACATACATATGTAAGCTGCTTAATGAACTTGAAAGATTCAAGGTTCGCTAATAACAGCACTATAGGTATGCTAGTTAGGTGTAATACTTTATAAGGTCGACGATCCTCCCTCCCACAGCGCTTATCTCAGGTTTCTTATAGCTGGAGGGTTTCCAGCCTTTAATATGGGCTAATACCCTTACTGTATTACCCAACTGAAAGCACAGCAGAAAGCCATGTATAGCATGACTTATAATTCATGTCTACATGAAGAGCCCATCAAATATCTGTTGTGACATTGTGAAAACCTTTATATACCTGGACTCACAGTCTTTGACGAGCGCTGTCCCCGGCGACGTCGCTTTGAGAGGGCCTCTTGACTCCCGCGACAGCTGCCGGGAGCTTTCCCCTCAGATGCTCAAGCTCAATTAACTCCCGATATGCCACATCGCCCAGGATACTTTGGAAGATGGCCCCCCGCAAAGGGGCAAGCATACCATCATGAACCAGGAATTTGCTACGGAAATCTCTGACTTCCTCTTGAAACTCCGTGCCGAGCTTCTCCACACGAAGTGTATATGGTGATTTGCTCGCGATTGTTTGGTATCTGAAGATGGAGGCTGGGAGCTTACCTTCAATATGCGACCGTCTGTGCTGTGCCGCGCGGAGATTCCAAACTCTCTCGACTTCGGACTCCAAAAAGATATCCAGGGCAGCGCAATCCTCACATCTGCCGCACCCCCGTCGCTTGTGACGCCAGCCAGTCATCGCCTTCGGATACTTGGGTACTTGGGTATGTAGGGCATGCCGTATGAGGAGCTCAAAGAACGCTCTGACGTCTGGTGTGAGGCAGACGTTGCAAGAGTGGAATGCGGAAGCGAGTGGTACGAGCAGGTCTTCGACCAAACTCTCGTCATGGAATCGAGATGGATCCCACGACGACTTTGCGGCATTGAACGCTCTGTAGCAGTGCTCCACAAGTTCAATGGCCTGCTGAGAAACACCAACTGTCAAGCTTTGCTTGATGAGTGTCGTAAACTGTCGCAACAACACACTGGACGCGTGATTCTTCGGTACATATGGAAAGGAGACTCCGGCGTGCTTCGCAATCAAGTCTTGCGGCTGCAATGCAAGCCGCGAGCGGGCCGTCCTGAGAGTGTTCTCAAAGAGATCTTTCACGGTGACATCGTTATACTGCTCCCTTCTTTCGAATATCGAGTCCAAGACCTTAAAAATGAGTCCACGGGTGGCCCGCGAAAAGAATGCAGAAGCGATTCTGAAAGGCATGTCAGCAAGATGTTGCGATTGGCTACAATACACCTTTGCGAGGCGGGTCATGAAGGCTACTCACCTGTCGCTCGTCACAGCTGGGACTAAGTTGGACAGAAAATAGTCATGGTCATCGACAGTGAAGTGTTCCTGAGTGTCCAATTTCAGGTCGAATTGCGGCTGAGCCCAGGCTCTGAGTGAGTCTTGCAGCGTCTTAGTCTTGAGACGGGCTATGAACATCTTCGCAGTGAGATCCCTGACCGCCAGGGACGTAGTGCGTAGGAACGGGCCAAGCCTGGAGAGCATTAGCGGGGAGCGAACGCAAAAGAAAGCATGAGATTCCTCAGAGATAAAGATATCCAGGAATCTAACAACTGAAATCGGATACGCACCATTTTTGCCAGTCCACGTCCTTCGGGTCCTTGGCAAAGGCTTCATCAAGATGGCGAGAAACCACGTCGACCAGCTCTTTTGGTGGCACCTTTCCACAGAGAGCAGTTGACAGAGCCTGTTGGTAGAGGTCTTCAAATTTCGCTTCCAAAGCCCATTTTGCGATTGTACAAGCCATCGTCAGCTGTGGGGGACTGGAACTGACGGCAAGAGCCTCGGTCATGACTTTGAGAGTACTCGACTTGACCCCGGAACTCTCCCGGTGCTCCTCATAATCTTGCTTGACCATAGACACGAGGTTTTCTACCTCTTGATCACGAGTTGCTCGATAATTATTTGACTTCAGGAACCGATTTACCCGGTGCCTGGGTATCAGCACAGCTACCTGTAACGAAGGTGGTCAATATCCATTGCTAAGATTTTCATCGATTAAAGGGGAACATACGGTGTCGTGATATCGGAGAGAGATGGGTGCGCTCTCGTTGCCTGTGAACTCTTCCTCGTCTTGGCTGTCGGCATCGCGATCCGTGAACATGTCGGAGTCCAGAAGTACACTGTCGTCGATTATGTCGTTTGAACCTATCTGCGCTCCATCACACGAGTAGATGCTCTTCAGGGTTGTACTAGTTTCGCCTTCGTCGGTCGCGTAATAGGAGTCGAACTCATCCGCCGTATGTGTCATGTGGGCCAGGACGAGGTAGAGCCCACAAGCAGTGCTTGCTTCTTTGAGGCTGTGGCAGATGGCGCGATCACGGCCTTTCATATTGTTCAACGATAGGCTGGACTGGCTATACTTGTGGGCGAGCGGGTAGACGATCATGGGCACCTCGGGGAAATTGGCCTGCCATTTGCCTATAATGCTCTTCAGCTGCTGTGAGCGTTCGAAGAGAAACTGGGCGGATTGCTTGACGCTGCCGGACTGGAACAGGTTGTAGGTCAGGGCCAGCCGATTGCCGGTGTCCAAGGGCTTGACCTCATGATCCACGTCGGAGTACCACGCCAGGGCCGTGACGTCGAAGGCCGATGCTGGTGCTGTCGCTAGAGCACGCCGTTCGGATCCAAACGAAAGATGGACGTCTCCTCCCTTGTGTATGCCGGGCAAGCAGACGACGAGCGTGGCTATCATCCCGGCCTCCTTTTCAGAGTCCTTGTGCCTCTTGAAAAAAGACCCCTTTTCGTAAAGCAGGAGCTTGTGTGGCTTCGCGCTGACATCTGGCAGGCCGAGACCGGCGGCGGCATCGTTCAAGAGCCTGTTGAAGAAGGTCGGCCAACTGGGATTGCTACACTCAAACTGCGTGGCATCCAGCTCCCAGGTCTTCCGCACCGACGTGTCAACGAGCGTCTGGTCTCCTCTGCCAAAGGGAGCCTCCCTGCAGGCACCCCGAATCGTTTCAGCGTCACGGTCAGTGAGCGGTAAGGGGATTACGGCCTCGCTCCCCGCGATCCGCAGGCCGGGGTTCGCAAATGTCTGATACTGGCGAGACACGGCGAAGTCGCCGGAAGACACGATGCCGTTCAGACAATTGAGCAGCTGCTGCTTCCAGGCGCTGTAGACGAGTTTCCGATTGCTGGAGGGGGCAGTCTCCGGATCGGACGCCGTCAAGTCAATCGTTTCCCGGACCATCTTGTTTGCTTTGACTAAGTATCGCCTGATGTCGCAACCACTGATGTTCGGTTTATTGTTGAACAAGGAATCTTGCTTCTTGGTGGTGCTTCATGACTTCACAGCACTTTCTCATCGTCACCGACGAGGAGCAAGTTGGGAGACGCGCTTGACGCGTCGCGGCTTCATTCACCAGTCCCAAGCCCCACAAAACCAGATACTACTATGTGCATAAACTGGCACTCACTCCCTGATATGGTACAAGCGAGAACCGGGCAGGTTGTGGCTACTCTTAACCTATATTCTCCTAGAGTCTTTGCTGAACTACAAGATTGCCTCGACTTGTCACATTTCCCTTCAAAAAAAACTTGGGGTGTCGGAGAAGGGAATTGCAGCGATGCTGCGAAAAATGACGGGACACAATTAGTCTGTAGCTAACCGTTGAGGAGAGACATGTCATTCGTTAAGCACACCTTGCTTCTTACACCTCCCGACCTCCACAGCCGCTTATGGATTGTCCGTGCTTATATCAAAGCATTGACGAGCACATCGAAGGATTGATGCGGCATTTTCCATTGGAACTTCCTGTATAAGAAAGCCTTCTGTAACCTTGATTCTCCGTACCTATGCTATAATCGACACTCCTATTCCATAGAAACCAATATTTGACATCGGAATATACCGCCAGGCGTCTGCTATCATCTGTGCTTGATTCTCTCATCAGCTAAATCCTTAGAGATTATCAGATAATGGCAGAGTCCAGTGAGAAGGCAAACAGCTCACTCTTTAAGTGGCTCGATGAAGTTTGGCACAACATTCTGCTTCAGCCAGATGATAAGCTTGCGGTCAGCTCGTTTGAGAGCTATATCGCCAAAGATGTAAGAGTCAAGTAGGTCTATCGTCATGTTCCTCCGGTGCAAGAAGCATGGATTCACAGTTGCTCCAGGATCAACCACGATTTCATCACTCGGGAAGCATTCTTCGGCTATGTTACGAGCACGCGTGCATCCCACACGCTAACGCAGCTCAGCAAAAAGGAGATCAAAGTGTGGGAAGCCCCTGGAGGAGGCGGTTGCGTTGTAGACGAAGCCGTGGTTGTCTTCAAGAACAAAGAGACGGGTGAAAGCTACACGGGCACGGTTGTGATGGTTTCTGATGTACGCGTGGGAGAAGATGGCAAGATGACGATTGTAGAAACGACGGAGGTAGTCACACGGACCAGTTGATGAGCCGGAGATCTCATGGTATAATAGCTTGTTCAGTAGTCACTATTTGCTCAGTGCCATATGATCCATCAGCGAGTACCGCAAACGCACACATTGTAACAGATAGTCCATCATTCACGGATGCTCCATTATCACAACAACCGAGAGAGCACAATGAAGCAGCGACCTATCATTCGTTTACACATCACCACCTCCTATGCCATATCGAATTCCAAGCAGCTACATCAACTGTTTCATCCTCCGATCCTTCGCCTTGAACTCCATCCACAAACTCCTGACGAAGCCGGTCGCTGAGGTCCCTCAGCACCTCACTCCTATGCTGATGGTCCTTCAGTAGCCTTGCCAATGAACGATGTCCTCCTTTTCTAGCCAGCGTCAACGCAGTTGCACCATCCCTGTCTGCCATAGTTTTATCAGCGCCCCTGTCAAGGAGCATCCTTACAACACGATGATGACCTTCAATGGCAGCGTTCATCAGCGCCGTTCTGCCATTCATATCCTTGTCATCAAACCCAGCCCCTTGGTCAAGAAGTTTCAGCACGATTGCTCTGAACCCACCCCGAGACGCAGCCATCAGAGGCGTTCTCCCATCGTCGCCCACCGCATCGACCTTTGCTCCGCTCCATATGAGCAGCTCCGCGATGCTCTCGTGTTTCTCGGCAGCTAGAATGAGAGGCGTACGTCCATGCAAGTCCTTTGCTTCGAGATCAGCGCCTCGTTCGATAAGAATAGCAACTATGTCTTTGTGGCCCGCTGCTGCAGCGAGGCTTAAGGCTGTTGGCCCGACATTGCTCCGATCCAGCTTCTCCTCGATGTTCGCGCCGCGCTCGAGTAAAAGCTCGACCAGTGCTTGATGCCCTCTGCCAGCGGCAAATGGAAACATATTCCAGGTCTGGCGTTCTTCTGCTGTCATCAATTCATCGAGGACTTCCGACTGAATAGACTTCCTGTCGGTATACTCTTTCGGCCGGTATTGCAGAAGCCAGTCCATGGCCAAAGAGCCGAGAATCGCGATAATCTCCAAAGCTGCTTCTCTTTTGAGCTCAAGGATTGGGGTTGTATGCCGCAGCAGCATTTGAAGTGTGATATCCCTGCTCAAGTGATTCAGCGCAAGGGCCTGAACTACCTCTCTTGTGATCGCAAGTCCACGTCCTCTCAACCGAAGATACTCCCGGGCACTCGTCGAAGTACACCACCTCGTAAAAATTGCGAATTCCCTTGTTGTTGCTGGGCCCCGAGTTGCCAGGTGCTCAAGAAACATTCGAAACGCAACTCTTCCCTGTGGTGCGTGTGGTTCGTCTGCATATCTGGCGACGCTCTCCATGAGTTCAAGGCTCCCAGGCTGGTATTCAAGGAACAATTTCAGGATCTGGAATCCGCTCGCCTTGTTGAAGATTGCAAGCTGGACTAACTGGCGACTGAGTTTAATGTCCTGGGGCCGTTGCTTGAATAGCACTTCAAATATGTCTGCTCCACACGCCTCATTCCTGGCAGAAATTTCCAAGAGCTCTTGTGTGATTCTAAAGTCTTCGGTCGATTGCTTATGGGAAATTCTTGCAGACCTTCTGACTTGAACTTTGGCGTCTTTGGCGCAATGTACACGGAAGAGCATCTCTATCACTTCGTGTCCACGATCGTTATCCAGGGCGGCCGCTTCGGCTATATAGCCGATGTTAGTGCTCTTGATATACGGAGAAAGGAGCTTCAACACCTTCTCTCCGCGACCGCTATTCCTCGCTGCGACATGGAGGACGTCGTTGGTGATCTTAGTGGACCTTTTTCGGTGCTGAAGAATGACTGCCATGACTTTTTCCGCGGCAACTTCGTTCCTCGCAGCTTCTGTCAAGGCTTCTTCAGTTATGTCGACGTCGCTTCCTCGACATTGGAAGAGCAGTCGTGTCATTTCCCCGTCTGTGTCGTGAAGCAACACGGTGTTGACAAGATGCCTGCCAATCTGTGTGTCCGGCCGTCGGAGGAGCATCTCCATGTTCTTCGTCTTGGAGACCTTTGCAAGTGCCAAGCAACTTGTATTGATCAGGGCATCTAAACCGTCTGCAAGGCTCCGTACGTCAGTTGGCAATGAGCGCCGATCATCAGCATCATAGTCTTCCAAGTCGCAGCAGCAAAGGAAGCGAATAGCATCGCTGGTCACTTCCTCCTCCGGCTTTTCGTAGTCTGGCGGCAGAATATCAGGGTTTCTGGCATCTGAAGATATGCCCCGCAGCGCATATAAAAGGTCTCGAGACTCCGTGGCTTCGCTGCTTCCAAACATCTTGAGTAGAGTATACAGGCTGTTGCTCTGGCTCCACCACGAGGTTCCCCTCCAGATTCCTGGCATGATATCCAGGACAGCTTGGCAGTGGGGACTTGGATCGACGCCCATGAGTATCGGGGCGATGCTGAGGACCCGTACAGAGACTGATTGCGTGCCGCAGTAGAGCAGAGCGGACTTGGCATTTGCGACCTCTTGCAAGATCCAGACTCTTCTAAACCAAGGTCGGTCTAGGATAATCTCCAAGCCCTGCCGCTGCCGGCTTTCCAAATTTGAGTTTCCGTGAGTAGCCTTTAGTTGCAGTTGAACATCCTTCCATAGATCCTCCCATCGGCTATCGTCAAGTTTGCAGGACTTGCAAGGATATCGGATACACAATCTGTGCAAGAGCTGCATTGACTTAATGAAGATGTCGGTCTCGTCTGTGCCGGCTCCGAGCCAGAATAGTACACGGTCGGCTTGCTTGTAGATGTCGCCCATCTGCTGAACTTGGTGACCTCGCTCCTTCAGGTTCTGCTGGTCAATGCAGATTGCATCTATCCATAGTATTCGGTCCTCGTCTCGTTGGCGCAATTGCTGAAGCGCCAGATAGAGGTTCACTGTGACGCTCAATTGCCTACCATCTATGAAGATGTTTTCGCGGACGTCGGGCGGACCCCAGGTATACGACAGAGCCTCGTAAGCCACGGCGTCTCCTCGCTCATACAGAAATGCCTGGAAGAGGTCGCCGCTTATGTTTCTACCGCTTCCTCTGTGAACGCGAAACAGTCGAATTGCAGGACCACCGAGGTCCATAGCATTGTAGGTGTATTCGTCCATGAAGATGGGGAGACCTCGTAATATTACTTGCAGCAAGTTGTTTTCAGACCACTGGTTGTTGATGCTTCATAGGAAGCTATTCGATCAAGGGGAGAGCGCCAGTGGTATGAGACTTCTTACCGCCGCTTCTTGAATCTCGAGTCTCACTGGGAGCCTTGGGGTGTTCCCAGTATGTGGCTGAGTGAAAGGCATATTGCAGCATCACAGCACAGCCACAATGCGACATACATGGTTCAGCGGCTCCTCGTGTGTTTTGCCTCTGAAGCTTCTCAGCACGTTTAATACCTTACTACCTGCCTGCTCTGGCATTGTACATCAACATACGAAGCCTTTGCAAGCCTTACGTTCTCTCACCTATTGAGAAATTTCAGCTCCCGGACACGAATTGCGATGAGTTCTACAACAGCGTGAGGCCATAGACGGCCAAGAAGTGCTGCGAGACCAGGTACATGTATCTTGGGGTTCGATGGCACGTACGACAAGACTACCTTACGGAAAGTCTGCTGGCTATAAATAGCAAGATGCCGTGAACTGATATTAAGATACTTGAGCCAAGGAATGAGCTATCCACGTGGAAGTGAGTGTCCAGATCATGTCCAGATTTATCGCGCCAATTGGGCCAAGTGGACGAAGCCAAGAAAATGAAGTTGGTGGGCACGGGGTAATGGGGATGGACAGGGTACTTTCAGGTTCGCTTCGCTCTTCACAGCATTTTTAACGTCCTCCCAGGTCTTGCCAGCGCTAGGCAACACAGAGAAAATGGCAGCCGAAGCAGATGCAATGGGGCGCAACCCGGCGAGCTCTTTCACAGCATTCTTAGTTGCTCTGAATGCCTGCGTTGGGCCGCATTGTTTGAACGCAGCCTGACATTACGCAACTTGATGGGAATGTCAGCGGCTTTGATAAGCCTCCAATGCTGCGCGGACATTTCTAGTATTCGGAGAGATATAGCGTGCGAGTGGAAGCCTTGTAAAACAGAAGTTTATATGCTGCGAAGGAAGGATTAATGATCATCGTGATAAGGCATGGGCTCGGCATGGCCTGAATCAAACTGGCAAACTGGGAGACGATTGCAGCAAACCTTGGCTTACTCATGTTTTTCAGCGCCAATCAAATCTGACCTGAGAACAGGCTCGGGGGAGGTTAAAAATGCTGTGAAGACTCCACCATCTCGGCACGTGAGTAGATGGCTCGGGCCAAGGTAACTCTCCATTTCTGGCCGCCGCTAAGGTTAATTCCATTTAGGTCCTGATCCAATTCGCGCTGCTAGCAAGAAGTTGCTTACAGAGAGTGACTTCGTGCTAGTACGCCAAGTGGGGACGAACCTCTTGTACCCGTGGACCTCTCGCGATCCTGGTCATAATACAGCAAGGCCTCCAGTACAGCAGCAAACTATACCCTATAGCCTGTATAATGCAGCAGATTACTGCAATAGCCATCAGTCGCAGAGGGCTTTTATAGTAACCATCGTATTCACTATAATAAGACGAATCAAATAGTACCACACTTGGCATATAGAAAGCAGAGGAAGCAGAGGCAGCGCTCTCTCTACCAGCTATAAGCATAATCATCTAGCAAGCAACAAGTCCAATACGCAACCTTTTCTCAGTATTAGAGTTGTATGGCGCTAGCAGACTTGCTGGCGGCGTTTGCTAGCGACCTTCCCTCTTGCAGGCAAATACGCGGCCCCTGCAAGCGCAATACCTCGTGGGCAGGGGTGCTGCAGCCTTATGCAAAAATCGCAATCAAAAAAGGCATAGCCGGCGTTTTATGCAGACTTCTAGCAAGCCTGTAAGCAACTTCTTGCTAGCAGCGCGAATTAGATCACGACCTTATATCCGACATTACATGTAGGAACGCCAAAGTGACGATCAGCCTCACGGTACCGAGGAGCATTGAAGCGGGGCTTAAAATGCTGTGAATCGCAAAACTGTGTAAACAAACATGCTCAATGCTAAGCTTCGAGATTGTTTCTCCACTTGCGCCAGGCCAATCTCGATTCGTCGGCCTAGTGGAACTCCCTGTCGGCTTCGTTGGCCCATCCAGAGCCACAAGCTGGGGAGAGCTGAAGAAACTTCAGGAGGAAAACGCAGAGACCAGCACCGCTAGTGCAAATAGTCCCGGGCGCTATCCAGGGGGGGCATTTGACGGCAGCAAGGATCTCATCTCAGCTGGAACAGGGGAATTCCCTCTTGAAAGCTCCTCGTACGCGATCGAATGTTTGCTAGTGTGTGAAGATCAGGCCGCTACACATGCCGATTCCAATAGAAGCATCGACGGCCCCGAAGTCGAGGCTCGTCTAGTCTGCAAGGGGTGGAGCTGGCTGGTGTTGTTCATCCAGGAACGATGCCGTTTGACAAGCCGTATAAGTCTTGGATGGCCAGCCGAAGCGGTACAGAGATGTTCCCCCCTCTCAAGGCTTCGTATGAGTGACACTTCATTCATCGGGTCTCAGACGCTCTTTTAGAATTTGCTTTCTTTGAGCCGCAAACTGCCATGATGATGAACAAGATCGTTGTTGGCGCGCTTGGCCTCGTTGCCGGTGTGGCTGCGACGCCATTGGAGTTGGCAGAGAGAAGCTCGTGCAGAGACGATAGCCTGTATAGGTGCTTTGTGGATGCTCAGTACTCTGCGTCGGCGTCTGCGTACTGCTCTGCCCTCGATCCGACGATTCGAACCGTCACGGCAGCACCTCCCGCAGTGTGAGTACCCTCGATATGCCTTGGTTGGATACGGTGGACGCGAGAATCATGAATCACTGAACAAGTTGTGAAACAGAACGACGACAGTATGGACGACCATCACCGCCGACATGTCCACCGATTCCATCAATTCAAGGACCACGATTTACACTGTAACAGTCCCTTCTTCCACGGAGATTGCCACAGAGACAGACACGGAGACTGTGACCATTACCACGACTGTCTCAGCTGGTGCCCAGACCAAGCCTCCATCGCCGCCAGCGACTGTCACAATCACTTCTCAGCAGCCAGCAAAGCGTGATAACGGGGCACCGCAGCCGTCCTGCATGGTCAAGAAATGCTTCATCTACTCTCCGGAGCGAATCACCGCGGCCTGCAGCTGCATCAATGTGCCCCCTGAGACGATTACAATCACCCAGCCCGGCACCGCCACGACTGAGACAGTGGTATGTCTATCTTCACTGGAAGCTCTCCTCAAGTAGTAGTACGTTGATGCTGATACACGTTCGCAGACCTCGACCTCGACCGAAACCCCCATCATCACAGCAACAGCATGGGAAACTGTGAGCACGGAGCTTGTCGACGGCGTCACCACCACAACCACCACCGTCACGTCGACCTCCACCGCCACCAAGACGGCCACCGCCTCGCCCTCGGCATCCAACGTCGTCCCCAACGGCGACTTCTCGTCTGGCCTCACCGGATGGAGCATCATCAACACCGCCCCCACCGCCTGGGTGAACGCCGGCGTCAGCACCTCGGGCAGCCCCGACGGCATCTCCAACGCCTACCACATCACCAACGTCCAGAACAGCGGCCTCGCCTTCCTCGGCAGTCCCACATTTGGCGTCGACAGGAACTCCGTCTACAGGCTGTCGTTCCTCGTCGACAATTCCGCGACCGACTCGAGCTGGGTGGCCTACACCACGGCCGACGTCGCCTGCGGTTCCATGACTCTCGTGAGCGTCGGTGCCGCCACTGCTACGGAGGGGCCGAACGGGTACCGCGTCTTCGCGGCGGACTTTAACACGCCCACGGCTGCGGATTCATCAACTCTGGCTCAGTTGCGTTCGTGCCAGGTGCAGGTCGTCTTTCACTCTGCGCCTCAGCTGCCCAATACGTGGTTCTTGGCCGACGTCTCGGTGACTTATGTCGGGCCTCTGTCGTCTGCGCCATAAGCCATAGGTCTTGTTGGTAAAGATGGGAGGTGGATGCTTCAAGATACTTATCATCCAATGTACGCACATTCGTTTCACTCTACAAAACAAGTATATAGACATAGTACATGTAATAGAAGATGATGATACATGCCCTTTGCAGCCACTTCTTGTGCAACGTGCCTACATGTATCCAAGGATCAGCTCGTCTCTCATTTGCTGCATGTGATGGATGCTCCAAACAGCGCTATAAATGACATCAGCAAACCAAGCAAGTTTCAGCCCAAATCCTCCAACATACTTTGATGTAGACAATCCCACCAGACCAGCACATGCTACTGTCTGTGCCAAATCAGGTGGGAAAAAACCAGAAGAGCCAAAAGGAGCAATATGGCCTCTCATCAGCCATTCCAGCCATCGCTGAGCGACGTCTTGGTCGTGCGCGCCATGCTCGCTCAGGCAGTGATTCTGCCCGAGCTTGTGGGAACGATCCTCGACTATGCCGAGTATTGGGTTCGGTCCTGCTCCAAAGCCCATTTGGATGAACGAGTCTTCGCACTCCGCGTTGGTGATGGCGAGTCCGATTATGAAGGATCGAAATTTCTGGTAAAAATCATTTTACGATAATTCAAGCTCGTGCCACTGACGACATGAGATGCGTGCAGCTACGATCATTCCCCGTTGGGCTGACAGAGAATGCCATACACGGGGAAGAAGACGGCGATGGAAATCGAGACGACAGCCACAGTGGCAGTAGTGGCTTTGACGGGCATCCATACCAGAGACATGTTATCCCCCCTATTCCCCTTGGCAAGGCATGCGACCGCGAATACTTTCAGAATCTCATCAGAAACACCTCCACGCAGCCTCACCCCGTGCGGAAGATTGTCTTCCGCATCGTCAGCTGCGACCAAGGATGGACAACAGACGACCCGTCGCCAGGCCCCTTTATCGGTGCAAAGACATGGTTCGACGCAGGTATCGAGAGATTTGACGCCAGCCACAGCTGTAAGTACCACGTCTCCAGCGAATAGCTCACAACAGGCCCGAGGCCAAAGCCAGCTGAAACATCACCCCAAAACAGGCGACCAATGCACAGACATGACAAGACTCCCCCTCTGCAAGCTCCGGACAATCGAGCCCGAAATCGTAAAAGTAACGAGGGATGATGGAAGCTCGGGAGACCACTACAAAAGAACGCCCTGGCAAGGTCCTAGAGAAATCCAGCGCAATGCCAGGGCCGTTGGGTACCCGAGGACCTACGTCACGACCTGGACTTGCTGGGACGTCTATGCACCGGATTCAGATGAGGCGCGCAAGATGATGGAGGAGGAGGGAAAGGGGAAGATGAACGGCGACGGATCGTTTGTGAGGAGTCTTGAGCTTGGGGATGTGGTTACGGTGTGGGGGAGGGCGATGCATCGGATGTGGTCTAATTCGGTTGAATCTGTTGAGATTGAGGTCTACTGGGCGATGTAGTTTCGGTGAAGAACTCTGATAGACTCCGTGTACGTTGCCATGAGACAAATTCGTGAGAAACCGCGTGGACAAAGGCTAGCGAGAGTAACGACTGTCAAGTTTGCTGCTGGTACCTTGCCTATATACGGTGGCTGGGGAGTCTGGATGCTTCCTATGCCAAACCTGCTGCCTAGTCACGTCTTACATACATGCGTGTTTCCAGCCTCTCTGCGCCTCTCGCAGCAAAATCACACGGAAACGTGAGCACAACTGCTTCAGACGCCGCTTCCCTGCGTACCTGGCTATTCACCACGGCATAAGATAAGGGGTCTCTTGGAGAGTTTGACACTACATGGCCTCAAAAGCCAAGCACTCATATAGCCATGGCGTCTGGGCCTAGAGATGCTTCAATCACCGCTTCAGCTGGTTGAGGGCATAGCAGAGACACCGAGCAGGTAGTATTCGCTTGTAGCATTTCATGAAGCCACGGTTTCTATTGCATTACAGCCGTCTTTTGCTACCTTATACTATCGACCCAAGTTACCTATGTAGCATCACCCCAATCAGCTGCCCTCCCAAGATAGTATCCTAATGTTTCGAGTTAGCAAGAGCGGTGGTGATTTCCGCTGCGTGTGCCCGATCAAGTCAACGCCGAGACACAGTATCCGTGACTTTATCCGCGATTCGCGCCTCCCGATGCTTTCCTACAGCAGAGTCTAGGCTTCAGTCCCGCCAAGGGATGAGTTGTCAAATAGATCACCGTGATGCCAATATTCTGCGGTGATAGAATTGGTCGAAAATACGCGTATCGTGTTGACCCTGATAATGCTTCGCGGCTGTACAACAATCTGACTGGCTGGAGTCGACATGGCTGCCTGGCATGCAATGGTCCGACTCTGCGTTGTGGCCAGCTGAACTGCCGGCCTTTAAACGGAACTTGATGATCTTGATAGTGTGCCATGAAGGATATATAAACTCAATAGAATGCCGACTGAGCATTGGTTTCTATCATCAGCACCGATAGCTCCCAGCATCTAAAGCCAGAGTCTCATCATCGTCTCAGAGAGAAACTCATCACTTGATCCAGACGTCCACTTGCCACTCCCATCACACGTTTCCACCAACCCACAGGACAGACACCTTCATAACTACTCCAATTACTCTTTACTCAAAAAAGCCAGCCGTCGAATCCAGTTCAGAATGTCCACCCAAACCATGGCCCCCCCCTCCTCCGTCGTCACGAAGCTCTACCAGCAAGACTTCCTCCACTGGTCCGAGCACGACTCGCAGTCGAAGCAAGAAGACGCCCTCGAGAAGCAAATGGCCGAGGTGCCCATCGTCCAGCGCTTCATCCACTGCGACACCACCTGGATCACCGAGTCCTTCACCATCAACAGCCCCCACATGCGCAAGATCCTCCTCCAGGTCCTCGCAGACTACCAGGACCTCGACCTGGAGCTCGACAACTGGACGTTCCGCCCGCCGTACATCCCGCTCGTCCACCGGTGGCAGCGGCTCCAGGACTTTTGCAAGGACACGACCGATGCGGCGTTGGCCAAGGCCGGACAGGAGATGATTGACTTTCTGCTCCCCATCGTCGGGCCGTCGGTGAACTCGCTCGCGCAGACCCGTCTTACGGGCAAAGTCAAGTTTGATTCTCTTTGGCAGATCTTCCCTCCTGGAGAACTCGTCATGACCCAGATCTACGGCCAGGACACCATCTGCCGTGTGCTCAAGCATGAACTGATTGGAAAATCATACTCCTCCCGCGGCGTTTGGGTTATGACATGGAATATGTCGACTGGAACGGTGACCACTGCGGATACCTGACGATGAAGACCAAGATTTCCGGATACGAAGGCTACGCTCGTGCTCATCAGCTGCCGACTTGGCCTATCGCGTACGCTAGCGATCCAGATGCCATCAAGACAAAGATGGTCGCCCGCGGTCGCCAGTTTGAGGACTTGAGGACCTACCACTTTATGCAATACGAAGGCCGCAAGATTGTCACCAGAGGAAGAGGCAAAGAAGAAGAACCAGTGAGCCCTCCGTCTTCCCCCCAACATGGAACTGACATGAATCTCTTTTTTTTTTTTTTCTTTTCTTTTCTACAATCTAACAAGGGTTCCTCCTTTTCCAGGCCTCCGGCAGAGTCGTAGTCGACGCTTTCGCCTACTACGCAAGCTGCAGGGTCGTCAAGCCAGCCCTCCGCCCTCTCGAATCCGAGACCAAGTCCGACACTGAGAAAGACGACGCCGACTCCAACGACGAGGGAAGCGGGTACAAAGTCCGACGCCGCCGCGGCTCGGACTCAAGCAGCAGCAGCAGCAGCACTTCGTCCTCTGACGAACCTGCCGATGCAGACGATGAGCTCAAACTCACCGCCAAGAGCCGCGAGACAAGGCTCGAACGCAAGGAGCATCTCGCCCCCCTGACAGATGAGCAATGCATGATCACCACCCCCTGGGTCCGCGGCTTCGATCTCAAGGCCAAAGAGTGGGCGCTCTTCCTCGTGGAGGAAATGAAGGACATCGTCTGGAACGACGACGCCTTCTCCAACCTCGTCCTCCCCGGCGACGAAAAGGAGCTCGCGTGGTCCTTCATCGAGAACAAGAACTTTGCAAACTCCGACTTTGACGACTTCGTCGCCGACAAGGGCCGCGGCATCATCATCCTCATGTTCGGGCCCCCCGGCGTCGGAAAGACGTTCACCGCCGAGGCCGTCGCCGAAAATGGCCGCGTGCCCCTGTACGCAATGAGCGCCGGCGCCCTCGGCACGAAGCCGCTCGAGGTCGAAGAGGCCCTCGACCGCGCCCTCGAGCTGTGCCGTTTGTGGAACGCGATGCTCCTCCTCGACGAGGCGGATGTGTTCCTGAGCGCTCGCAAGGAGGACACCCTCGCCCGCAACGAGCTGGTGTCCATTTTCCTGACCAAGCTGGAGTACTACCAGGGAATTCTCTTCTTGACGACGAATCGCGCTGCGAGTCTCGACCATGCGTTCCAGTCCCGCGTCGATCTATTTCTACCGTACAACGACCTTACCACGGCGGCTCGACGAAAGGTCTGGCAGAATTTCATCGTGCGGGCTGGTGGCGAGACGAGCTTCGGGGTTGCGGAGGAGGACTACGATCGCCTTGCGGAGTTGAAGCTGAATGGGCGCGAGATCAAGAACTTGATTAAGAGCGCGAGACTACTGAATATGAAGAGTAGACAGCCGGTTACTACGGAGAGGTTGGCGCAGTTGGCGGAGATGAGGATCACGGCTATGGAGATGCTGAATAGAGGAGAGAAGGCTTGATTAAGATCTTTTGAGCTCTTGATCTTGAGAATGGGTGTGGTTTTACTACATGTTATGAGTAATGATCTAGAATCTACGATGCGAGATTGTTTATCACATAGTACAGGCACAAGTTGGAGTTCTTTTCAGATAACACACCAGTTTTGTTAACCAACCTCGTAAGAGGCGATGGCGATCTATCGATCTATAAACCCATTGTTCCCTAGTACCCTTAAGACGCAAGAAAGAAAAGAAGAAAAAGGCAGGACAAGGCTTGAAAGCCAGTCTACCGCCGCCAAGACACAGCCCTCTCAGAAAACAGTTCAGGCAGTGAAGGGAATGTTGTCCGTATAAACGGACTCCAAGTCGACATCCTCGTTGCCAGCGTCCCAGGTGCGAGCCAGGCCCGAGATGGCAGCCAGTCGAATCGCGTTCCACTGGATATCGATCGCGACCTTCATGCGGACAATCTCATCCATCGGCATAGAAAGGCCGAAGGTGTGACCGTTCTCAAGATGTCGGCCGGAGGTACGCAGGGCGTCCGCAGCGCTGGAACCCTCGGACGAAGGAGTGTCCTGCAGAAGTCGCAGGAGGTTCTCCTTCGTGGGCGTCACGACGGCCTGGGGGTCGACGTCGTTGCGCGGCATCAAGTTGAACTGGAGCCAGATGATGCCGTTGTCGTTGTCCGTGGGAGTAATGCGAACACACTTGAAGGCGAAAAAGCATCGCTTCCAAAGGGCGCCGAGGGCTGGGGTCATGCTAAGCATGTTCCAACACTCGTCGGAGCCGCCAGCCGTGAGGAGCATGGACTCAAAGCCTGCGCGGGCCCGCTCATCCATAAAGTCGCTCAAGATGAACCAGAAGGACCAGGAGGACTCAGCATTGTGCTGGGTGGCGGTGGTGGCAAAGGGGAGGATGCGGCAGGCCTCGGGGTTGGCAGCTCCCGTGAGGATGCAGACATTGCCATCGCGGGCGAGAGCCTATAAGAGAGGGTTAGCTGACTACATTTGTGAAGAGTACTAGGTAGTCTGTCAGAGGAGGTTGGCTTACCATTGCCTGCTCGGCGGGATTCTGAGCAAGGCGGGAGGCATCGGCAAGGTCAACAAAGCGAAAGAGGTCTCGAGGCAGCTAACCTCTCACCACTATAACAGACTCAGGTTAGCAAGATAATCAAACCTCAAAGCCCATGGGAGGATACTTACTGAACGAAATGTAACCAGCAGCCTCCACAGTCATGTCCTTGTAGTAGCCACCCTGCTCCCAATCACAGGTACCGATCTCATACACCCTGTGAGTGGGCATCATGCAAAAGTACACAAACTGCATGACGGTGAGATCCTCCACCTCGAATTCGTCCGTCAAGTTGCGCAGGATATCTCCAATGAAGCGGATCTTGTCATCCAGGAAGTCCTGGGGAACAAGGTCGCTGGGGGGCCAGTAGGCCGGATCATCCTCGAGGAAATTCATCAACTGGAGGACAGTGTGGTTAGTGGTGGAGGGACGATGGAGGAAGCTTCGAAGTGCTTCTTCTAGCTGAGTGCCGATGTTCAATCCGAGGAAAGGGCTGTCCTGGGAAGCAATCTCTCGAGTGTCCTCGGCGACAACCTCGACATAGTCGTCTTGGATGCCCTGGGGACGAGGTTCGGGAGTAGTCTCCATCGTGAAGATGAGGCCTTCAACAGTAGACTCCTCCATAGGATCAGGACCGAGGGTAGGGGAAGAGGGTATCGGGATCACTTCGATCTCAACAGGGCGTTGGCCCACAAGGACAGGAAGGATAGGGTTAAGCTGGGGAGGGGGTTCAGGGTGCATCGTGAAGTGCCGTCGATGCGACTCAGGGGCAAGGCAACGAAGAAGGACAGATACGAACCGCGTTGGGAAAGCGAAACAACTTCAGGACTGGACAAATCAGAAAGAAAGTGAGGTAAGAGAAAATCGAAAAGGAAGTGGAAGCGAAAGGAATAGAAAGTGTTTGCAAGCCCACCATTAAATACTCGTGGGTGGTCGAGGCTGGAGTAATAAAGTTCCGGTTCGTCTGAAAGTCGCCGAGGAGGTTTACCGATATACACAGGATCGAATTCACGAAAATAGGGGACAAAGCTCATATACATAATGGAACAATAGTATTTATCAATGATCAAGCCCTCAGATGATTCACGGATGAGTGATTCAGTTATACAATGTCTCTTATGCCTGCAGTTGAAGAAGAATTTGGGAAAATCAAACACCAGTGATAGAAAGCATAGGGCAAGCATGCCCTCCTGACGATGATTCAGAGCTCCAACCCTCAGCCTTGCCATGCCAGCCTCGCCCATTCAAGCCTAATCAGCTCTCACAAGCATTCCCCAGGGTTAAACCCCCATCACACGCCCCTCACGGGCAAGGACTCGACCCTCGTCAGCCTGAGATCCTTGGTCAACGAATTCGTACACGTCCCCGTGTTCATAAACTCCCCAGCATTCCTCAACGTGCACTCCGCAATCTCCTTGAGCGCCTCCTCCGTGAAAAACGCCTGGTGCCCCGTCACAATCGCATTGTGAAACGTCATCAGCCTCATCAGCACGTCGTCGTGGATAATCTCCCCCGAGTGATCGTCGTAGAAAAGCGATCCCTCGCCCTCGTAAACGTCCAATGCCACACCACCCAGATGCTGCGTCTTGAGGGCCCTAATCACGGCCTTTGTGTCGACGAGTCCACCCCGAGAAGTGTTAATGAGAAGCGCCCCAGGCTTCATCTTGGCAAGTGCCTCCTCGTTGATAATCTGCCGCGTGCTGTCCATGAGCGGACAATGAAGACTGATCACATCACTCTCCGCAAGGACCTCATCCAGGCCCTTGTACTCCCCAATGCCCTCAAACGCCTTCGAGACAAACGGATCAAACGCCACGACCTTGCACCCGAACCCCTTCATGATCCGCGCCGTCGCAATCCCAATCTTGCCCGTCCCGATGATCCCCACCGTCTTCCCGAACAGCGTCCGCCCCATCAGGCCGTTGAGCGCAAAGTTGCCCTCCCGCGCGCGGTTGTACGCCCTGTGCGTGTTCCGGTTCAGCGTCTGGATCAGCGCGACGGCGAACTCGGCCACGGCCTCGGGCGAGTACGACGGCACGTTGGCGACCATGATGCCCGCCTTCTCGGCCGCCACCAGGTCCACGTGGTTGAAGCCTGCGCAGCGGAGGAGGATCGCCTTGACGCCTTCGCGGGCGAGGGCCTGCACTACGGGGGCCTTGAGGGAGTCATTGACGAAGACGCAGATGGCGTCGGCGCCTTGGGCGAGGATTACGGTGTCTTCTTCGAGGGGGAACTCGTGGTACACGACTTCGATGTTGAGGGGGGAGGCGGTACGAGCTGCTTCGATGTAGCGCTTGTCGTAAGGCTTGGTGCTAAACACGGCGAGCTTCATGTTGTCCGAGGCACTTTTGAATCATTCAGATGTTGAGTGAAGGGTGACTTGGTTTCGATATCAGCTCGACGGGAAGAGGTGAAGAACAAGATATATAAAAGAGGAGAGAAGAGGAGTCACTGCGAGACATTGCATGTTGGTCCTACCCGAACGGCTTGGCACAGTTGGGCATTCATTCATTAAGGTTTCTGTGGCTGATGATTCGCTCGATGCGACGCATGTACTCTAGCTCTATGCAAAGGACCATTGAAACGTCTTGTAGACTGTACTTAGAGGGTTTGATTCTCTACTACTGCAGTGCTCGTGTTTGCGCTAAATTGTCCATGTCGTCTAGTCGAAAGCTATGGCGATGGAGCTGAGACTATTTCAACCAACAGCCCCTAGGTAAGTCCAGTCAGATCGACAACACCTTAGGGCTGAGGTAGAAAACAAACCCCTGATTCTCGACAATATCCCGCACTTTCGAAAAGGGAGAGAAGGTTGAGCATACAATATCATCCCTCTCTGGTTCATCACTCCGCGAAATAGTTTCCTCTCCGTCAGTATGCACGAGTATATCCATGTTCCGTAGTCTCGTACCTCGGAAATCACAGCATCACATGTCAAAGGGCTCCATTTGCAACGCACTTCATTCTCATCACTCGCATTACACCTCCTCTCCTATGTGGCACCGTGCACTTGTCAGCCTCGCCCCGTCACCGAGACTGCTTTCCTCCATGATCATTTCCCAACACAAAATCATACACATGACATGGCAAGCAAAGAGCGGTCATCAGAACCCATAACCCCTTGGGTGCTGTGGACGCGGCCTTCGTAGCTTCAGAAAGCCAAACTAGTAGTAATAATAAGAATGCGTTTGATTTCGACTGTACAAGATTCAACACGAAATGCCATTCTGCTTTTTAACAGCTGGGAGTTCCCATTACAAGCAGGTTTCAATGGTATGTGCCTCAAGACCCCTATGGCCGACCAAAAGCAGCACCTCGGCCAGCGGCACCTGGAGGCATACCACGGGCTTCAAAAGGAGATCCGCCAAAAGCTTCAGGCGGACCGGGAGGGCCGTTGAATCCACCGAGTCCAGGGGGCATGAAGCCGTGGGGTGGTCCATTGAAGAAGCCAGGAGGCGGCGGAGGCATGTTGCGAGGAGGCATGCCAGCCATGGCATCTGGAGGCGGCATGCCACCAGGAGGGAAGTTGGGCGGGAACATGTGCGGCATGGGGACGTTGCGGTTCAGGCCACCGGGCAATCCAGGTGGAGGCATCATGGGGCCGCGCTGTTGCGGTGGCGGCATCTGGCCTCCGCTTGTCATCCAGCTAGGTGGCATCTGATCCAGCCCGGGAGGAGGAGGAGGTCGTTGCAAGATCTGAGTGGGTTGGCCGAGGCGGGAATCGCGGTCGGCGTTGTGGAATGACTCGTCCATGGGGAAACCAGGAGGCGGCTGGGGACGCATCTGGCGCTGCTGCACTCCCCGCGCCTCTCTCGGCGAAAAGTCCGACTCTTGCAGTGGGACTTGCTTTTGCATCTGGGGTTGCGGCTGAGGCTGCTGCTGGGGTTGGGGCATGCTCAGGGGAGCACTGGGCGCCATTCTCATGAGATTCATCAAGAACTCGGTATTGTTATTATTCCGAGCCTGGTCAGGAATCCCCGAACTCTGGCTGGAGATGCGCTGGTGGTGCCCCACGAGGTCTTGAAGGAGCTGGTCTGGTCGAGCAGTCTGCTGCTGCGGGCGAGGGGCCAGAATTTCTTGAACATGCTGCGGTGGCGGTGGACGACCAATGCCGCCGTTGATTCTCTCTCCACCGTACTGTTGAAACGGCTCTGGAGATGTCAAATTGCTCTTCTTCGCCATCTCAAGAAGGCTGCTCTGAGAAAGAGGGTTGCCCTGAGAAAGCGGGTTACCCTGAGAAAGCGGGATGCCTTGGGAAAGTGGGTTCCCCTGAGATGGGGGAGAAAAGGGCGAGGAAGCCGGGGGAGTGGCAGTCAGCTTTTGCTTCTGAAGTTTGAGTAGCAGCTGCTGGAAGGCCTGCTTCTCTTCTTCAGGGGGAGATGCAAGCGACGAGAGCGGGCCCAGTCCAGGGGGGAACTGCGTGGTGGCAGGCGGTACGCTCGTCGACTGTTCTGCTCTGTTCCGTTGTTCTTCCTGGGGTTGATGGAAGAAAGAGGTGAACCTCGACGACTTGCCCACAGTCTTGGGCCTGACAGCTGCTGCGTCGCTTATTTCGCTGGGAGGAGAATTGGGTTCCAAGGGGCTCTGTAAACCAAAGGCCATAAAGAACTTGTCAGGACGTGACTCAATGGTAGAAGGCTGAGGAGGAGGTTGAGGCTTCTCGGCCTCAGCAGGTTCGGGGGCCGGAGCTGCTGCGGGTGCTGAAGAGTCACCGCCTCCTTTGCCCTTCTTCATCTGCTCCATCCACTTCTGGAAATCTTGCTGTGTATGTGCTTCGCGGAGCACCTCCGCGGGCTCGTCGAACCACTCGGGCTCACGCTCAACGCGCTGCTCGCGATCGCGGGCCCAGCGCCTGTCGGGTGCCCTTCCGTTGGCACGATCATCGGCAGCTTCTGCAGTGTCCCGATCTCTCCAGCTCCTTGTCCGATCTCGCTCTTTTCGCTCGGGCACGGGCAAATCCGTCGCAGTCGACTCTGACTTGTGCCAAGAGTCCACTTTGCTCCTTCCAGCAGCAGTGCGTGTCCGGGCGTCATTTTCGGTATCCTTGCTATCCCGAGCGAAGGGATCGAAAGCTCTTGTCGGGCGTTCGCGAGTGACATCGCGATCGGTTTCCCGCAGTGGCTTCTTCTCATCTCGGAAATTACCACCCATGCGGCCGTGGAAGCGCTCGGCGCCCTCAGCACCAAAGCTTTTGCGGGGTTTGACAGTACTCCAACCTTCGCTGTCTTGATCGTTTTCTCCGCGGCGGCGAGCAGCGTTGGGTGCGCGCAGACGGTCTCCGTCCGCTTCGCTATTTCGGTTGCGCAAGGCGAAACGACCCGTCGTGTCGGCTTCTTTGGCCGGTTTTTCGCCATCCAGCGTCTTGCTCCCTCGGCCAGATGAAGCGAATGCCATCCGAGGAGGGGCAAAGACGATGTCTTCGGGGTCTTGAAGGGTCACATTGTCAGCACCAGAGAACGATGCGCACCATGTCATCTCGAGATTGAACTAACTTGTACTCGTCCGCGAGGTATGGTTGATACCAGGACGGCGACTGGTCTGATCAAGGAGTGGATTGTCCAGAGACCGAGGTCGATCGTTGGCCGTCTTGTTCTGCGCTCGAGCCTGGTCCGGGGGCGGCCTGTAACACATGTGCGTCAGTTTGAAGAATCCCGCCAAAGCAGCCATCTTGGACGCCTGTCCGTGTGCTCACCCCATCCATTCCTCGGCCGGCGGCAGTTTCTCGGGTTTGACGCATAGCGGCGACTCCCTCAAGAAGAGCAGATGCTCTGCGGTATATCGAATGGCCATATCAGGGCGACAAATGCGCGACGCTCATCCGGCGAATTTTCCGACTAGTTTGCTGGAGGAAGTGGTCGAACTCGTCGAATAGCTGGCTGACAGCCGCAAGGGGTGGAGGGATTGGAGCCTAAGCGTCGACGAGGGTTATTCGAGAAGTAGTCCGGTTTTGTGGTGGGGTGATTCGTGTGTGCGTCAATCGAGGAGCTCTGCAGGACCGCAGGATATCAATGCCGTACACAGGCAAATGCTTGGTAGTCGGCAGGGGTTCTGCGACTGGAGGTTTAGGCAGAGGCCATAAAAGGACGCGTTGCAGTTTCGAGGAGGGAGGCCGAGTACGGAGCTGAGCAGCTGGTGCTAAGCAGGACGGGAAATGACAAAGAGGAGATTGGTGGAGGAGGGAGTCAACTGGAGCTGTTGCGAAATGAGGAACACGTAAAGACGAATTCGTCGTACAATAAGACTGCAGAAGGCGGTTCGAGAGGGAGGAAGAAGAGAGAAAGGGGGGGTGCAATTATGAGGTGCAGCTTGAGCTGTGCGCCTGTGCGCGGGGGAAGAGTCGGGCGGTCGAGCGGGAAAAAGACGATGTTGGTTCAGGGGGGCTTTGTCAGGATTTGCGCGGTCGATTTCGTGCGAGTTGTATACGGATGCTGGGATCGATTCGAGGCGTGGCTGGCAGAGACGGAGGAGTTGAAAGGCGGTCGGTTGGGAGAGGAGGTGGAAATTTGGCGATGGTGATGGGAGCAGATTGCGTTTTGGGTGGGGACTCGGGCTACCTTGCCTTGGTTCGGCGGGAGAAGAGAGAGGAAGCGCAGAGACGATTTGCTAGCGGCGGCCACAGCGCTGGAGGCACGGACAGCTGGTGCACAGGCGCTGTAGAGAGCGGCTAGCGGTGCCGTTTCAGTGGACGGGGGGGCCGAGGCTTCAGTGGAGGGGCGGCAAGCGAGGCGTCGTCAGGCTGCAAGAGGCCTGATGTGAAGTCGAGGCGTTGATGTGGATTGTTGCTGTCTCGTGATGATGGCTTCATCAATATGAAGAGGCCAATTGTTCTACCTCATGCTCTCCAAGCGAAACATACAGGCACCAAGAGACGCCAACGTATCGCTTCACGTGTGCAAACTGCCGTCTTGAGTTCGAAGAGCAAACAACCTGTCGATGGCGCCAATCACGTTGATCGACGACTATCCCAGATCAACTTCAAGAGGCGCTGAACTCGACAAGATTGATAAAAACATATACTTGAACAGTACAGGTGGACTCGGGATAGTTGATGAGGACCCTACACTTGGACTGATTGGGCTATTGTGCCACTTGTTTGGAGCCTTTGACTGGATGCTGGAGTTGCGGCCATTGCTGATCTTTTCATTGTTTGTTGAAAGAGTCTCTGGAGGGTGGACTTCTATTCAAGTCAATTCATTAATACCTTTGGTGTACGGGGTAAAGTAAGCTGCAATCACGCTCCGAGGAAACGTAACAACTTCTTCAACGGTGCGGAGCAGACTGTCAGCTAGCCAAAAGACGATGCTTTTCTCTTCCTCACGCCGCCTGATTAAATCGCATCTTAAATAACGCTGGTAAAACAAATGATTCCCGTCCATTCTAGTTCATCTCCCCCAAGACAATCAAGCACCATCATAGGGTAAGGTAAGTCACCTCAGTCCATGCCATCACCCAATCCCCCTCCAATCACACCAACCCTCATCCAACCCTCCACACCAGATCAATTTACACCCTCGCCACCACAGCGCGCACCTCCTCCTCCAACGGCAGAATATGCGGCACCGGCCCAACAGGCGTGATGCTGAACGGGTTGATCTGCGTATGGCTCCTCGTGTAATGCCACTTGATGTGCTCAAACTGCGTCGTCTGCCCAAACGCCGCGTTGCCCCAGTACAGGTTGCGCATCCACCGGTGCAGCCGCGGGTACCCGCTGCGAATGTCGCGGATGTTGCACTTGAAGTGCTGCACGTACACGGGGTCGAAGCGCACCAGCGTCACGTACAGCCGGATGTCGGCCTCGGTGAGGGCGCTGCCGAAGTAGTAGGGCCCCTGGTCCGCGACGGAGGCGAGGTGCTGCTCTGCGCGGTCGAGGGCTTCGAAGAGCGCGATGACGGCCTTTTCGTAGGCTTCGGACGTGGTGGCGAAGCCGGCCTTGTAGACGCCGTTGTTGATGAGGTTGTACGTCCACTCGTTCGTCTCGTCAATCTGGCTGCGGAGGTTCTCTGGGTAGAGGACCACGGAGCGGTACTTTTCCTCGATGAGGTCGTCAAACTAGATAATCCACCATTAGCCACTCATCCTCATGAAAACTCCCCGTTGTCGATAGATAGACTCACCTCTGTCCCCAGCATGCGGACAATCTCGCTGCTCTCATTGTTGACAATCTGCCGCGTCTTCTTATCATACAGCACCGGCACCGTAAATCGGCCCGCATACTCCTTGTCCGACTCAAAGTATACGTCCCGGATATGCGTGAAGCCCTCGTGCAGAGGATCCGGAATCACATTCTCGCCCGGAGCGTCCTGGTCCTCCGCGGTCGCGAACCGCCACCCCTTCTGCCCCAGGTGCCAGTGCACCACCGAGAAGGAGATGATGTCCTCCAGGCCCTTGAGCTTCCTGGTGATGAGCGTGCGGTGCGCCCAGGGGCAGGCGTAGCTGACGTAGAGGTGGTAGCGGCCTGCCTCCGGGGGGAACTGGGCGCCGGCTTCGCGGGAGATCCAGTTGCGGAATGAGCTGACTTGACGCTTGAACTCGCCGGTCTTGTCGCCGGGCTTGACCCAGTCGGTGATTTTGGTCTCTTCGCTGGAAGGCTGCAGTTCGGGTCTGTCAGGACCAGTCCAAATACTTCAATAGTAGAGAGGACTGAAGTGCTTATGTACTGACCATCGTGATATGTCTCAGCTGTGATGATACTGATCTTGCAGTCTTGCTTATTGTTCGGCTTCTTGCACCAATAGTAGACAACGTCGAATATGTCAAACCCTTCGCAAAGTAATTATTCTTGATCAAAAACCTCAGAGGTCGTATTCTCAACTGTCGTTGTATCAAACTCATCTCAATAACTTTCTCGTTCAACCAGAGCACACCCAACCTCTATATATACTTGTCACTCTCTTTCAAATCCTCAACGTCAACACCGCCAAGGGCCACCCCTCTCAAGCCCACAACGCAATAGACAAAAATCCTTCCACGCTTTCTCAGCTGCTTAGCGTAATTAGTCCACAGATCTCTACAGTATAGTCTATCTGTGACTACGTTCTGACTTAAGCATTGCTAAAAGAACTCGGGCAACGGGACGCTGCACCTTAATAATCCGCATCCACTCGATAGAGAACATTCCAAATCGCCTGTCCTGGCGGAATAATGGCGCGCTTCCTAATTGTGACGTAACAGCGGGCATTAGCGCCTCTCGTCTTTGATCACTCAGCCATTCTGCGTATTTAGTCATCATCACGGCAGTTGTACCCAGATGCGCTCCGTGACATTTATCGCGGTATCATTCAAGGGTGAATCAACATCGCTTGATACCAGGGTCTCTATAGTTATCCATTTCTTCATCATTAGGTAGATAATTGATGCAAGCCAGTGACAAGGCTAATCCATCCATTGCCCGTCATGTGCCCCCCTTTCTGTTCATGGTCGAAGCATCATCACAGTGGAATCATGCGCAGTTCAGCCAAAATAGAGAAGAGGAAAGATGCAAGGCACGAAAACCATATATATGCCATTCTTGTGTGGTCCAAATATCTACTTATGTAGTTGACGATTATTGAGTCGCGAGTCTATGTAACACTGATCAAACTATTCAAGCTTCACCTTGATATACGGAACCTCCACGTCGTTCTCCTCCATATCCTCTGCCACAATCTCAAAGATCAGCTCCTTCTGGTGAGGAGGAATTGGCTTCTTTGAAATCAGCTCCACCAGTTCGCTGAGCTTGAGCGGGTAGCGCTCCTTGAGCTTTGAGGGCGGGTAGAAGCTTGCATACAGCAGGCTGACGCCCGAGCTGAGCATGCTCACGCTGAGTCCCTTCTTCTCAAAGTAGTCAATAAGCTCTTTGAGCGTGATGTTGTCCACCTCGAACCGGTCCCAGATCTTGTCAAGCGTCACCTTGCCATCAGGGCCCGTGTACTCCACCTTGGGACTGGCAATGGGCTCACTAAAGCCGAAAAAGGGCAGAGCCAAGTTGATGAAACCGTTCTTGTACTGCTCGATATCATCCTTGCCGTCAATGATCTTGTACAGCTCGAAGATGACCAGGCCGGTGACAAGGGCCGTCGTCGTGGCAATGGCCGGGATGATCTTGCCTGCAATGAACTTGGTCTTGTGTCGATCGGCAGGCTCAATCTTGTAGTTCTCGGCTCTTAGGTTGCTGCAGGCAGTGATGAAGTCGATGTGGTAGTTGGTGTCGTCGTCCTTCTCGAACTCGACAGGCTGCAGCTGGAAGCCTGCAAGACTGCTAGGCGGTGGAAGGCTGGCGCTGAGCTCTGTGAGCTCGTTCGTGTCATCAAAGCTGCTGGCATTGGGATCCTGAGACACGAAGTTAGTACTGTGATGCACATTATTCTCAGTTAGAAGCCTGGACTTACAGGTTCCTTGTCATCCGCTTGGATCTTGACGTTTGAGTCGGGAGTAAAGTCAGGCACAATAACATTCTCCAGCTCCTTCAAGTAAATGGACTTGTCATTGCCGGGCGACTTGATGTTGAAGTTGTACGCATGAAGGTTTGCGGCGGCAATGATGAACCCCAAGTGCGTTTCGTTGTTGGGATCAAACTTGAGCGCATCGGGGGCTCTCTTCGGGCCGGACCAGAAGGGAGTGCCACCCGAGGTCACGGAGTCCTTGGGGAAGTTGTACAAAAGCTGCTGGACCTTGTTTGAAAACTCCGTCTCAAACAGTTGGCGAGCCCAGGCAATGCAGTCCTCAAAGGTCCGGGGTCGCTCGGTGGTCAGGTAGTTGCGGATCGTCTCCAGTGTCTCCTTCTGGTTGCCGCCTTGCTTCAAGGTAGCCTCGATGAAGTTGGGCTGAGTCAGGTATAGGTTGACAGTCTGGGGAGCTTTGACGAAGCACTTCTCAAACATGTACTCCTTGGCCCAGGCAATGGTATGCTCAATCTTGTTGGGGAAGCTTCGGATCGTGCACATGGGGAATTCCTTTTCAGGGGGGTCATGCGAGGAGGAGTAGGACTCTGTCAGGCGGGGCAGGACAACCTGCGTGTTGCCCTTGGTGCCCAGGGTTCCACTCTCAAGCAACGGCTTATGGTAGAATACGCACTTCCTATCAACGTAGGTTCGTGCCTCGACATTGTCGAGAGCGTTGGTGACTCCATCCAAGCTCTTCCAGAAGGCGTCATCAAAGACGTGCTCGGTCTCGGGGCTAACGCGCTCTCGCAGCGTCTCGATGTGGCCTTCCAGCTCTGGGTTCATTCGCTGCACGGCCTTGGCAGCGCAGTCGCTCTTCATGCTGCCCACATCGGCGGCTCGAAAGAGGAACTGTCGGTTGAGGTTGCTCTTCTCGATGGAGTCCATGTCGGTGACATAAATCTTGCCGTTGGGCCCAGTTCCCAGGCCAATCATGGCCCAGTTTTTGAGCATCTCACAGCCGATGGCACCCGCACCAACGAGGAATTGCTTCATATTGGCAATCTTCTCCTGGAATTCGGTGCCAAAGACGGCGATCTGGCCATCATAGCGGCTGCCGATGGGCTTGCACAGCTCGGGGCTTCGCTTGGTCGAGGTGGGCAGTGACTCCAGCGAGTCAAAGTACATCCATTGCTGAATGGGGTTGAACTTGCCAGACACGGCCTTGAGGACCTCCTGGGCGGCGATACCACCGAAGAAAGCTGCCATGGGGCTAAGGTCACCACGTGCCTGGAAGCTGAGCTCTTTCAGGAGCTTCTCGTCGATATCAATCTCGAGTTTCTCGTCCGCAGCAAATTTCTTGGCGGCCTCCAGGACAACGACGGCATCCTTCTCGTCCATGGGATTCGGCAGTCGTCCTTCGGCGACCTGGAAGGCATGAAGGGCCTGGAATCCCAAATGCAGCTGCTGCGGTCGGTCGAACTTGGCGTAGTCAGAGATGAGGAATTCTGGCTCTTTGAGAGCGGCTGTGAAGCTCTTGAAGTCGACAACCTTGGGCATCTTGACCTGCTGGTAGACGCCTCCGCGCTGGTACTGTCCGAGACCCGACACATCGCCAATAGAGAAGGTGTATGGACCCTTGACCGTGATCTTACGCGGCTCGCAGCCATTCAGCGCCTCCATGCCCTCGATTTCGGAGAATGTGACGTAGTCGCCATCTTCCAAGCCGTGTCGGGTATCGTCGAGTGCCGAGACCAAACCCTCTTCGTCGATGCCGGCAATGATGCCGCTCACGGGAGCTTCGCCGGTCTGGTCAATGATTGTAAACTTTTCGCCGAAATCGCAAAAGATGGAGCCAAACAGGCCAAACGTGTCGACTACGACAACGAAGATGCCCTTGGAGTGGCAGTAGTCGCCCACAGCCTTTTGTGTCGAGATCGGGGCATTTGTAAGCACCACCACCTGGTACTTGTCAAACTGCGAAAAGTTGTCCTCGATGCTGCTTGCAAGTTAGCCTAGACTCTTTATAAAATCGAGCATTATACATCTCGTCCGGCCGTACCTAGGAGACTGGTGGACTTTAACGGGCGTGTAGGCGTTGAGCTCTGCGACACGCGGGGCCGTAACCTCGTCTCGGGGCTTGCCAACGTCCTCGGGCGTCAGGAAGAACTGAGCCGAAAGATCGGCAATCTGGACCGGGGCAGGGTCGTAGAGCGTCAGGCTCTTGACACCGGCCAGCGCAATGTTCTTGGCAATCTCGACACCGAGACCCTTGAGACCAACAACGAGGATGTTGGAGGCGCCCATGCGGCGCATGGCCTCGTGGCCTAAAACATAGAGCTGTCGGCTGTATAGAGACTCGTCGATCTCTGTGGTTCCGACGACGGAATCATCGACTTGCATTCTGGTCGCAAGATCAACCTCGGGAAGCTTGGCGGCCTGATGAGTTGAAGAGCGTCATGGTCAGTCTCGGGGATCTCCCATGTTTCTCACGGCGGGGTAATGGGAGGGAATCCTGTAGACTTACGGCCATGGTCCGCTTGAGGTTCTGCTGTGACTCTCCCTCAGAGAGCCTTCGCTTCGCCAGCGCTCCTGAGCTGGACTGAGACGAAATCTTGGATATGGTGATCCAGCACCTAGGTCGAGCGTGACCTCACCCAGATGCTGCTGAACAAGAGGAAGAAGAAGGCTGGAGTGGTGAGCGTTTCTTCGAGTTGGCCGTGCCAGAGAGCGTCGTTTTCAAGCAGTTTCTCGCCGGCAAAGGACAAGAAAAGGCTGGTGGGAGAGAGGATTAGAAGCTGGTTTGTAATGACCAACAGGTTGCGAGATCCAGAGGTTGTTTGCTGCGACTCGCCAGGCTCCAGTTCTTCTGATGAGGTAATGTGGCTCCTGTAATCGTGCGTTTTGCTGCTGACACGGGCCAGAGTGTACAGTGTACAAAGTACTTCCTCCAAAGTACCTACCGAGAAGAGAGGCAAAGGAAGGAGCTGAGGCAAAGCAAGTGGCGGGGCAACGAGGGCGGGGCAGCGCCGTTCTGATTGGCCAGGCTGCCATTGCTGCCCAGCTCTTAGAAATCCGGCAAGAACAGGCACATCGTTGGAACAGGAGTTGTTGGTTGGGACCTTGTTGGAAGCTCGGGCGTCTACCGCGTTTATTCAGACTTCATGCGAGCAATTACGCGACGATTTAGATAGTAATTGGCAGTTTATCATGAAGCTGAGCTCTACTGGCGCATCTGGGGTTATACCGACAGGTCCGGGAGCTTGGGATTCATTGTGGAGGGGTAGCACTCCAGCTTCGTATAGCTTGCGAGGGGGCAGCAACGCGCACGCAGGCAATTCTCCGAGGCAAGAAAACCAAAGGGATTTGGGCATTGAAGAAGCTTCGATGCATGCTGGGCGTCACTTATGCTTCAGTCTTGGCTATCAAGCTTCAAGGCGTCAACAGCATCTGCAAATGCATCTCTAGCTACCAGAGACTGTGTATGCCTTACAGGTAGGTAGTCACAGGCGAGCCATGACGAGTATATCGTGCTTCGGGAGCGCGCGATAATATGAATCTTGTATTTTGGGAGATATCCAATCTTCACTTATAGTATCCAAAAGAGTGTATTCCAAAATCGCTATCGGCTCGTATCCGGATCGCAAATCTATCGGATCTCCTTCAGGTGGACGTCGCTGCCAACAGTATGTTAGACACGCCTCTTGCGCTCGTCCGTTGAATCGGCTGCGATTACTTACAAGATAAGGTCCGACCGAGCAGGAATGATGGGAGGATAGCCCCTATTGAGATGTCAGTCAACTGTTCAGTACATTTCCTGGTTGGGCGTATGTCATCTTCTTCCGAGCCAAGCGAGCTCTCCTTAAGGATACGGAAGTGGGCTGTTTGCTTACCTCTCGCCATAAGCTTCGTGGCTGTTAAAACCTCCATTAGCAGCACGTTAGGAGAGACGGATCTGATGGATTTACATACAAAGGGATATCAAGCCTCGCTTTCTCGCCGACTTTCATTTGAGGGACACCTGCATCCCACCCTGCGCGCCGTCGTCAATATAACCTCGTAGACAATCGGCAGAGCGGATCGTACCTTGGATGACTCTGCCAACGCCAATCTTGGTCACAAAGTCCTCATGTCTGTCGTACGAGGAGTCGAATCTAAACCATATTGAGCAACAGGCAAATCGTAGTATTCGGCTAGAAAACTCACTTCGTTCCCTTGTTATCCGGCTTGGAGGGGTCTTTCAGCCAACCTGTATAAGCCATAACAACAGTGTCGCCTTCCTGAGGGTTGGGACCAGAGCCTTCCTCAAGGGTAGTCTTGACAGTATCGCTCGGGCGGGCCATTGTAATTTTTCTTGAATTCTTTGCAAGAATAAGGACTCAATTCAGGCGAAAACAAAGAAGGGGGCGTATACTGGAGCTTTTAAATCCACACGCATATCGGCCCCATCCAGCCAGGAGGTAGACTATGTCGGTGGGGTTTCCAAACGGTCTTTCTTCCGAGCTGATCCATGATGACGACTTTGGCGTAAAGTCGAGTGAGGGGGTAATGCCACGTTGCTAGTATCCCTAATAAAGTGTCTTACGGAATGCTCCTCAAGGATTCGCTGCGTGCAAGTAGCCCCGCCGGAATTCTGCGATTCCTTGGCTGAAATTCTCCATCAGCCGTAGGTTTGTCTGCATGTAGACTAAAGCTTCAACTAATATGCGCTTGGCCAAGGGCCGCCTCTGGCATCCATAGGTGTACGGTCGACAGCAGGCATTTTGGACGGATCGACCCCTATCAAGAGCAGGCGCCCATGGCGAGTACCAAGAGCGACTCGAGATGTTGCGCTATCGATATCTGATGCGGAGATTCGATATGTGGGTGGTAGCCAAAGCATTCTGCACGAGTCCCATGTAACCCACTCTCCATCATTGCTGAGACCAAGACCAGGAATAGTTGCCGTCGTTTGAGTGCTGAGCGGCAGCTTTACTCCAATATCAGTGGGAGTTGAGCTACATGTAGGCGGATCGAACGTAAGCGTGCCCACATTGGTTATCAAGCTCGAACAGGTAGAGTCGAATGCCATATGATTCGCAAGCCCACAAACCCCAAGGAGTTCCTGAACACAGTTTCCGGTTGCCACAGTCAAGAATCGAATCTTGATTTTACTTGACTCGTAGAGAAGGACGAGATATTTCTCGTCGGGAGAGAATAAAAGCTGGCTGATCGTGCTTCTGCTATTGGGTGGGATTTTGTAGGTTGCTATGCAGGTTAGGGTATTCATTTCCCAAATTTTGACCATCGATTTCGAGTAAGAAGCCACCCAAGAGCCATTTGCCGACGTTGCAATAAGCCGTACGGGTTCCGGGTGTGGTTCGCTCATCTCAGAGCAACTATTCGTTGAGTGATGGAACACCCGCACAACTCCATCGTCGCAAGCAAGAATGAGCCCGGTGCCATCTGGTAGATATATCGATTGAGAAATAGCGTAGGTTTCGCTGCAGAATGAGCCTAGAAGCTCCAATGTCGCTGTATCCCAGTGCCTGAGAGTACCTTCCCTGGTCGTTGACGTCAATGTAGTACTGTCTGGCGAAAATGCGATAGATGCTACAGCATCACTATCGCCTTGCGATAATGACTGGCAGTCCCCAGTTGCGATGCTCCAAAGCTTGAGAATAGCAGTCTCCCGGTCAAAGGCTGAAGAGAGTAGAAACGAACCATCTGGCGAGATCTTGACTGACTTTGGCCAGCCAAACAGACCATCTGCATGGTGAATAACATGGTCATATGGTGCCGTGGGAATAGCTTGAGGGACCATCATAGGTACCCAAGCGAAGATCTGGTGATCCGTACCCGTTGCTAGACAGCTTTCAGAGTCAGTATCCCAAAGCCTCACTGTGTGGTCTCCAGAAGTAGTTATGACCCTCCTCTTGTCAGTGGAAAACATAACTTCGAGCACTGCGCCTTCATGGCTTTCCATATTCGATCCCTGTGATTCCACTCTGGTATCCCAAACTTTCAATGTATCAGTGTCAAGCGATATCAGCAGCATCTCATCAGACGAATAGGCAAGTCTGGAAATACCCGCGGCATGGCCGTCATATATTGCAATGCAAGTCATTTCGCAGGCATCCCAGATCCTTATGCTCTTATCGTAGGAAGCTGAGGCAATCTTGCTCTCGTCCACTGATAGGATGATATCAGATATGCTACCGCGGTGGCCTTCTAATAGAGCATCGCAAGTGGCCCTTAGGATATTCCAAATGCCGATAGTGTAGCCAATGCCACCATTCCCTCTGACAGGACAGATGAGTCGAATGCTGTCAGAGAAGAAGTTCGAACGTCCGTTGACAGTCGGGATGGCTCCTTGTGCTATCCAAGAATCGCCAGAAAGCAAATCCAGAAATCTCATTATGTAACCGTCGTGAATCACCAGTGTTCGACCATCAGGAGAGAAATCGGCTCCGTTAACAATTGCCTCACTGTCGTCGATGAGCTCATAGCGGGTTGTCCTTGAACTCAGAAGCCGAATGATGCGACGATCAAACAGTGTTAAAACCATCGACCCATCAGGGGAGAACTTCATCAGCTCGTCGTCCTCTCTGTATTCGTAGATTGCGACGGGCTTGTCAAAAGATCTATCCCATATTCTCAAAGTCCCATCCTTGGACGCTGAAGCGAATTGCTGGCCATCCGCTGAAAACACGGCGCAAGTAATGGTGTCAGTGTGACCTCTGTACTCTCCAATGCAGCTTCTGGTTGTAGCTTCCATAATCTGGAGCACATCATGGCCCGTTATGTACAGTAGTTCTGTACCGTCGGGCGAAGTTCTGACAGATTTAGGCAAAACATTGTTGTGGGTGGCGACACAAGATGCCGATTTCAAATCCCAGACCTTCATTTTGCCTCCGAACGTGGGTAGAGATATAAACCTATCACTAGCCGGGATAGTGATAATCTGTTCGGACGATGTAACCTGGTTTGCAAGGGTAGCCAGACACGGGTCCCAGTGGGATGGCATCTTTGGCAAGGTACGGATCCATGTCGGAATGCTCGAAGCGAACTGTTGTCTCACAATGCTTTTCTCCGGAGCAAACATTAAGGCAGAAGAATATATCTGGAGTGGTGCTTTGTTCAACGTCATAACATTGGCTAGAGTGAATCGACGTGCGTCCTGTAGAAAGCTCCCAATAGCCTGTGACTTTGGCCCCTTCCCATTGTTCCGTTAGTTATCTATGCCATTGTCCCCCATAAAACGATGCATTACTCACCTCGAGCTTGCGTAGCAAGGCGTCCACCATATGAACGCTCTCTGCGCTTTGTCCCATTAGAGCGAGTGCTTCAAGCCAGTTCAGCAAATAGATGGATAGGAACTTATGTGTCTCATCATGATCACATATGCTCCGATTGCTCATGGCCAGATGATAGACCCAATATGTGCAAGCATATTTGACTGCATTGGGTAGGCACGCATCAATAGTCTCTTGGCTTATGTCTGATCTCAATACCCCTGGAGATCTTAGAGAGCAGATATCTTCTTTAAGAACTTGGTTTCTGGATAACGATCTGATGCATTGCAAGAACAGCGTCGAATGGGCCTCCTTTTCATTTATCCAGAACGGATATGTATCCAGGTCAAGCTGTTTCTCAGGATCGACTAAGAAATCTCGGAAAGAAAGATGTAAGAGTCGCACAGGGGCATCTAAGTCGCTAGGAACTCCAAGTACCGAATGCAACATGTCGAGTTGGTCCTCGATAACGTCTGTAGAGACACTGAGGATTTGGGCGAGACTCCGTATGGACAAAGGCTTCGCTAGCGTGATGATTGATCCGATCAAGTATCTGAATTTGTTCATCACTTCCTGTTTGCTTGATAGAGAAAGACCAGCAGTCAGGCGATCCAAAACTGGGCGGTATGTCATATCGAGGCCGGATAGTTTCGCATCTCGGTATTCGAGTAACCGGTTTAGTTGATGTGGAGGGCCTCCTAATCTTCGATCGTTAAGGAAACGGCAAATTGTTGCAGCAACAATGAACAAGGGAATGGCTGATGCGACTAGCTTCTGTATGACATCTGCTCCGGGCCAGTCGTCTGATATCTTGCGATGTTGTGTTACAGACTTGTTGTAGTCCTGTTTGATCGTGTCCAGCTGGTGACGCATGAATAGCTCAATGTCATGCTCGATTGTAGGAGTTGACACCACTGCAAGAAGCATATTGTCATATTGCCCGCTAATATCTTCGAAACCTAGTCGAATTGGCAATTCTGGTCTGCTGGTGAGGAAAAATTTGAGTCGTGGGTTTTTGGTCTGTTGAGCTTTCGAGAGGATATTGATCAGCGTCCTCATGCTTGCTTCGAGGCCACATTCGTCGAGGGCGTCGATCACGATTAGCAAATCTGATGACTGCCAACTTCCTGGGTCGCGTCTCAAAGGGTCCAGGATTAACATTTGGAATTGATCACCTAGGGACTTTTCGTGAATCTGGGGCTCGAGTTCAAGGACTTGGCGGATTCTCGGAGCGAGAGAGGGCATCCGCCGAACCAGCTGAGCAGTGAGGGTAGTGAACAAGAAAGTCGTCCTGCCGCGATCACCTTCGCCCCTCTTGAAGAAGAAACTAGCACCCAGAATGTTGTCACTAGAAAAAGATTGAGCGATTGTGCGGGAAATGGTCGACTTCCCAGTCCCTGCCATGCCGTTCAACCAAAAGATCGACTTGCTGTCAGGGCTGGTGCTCCAGTGTTTTATTTGTTGGATAATTTGACTCCTGGTGCCTGGGAGGCAATAAGCTTCCTCGCTGTCGACATTCGAATCGAAGGAGGCAGCTTCTGCAACTCGAAGCTTTGAAAGAACAAATTCTTGATGGACGTCCAGGAGGATTGACCTGCAAGAGTTAGTACTGGAAGCTATGGATGGGTAGGTAGGAGCAGACGACAATCGGCACAGATTTTGATGGCTATGCTTAGCTGGGAAGACCGAGGGATAAGGGGCTCAATAGGTAGCCGGTATCTTACGTTTGTTCGATGTTGATGTTCATCAGAATGTTGGCCTTTTGCCGCTCAATTGCAGCAACAATCTCGTGAATGTCCCTTCTTTTAAATGGCCATATCGCTCTGGCATGCTTGGCACCCAGATCAAGCTTTGCCACCAGCTCAGCGAGCAACCTGCGGAGATCGAAAATCGCTTGGCGTAAGGGTTGTGACTCGAGTTTGGAGGATCCTTTCGGGCTTCTCAGCAGCGATTCGAGCTCCTTGACAACGGCCGTGAGCCGATCAACCTCCTTGAGCAGCTTTCGCACATCTTGAGGGGCGTTCTTGACATCCACACAATAGATGGAGCACATAACCCCGATCTTGATGAGGAGGTCAACGACCTGCGAGATGTTGGAGAAGAGCCCCAAAACGTCCATAATGAAGCCATAGATGCGGCGGAGGAGACAAGGAGAGGAGGTAGAGGAGGCCTGGAGAAGACATTGTTGAGACGTGGACGAAGTGTATAAACTGGGAGGGTTATTCGCCGCCCAAGGTGGGCGGTTGAAGCGATGTTTCGATAGGCACAGGCGGGGTCGGCCAGGTCATTGATTCGTGATGCCTGCAGGCAGTCAAGTCAATTCTCACATTTTGCACAACCAACACAATCTGCAGCAACCCTTGCTTCCGACAAGGGCAGCATTTCCCCGGCCTCTGCGCGCAAGGGATTGGCGGACGAGTCCCAGTTATTGTCGGCGTCACCCAACAAATAACGGGAGCCGATTAAGCGCCGACTCCAAAGCGCCGGCATGTGGAAATCGTTGTCTTGCATTTGGCGGCGGTTGTCCTGCGTCTGGTGGCGGCAATCTTGCATGATGTTGTGCGACAGATTGATATGTGGATTGAAAGAGCTCGTGAAGTCCAAGTGAACCGATTTATACTGAGGAAAATGGATTCTGCCAAGCGGTCAACGAATTTGGCAGGGCTGTGAACCGAGTCACTACAGTGTCAAGTATAACTCAACAGGTGCTTGCTTGACAATCTCCGTCCCTCGTAGGAGAAAGGCTTCGTCATAGAGTGGACATACCACTATGAGATATGAGAAAATCCAGTCGAGATAGTACTGATGTCTTCGGTGAGCAGGCCAGGGTTAGGGTTGCTGAGGTGGTGAAGAATTGGGGAGACATGATAATAGACAAGGACAAACACCAAGCACAGGCTTCCTCCATTCTGACGGGTTATTCACTTTCGACACTTGACAATTTGCAGCCTAGAATAACCTTATTAGCTGTTCGTGATCTAAGAAGAACCATCATACTTCGGTCTCCTCGTTGTAAACATCGTCTTGGAATGAGAAGGGGCAATATCTGTACATAACTCCATACACTTCAGTGTCTTGGCCATATCCAAGTTCTTTTTCGGATTACTGTGATGATTTAATTGCATTAGTATCGCCATCTGTCGGGAGTTCGTGTCTTCCGATGATAAACTGGCAAAATGTCGAAATTGAGTCGTGACATTCGAGGTAGAGATTGGCGAGAAAAGTGTCTGCGGCAACCCCCAAAGAGCCGACCGACCTCCAGAGAAAGTCGAGAAGAAGAAGGAAAATTTGAGAGGCTTGGTCCAAGCTCTTCAAGAAAAAAGACTGCCATGTCACGGATCAGCTGGGGAATACTGGGGGGCATATTGACACTCATAGAGCAATGTGAGGCATCGGAGAGCGGCAGATCAGGGAGCATCTTCAGCATGAATAACCCACTTGCTTTGTGACATACTCATCGCTATTGTCGCATGTATGAACTACTGTATAACAACATCCATCAAGGTAGGTAAGGTATGCTCTGTACCAGTTCACAACAGAGTATGCCGTTGTGGAGTCGTGCAGTGAGAACACTGAGCTCTAGGCAGTCATGCAAGAGCAACCGCAATATCGTAACGAGGGAGGAGAAACCAGCAAAACCTACGTAGATACGACAACATTGACAAAGTTTTGCATAGCTCATCTTCTTCTACGCTCAACGCAATGCCAAAACGATCATACGTACACGTCGAGCTATTCTCCTACCGCAGTTCCAACAACCTCCTATAAGATCAACGCCTCACCACCGGTCCTCTCGAGATTATATCCTCAAATTTTGGATATTCTACACACACTCTTTTGTCTGGGTATCTTTTCATCGCCGGGAAAATTAGCCCAACAGGAAGTGCAGGGCGATCGAGTGTGCAGCTGTCAGACTCGAGCATCAGCCACGCGAAGCTCTCGCAGAGGGCCGGCCGCACAAACCGCTGCCAGCTGGCAACTCCTTCACCAGCTGCCACACGATTGTTTACAAAACAAGCTCTGCCAGCCGCGTGAACATTGATTCTTCCTTCTTCTTCACCATCTCACGGTCCTGGACGCGTCTGTTGGTTACATCACGACCAACATCTGCTTCCAGCCTTTGAGGCTCTACCCCAGAGATCGAACACAAAACGTGAGTGACGAACATCTTCCTCTTCAGAATCGCATACTAACCTGATGAAACAGCTCCAAGCACGCTCTCTCACTCGCTATCGCGGACCGGCACTGCAGACACCATGGTCTTGCTTGGTTCAATCCGCCGAAGCCGCAGCCTGGAGTCGCTTCGCAAGGACCTCTTCCATACGATCACCCATACCACTGAAGGAGTCTATTTCCCCCCTGGCTGCACCCTTCTCCAAAACAAGGAGACTGACAAAGAGGTCATGGCTGTGCTCTGTCCCCACGAGGAATTCAAGGCCTCGGATAAGGGCATCGCGCACCTGACCAAACTCTTTGTTCAGTGCAACAAATGGCTTCCAGTCCTTGAGAAGCGTGGTTTCAACATCTACTGGGCGGTCGTCGCTTTCACAACCTCACAGATGCAGGGAATCGACATGTCGCCCGAGATGGCCAAGGCGTTGGCCATGTCTCTCCTCAAGGCCAGACAGCTCTGGATTCTCCGCCAAGAGAACCCGGATGCTGCCAAGTCCAACGTCAAGACTCACCTAGCTGCTGGCATCCAGCGGCTCCTTGAATGTTTCGAAGAGCGTGCCAAGAAGCCGACTGGAGCGTGTGCTGACGACAAAGAGTGGAAGTTGACTGACAAGCAGATTAGAGATGCTTGCAAGGCGCGTATGGGTCCTGGAAAGCGCGTGTCAAAGGACAGGATTGCGCTCTCCTTCAAGTCGCCTCACCCGCTTGTTCCCATTGGACAACTCTCGAGCATTCCCCAGCTGGAGAACAGCCCTCTCAACCCCTTGGGCATGCTTGACAGCTCCGTGGAGAAGATTACACCGGCCGAAGCTGTGCAGGCGCTCCTCTCTCACCCGATCCGAGATCTCCTCCACGACGAGCTTCCTGTCAAACAGCAGTCTGCCAGCAAAAGAATGTCGCAGAGCGCCGTGCTGGGAAGAGTTGCCCGTGACGACGATGCCCAGAGCAACTCCAGCAAGTCGTCGAGTCTTATGAACCGTATGGCGCCATCTGTGCTTAAGACCAAATTCAAGTCTACCTGGATGAAGAGTCCCATGTATCGCAAGGACATGGGCCAGACCAGTACCGAGGCCGCCAGGCGAGCTCAAACCGCAGACGCCTTACCAACTCCCAAGCATGCGGGCAAGTCCAATGCCGAGGTCATCAAGCGAGCCCAAACCGCAGAGGCTTCGCCAACTCCCAAGGCCAAGGCCAATGCCAATGCCAGCGCCAACTCTTCGTCCACCAAGAAACGCTTCACGAGCGAGCTGCCTGGTCATACGGCCAAGAAGCAGGTGGTGGCCAAGGGAACTGCGCGATCCGTCTCGATGCCCGTCTCCCACCCGTCTTTGCTCGCTCCGACTCAAGCGGCTCAAGCCTCTCGCTCTGTTTCTCTGCAGGTGAAGAAAGGCTCGAAGAAGTAGCTGTGACGGATTTGAACGTGATTCGAAGATTGATTGAATGAATGTGTTTCTGACGACTGATTCGAGTGATGGCTGTGAGTATCGATTTTCGAGTACTGGGTTTACTATGTCACGTGGTAGGATGGGAGGGCTGGCATTTACTGAATCGATACAACCCGGGCTTCATGGATACGGAATAACGGAACTGTGTATGAGTAGTATATATAACCCACGAGTTCAAGTATTATTGCAATCTTTGACTTGTTTCGAGTCATGGTGTGTGAGGAAGTGATGTTGGGCTCGTGTCACGGTCTACCCTATAGTTGTAAATTTCCGATCGCTCCAAAGAGATTACGAGGAGAATACGGCGGAGAGAGAACAAACAGACATCATGTTATGCGAACGCATAGGCCAGCTCGACAGAAGAAGTCATGGTATAGCTCATCTTTATCTTATGGCGAGGCATAATAAGCTGCTAAGGGGTCTGCAATGTCGTGATTCGCCAAGGCGTTGCCATGACATGAGACTTTAACGGATACTAGGTAGGTATATAGGGGTATGTGAGAGGGTTATGTACTGTATCTTGGCAACCTTGGCAAGGTGGCAGTGCTCAGCCTGAGGAGGAGATGACTTATATCTTTGGACCCTGCGTATGATCCCTTTTATTGCGGCCTGTGCGAAAACAAAGGTAGGAGAGAAGACCGAAATACCATCTGTGTGTAAGCACAGCTTGTAATTACTTATTTTTGATCATCCTGCCCCGGGCGTAACGCGTTAAGGAACATTGTCCGTTCTAAGCGCTCGGATATCGCCGCGGCATCCGTCTCTGCCCAGCCTCCAATAGTGCAACTCTAGCGCTGTGCTTGGCTGCTGCTGCTTCCAAGGCTTCCAAGGCTCTCAAAACTCTTGGGTCTCACTTGTCTTGCGTCTAAATACATACTTGCTTGCAGTCTGGACAGATTTTCCGGAGAAGTACATTCCTCCCAATGTCCTGGCGGTTGATCGTTGGCTCGTCACTAACGACGGCAGACGGCACAACGGCACACGAACCACCCAGACCAGACATTATAGCACCAGCAAAATCCCGTTGAGAAAAGCTGGCAATCTTAAAAGCTGCTGCATGTCTCGGATAAGCGGCAAGGCGCCGTGACGTAAGTGGGCGCATTTCCCTGGCGATGATCTTGTTGGCGAGAAAAGACAAGACAAAGAGGAGAAAATTGGAGTCGTTCTAGATCTTGGCTTGCAGCAGTTCGCATACACATTGCGTTCAGGTGACAAAGGCGATGCGCAAGGCGTTTTTTCTGCCCTCTATTATCTGACAGTACATGTAGGTACTATCTGACTCACCCAGATTGGGTAGGTCGCTGGATGAAAATGCCACCTATAAGGGCTGTCTCCTGTCATGTTTTCATGGGTTTCCCTTCTTCTGGCCCTTGCACGAATCCCGTTTCCGGTGACAACTTATTACTGTAAGTTGGGCGGCTTTTCTTGCGTTGGGAATGCTGGATAATTTGCTTTGCTGCTGACGCTGGCTCTCACCTCACCCGGCTTAGCCCTGGTTTAAATTCTGCTGTTAGATTTGATCCCATCCCTGCTGGTCTCTCGTTGGAGGCCTTTTTGCCGTTGACTGATCGGCTCGCTTCAATCTCCGCATACCCTTACTCCGACCCTTTGGTCGAGGTAAGGTAGTTCTTGTTCCCTGGCCCCAGACCCTGTCAAAGAGCGCAGCCCTACGAGTACAAAACCATCGCGACCCCTCACAACGTCATTCTGCCCTTTTCGTGAGGCTGAACCCGGGGCCATCAAAAGTCTTGGCAGCCTTGCTCATCACGCCCTTATCTGAGTCGATATTTTGTTGTTTATTCTGCTCACCATGCCGGGAAACATCACGACTCATCACGACGACACCACGCCCGAGTCGAGCGACGGTGATCGGCATGAAGAGAACCACGACGACCGCGAAGTCCACGAGGAGCAGCACAATGGTGAAGCGGAACACGGAAATGGTGATGAGAAGCACAAGAAACCACCAGGCGGTTTTGATAGGACTCCCCTCCCCGACGCTCCCCAGGGATACACTGTTCGCTTCGTCTTCCACTCCGCGACCAACATTCCCGTAGCGGATTTCCACACCGGCTCGTCAGACCCTTTCTTGATTGCGACGCTCAAGGGAACGCAGCCGAAGCGCCACAAGGAAGATCCCGACCTCAAGTACAGGACGCGCACCGTCCACCGAACCACCGAGCCGGTGTGGGACGAGGAATGGGTGGTGGCCAATGTCCCCCCCAGCGGCTTCACTCTGAAATGTAGAATGTACGACGAGGACGTTGCCGACAGGGACGACAGGCTGGGCAACGTGACCATCAACGTGGGCTCCCTCACCGACGACTGGCCGGGGATTCCTCCTCCGGGCCAGGAGTTCGAGGCCAAGAAGCGCGTCATGAGCAAGCGCGCCTTCATCCTCAAGGGCATCGCCAGTGCCGTCATTCACGGGACCCATATTGCGCCGCGACTGCGCATCAGCATGCAGATCCTGGGCAAATCAGATCCTCCGTATGCGCAAATGTGCACGATAGCTCCGACGAGGTGGATCAAGCATAACAGTCCCATGATTGGGCGTTTGATCGGGGCAAAGGTGAATGCGAATGAGTCTGACGATGAGAAGAGCCATGACGGGAATGATGATGCTCCCAAATCTACGAAATACGAGTACGTTAATGCAGCGTCCCCTTCGTGTAACTGATTAGCTTGGTCACTAACAAACGGGCAATAGCTTCCAAGCCAACGAGATACAGCTCCAAGGCCCGGTCCCGGCCATCCTTTACCATCGCTATGTCGAGTTCAGGCCCGTCATTGGCTCCCTCTTCTCGTCTACCGGCATCCGGGGAACCATCCTGAACAAGGCCCTGCACAAGCAGCACCACCGCATCTACAACTACAGCAGCACCACGGAATATGGCAAGTTTGAACCGTGCTCTAAGCAAGCTTCGCTTCAGTTTCTTAAATTGGCACACTTCGACGAGGGCGGCCGCATCTTCACATACGTACTCACACTGGACGGACTGCTTCGCTTCACGGAGACGGGCAAGGAGTTTGGCATCGACTTCCTGAGCAAGCACACCATGCACGCAGATGCGGAGAAGTACATTGCTTGCTCGGGAGAGTTCTTCATCCGAAGGCTGCAGCGCCCGGATTCCAACGACAGCCCCGAGCCGCACGAGAAGACGCACCCGTCCGAGCCCATCCCCGGCGGCCCGCCAAACCAGCCGCCGCCCCCGAACCCTGCATTTTACCAGCTCTTCATTGACAATGAGTCCGGGACGTATCGCCCGGACAAGTCCGTCTTGCCAGATCTCAAGAGGTTCTTGCAAAAGAACTTTCCCGGCTTGGGCATCGTCACCATGTGCTGCGGAGACGAGCGCCTGGAAAAGCTCAAGGAAGAGCAGCGAGCCATCAAGAAGAGCGAGGGCAGACTGGTGCAGGTCGTCATGAACAGCAGCACCTCGAGCTTCAGCTCGGTGGAGAGCGAGCTCGACGAGCGCACCGAGAGCTGGGAGGCCGGCAGGAAGAGCAAGAAGGAGGCGGCGCACTCGGCGCTGAGGAACCCCGACTCGGAGCATCTCAAGGAGGTTGTGGACGTGATGATGCCGTATCGCGAGAAGAAGGCGGAGGGGGCGGCAGAAGGGGGCGGCAGAAGGGGGCGGTAAGCAATGAAGAAGAAGAAGAATTGCGCGGGAATCTCTCTATGACTTTTATGGATACGATATGATACCACTCTTTTTTCCCTTCGCGTCGGTGTTGTTGCCGTCGTCGTGGTCGTTTGCGTTTATAGTTGGGAATGTAATGTTTGGATCCAGCGATATCTCGAGCTGAAAACCTCGTTCAAGCACATCTCCGTGAAGACAATCACATCCTCGCCCTGACCGACACCCACGTACTCGCGCACTGCGCCAGCTCAATCCCATTCCCATCCCTGACCTCGCACTTTATCCTCGTCTTCCGGCCCTCGACGCTGTCCACCCACGCATTCACCAGCACCGTCTGGTTGATGGGTCCCGGCTTCAGGAACTTAATCTCCAGCCCGGCAGTGACGCTCGCAGTCCCAAAGACCTCGCCTGTCTTGCCCAGCGCGGAATTAATCTCGTGAAGAACCCCCATCGCCTCATCCACCATCGTCATGATCATCCCGCCATGCAGCACGCCTTCGTACCCAGACAGGCCTTCCCCCAGGGCGAACAGAGAGCTCACGTGCATGATGGGCCGGTCGGCGTCCTGCAGGTGCGCTTCGTCCTCTGTGTGGAAGAAGCAGAGCATGTGCTGCAGGCCGCGCGGGCCGGCGAGCGTCGCGCCGACGAGCTGGTCGTGGGCGGGGCTCTTGGGGTTGAAGCACTGCGGGATGAAGGGCACCGTGTTGGGCGTCTGGATGAGGCATGCGCACCAGGGGATGGAGAGGAAGTGGGAGACGCAGGAGGAGTAGAGGCGGGGGGGCGTGTTGGGCGGGATGAGGCCGAGAGGGGGGCTGAGGACGCGGTTGAGGGGCGTGAGGGAGAGGCCGGAGGAGGCTGTTGTTTCGTGTGGCTGAGGCATTTCGCTGGTGTAGGGTTGGGGAGAAGAGCTGCGGGTGGTTTATGAGGGGGGGGATTGGGGGCGGAATGTGTCTGGAGGTGTAGATGATGGCTGGTGATGCCGCTGTTTGGTGTTTTGAGAGAAGATGCGCCCAGATCAGGGACCTGGTTCCCAATTGGGGATGCCGAGGACTTTGTCCACTTTTACCCGAGATTGCTGGTACAGTATGAGGCGAGCTTGAAGAGACACTGAGTGACGACGCCAGGGTTGGACAGAGATGCAACGTGCGAGCAGTCGAAACGTAGACGCCATCAGCAGCCACAGATCGACGACGCTGGGATATCCCGTCTGTCTGTTTACTTTGCATACCAGAATCGAAGAAAAGCAGATATTATCTGCACCAAAAACAAAAAAAGAGCCAGATGCTGGCTGACGCCGGCAAAAGATGGGGCTTCACCGGGATTCGAACCCGGGGCCTCCTGCAAAGGCGATTCTGAAGAATCGGGGACTTCAGGTGTTTTCCCGAAGCAGGAATCATACCACTAGACCATGAAGCCGGATGATTGTTTGGTGTTGGTTGGCGATGAGGCGATTGGTGTAGAGGTTAAAAATGATTCAGCATTGGTCACTGTGCGGAAACCAGGAGGAGTCGCCACGGTTGCTGTTGAACTTGGTAAGTCGATCTGACATTCACTCCTGATGGGCATCTGCATGGCTGGAACTCGTTGGTCATCCTGGGATTCCCAGCAATGAGATGCACAATAGCATCGGAAATCATCTTCTGGCGCTTTTACATGGTCCAAGCTCGTTGCTTGTTTCTGGTTAAGCAAACCCGTGTCTATATTCCAAATGTGTAATTGTCCTGCTCGATGATGTATCAGGTAAGGTAAGGTAGGTAAGGTAGGTAAGTGGCTGATATGGGTGATGGAGGTCAAACAGTCAAGGCGCAAGTCACGGTAACCTTATAACTCAACAACCTCCCAGGCTGAATCTCACAATACCTACCACCAGCAAGGCCGCGGCCACAGTCGCGAGCAAACCGCCCATCTTGGCGCTCGTCGTAGCGGCATTCTCAAACGTCTCCCATCCCCCGCAGCCTCCCTTCCTCTGCTCCCTGTTGCCCAGGCTGTTGATGGCAAAGCTTCCAATTGGACGCGATGCCGACATGCACAAGCCCTCGTCGGGCGTCCCGCAGTCGGTCATGGACCACGGCGTAGCGTCTCCATCGTCGTCATCATCATCATCGCCCGGCCGGATCTGCTGGCAATCGGCAAGCGTATATTGGTAGAAGATCCACGGACTGGACTGCGGGCCCAAGGGATCTTGGCTATCGAGCTGGGCGGAACCCATCTTTACCCAGGTCCAAGTGTAGTTTGCCTCTGGGTCGTATAGCTCTTGGTTTTGAATCAACCAGGAAACGCCCCCGGGACGTTTATCCGTGTCGCTCTTGCTTTGTAGGCGTTGGAAGCCTGTGCTCCTGTTCTGGGAGAAGATGTCGCTCATGTTGAAGCACGTGTATTATTGTACCGGTAGTGACTCGGTGGTGAGGGTTATGGCTTTGCTGATGTCGTAGGAGCTGCAGGCATCGCCCTGGCTGGCTGGGAAGAACGCAAAGGTAAGGTTCGCGTCATGTCTGCGACATGGAGTACAAGCATGGCATTAGCAAACAGATGCCCACCGAGGAAGAGAGAATACCTGATCCTCTGGCGTCGTCTTACCCAGTGACGCCGGCCAAAACTTGGTGCAGGGCTGCGAATAGGAGGAGAAGTAGGGATCTCATGTTTTTCATGTCGTTTGATAACCAATTCGAATGGTTCGGGAACTTGGGGAGGAGGAGGAGTTATGTATGCGTCGCAATGCGGCAAATCCTTCTCTTATTCTTCCACCTCGGATGTGGTCAGTGCGATGAGGGAAAGGCGCACTGACGCCATGAATCGACGAAAAACATCAAGCCCAACAATTTGGACAGTCAAGACTTGAACCAAGGATGTCCAACGACACACTTCGCACTACTACTTACATACTTAGGTGGGTACAGTAGTTACAGCCCCTTTGCATGCGGAACAACACAAGATACTGCAGCCAGAGATATTGGAACACCAAAGTACATAAGGCAGCTTGACTCACCAGAACACTCAACGTCCAGCATATAGCGGCTGACCCATACGATCTGCTTCTGTAGACGTTCTTTTCATTGTCACCTCTCCCTGTTCTATCATTTAATATTGTGCTTCGTGGTCCTCGGCTTCGAGAGCAGATCGAACACATATATAATCAGCATATCTACGCCAATTCTCAGCAAAGCTGCCAAGGAGAGTCAAGCAAGTTAAATACAGGTATGGTGTAAAAGAGAAGAGGCTGATTTCCCTTTGGCACTTGAACAATTGCTCTTGAAAGCCTCTCCCTATAGCAGTCACTGAGTTTGTAAGAGATATGGTGAGCAGTTCCTTCCTCAGGTCCTTAAGGATATTAGCGGTTGTATAAGACGTCCCTACTATAATTGATCATTGCCCAGTTTCTCTATGCTTACAGCAAAGGCAAGAAAAACAAGCTGTTGCCAAGAATATCAGGCTCACGGAGACGTTTATACCGCGGCTATTGATGGTCTTAGCTCGGTAACTCGCCACCCCCTGAGAAGAAGCAGCATTAGAGGGAAAAGGAGCAAGAATATTACTCGTATGGCAGCAATACAGAAGAGAGCTTGATATCTCGTTGGAGCAGGATGCATTTAGGGTGTTTTTCGTGATGGTCAGCACAAAGGGTGCTGCATGTAGGGCAGCTGAATACCTTCCACAGCGCCACGTGGGCTATCGAGCTTTGGTTCAGCACACTGAGAGATATACTCATGATGTTACGAGACAATGATAGCTATAGTCTGATAGAGACTAAAGGATTATGTAGAAACATTAAAATAGAGGCCATATTCTTGACAGCAGTGAGTGTATATCTGCTATACTTTACTAAAAGACGCTGGACACGAGTCCTCACTTTCGACTCGCCGACACCACCTGCCACTCGGACTGGGCAGCTGCCATCCCCATGACCTCCTTCCACTGCAGGATTAAGAAATCCATGACAATTGGTCTGTTTTCCCCTGAGAAATCAGGCCATGTTTTTCCGAGCAAATGCCCAATTCGCCCCGAAATCTCCCCTGGTTACCACTGCTTCTCTGCACCCGCATCTTACCAGTCACACAGCTCTACCTGCATCAGCATCTAGACCCAAAAGCAATCTTTTTCGTTACATGCTATGAACTAGAGCAGTTGATACTCGTCCACGATGCATCCTCCTGCTAATGACACCAGCGGCTCGGATCTGGAGCCGCGCCAGATCGAGGTCCTCATCACCATCGAGCGAACTGGCGCGGGCCTCTCGATGGTGGCCATCATCTTCACTCTTCTGACCTTTGCCCTCTTTAAGAAGCTTCGGACTACTCCTAATATCTTCATTGTTCTGGCGTCCATCGCCAACGCCGGCGCAAGCATCGCGTCCATGATCGGCTACGATGGCCTCGATCAGGGCGAACGGTCTACTCTCTGCCAGGGACAAGGCTTCATCTTCGAGTGGTACATTCTCCGCTTTGGCGTCGTGTTTCTCGTAACCTTTCAGCGAAGCAAATCTAACCACTTGGTGCTCAGGTTCATGCAATCCGACCCCTGGTGGTCATTTGCCATGGCATTCAATGTCTACCTTGTCTTCTTCCACAACGCCAACCCTGTCAGTTTCCGAAAGCGCATCTGGGTATACTGCCTCATCTGTTTCGGTGGCCCTCTGGTGCCTGCCATCGCCCTAGTCTCGATCCGAGATGATGCAAAGGGTCCCGTCTTTGGTAACGCCTCGGTACGACTCGCACTCCCAGACTCTGAGCGCTTGCCATGCTAACAAGTCGCCAGCTTTGGTGCTGGGTCGACTCGAACTGGAGCCTGGTTCGCCTCTATGCGTACTACATCCCCATCTGGATCTGCATTTTTGGATCCATCATCATCTATGTCGCCGTAGGATATCGGGTGTTCCACCAGAGAAACCGTCTTCGCAACTTTGCCATTGCCATCCCGCCCAGAAACAAACGGGCCAACTCTGGCGCAGCCAGTGATGCCGGTGATTCTGCCGTCGAGGTAAGCTCTTGTCGGACTGCTTCTACAGACGTTTGGAACATACTGACACATTGCGCAGAGCCTCACGAGGAGACATGATTATTATGGCACTGCGACCACTGAAGTCCAAGTCACTTCTGGCACTCCCGAGAACGATGATGACCTGGCTCTCCCCATGGCACCCCCTGCTATCTATTCTCACAGCCCCTATTTGCACAATCCTGCCGCCGGCGCCTATGGCCAAACGTGGACGACAACCCAGGCAGGACCTTATTATGCTGCGGATCCGGAGAGACTGCCTCGGCGCCCTCATGCAACCGCTTCTGCTCAGCGATTCAACATGGTATCTGCCGTCGTTTCGTGGCTGAAGAATGTCAAGTCGAGTGCTTCCTCGAAGCTGAAGCGACTGGATCCCGTCAAGATGGCCTATCTCCGTACAAGCTTCATCTTCGGATTCGCCATCTTGATCACCTGGATTCCAAGCTCCGTTAATCGCCTTTACAGCCTCACTTCTCAAGGCCGCGTCAATTTCCAGCTCAGCGTTGCCAGCGGCTGCGTGTTGCCGTTGCAGGGAGTTTGGAACGCCCTCATCTACTTCACCACGAGCTAGAGCACCGTCCGTGAAGAGGTGAAGGCTTTCAAAGACAGAGTTTGGCCCATCTGGCCTCTCCGGCGCCAGGGCTATCGTAACACCGTGCGCATGGATGGCACCATGGACACTGGAAGCTTCAGGGAGCGCCATACGCTTGAGTTGCCTTCGCTGGCACGACTTAAGCCTTCGCGAGCCGACGAAGACGACGATCTCGAGCATTCGGACCACTTCAGCGGAAGACGCTCGATTTAGCTTGGGACCAAGGACTCGCGTCTTCTGATGATGTTCCTTTCAAACGGTGAGGTATCGAGGGAACTTCCTCTCAGAAGGCGAAGCAAGACTGGCGTACATGTGTCGGTTGATCTATCACATCTCAACGGCATCGGAATGGAAATGGCATGGATGTTTATTTCGGCGATGGAATCACTCCCTCCACTCAATCTTCCAAAACTTGACAGCTCCATAATAGGTACTGAAACCAGCAGTTAGGTATGTAGTCATGTGGGCTTAATATTATAATACGGTTACGGGTTTTTACGGGAGTCTCCAAGCTCTTACAGTATTTCTGTTGCTCGCAGCTATGCGTACTTGGAATAAATATCTTCACCCTCGGCGGTATCGACACCCTCGCGGACCACAGCATCAACAGCTTCGTCGATTTCCTTGTCGCCCTGTAGCAGATCTAACCATCCGCTCTTGACTCCCTCGGCAGCAAGGAGCGCATCGGCAACGTGCGCTACCGTGACCCTGGAGATGCTGCCCTGGACGTTTTTGGTCTTGCCCAGCGTCACCCTTTCCTTTGGCTCGTCCGTCAACCTGCCGGGCCGGAGGTCAATGCCCACGAGGGTCGAGCTCTTCTTGGAGACTTCGTAGAATACCTCGTCGGCGGCGAGCTTGGCCTTGTAGTAGGTGGCCAGCGGGCCGAGGTTGACGGAGTTGTGGTACTCCTCCCACTCGGTAGCGGACCACCAGGGGGCTGCCTTGCGGCGGGAGCCGTTGTAGGAGATGAGGAGGAAGCGCGTGACGGAGGGCCTGGCCGCGGCTGCGTTGATGAAGTGGATTGCGGCGTCGCGGTCGATGCGGAATGTTCCCTCAGTCCCGTATTTGCCGCCGGCGCCTTTATGACGGTGCTTATGCGTCAGAGGCCTAGATACTGCGGATGCTTACAGGGAAAAGGGGAGGCAAAGGATGGGAGGGAGTGAGAATAAATAGGTTGCGTGATGATGTTACTGTTGTTGTGTGCTTACCGGCGCTCCATGCAATGTAGTCTGGGTTGACCTCGTCGAGGATGCTGGCGGCCTTGTCCTGGCTGTCGACGTCTTCGATGCTGCGGACGAGGACGCTGAGGCGGCCGGGGAGGCCGGCGCCGAGCCGCTCGACGGCGGGGACCTGGTCTTGCTTGCGGATGATGCTGGTGACGGCCCAGGAGCGCTTGAGGAGCAGGGGGGTGAGGAGCTGGGCGATTTTGCCGTGGCCGCCGAGGATGAGGACGTTGTGTGGTGAGGCCATGATTGATGAGCTATGGATGGGGTTATATGGGAAGATGCAGTTAATGGAAGGGGGTGAATTGATTTGTCTGAGTGGCTTATAGGACCTGGAGCTGAAAATGTCTACGCGAAGTTATGTCAAGCTTGAATGGAGGATATCTGCAGGTATTAGTACTGCGAATGGAGAGCTCGGATAGCTTCAGGGAGGTTGTCCGAATGGGATCACGCAAGGGAGGGGGATGACGACATGTTGGAGGGGGCGGGGCATGACGAAGAGAACGGGGATGCTGTTAAAGCCGGCAGTTCATGGAAGAGATGATGGAAGGATCTGACATATGCCGGGGATAAACTAGTGGTGGACTGATTCATTCATTGCCGGGTTGGGAAAATAGAGTTACTATGTTGAAGAGGGTGAGGTGAGTTTTGTTTGGCTTGCAACGGGATGTTGGTGTTATCCTGCATATAGTACCTCGGTAGAGACGCAGAATGCCGAGCTATGATGAAGTTGGGGATAGAGAACGGCTATCTAGGTATTATTCAGCTGCATGAGATATATGATCGGTGTTAATGCTATTGAAGCGTCATAATCGGTGATACCGATGAACCCTTTTTTATGGCGAACAAGACGAAGTTGAGGATATAGAAGCCATCTTCATGAATTACGACAATATTGGAACTTGGTAGACATGGACACCAGGCCGTGCTCTGTCTTATGTCAGCAAGCCGCCTCTGATCTCAGCGGCATTCTGACAAGGGGGAGCAGCTTCGATCGGCGCCATCCCGCGTTTGAGCTTGTTTTTCGCCTTGGCTTGTGTGACGAGGCTTCGTCTCATCTCACGACATAAGCCGCATCTGATGCTGCCCTCGCCGTTATAAACAGCCTTGCTTCGCCTTCTCTCATTTTTCTGTCTCTCTTTCAATTGGGGAGACTACCTGCTTGGTCTTTTAGTGCTTGTGGACGCGGCTTCATCAAGGCTTCAGCTGCCCCTCATTCAGCTCACTCTAAAAGCTTCCTTTCCTTACATGAGCGTCAGCTTTTACAAGGGCCTCACTCGCATCATGTCCAAATCCGTTTGCATCGTCGGTTAGTCACATGTTTTACCCAAAGTATCCTCAACTCATCAAACACCTCCTAACAGCTTCCAGGCGCTGGACCTTCTGGTCTCGTTGCGGCCAAGACGCTCCTCCACAACGCACCAAAGGGGCGCTTCAAAGTCAGCATCTTCGACAGCCAGGCCGCCATCGGAGGGCTCTGGCCGACCTCAAAAGCCGACTCGGGGCGTCTCGTGCATCCGTTGATGATTGCGAACCAGAGCAGGCACACGGTGCAGTTTAGCGACTTGGCCTGGGAGGACGATGCGCCGCAGTTTCCGCGTGCGTGGCAGGTTGGCCAGTATCTGGAGCAGTATCGCAGCCGATATCTCACTGGCCACCCGGATTTTGAGCTTCAGCTGAAGAGTCGCGTGGCTAAAGCTGAGAAGAAAAAGGATGGCACCGAAGGCTGGAAGGTCCAGATCCAGAATGAGCACGGCGAAGAGGCGCGGGATTTTGATTACTTGATCATCGCCTCTGGGTACTTTGGCAAGCCCATCATTCCCGAATGCTTCAAAAATGCAAAGACTTCGGTTCCCATCATTCACAGCAGCCAATACCGCGACTTGAAGGGACTCTTGGGGGAGGGCAGGTCAAAGGGAGGCAAGATTCTCATCGTGGGAGGCCAAATGTCGGGCGTGGAGATTGCCGGCACAATCGCAAGCCATCTGTCGTCTGCCATAAACTCTCCGGAAGAGTCAGAGATTGCTGGAATCGACAAGTACTCTATCTACAATGTGATACAGCGGCCTATATGGGTGTTTCCCCTCTTTACAAACCCAGAGGTGAGATGGCAGTCCTTCCGTTACCCTGTCGACCGAGATGCTGACACCGTCTAGGCCACGTTTGCAGCAGCTCCATTTGCCCCCTTGGACTTGGGCTCTTATAACATCAACAATCGACCCAGGCCACTGGAGAACACGCAGGGCCATATCAGCGAAGAGCACGCCAACATGGTGCACACCATCTTCGAATCATCACTCGGTGACCAGGAGCAGTTCTCTCCACTACTAATGCCGAACGAACAGGAGAGAAACCAGCCAGCATATCTAGCTGTTAGCGATTTCTACATGGACTTTGTGAGATCGGGCATGATTACTTTGTCCTCGGGCAAAGTCGTCTCTCTGGTGGATGACCTCGTAACTCTGGATGACCATGGCGCTCAGATTGACGACATTGCCGCCGTGGTGCTTGCTACTGGCTACGATCCCTCGCCCTGCGTCGATTGCCTGCCGAAGGAGGTTCTCGCTACGCTCCAACACTCTCCCCAGCATTACAACCAAGCGCTCGCGTTGGCCTTTCACGGCACCCATCATCCCGAGGTCCCCAATCTCGGTTTCGTAGGCTTCTACCGATCACCGTACTGGGGAGTCATGCAGATGCACGCTCGATTCCTTACTGATCTGTGGAGTGGTCAAACCGGCGAGAAACTGGAGGCCCTGCAGCGGAAGCTTCAAGCTGATGACTCCATCCAACGAACACTCAAGTTGCGAGACGATCCAAGGCTTTCTCAGTTCCCCATGGGAGACTACATGTACCTGATGCAGGAATTCTCCGAAGCACTCTCCATACCGATGCACGAGTCCATCATGCCAAAGACGCCGACAACCTCTCGAAATAACCTCCCTCTCGATCCGCTTACGCCTTCTCGGTACCCCTCTCCGAGCGATAGCCCCGAAGCAAAAGAGGAAGCCGAAAAATCTTTGAAGCAGGTCCGCGATATTACCGTCGAATGCCTCACGACGCCCCGATTTGTTGCACGAGGTGTTTTCAGAAGCCTTCTCGGAACATGGCGCCTCGAACGAGACCTCACCAGTCGTCTTCCCTCTCATCCCAGCGGAAAGTTTGTCGGTACTGCTCAGTTTCTGCTCCGCAATCGAACCTCGGAAGGCCTGCAGTGCGCCTCCGATCCCAACAGCGTCGATACTGGTAATGACAATGGCGGCGGAGAGGATCTGGAATATCTGTACATTGAAGACGGCGAGTTCCAGACGACTTCTGGCTTTGGCTTCAAGGCAACTCGACGGTACATTTGGCGCTACGATTCCACGAAGGATGTTATAAGCGTATGGTTCGCCAAGCCGGACGATCAAAAACGCGCAGATTACCTCTTTCACGAAATCGAATTCGAGGCGCCACCATCAGATCACAAGCAACGTGAAAAGGAAGGCTGGAAGGCCAAGGCTGGACATCTTTGCATCGACGACTACTACAACGTCAAGTACAACTTCTCTTTCAAGGCTGTGAATCTGGCGACTTGGAGTATAGAATACACTGTCAATGGACCGAAGAAGGATTATACCATCCATGGCACCTATGAGCGGATATGAAAGCCCTTCGATAGTGCGGCAGGATATACAGGATAAGAGCATTGATACAAATGAACTTTTACCCCATCACTTTGAAGCTATCTGCAATGACAGTTCACGGTACAGAAAGCAAGTTCAACATCAGAGTCATCTCCGTCATGGCATGCTCAGCGCTTCGCAGGGCCTTGGATCCTTCGTGAATGTGTGTTCCGACTTGTCTATATTTTGCAAAAGCGCACAAGTACTTGTCCAGAAACTGAAGGCGGCCTCTACTTGTTCTGCAGCATCTTAGTATCAGCCACTGGAGGGCTTTGTGAGTGCATCTCCGAGGATGGACTCACCGTACGGCGGCATCGCCCAGGTCCAACGTTATACAGAGTCTCTCAATAAGCAGACGCGATACAGGACGCACGTTACGATATGTAGAGCAGTGTTTCTCGAAGCGATTTCTCAAATCCCGCCAAAGGTGGTCATCTTTCTTATAAGTGTCATAGGCATCCTGAACTTTGGAGGGCCATGGATTTCGCCACTTGCGTCTATAGGTGTGTTCACTTAGGGCTGCATTCCGGGACCGAAGGTCTGAAAGGAGGCATTGGAGGACTAGTATGTTTGTTCTCAAAAGATGCGCTTTGTTCACGGCGCGGAGAATGAGATCCTTTGTTGGCTGGCTCAAGGTATTTGGAAATGTCCATGCAATGAGACTATCGCCGACACCGTCGTCGTCTTCGCTTTGAGTGGATTCGTCTTCTCTGGGTAGGAAGATTACATGAATGCAGGATTTCTTCTTTGAATGTGATGGAGAAGCATGCACAGAAAGGGAGGCAAATACGGATGCGTTTCGGACGGCTGTCCATGCGGGGAGATGGACCTGAGACGGCATTGTGAGCGAGATGGATTGCTTATGGGTCGAAGATGGGGATAGATTGGATGAGAGTTTGGAAGATGGGGTCGGACTCACGGATTTAGTATTGCTGAAGGACTTGCTGAAAGGATGATTGAATCAACGATTGAACAGACGCGATGTCTATCCTAGTGTTTTTGTATAAGTGTTTGTTGAGATTGAACAGCCCTTACGTGTTTGATACATTCAAAGGCATGAGGAGGGTGTTCACGATGTGTTCTGTTAATAGACCAGCGATACAATTACTTCGCGTTCTATGGATCTTCTTCCCCCCTTCGTTTGTAGTGAGTGATATTGTGCTGGCTATCCATGAGCTTTCTTTGTTCTTTTGATGGCGTTTGCAGCATGAAACATCAACCCAGTCATCCACTTACACAAAGAAAACACCACTTCTAGTGAATGTCGTGACGGACAAAGAAGAGGTCGAGCACTGTGGCTATAAAAGCTTCCACTATGAGCGCGCGTGAAGAGCAATTCTACAAGGTTTGAAACAATATCTTGCGGAGAGTCATGGCCGTGGCGATAGACTCCGACGTATCTCTTCACTTACACCTTCGGGGAGTATTGCACAATGCCACCAAAGCACCCGTCACTTCAAACGTGCTGGCCAGACCTCACATCGAAAGCAAGACAGAACGCGAATGTGTTCTCATACGGCAACGGATCCTCTCTTACCTCGACATTGGAGACTTGAACCGCGCCATTCGTGCCTCGCCGCTGTTGTTCCAGGCTTTCAAGGCTGAGCGCAAACAGCTGCTGCTCAGCACCCTGTTCAACACGCTTGGTACGACGATTCTGGAGGCCTTTGCTGTTCATCGAGTGAGCAGCATTGATTTCATCGCATCGCGTTCCAAGAATAATGATGCTTTATTCTTGCGAGCTCTCGAAGAACATAGACAGAAGCAGAGTCTGCTGTTCGAGCTATGCACTTTCTTGTCGGAAGATGATCTTGTTCAGATGGCCACCTTTCACAGAAAAGTTGTTTGGCCGCATGCCCAGCGCATCGTGTCTCTGGAAGCAGGCTACTGCGAAGCACATGATGTCTTTTATGAAGAGATAATGGCTTTCGTCCGGCTCTCGTTCTATCTCGATGTACTTCATGCGGCCCTGGGTCTACTGCAAGGACAGTCCTCCGACTTGATGCCAGTGATCGCGGGCTGCGGTACCTTGGGCGGTGCCTTGAGCGGCGAGATACGGATGGATGAAAGGGCTTCTCCAATATCTTTGCGGCATAACACAATAACGCTTCTCCAGTGACGTTGACATCACCAGCAGAGCTATGCCCAGGAACGCTTGAAATCGTTTGGGGCTGGGGCCTTGTCTTTATGTAGAGCATCTGCCGTACCAGAAATGGCCCTCGGCAAAGGCAGGACTTGTTGTTTAAAGTAGCATGAGAAGAGTAGGATGGTGGAGGGTGTATGGTACAATTTCTGGTATTAAATATTACATACATGTATATACCTTACTCATAAGTCATAACACCGGCGACCCAGCGCCGTCTCGAACAGCAGCAGCTATCCCGACAAGAGCGTGTAGATCCAGCTACACAAAAGCACAAGCATAGCCAAGAGCACCCAACGCAGCTCAATGGTAAACTTGGTCTCCAGCCACCTCTGCCACGCCTTCATGCCCCGTCGGCGGTTGGGACAGGTCGGCGTGCCGTAGATGATGCAGCCCAGTCCGGGCCGTGATTCGCATTCAATGTGTTCCCTCCGACGTTTCATGAGTAGCCTGCTCAGATTCACATCAGCATTCATCTATATATATATATATATATATATATATATAACACCAGACTTGGATGCGATATGAAGGTGCATCACTTACGCCACGCTGCCTCTGCAAAAGCGCAAATCCGTGCCCAAGTCGCAGCGCTTGTTGTTCGGACACTCGAGATGCAGGCGCCGCCGCTCCACCAGCCACTCCACCTTGAGGTTGATGCCCGTGTCGACGAAGCTGTGGAAATACCGGTTTGTGTATTTCAGGGAGAGGGCATCGGGGTACATGAGCAGATTGGCGATTTGCAGATGGATTTCCGTGGGGAGAGAAAGGAGGGAAGCTCGCGGCTCGTGTGTGTTTGCCGGTTCCGGTTCCGTTTGCGGGATGATGATGCCGCGGCTGGTATCGGGATGTTTTGAGGGGGTGGAGGGGAGGGCGGGAGAGGGCAGCGATGGCGAGGGGGGTTTTATCGACATGTTGACTGCTATCTCCGCTGCCTCAAGAAGAGATAATCAAGAAGATGGAGATGGGTAAGAAGAATATACGTTGAGACTGAATGTTGTTTACTCCAATGTGGTTGCATGGCTGCATTTGTTTATAAACTAAATGGCTGCCTCCGTCGTTATTGGAGTGCCTGGTCTAAAAGCAAAAGCCAAGCCACAGAGACCAAGGCCTGGACACACACATCAAGAGTGCATCGTACCTGAGATGGTGGTCCAAGTCCTTCCAGGCCCCCAAATACGAGCCGGGCCAGGTGACAAGCCCTCCGAAACAACGGCCACGCTGATCTGTTTACGCGCGTATGCAGGATTACACACGAAACACCTGCTCAACCCTCGAACAAGGCAGCACGATTGTTCAATGTCCTACGGCACTGGATCCGTTCGGGTGGGCTGAGATATGAGACTTTATTGGACGCTTTTGCTGCATTTGACAGCTGAGACCTGGGATGGATTTGGTCCACTGTGTGGCCGCTAGGACAAGGCAGCGATCGAGGGCTTTTGCGGGTGCCTGGTGATCCCTGCGACATGGCTGTGAGATGCCGTCAGATGCGATTCGATCATCGGGTTATTACATGGTTCCAGTCTGGGGGAAACGTGGCTTGATCTTGACACACGTAAGGCCTCTTTTAGACCATGGCACATGGATGTGATTATCCATATTGGGCGGAAAGAGACCTCAGTAACATGAAGCTTGATAGAGGAGGGGGAGCTTTGCGCTGCCGGGAGCACTTACAAACATGAATGCGGCTGAGCATCCAACGCCACCCACGGCGGGACATTGTCGTTTGCTATGGCTATTTCCGCAAGCAATACGAAGTAGTCATTCATGCAAGGGCACGATATTGGCATCCAGACAAGGTGCTAAAAAAAGCACATCTCGGACCCCGGACGATTATCATCAGTACAGACCAGCTCGCGTTCATCTACGCGATTCGCCCACTCGACTTTGTGTAAGAGAAGCGAGCTCTCCTCCGTTTATCTTTGCACACCCGGCGGTTTGCTGCAGCGACTTGCTTTAGCTAATGCCGCCGCTGCTATTTGGGCTGTGCCCATTGAGAAGAATGCGAGGTCATAATCTGCTGCGTGATGGTAGTAGAGACTGGCCATACCAGGCATTCGAATCGCAGACCGTGCTTCATCGTCTCCTCAACAAAATCCCATTCGCGAGTTTGGATCCTTCCACCTCTGAAGGCTTGAACCTACCAGCCTCAGCTCTCATCACATCACATGTATATCCGTAGACGCACGGCAGAGTAACACTAGAGTAGAGACTGGGATTTGCGTGGCCCAGACAAGCCACTGATTGTTCTTCATATCTCTTACATCAGCCGCGTTCATGCCCAAGAAACTCGAAATACAAGACAGGAGGAGGAAGATTGCTGTAACGATCGTGAACACTCGTATAGCTCCGGCGTGATCCCCTTCCAGTAGTTCGTTTGTCTGCCTCACGTAGCCGCCGGTGTCTTCATGTTACCGATCTCTTGATTTCTGACTCAAAGCTGGCGCAAGTAATTTTTCTTGTATGTGATTTCAAGATTGTTCTGCGCTGAACTTACCGGTCCAGTAAGTCGCAGAGTATCCGACGATATGACCTGCGCGGATCGCTAGAACAGTCCTCCTGGTACCCTCACAGAGCAGCCTCAGCTTCGAGAGCTCTCCTTCAAGACCATGTACATCATGAGCACGCATTTAAGGCTTGCTTCTTTGCTTACGAATCAATATTTGAGGAATAATACTTTCCGTGCAACCTAATTTGTGTTTTCGGATTGATGAGGCAGCGCCGGGCTCGACTTGACTGACGGGTTGAAGCTCTCGCAAACGATTACACGAGCCAACGGCTCTACGTTAACTGCCTGTGGTTGCCGTTTCTCACTATCACTAGCTGTACCTGTGACCAATGCCATGTCTCTCTTTGCTTGGTCTAACAAATATGACGTTCATTTTTCAGGAATTTCTTCGAAGCGTTGAAGTGTCGCCATCCTGGCGGATTTACACGCGGAAAGCCCCTCGGACGACCATCTCCTTCTCATCTTGGGTGATAATATCATTGACCTCGGATCAAAGCTCGAACACTACGACAACACTAGGAAGCAAATCAAAGATGTTTCGCGGCGCAAAGAACGGCTGTAATGCCATGACCTCCTTGGACTCTCAGGAACATGCCTTCGTTGACGACTGGAGCTCCCGCATGATGGAATCCAGACATGGCTTTCCTCTAAAATCGATACCCAGCCGCATCGTTCCAAATCAAGCATTACCAGAGACTTTGTTCGCTGGTGAGCGGAACGTTGCTGCTAGAGGACATTCTTCCTTGCTGCTTGAAGGAGCCGATATCACTTCGCGTCTATGCTACCCAGCAACGCCCGGCCCCCTTAGGAGCCGCCAGTATTGCGTTGCGGTAGAGTATGTAGCTCCCCCAGGCCAGTATAGGTGCCAACAGCTCTCAATGCGGAACCTGGCCCGATGCATGGGCCGGTTTCCGAGAAGCGAAGGCACTGATCATGACACGTTTCCCTAAATTCCCCAGAGGAAGTGTCCAGTTCATCGTCAAATGGGTGGTAACTCATCACAACCTTCTGCACTGATGTCAATTTTTGCTTCTGGCGGTTGTGGGATCGCATCGCTTCGGATTCAGCATGCCGCATCTCAAATAACCAAAGTACCAAAAAATATAAGTGATTGTAAGCATAACAGCAGTGCGGTGACTTGTAAAGGAGGAGCACATCCAAACGTAGGATTACGGCGATAGCTTATGGTGATGAGCTCCAACAAGGGAGCAATGCGGTACATGCTAAAGGTGAACTTGGAACTCGGCCGAGTGTTTCAACCCGGATGTACGATGTAATCTCGAATCCGGGGAAAGGCTGATCGGGATTTCATGCACCGCTATGTTCTCCAATGCGTCTTTTGGCTAAATTGCCATCATCACGCAGTGTTCGTCTTCAATACTACTACAATGGATTCTAGAGTGCCTGTATAATCCGGGTTTACGCAATTCACGGCTCCGCAGATATAACCTTTGTGGCGAGAGCGGCAGGTGAGAAAACAATTACAATTTCATGCATGCAAGGCATCCGTCCATATACCAAGCGAATCAGGCTTTGCTTCAGGAGGCATGGTATGCCAACACACCGACTTTTAGGCTTCATCCCCACGCCATCTCTTCCGATTAGAGATTTACTGGCCCTCAGTAGATGTTGTTTGCACGGCTAGCGGATGTTGTTGTATGCAGGGAGGTTCGTCCTTTTTTCCCACAAACAGCCGGTCGAATAAAAGAAGACTTGCATCTGGACGGCTGAGAGAGAGAGAGAGAGAGAGAGAGAGAGACATTCGGTGATATGCAGGGGTTTCTCTATGTAGTTTAGTAGTAGCAATCCATGGGCTCGTCATATCGCCCCGGTTGTTGCTGAATGTGTAAGAAAAACTGCCTGGCGAGTTCATCGCACCATAAGGCTGAGCAGGCAAACTACATGTATTCATCTCTGCCGAGGCTTCAGAGTATAGACAACTCTCACAACTCATTCAGCTACAATGAATCATCCCGCAATGCGGCCTTTCAATGACATCAGACCTCCAAACGGCCCGGCATGTCACTGCTCACAGTCGACGGCATTGCGCGGCTCTTCCGTCTCCCGTCTCTCCTCTCCAATTCCTCGACAGGCGGAGTACCTTGATTACAGCTGCAACACTCAATGCAGGGCATGTAGTATCCAAGGTTGCCTTGTGGAGTCTTTTGGAGCGCCACTTTCGATGTGAGATGATTGGACCGCTCGGAAAGTTGACGAGCTAAATCTCGCCCTTGCGCCAACGGGTGACTCCCGTAGACTCACTCAGCTTAGGTACTGGAACTTGCGATCTTGTCTTTCACCATCTCACGATCTCTTCATTCCTGGACGTTGCGTGCCACCGGGATCTCATCTCTTTCAGCTCGAGAATCTGGGCAAAACGCGCGTTTCTATCTGGAAAATGCCTCGTAAAGTATGGTTTCCAGTCCTCGCTCGCTGCGCTCTCACGTTAACGCCACCCCCAGTTCATCACTCAACAGGTCAAAGACCAGAATCGCGAAAGTCAGCGCCGATCAAGAGCACGGCGCCTCGAACTCATCAACGACCTCAAGAACCAGGTGCAAGACTACCAGCGGCGAGGTGCATCCGCCTCTCTAGAGATGCAGAGGCTCGCCCAAGCAGTGACTCACGAGAACCAGCGATTACGAAGCCTTCTGAGCGAGCGTGGTGTTTCCCAGGAGGAGATTCAGCAGTACTTGTCGTCCTCTCCGGCCGCCCTGCTCAAGACACCAGATGTCTTGTACTCGCATGAACCGGCCTCTTTCAGGTGCGAGGCTTGCGGCAGCGCGTCCGTCTTTCGAGAAGCCCTACCGGCTGTTACGATAGAGAAACGAGCGGACAGTTGTGCAAGCTCTCCGCAGACGGCTCCCGGGGCTCCTGGGTCTATGGCCTCGTCTTGCACATCGCCAGAGACGACTTACAATGGAAGTTCGACGGCTGCTGACGCAGCAGCATCCAATTTACCGTCAGTATCGTCAACTATGGTCGGCGATACCAATCTTGAAGGCACTCAACCAGAATCGAAACCGCCATCTGGTCAACCTCGGCAAAGTCACCGACCTCAGTGCGGCACATCCCGCTTGAATGCAAGCGACTCTCAAAACAGCGACAACCCGGATCCTCATCTCACAACATCTCTTTCGGGTCCAACTCACACACGCAAGGGCATCAGCCCTACCGATGACATGGAGACATCCTGCGATACCGCGGCATCGATCCTCGTGGACCTCCATCACCACGTCGACCCTCAGCGAGCCCGCGCTGCCCTCGGCTGCAAAGGATCGAGCAGCTGCACGGTCAGCAACATTAAGATCTTTCAGCTCCTGGACAATTTCCCAGAGTGACGAGTTAACTATGCTTGACTACCTTACGTTACACTATTTCCAACCCCGTCTACCGGCAACCCAACGAAGCGCATACACCAAGCCCAGCAAAACAGGCACTTCGATCAGGGGCCCAACAGTGGATGCTAATGCCTCGTCGCTGTCTGGACCAAACGTCGCAATGGCCACCGCAATAGCCAGCTCAAAGTTGTTGCTCGCCGCCGTGAAGCTTTGCGTGACGAGAAACTGATACTCGAACCCAAGCATCCGACAAATGCCCACGGTGGTGAAGAAGACAATGGCAAAATACACAACAAGCGGAGCGGCAACACGAACAACCGACACAATCTGATGTACCACTTGGTGGCCTTGCTCGGCGAACAAGACCAGAATGGTGTACAGCAGCCCGATGAGAGACCATGGCGAAACGAAACGGATAAAGACGCGCTCATACCAGGCCGGGCCAGCCACGAAGCGGAGGGAGAACCTCGTCAGTATGGCTGCGCCAAGGGGGATGCCTAGAAACGCTGCGACGCTCGTTGCGACAACGGAGTATGATATCGAGACGACGTCGTCTTCATCGCTGATGACGCGAAGGAAGAAGATGGCGAGCGGTGCGAAGAGGACCATTTGCAGGATGGAGTTGACTGCGACGAGGATGGCGCAGTAGTCGTTGTTGCCGCCGGCGAGGGCGTTCCAGATGAGGACCTAGATCGCACATGTCAGCATTCATCTCTATCCAGCCATTCATTGGGGAATCAAGGCATACCATGGCGATGCATCTGCCGAGGCCCACGAGGATGAGGCCGTTTCGAAGATGGCTCTTGTCAGGAAGAAATGCCCACGAAAGCCCGAGCTGAGAAAGTGGTCAGTGGCCGGAGCAGAAGCAACGGAGAAACGGATGCTAACCATTAAGAAGGGGGCAATAATCCAGTTGACAATGACGCTGAAGCCAATCTGCTTCCAAAGCGCCCTCTTCGATAGGAGTAGGTGCAGGGACTCGTACTGGACCTTGCACAAGATGGGATACATCATGACCAAAAGTCCAACGGCTGTATAATCATCAGCAAGGCAAGCCATAATACTGAACGAAACTCGGTAACTTGCCTATGGGAACAGATACCCCGACAAACGTCCCCTTTGCCAACGCGGGCGACATGGACGGGACAAAGTTGCCGAGGATGATGCCCACGGCCATGGCGAGGAATATCCAGACTGCCAGGAAGCGATCCAATAAGCCTAGGGATGCAAAGGCAGATAATCTTCCTGTGTCTTGTGCATCTTTGCGGGTGCTCTGCTGGGCTTCTGGTTCGATCGATGACTTCTCGTTGCCCAATCCTGGGTCTGGAGGTGGTGTTGCTTTAAAGTCGGACATGGTCTGTTGTGGGCGTGATCGAACGCTGGAGAAGACAAAACGTGAAAACGACAAACGGAATGGGTTTGAGAAACAACACAGAGAAACAAAAGCAGATGGACTATCTTGTCAGCAGAATGATGAATGTTATAGAAGTGAACCACTCACTTGCTGGGATTTGGCAGCAAATCGAGGCATTGAGCAAGAACGGGGCCATTGTCGAGCTTGGCCAATCAGATGCAGGGCATGACACACTCCCGCCTCCTTCGACCACTACCCTGAAAACTCAACGACTGACTTGTCACCGGAGTTTATATTCAACAGTGAACAGATATCGCATGCCATTGAAGATGCCGTTTGTAGAGACACAGGGTCTATCAAGGTATTGAAAGCTGCATTACCCACTGCGTTAATTACCAAACAAAAGGAGAGGACGCTTTTAATCGATGAGTATTAGGCATATCGCCTAGACAAAAGGAACACGGTAGAAAATAAGCAACGTACACTATATGAAGAAGTAGAAGAAACTTCCCGTCATCAAGCTCACCAAAGACGACCAACCCCAAGCAACGGCTCCAGCCCAATTGGCACCGTCAGACCCCGACCCTGACCCCGACCCTGACCCTGGACCAGATGCGCTTCCCTTGCCAGTGATGTTTGCCGGAACATTCAACACTCCAGTGCTATTCGCAACGTCCTTGAACTCGATCCCTCCCACCCAAACCTTGGCAATATCCCGCGTGTTCGAAATGTTTGCTAGCGGGTTGCTGTTAAGCAGAACCAGATCAGCCCGCATGCCGGGCGCGATCTTGCCCCTGTCTGTCAGCTTGTGGTGTTGAGCTGCGAGCTCAGTTGCCGCACGCAGGGCTTCCACCGTCGTCAAACCTGCCTCGACGAGATTCTCCAGCTCAAAGTGCAAAGTGAGGCCAAACGGCACAGAAATGTTGGCATTGATGGTTCCAACGGCATCTGTGCCTGCCAAGATCGGGATCCCAGCAGCATGAATGGCCTTGACGTTCTCGTAGACATTCTCGTAACTGTCCGGACCACCAATCTTATGACCAAGAAACTGTAACAGGACAGGGTTCGAAAACGCATATCTCGCAATATTCATAGTGGGAGTGCTCCAGGTATGAGGGGACTTCCGAACGGTCATAACATTCGAAGCGTTGATGCGGCCGTTTGTAGGAATATGCTGGATCCCGTCCGTGCCAGAAACGGCTGCCTGTGCCCAGGCATCGAGATCAGCAGCATGCGTCATCGACTGCTTGCCAAGGTTGTGAACGGCCTCGACGAGCGAGTTCTGCAGCGCCTGGCTTGGCCCGTTGGCCTCGGCGGTGATTTTGTAAAAGTCGGAGCCGTTGCCAAAGGTGTACGACACGACCTCGGTGGCATTCGCGTCTGGGTAGATGAGATATGGCGCGGTGAGGTTGAACGTGCGCGAGTGTTGGCTGCCGGGGCCCGTGGCGGGGATGCCGGCCGAGAGGAAGGATGCCACGCCCTCGAGGTTGCGGAGGGGTGCGCACTGGGTGTAGTTCCGGCAGGACATGACCACGGCGGTGGTCACGCCGTATGAAGTCAGGGTTTCGAGGCCGGCGATGTCGGAGACGTGGACGTGGCTGTCGATGAGGCCGGGGATTAGGACGCCGCCGTGGCCATCGACTGTGGTTTCGATGCCGCTGGTGTCGTTGCTAATGTGTGAGCCGTCGATGATGATGGTTTGTAGGGGAGTGAGCTTGGTGCCGTCGAAGACGTGGACGTTCTTGATGGCTGTTTTTGTACGTGGACTGGGCTGTTGTCTGCGGGCCATGGCGTTGGGGCCTGGGGCTCGCTCTTGGAGGAGGTGCTCTACGCAGGCGAGGGTGCCGTGTGAGAGGGCTGAGGCGAGTGTAAGGAGCTGTACTGGCTTCATTATAAACAAAAGAAGAGAAAGAAGAATGTTTCACACAGGGGAAGGCAGATTGGGCTTGTAGGGAGCGTCTGGAAGTGTATTGTAATGCTTCCATGTGTTGAGGCTGTCCTGATGTGAATGTAGATACTGCCGAGAGGGGAAACTTGGACTTATATATCCAGCAGCTCCCATTTCAGCGTCACGTCAGTCAATCTACCATCAGTCTATCTTTATCATGTTACAGCTATCACGCCAATATTCGTACACTAGGCTCGAGAGAGCAGCATGCCGGGCTCTTCAACCTTCAAGGGCTGATGTATTAATCAACTTGAAGCTGCACCTGAGTATCAATCAGCCCACAGCTATGAAATGATTAAACGAATAACACTTGGTCAAATATCAAACCACAAATCTGTCACTCACCTAGTCAAGCGTACGAAGCCAATTCCTGTCCGATCCCACTACATGGCCCAAGGATCGCAAACTGCCGAAAGATGCATATCGAAACGCCTCTCCTCCCCCCCCATCTCATTGGCCAGCCCAACACAACCCATCGGCATCCCAAGCTAGCAGGGATCCAGCTCGTACACTAAGTCAGAGAAGGGTAGCTCAGGGGGTAGCCCGGGGGGGTAACCGATGCTCCTAGTATTCCCGGGGCAAGATCTGACGTTGCTATTCTCGTGCAGCCTCGTGGAGTCTCGAGGTGTGCAACTCCTCATGCACTCTGCCAGCGCGCCTCGTCTGATGGCTTTTCACTTCTGTACAAACGGCCTCCGGCTGCGTCACTGCGAATCGTAACCATCTATGTTTTCCAACTCCTGATCCCCATGCTTCATAAACGCAACGGCTTGAGCGCCACCTGAGAGCACGTAAAACGATAATAATCAAACGCAAGTCCTCGTACAGTCTTTGCACAATCAATCGCCAGTGTGAAGAATGACTGGTGGCTCGCGGACATTCCACCACAAGACTAGGAACGGCTGTGGCCGCTGCAAGAAGCGGCGAGTCAGGGTTCGTCTGCCTCTTCACCTTGTCCCATTCATGTCTTTACAACTAAGCGAACAGCCATGCTCATATGCAAGGCGTGTTAACCCGAATAGTGTAATCTACAAGCCCCGAGCTGCTACAACTGCACAAGACGAGGCGAGCTCTGCGACTATCGATTCCTCGGCAGAGATGCCACCACCAGCCCCCTGATTGTCTCGCCAAGTCATGCGGCGTATATGGAGAGACGCAGCTACACGAGTGGTTCCTCGTCTCCAGAGACGCCGCTAGTAGGACTGAGATTGTCGGTTATGGCTCCGGTTTCCCACCCTCAGGCTGATGTTGATGCTACGCCTGTAACAGCGGTGTCTTGCCATGTGGTTGATAGCATGGCGTTGTGTATGCTACGAGACGAAGAGAGTCACTTGATTCCTGATGAACTTGCCGGTCAGACGGATGCTAGCGAGTATCTCGAACACAACATGGCCATGATATCAACCCTCCACAGCAACTCCACCACTTCTCTCTTCAGCAACGACTCCGACAGAACAATATCCGATCTATCAGCATACCAGCATCAAATCGCAGCATCAAGCAAATTCCGCTCCTCCGTCAGCGCAATCAGCGACCGCAACTGGTTCACCGTCCTCGTCTTTGCCATATCCGTCCTCATCTTCCACTTCGACATCCACAGACGTACAAAACGCGGCAGCAGCCTTGCAGACGATGAACTCTTGGAACCCATCTTGGCTCTTCGGGGCGCTGCGCTGCTGGGCATCGAGTTGGGTCCGTGGCTCATGAAGAGCAGGTTGCTTACCGTTATACGAAGCCGTGTGGCGGCGGAGAACCCCCCGTGGGATCATCTTGCTGAACAGGCTGTCACGAATCTCCAGCTGATGAATGATGCTTCGCCGGCGATGCGGAGTAACAGGGCGGTGTACAGGGATGCGCTGGAGAAGATGCAGTTCTGGTTGCGGCTTACGTCGTGTCGACCGCGTACTTGGCTGCATTTTGTGTGGTGGCCTGGAGCCCTCGGCCAGGAGTATCTGCATCTCTTGGAGACGAGGGATTCGATGGCGCTTGTGATTCTCGTGCACTGGTGTGCCGTGATGAAGACCTCGCCGAGAAAGTGGTGGTTCATGGAGGGCTGGGCGGAGAATGTCGCCCGGCCGGTGATTGTGCGGATCGGGCCCGGGTGGGATGGTGCCATGGAGTGGGCGCTGTCGAGAATAAGGGGGAGTGTATGATTAGATCTTCTAACAGGCTTTGCTTGAATGTTCTTAAGCTAACATTTGCTTCAACTCCGGCTAATGATAGACAACAAAAAGTCATACTGTCCCCTCTTGTCCCCAGCTCGTGGGCTCATCACTCATCTCAAACTCAATCCTCCTCGCCTTGACAACCTGCCCATGCGTCAACATCGGCCTATCAATCTCTTCCCCATCAACCTTCAAACTCTTCACATACGCCTTCCCCTCCGTCCCCGCTCCCGGCGCCGAAATCACCAGCGTATGCTCCTTTCCACCGTCCCCGGGCCCGGCAGGCAATAATATCTCAACCTCGTCAAAGAACGGCGTCCCAACGACATACTCATCGCTCGCCGGATTCACAGGATAAAACCCCAGCGCAGACAAGACGTACCAAGCACTCATCTGGCCCAAATCTTCATTCCCGCTCAGCCCCGACGCAGTAGCATTGTAATTCTCCCAGGCCAGCTCGCGGATCTGCCGTGCCGCGTCAGCGGGATACCCAATCGCAGAGTACAAGTACGGGGCGTGATGCGAAGGCTCGTTGCTGTGCATGTTGTGCCCTCCCGCGAAGTACTCGTCCATCCGGGCCTTCATGGCTGCCTTGCCCCCCCTGAACAGCGAGGCCAGGCCGCCGACGTCGTGCATCACGTTGAGCGTGTAGATCCATTTGTCGCCTTCGGTCCACCCCCACGATTCGTTGGTCCACGTCCCGTTTGCGTTCCGAGCCTGCATGAACTGCGTCTCTGGGTTCCACAGCTTCCTGTAGTTCTGCGAACGCTCCCTCAGCTCCTTTGCATGCTCAGAGTCGCCCGTATGTTCAGCCACCACGGCCGCGGCGTAATCATCGAAGGAATAGTCCAGCGTGCGGCTGGCGGATTCCGCCCATCGATCGTTGTCGACCCAGCCGTGCTCGAGGTAGCTCGTCAATCCTGCTCGACATTCGTAGGGGGTGTTTGGTTCCCTGGAGTAGTAGAGAAGGTCTGTGTCATTGTCGGGCGGCACGTAAGCATCGACGTAGACAGCGTCCCAGGCTTTGGAAACGTCAAAGTCGTCGAAGCCTCGGACGAGGGCGTTTGCAATCACGGCATCGACATGCGTGGCAATCATCTCGTTGTTCTCAATCATGTTGTTCCATAGCGGTAGCCGGCCGGACCAGTCGAATATGCGCAGCAGTGACCGCATCATGGAATCGACGCGCTCGGGGGCAAAGATGGTCAAGAGCGAGTGCTCCGCCCTGTAGGTATCCCAGATGGACCACGACTGGTAGTATGAATCGTTTGCCTCGTGGACACTGTCCGTGTAGCCGCTGTAGAAGCGGCGCGTTCCCCCTTCGGACGAGGTGGTGGGTTCAGAATAGTCGCTGGGATACTGCAGAGCGTGAAACAAGCCCGTGTAAAAGATGGTTCGAGGATCATGATCGCCGTCGGTTTCGTTGACTCCAGAGATGTTAATTCTCCCCAGTCTTTCCCGCCAGGCCGATTTGACGTTTTCGACAGTGCTTTCAAACGCCGTTCCGTCCGGTATATCAATGTCGAGGTTCTTCCTGGCTTGCTCCACGCTCACATACGAGACGCCAGTCCTCACCTCGACTCTCTTAACGGAGTTGTCAAAGGCGACATACGCCCCCACAAACTTGTCCTCGATGTGTTGCTGCCCTTTGTACCAGTCACCCGCACGGCTGACTCCATAAGATGTAAACGGCACGGAGAAGCGAGACACAAAGTAGAGCCGGAAAGACTCAGGCTTGTCGGGACCTAGGAGATACTCTTGTCGCTGAGAGTTACTTCCTGACACCTCTTGAGCCTCGGGATCGATGTCGACATGGCCGGTCCAGTTGAGTCGGCTGGCCTGGATAATGAAATACGGCTGCCGTTCTTTTGCGTCCTGGAAATCAACGCGAAGATGCCCGACATGCGCCGATGCGCTCAGTGCCACTTGCAAGGAGTTTCGGTATCCGCTCCCTTGAGGGTGTTCGGATTCTGACGCATTTGCAGACGCACTCTGCAGGACGAGTTCATCCTGATTCTCCGGCTCAAACACATAGTCTCGTCTGACACGGCCATTCGCACCCTCCGTCACATCCTTGTTGGGCACAAACGCCGCACCGCCCGGACACGGCGGACACGCATCCCCAAGCAACTCGGACGTTGCCTGCTCCGTCAAATTCCACCCAAACTCACCACCCGAATCCGCATCCAGCGTGACTTCGTACACGTACGGCGCGCTCCTCTCGTCTTCCTTGCGGAAAGCCAGCCCGCGGTGCTGGAACAGCGGTCGGACCTCGTCCCCGAGAAGGCCCGGCATGAGCGTCACATGGCCGTTTTCGCCGATCCAGATGGCGGGCTGGTGGGTGGCCTGGAAGCCGTGCACGCGGCGGTCGCGGTCGTTGTAGGGGACCTGGGAGATGAAGTTTTCGCGCGTCTGGGGCGTCCATCGGGTCATGCCGAAGGGGGGCGATACGGAGGGGATCATGCCGCCGAGGTCGTTGGGGTCGTAGCCGCGGGTGCCGATGAGAGGGTTGACATGATGCAGGACGCCGGCGTTGGCGTGGTAGTCTGTTGATGACGGCTTGTGTTGGTGAGAGAGGGCTGTTGTGGACGAGGCCAGAGAGGAGGAGAGGACGCATATTGACAGGCACTTCATCGTGGATTGCGGTTTCAGTACAGTGACGAAGCTCACATTGGAACGAAGAGGATGTGGGAATGGACGAAGGTGAGAAGAAGCCGTCTGCTGCCAGCCACCGACCGAGACGGTATGACGAAAGAGTGCATGCACATGAAGCTGCTGAACGACAGGGTGGCGAGGCTGAGCACCTGACTGAGGACAGTTGGTTGTACCGTATCTCAGAATGTCACCTAACCGTTCAATGGATGCAGTTTGTAAGGAATAAAGACGACGACGCCAAGGGTCAGAGTCGCGATGCTGTAAGATGTTAAGATGTTCAGCCACGTTCGGCCCATTCCGGCGGCAGCGGCGTCGATCGTCCACTTTTTGCGGGGTACGAACCGGCATGTGCATCAGATGATGAGAATAGGTAGTAAGGGCAGCCATATACGATAGAATTGTGGTGGTTGGACGAGGTTCGGCAGTGTCATGGCCGTTCAACGTGATGACCGCAGTCTTGGATTATCAGTACATGTACTGTGCATTATCACGGCATCAGTTCAGGCTGCAAAACCTGTGAGAGCAAGAAGAGAACGAGGAAGGACCTTGAGGGCAACTCTCTACGCATCCAGATGTCGTGGGGAAATCCATGCCATCTTTGCTACCCGATACTCAATCACCATAATCATGGAGCGGATGAAAAGAAGCAGCCGCACAATGTTCTCTTCAACCCTGCAATTCTTCAATCCTCTTGATTCATATTGATCCGGTTTTCGTCAGTATAACCATCACGCATCACCACAAAACCGATCAACCTTAATCACAACCTTGCCCTTGGCCTTCCCCTGCTCTACCTTGTCATACGCAGCCTGAAAGTCCTCAAACTCAACCACGCTATCAATCTGCGGCTTCAACCCCCTTTCGTCGATAAAGTCCGCAATCTCCCTCAAATCGTCTCCCTTACAGTCCATCAAGAACCAAGTCGCCTTCGCCAGCGTCTTGTTCACGGCCTCCGGCTTCGCCTCCTCCGGCGAACCGACAATACTCAGCAAAACACCACCGTCCTTGACCGCAGCCCAGCACGATCCCAGAGTCGGTCCGCCAAGGCAGTCCAGCACCAGGTCCACCTCGCGAGAAGGGTCCTCCTTGGCCCACTCCTCGACGGACCGCTTCTTGTAGTCAATGACCTCCGTGGCGCCGGCCTTGTTCGCGGCCTCGATGTTTGCGCCGCTGACTTGGGCGACGACCGAACCGGCACCCGCAGCGGCCGCAAACTGCACTGCCCACGTCCCGACGCTGCCGCCGGCGCCGGTGATGAGGACGCGCAGCCTGCTGTTGTGAGCCCGGGCATCGGCATCGCCCCTGATGCCGCGCTTGTCGAGGATTCCCTGGGTGAACAGCCCCTGCCAGGCAGTCAACGTGCTGAGCGGCGTCGCAGCAGCCTCGGCCCAGTCCAGCGTCTTGGGCTTCAGCGCCAGCTCCTCCGTGTGCGCAATTGTGTACTCGCGCAGACACCCGGGGTATCTAGCATGCAGACGAAAGTACACCTCATCGCCAGGCTGAAAGGGGCTCGAAGGCGGCGCGGTGGCGACGACGCCGGCGGCCTCCGTCCCGGGCACGCGCTCCCGGTCCGGAGGGAAAAGCGATGGGTAGTTGATCTCCCAGCCCAGTTCGCCTAGACAGGGCGCCGTGGCCTTGATCTTAATGAGGTGCTCGTTCTCCCCGGTGGGTTTGGGCAAGGGGGTTTCCGTCAGCTTGAGCGTTGTGAGCTTGGGATCGATCTGGTAGACCGCTCGGATGGTGGTGGGGAGGTTTGCGGCGCCCATTTTGATGTATCGGTTGGCAGCGGACAGGAGATTGGGCATTATCCGTGACAGAGGGGGAGCAGAAGATAAGAAGGGGCTTGATCCAGCACCAAGAACTTCATCTACTTCATCAGAAAAGGCCCAGTCTTTATATAGTTCTCCTCGGAGTATGAAATTTGCCCCATCATGGTGATGATGCCTCCATACACTCTACCAGAATGCAAAGCCCGGCAAACCCCAGCTTCTTGGGTAGCCTTTCCGCTCGTTCAGCCGGGTATTCCATATTTCTCAGTCTGTTAAGCATCGAATCGCCGACTTCATTTCAGCTTTCCAGTATCGGCAACAAAAACCTTAAAAAAAAAAAAGAAAACCTAACTCAAAGAATATCAAGCGGCTTGAACGAGGCGCCGCCAGAAGTCGCTCCAACACCCTGCATGTCGATGTCGTTGTGTGTTAGGAGATTGGATATTCAGGGACTGCCGGGAAGCAGGTGGATCGGGCGCAAGTGAGTGCTGTGGATGTCACAACTCCGAAAGACTATCGCTTATCTTTCAGATATGTATAATCTGATTTGAGCGACTTGTACAGTATTCTGCATGTCATTCCGTATTGCCTGACAGGATGGGGATCTGAACTCACAGATAGAACCCCTGCTATTGCGATTCAACCGCCCTGCTCCGTGCTCCGGGTCTCCACCCCGGGCTCCATGTCGAAAGGTCCCAAAGCGGCAGCATATCCCGGTTCGGCAGATGGAAAGCTGATTTCGAGCGGCAGTCTATTTTGTCTGCTATATGTCTGCGTTTTGTTTCCTTTCTCGTAGCTACCTCTGGACTTATACTCTTGAGGAGAACATGTACGGTTGAAACGGGCGCGTTACAATGGATCATCCGTCATCAACTCATCTCGTAGAGAGCTTTGAGCACAGTCATGAGTCATCGTCACTGGCATCTCAATAAACACATGTCTCATACATTTCATTCATATCGTTCAATATCTGCTATGGTATTACATACTGCTAGGTATTGAACAACCGCCTCCTGTGAATCCATTCAGCGTAAATATGTGATGCCATTCCAGGAAGACTCACCGGGCCGGGCGCAATTCAATACATTACCTTAGCATCTAGGGGCATGGCGCAACGAGTAGGGGGGCGCAAGCCGCCTGGCAAGCCGCATACATCGCAGGACCACCAGGTCCACCGGCAGCCAGAGTCACTGCACAAGCCTGCTGACATACAGCATAAGCGCCTGGGCCGGCCAACGCGGCGCCGGGCAGAAGAACGGCGGCGAAAGCGATATTGACGAGCTTCATCTCCGTGTAGTAACAGGTTATTGATGGATGAATAGCCGGTGGCTGGTTTCGTCTGTCAAGGCTTTTTTGAAATATCAAGCATGGAACTGCCTGATGACTGAAAAGTATGGGCGGTCGTCGGGGCGAGCGTCCTTATTTATCCTTTGTAGGAAGAATATGGATCTCGATCTCATGGCCAACCTAGGTTCACCGAAGCGGCATCTTGATAGCTCTCTCTTGATAAATACCCCCTCATCGAGATCAGGTAGGATCATTCTCTCGTTATATGGAGATGAGTGTGACGCCACAGTAGTGGGTGATTGACGCCCGCGTTATAGCCCAAGCGCCGCCGTTTGCGAAATTATGATCTCGGTGGCAGTTCTCAGGAATTTTCTCGTCCATGGAATGTTCTTTTGTATTCTGGTCTATTCTCCCCATATATCACATGCTTGTTGAGAGTCGTGACCCTTCTGTTCCCAATCGTAGGGTCAACACCAGGTTCCTTGTGTCAACAGCAACTCAAGTGCTCCAATCTCGCCTTTTTCAGCTGCCGAATGAAGAGGCGAGTCCTCGTTTGTGTTTCTGCCGTTCAAACAAAGGACCCCATTCGGATGTGGAAGCAGGCAGACCAGGCGGATTCACCGTCTGGCGAGCGGAGTGAGCTGTGAGTTGGCGGCGTCGCTTCATGATATAAAGACACTAAGGAAGCAAGAGATAAGGAGAGAAGACGGATCAGTTGATATGAATATTACTATTAAAGGAGGCAATCTGATTGGTCGGCTTGACTGCTTCAACTCTTTTTGGACTTTCGCAAATCGTTTAAGCTTAGCTGAGTCTCAGTGAGTGGCTAGCCAGCACCCCAACTTGGCTATCCAGCATCCCGGTAAATCCATAGACATCTTTTCTGTTGCTACTTTTACCGCTACTATAGACATCAGAAATAAATTCTCTTTTCTCTTACTATTAGAATAACTATCTAGTGTTATCATATGCTTGAAAATTAGCCTTATATTCTGTATTAATGAATTTGGGATGTTGGATAAGGTGGCCAAGTTGGGGTGCTAGCAACACGAAGCCATTTCCTTAAAATGCCCCTCAAAGGCCGTGTACTGTAAGTACATAGTACCCATCACAATTGGGTCGAGGCCTTTCGTACAAGATTTCTCAGCTTCAACGAATTCACCATTTCAAAGATTGCACCACTGGAGGATGCCCAAGCTCGGTCCTCGGCGAATCTGCATTCCGGAATCTCTCGTACCGAGCATCTAAGTCAGTCCACGTTCGAAGCTGGTCTAGATTCTTGTCTATATCGGCCCCGTTCCGTGGCCCAAAGGGTCCAGTCTTTCCCAGTGAAGCTGGCCAAAGGCATGTGCCCGCCGACGTTTTTCTCAAAGCCTTTTTGACGTGATATGCCGGCTCTCAGCTACTGTAACTCTGCCACGAGCTTTGATGCGCGCCTTGAGTGTTTCGGTTTGCTCCAGAAGCTGAATAGCGACCCCCTCAGGGTAACCACAGCGTTGTTTCGCGTATAGTCATTGGCGTTGCAGAGAGCAAGTGGGTTGTGTATTTGCACACAATCGGGCAACTCATAATAGCCGAGGAACAATGTGTGATTGATACTGCGTCCCTCATGGGACATCAATGCCTTACCCTTGAACAGACGTAGCTGGAGATCTCGCTTGCAGGGTCCTGGGGCGATCTCCCAAAAAAGGCATCAGTGGAGAAGACCCCGAGTTGCCCCTGAACATGATGCGGTGGTCCACCCGTACCGCTGTCCTGTATTGTATTACATACTAGTTGTACAGTACCTACCTAGAGAAGGAAAGAAAAAAGAAAAAGAAATGCAGAAGATGAAGACGACTCGGCCGTCTGCCTATGTATACACACACAGAGGCACTGCGGCTTGACGGCGAGTCACGGCTTCATCCATTCGGCTGCCCGTGTCTCACGATCACGAGCCAATGATCCGGACCGCAATTCCGGGCTTTTCCAGCACACCGCGTCTCCGCCAACTGCTTCGTCTGAATGCTCACCTTCTGGTCACCGCTAATAAGATGCGGCGCCAAGAGGTTTAGCACCGTGGGCGTCAACAGGCCATTTCGCGTCAAGCATGGTACCTTCAAGTTATCAACGTGTATCCAAAACAGGCAGGACAAGCAGACAACATCAGTTTGTAACTGGTATGTAGTAGTAGCGTTTCGCTCCATCTCAACTGACCGCACGACCAATTCCGATGCACAAAACCCTCCCCCTATGCACTCCGGCTTTCCACCCCCAGCCCTGCAACGGCCCTGCGCCGAGTACTACAAGTAATAGATTGGCGGCAACAATGGCCTTGCCCATTTGCAGCTTAGCTTCGAAGCTGCTGCAGTGCCGGCAATGGAGCCTCCTTCGCCAGCTTAGCCGCCAGGAGCTGCGTTTGCAGGAATTGCGAGGCATTGAGCGCGTTCGTGCCGCTCATATGCTTGCCATTGTACAGAGTTGAGCTCCTCGAGCTGAGATGGCCGTCATTTCTGCGTCAAGTAAGCAGCCTCTCAGACTGAGACTTCTTGCTGTATCACCTGGTAACTGAGCATTACTAACTCTTGAGCTCCTCATACTTCGTCAACGCCCCCAAATCTCACGATAACATAAATAAAGTGGGCGCAAGCTCCCGGATCCCCCGTTCAAAAAATGGGTGGGCCTTGCGTCTTGGGCTTCATTTATTAGCCCCTGTTTCTCATGCTTCTTTTTTTCCCTCTCTCTTCTTTGCCGGGCCCCTGAAATGCGACTTCGCTTCGTGCTCCGTAATGCAATGACCGTTCTCCTTCTTTGACGATGGGCCTCCCCCAGTCTCCGTCTCCGTCTGGCCATCCCTCTTCATCGTGAGATTCGCCGCTTCTGCTTCACTCGAGCGGTCGCGTGCGTCTGACGCGGTCTTTGGCTTTCCGTTCTTTTTTATTTTTTATTTCTCCCCATCCTTTTGCCCCCCTGTCTTCTTCGTCTCTCTGATCAAAGACGCCCGACGAAACGGCTTTGGTTGACCCTTTTCTTTGCATTGCATCTTGACTATTCGACTTCAACCCCCCCTGGATTCTAAATCCACACGTGCTCTGTGCCCTGCCTACTTTCTCATCACCAACCCCGTACAATCCAGTCTTTGGCATAGATAACGACGGTCTGGTCGTGCGAAACACATTCGTTTATCTCGTGGAGTCTTCCCTTCTATCGAAACAAGACGTCCCCGCGGCCTGGCTGGAGCGGCAAGAGGCCAGTGCCGAACAGCTAGATGGCTCTGATTGTGGATATTGTGCGATCGGTCCTGTGCACTTCATGGCTTAACCTGTTGCTCTTCTTTGTGCCCATCGGCTATGTGGCGTACTTCCTCAACATCAACTCGACCCTCATCTTCATCTTCAACGCCCTCGCCATTGTGCCGCTGTCGTCCCTGCTTACGGATGTCACGGAGAAGATTGCCAGCGATGCCGGCGACACGATCGGCGCCATCCTCAACATCAGCCTCGGCAACCTCGTCGAGCTGATCCTTTTGTGAGTCTGATCAATCTCTTGATTCTCCTGAAGGTTGGAGATCCGGCGTCTTCCATCTTTCTCTCGTGTTGCCCCTCCAAGGTAACCTGTGCTGACCTGACTATAGCATGTAAGTCGAACTACCCTCACCGTCACGCGAGCAACCGATTGAACCCGTCGAACCGCTCGCGGCTCTCAACTCCTCGTCATGCTAACTCGACCCAGCGTCGCCCTCAAGAATGACCAGATCCGAGTTGTCCAGGCGTCTATCCTCGGGTCGATCCTGGTCAATCTGCTTCTGATTCTCGGCTCTGCGCTTCTTACGACCAAGCTCCCCGACCAAGAGTTTCTACACGATGCCGCCGGCACGCAGCTTCTGGGATCCCTCCTCTTTGTGTCGGTCTTTACCTTCCTTATGCCTGTAAGCCGCCACCCGCCGGGATGATGTCCGTTTATATGCCAGAAGTGCATGTGCTGATGCGGCCCCTTTGCTTCTATAGACGGCCTTTGACCACACTTTCAAAGGCACCGATGGTTCCGAGGGCATGAGCCTCAAGATGAGCAGGATATCGGCCGTCATGATCCTGCTCATTTATATTCTATACTTTATCCACGAAATCAAGACCCGAACGCCCCCCCACGACGTCGAAGCCGTACCCCACGACGAAGAAAACGACGATGCTACACTCTTCGACGGCCAGGACCACGTTCCTCTTCGGTCCATGGCCCTCTCTGCAGACGCATTGAATGGCTCCCAAGCCGCTCCCCGAACCGTTCGATTTGCCGACGTCAGCCCTACATCAGAACATGCGCCCCTGAAAGAGGGCGAGCGAGACAGCTTGGATGGACTGGACCCGGCGGAGAGCGGATTGGATGCCGAGGACTATCTGGACAATGGAGAGCCCAAGGAGGAAGCTGGCGAAGGCCTCTTTCAGACGTCACGACGGGGCAAGACAAGGGCTCGCTCGTTATCGCTAGGCTCCAGCAGAGGAGCGCTGAGCGAGACGTCGGAAGGAGGAGACCGGACGGAGCTGATGGCGCCGTATCTCACGACAAGGCAGATCCTGCGCGACAGCCACGTCAACCTCGACCGCATCGTCGCCAAGCCGAGGCACGTGTCGTTCGGGCCCCGGACGGACCGCATCATCTCCTACGTGATGCTGATCCTGACCTCGACCTTCATGTCCGTGTCGGCCGAGTTCCTGGCCAGCGCCATCGACGACGTGATCCGCCAGGGCCACCTGTCCGAGTCGCTCATCGGCCTCATCATCATGCCGATTGTCGGCAACGTGGCCGAATACGCCACCGTCGTCGTCGTCGCCGCAAGAGACAACATGGGGCTCGCGCTGGCGGTTTCGGTCGGCTCGTCGATCCAGATTGCGCTGTGCGTGACGCCCCTGACGGTCATTGCGGGCTGGATCATGGACCGGCCGCTGATGCTGACGTTCAACCTCTTTGAGATTGCCACGCTCTTTGGCTCCGTCCTGCTCGTCAACTTCTTGATCCTGGGCGAGGGCGTGAGCGGGCCGCTGCGGTCGAGCGGCCTCAAGGGCGGATTGATGTGTGCATGTTACGTGATTATCGGGTGAGTTTTTATCTGCTGAAACCTCTTCGTGCTTGTATGGGCATTTTGCTGACCACGTCCCAACAGACTCGGGGCTTATCTGTCTCCCTAAAGCAGATGCGAATCATCCGACCATTTTTGTATATCCATAGATTGCCGCATGTAAAGCAGCATCGATGACTTAGAGAGCATCTGATAATAGAGCTACCATTAATGACCACATAAACCAACACGAAACTTTTGCTCAAGTAGTACAGACTTGGCGTTGATAGAATCTGGTTGATTATGTAATCGCACTTCTACGATACTCGAGCTTTAACCTTAAAATCAACATCCTAACCAATGACTTCACCTTCGTGAGGCTCGTCATACTTCAAGCCACGGCTCGTCTGCTTTGGCGGCATTTCGCCAGTTGCCTTTGTTCCATACACACGGCCATGCGGCGTGAGAGGGACGACTCCGATGATGAAGACATTCCGCTGCACCACAAACGCCCGTTTGGCGCTGGGCTGAAGCGCAAGAGGATCGAATTCGTCAGAGCGACAGATGCGGACGCAGGCAATACCATCAAGGACGCGGCAAAGCAATCCGCGTCCATTGGTGACGTCTACGCCAGCATAGTCCTGGGAAGCAGCTCAAAGAACTCCTCAGCGACTCCTCAGGCCATCGGCGATGAAAAGGATGGCCCGAACGAGGACGGTGCCGCCTCTGCCACCAAGGAGGAGACAGAGCCTCCCATATGCCCCGTCTGCTCCCTCCCCATCACCACAACGCCGCAGCAGCACGAGGCCTCGCTCGCCCACCAGGTGAGCCTGGAGCACTCCCATCCACCATCGGCCCTGGATCGGTCGCGCATGGGTTTGCGAGCCCTGGAGTCTCAGGGCTGGGACCCCGATTCCCGGCTCGGCCTAGGCCGCACCGGCGAGGGCGCCCGGTTCCCGATCAAGGCGGCCCCGAAGGAGGACACGCTGGGGCTGGGGGCGACGAAGCCGCAGGTGGTTGAGGTCAAAGAGAAGAAGCCGCGGGCGCTGAGCCGCAGGGAGATGCGCGCTCTGGCGGAGAGGGAGAGGAGAAAGGGGGAGAGGTTGCAGGCTGAGATATACGGACGGGTAGATGTGGAAAAGTATCTCAGGGGCAACGGAGGCGAGGATGGGCTATGATGCTTTGGAGACCTTACAAATATAAATGCTATCGATCAAATATCAGCAGAGTTATCAAAATATCTTGATCTGGCTGGAGGACATGGGAATCTAGCATCATCCATGGTCCTTTGTGACGCCGAATCGCCTTGCCCGCCTCTTCCGCATCGAGCTGTCCCGAGACCCCTGGAACCTCTTTGCGCCAGGGGGTCTCTTCAGCGAACTGCAGTGACCTCATCGCCCCGCGACAGCGCGACCAGCCACCGCCTAGCGCTAAAGTTAGGGGCCAGGCGCTAGAGCCCGAGCCTGAAGCAGCGCCGGAGTTTCAGCCTGTGCGCACCAACCCCGCCAAAGCCCGACCTGCCCTGCTCTCTCCCAGCCTTGGGGGTGATGCTTCAACCAAACAAACTCGGTTCTCCCTCAGCCTCGACCCCGATTCAAGCTTGCAGCTGCTGGCCCAGGCCCCTCCTTTTGTGCGCTACGAGGAGAAGATACCAGTCGCAACCGGTCTCTTTGTCGCAAGCTGATCCTCTGTCTGTCCGTCTCGTTCCTTTCGGCCTGTCGTTGAGCTTCGTTCCATCACCGCCTGACGGACAGCTCCGTTGAACTCCCGTCACAATGGGGTTGTCCATTATCGAGGAGCAGCACAATGGTATGGGATCTGCTCCTCTTGCGCCGGCGAAGCTGGCTGTATCGCATATCTGACAACAGTTGCAGTTATCTTGCAGGAAATCAAGAACATTACGCAGAACGACGTACGGGACCGCCTGCCCCTGTCTTTGTCTCCTTACCGGTCGACCGCGATGCTCATACTGACGGTTTCGAACTGCAGTGGAAATGCCTGATTGTGGACGAGACCTCCAAGAAGATTGTCGACAATGTGGTCAAGTCGGATGACATCCTCAACAGCAACATTGCCAGTCTGTCTCCCTCCCCCCCTTCCCTTGGGCTGCGGTTGTGAGCCCTTTCATTTGCTGACCCGACGTCTCCTGCAGCCATCGAGCTCATCGAAGCACGTCGCGAGTTCAACCCGGAGATGGACGCAATCTACCTGCTCAGCCCCGAGCCGCACATTGTCGAATGCCTGCTGGCCGATTTCGAGGTACGGCGCTACCGGAGAGGCTTCCTGGTGTGGACGAACTTGTTGGACCCTGGGCTGCGGAGACGGATCGACGAGTTCCCGGGGGTGCGGCAGCTGCGCGCGAGCTCGCGGACGCTCTTTGTAGACTTTTATCCTCGAGAGACACACCTGGTGACGTTTCGCGATCCGTGGAGTTTTCCCATGCTTTTTCACCCGGCGTGCAACGCGCTCGTCCCTAAGCACCTGCAGCTGCTTGCGCAAAGGGTAAGCTTCGAGCGGTCTTCTCTGTTAGGAGAGAATGTATGAGTGTACTGATGATCTTGGGGCTAGATTGCGGGAATATGCATTACGCTGGGAGAGTATCCCAAGGTAAGATACTACCGGCCGAAGAATGCTGTTCACGAAGCGTCCGTCCTGTGCACACATCTGGCGAGATTCGTACAAGAAGAACTGGACGGCTATGCTCAGTGGGATTCCAACTTCCCGCCTCCGTCAACCAGGCCACAGTCGACACTGCTGATAACGGACCGCTCGATGGACCTCATGGCACCGCTGGTACACGAGTTCACATACCAAGCCATGGCGCACGATCTGCTCCCCATCAAGGACGGCGACAAGGTGACCTTTCACACGATAATCAACGAGGGAACGCCGGAGGCACAGGAGAAGGATATGGAGTTGGCGGAAAAGGACAAGATCTGGGTCGAAAACCGCCATCGTCACATGAAGGACACGATTGACAAGCTCATGGGCGACTTCCGGAAGTTCTTGGACCAAAACCCCCACTTCACCAAAGAGAATCCCGATACGACGAGCCTGAGCGCCATTCGAGACATGATGGCGGGGCTGCCCCAGTTTCAGGAGATGAAGGAGGCCTACTCTCTGCATCTCACCATGGCCCAGGAGTGTATGAACATCTTCCAGCGCCACAAACTGTCCGACACCGCGGTCACGGAGCAGACGCTTGCTACCGGGCTGGATGAAGACTACAAGAAGCCAAAGAACATTCTGGATTCAGTGGTGCGATTGCTGGACGACGATGCGGTAACTCCGGGAGACCGACTGCGCCTGGTCGCCATGTATGCGCTATACCGTGACGGCATGATATTGGACGATATCAAGAAACTGCTTGCGCACTCGAAGCTGCCGCCTCAAGATGCCGAAACTGTCCTCAACCTTGAGCATATCGGCGGGAGGCCCATCAAGCAGCTGAAGGAGCAGCGACAGCCGATACCTCCCCTATTCCCTGTTGACACGAAGAATGCGCAGAACGAGGACGACTACTCCCTGACCCGCTTCGAGCCTGTTCTCAAACAGGTGCTGGATAATCTGACCAAGGGAACTCTAGATCAGACCGTCTTCCCGTACGTCAAGCCGCCGCTCGATCCCAACGAAGACCTTATGGCCGCTCAAGCAGGCTCACTCCGTGCTGCCGGACGACCAAACTGGGCGGCGGCGGGACGACGGCCGCCCGAGAACCGCCAGAGGCTGATTGTCTTCATGGCCGGCGGTGCTACATATAGCGAGAGCAGGGCGTGCTACGAGATGAGCAACGAGCGAAGCCGTGATATCATCCTGGCGACCTCCCACATGCTCACCCCCCAGCTCTTCCTTCGACAGATTGGAGACTTGAGCCGCGATAAAAGACAGCTAGATCTCCCCGTCGAGCGCAAGAGGCACGCGCCCCAGCATCTCTTTGAGCGTCCAGCGCCGCCACCTCCTCCGCCCCAGGCCGCCCGCCCGCCACCACAGCAGCAGCCGATGGCTCCAGGAGTGCCTCGGCCTGGCGTTGCCCCGAACCAGCCAATGTCGCGGCCAGGCGGTCTCCCCAGTCGACCGTCTCCTGGCGGCGCGGTTCCCACGCAAGCCATGGCAAACATGCACATCAACAACTCGAGCGGACACCGGCCCACGACCTCGAACAGCTCATACGACGACGGCAAGGCGCACAAGGAGAAGAAGAGGAGGAACTTCTTGGGCTTGAAGAAGTAGGGTTCTTTTCGCGGGAGGTCCTTGTCTTCTGGGTCTGCGGCGCCTGGCGGGAACAAGATTACGAAGCCGCGTGCTTGACGACGGGGGAAAAACACCACTTGTGTTTTTTATCTCTCACTCCCGTACGATGAGGTTTCAAACACCCTTTGCTTCTTGGACTCCTGGTTTTCATTTTTATCTTTTTTATCTTTTCGAGAGGAAACTTTTGGGTACTACAACAATTTTCTTTCTGCTTCCCTAAAAGCGTGGCGTGGAGAAAGTTTTGAGCGATACTAGTTGTTATTTGTTGGTGGCGGCCAATGCAAAATGCGGATGGGATCCATGTCTGTATGTTAATATGTATCGTGGTTGAGTCGGGTTTCTCATGTTCATGAGGTGATGTGAATGCTTAACGGTAGTATGAGAGCGCGTTAATAGTTCCATTTCTTGCTGAAATTCCATATAGATGTTCTTCGCTTTAAAATGTCTTGTAAAAAACCATGTCTTTGCCTATACTTGAAAATGAAAAAGGAAGATTGGTTGGTATAGGCTCTTGAACGACAAAAGGCCACATGATGAAATACAACGCTGTCCCATCATCATACATGACTCAAAAACATATACAAATACCCGACAAGTAACTCATCAAAACAGAAACTCCCCATCATTGACCCTGCTGAAGAAGAGGAACAAGAAAAAGAAAAAGCCCATCAGAATCGTAGCTCGACAGCCTGCTTGGCCCGATTGACCCTCTCCTGCGTCCTCTTGACCCTCTCCTCATCCTGATCCCTCCTCCACCTGCAACTCGCCGCAAACTCGCACGACGAGCACTTGAAGGCCTCCTCGAGCCTGACGCCGCGCGGCCTCCTCTCGCCCTTCCACCAGCCCAAGTCGCCCGCGAGATAGGCATCCAGCGCCTGTTCCGACACGGGGAAGTCGTGGACGTTGAGCTCGCGGCTGTCTTCCCGGAAGACGTACTGCACGCGGAGGATGGGGCCGAGGGACTCCGCGCCGCGGGGGAACGTGAGTCGGATTTCGTTCCCGACGAGCGTGAGGAGTTCGCGGAGGGAGCCGTATTTCAGGAGGTCGGGGACGCCGGGGGATGAGTCAATGGTGGTGGTGTTGTCGTTTGGAGGGGCGCGCTCTTTGCTTGCGTTGTTGGGCTGGTCAGCGTATTCCTCTGCAGAGCTCGTCGGGGTGTCGAAGAAGATTTCGTCGTGGAGCTCTCCTATCTGGGACATGAATGTGTCGGAGAAGCGTTCGTCGGCGTCGAGGCCGTATCGTCTAAACACTCTAAAGTAGTCTAGCTTGCCGGCCGCCATGTCTGACAACAGGCGATGGTATAGCAGTAGTTGAATCTTTGCAGGGCGAATGACGGCTGGTGATATAGGTGACAAGGTTCCCCGGGTCTTGACGTCGGTGAGGAAAATCTGGCGGTTGCTGCCACTAGGTTTGCCAGACCTGGGGGGTGGAAAGTAGTCGGATATGAACGATTGGTTGGGGTTGGGCTCATTTGCTCTGCTGGAGAGCTCTTCTTCGAATTCCGGGTTCGGATTGTCGTAGCTTAGATGATCGATGACACCGTTGACCAGGTTGCCGTCCACCATGCCCCAGACCTCGAGCTCCCTCGTCATGCCCGTATCCCGCAGCGTTCTGAGCCCTTGAACAAGATTCCACAGTCTCAAGCCGAATCCATCTTCCTTGTTGAGGATCTCAATTTTGACGGTCGTGTGGACCTCGTCTTCCAGCTTCTTATGCACCTTGGACCCTTGCTGCATGGCCGGCGTGCGAGTTTTCCGTCCGCCAGGCAGCCGCGTGAGCGTATACCAGTACTGGAGCTCGCACCATGCGCCAGCAGTCAGATCGCTCACTGTGAGAGGCCTCTTGGGAAACGATCGGAACCTCTGCAGTGGCGAGCGGTCGTCTTCGAATGCGGCGTCATCGTCATCGTCGCTGGCGTCTGTAGGCGGCGGCGACTGGACGGATTCGATCGCTTTCAACGCGCTGGTAACTGCAGGAAGCGTTAGTTGGTCACTCAAGACCGCGTGGCCTCAGGGCAGGGGGGTGATGCTCACGATCGGGGTAAATGACTGTTCCATCGACGGAGGAAGCAGACGGGAAAGCCTGCTTCAGGTCTTTCGTTGGTGTTGGCGATGGTTCCTGCTTCTTCTCGACCTGGCTGAGCGGGATCGCGGCGCTGCGGAGTGCATATTTCTGAGACTGCTTGTTCTCTTGTGAAGCCTCAAAGTGCGCGCTGGGAGCTGCACCGAGAGCAATCGTGTCTGTTGATTGTTTCGGCGGCAGCGAGTGTTTCGAAGCCAGTTGTATGAGAAGCTCTTCGTCGTCGGATTCGAAATCGTAGCCAAACTCGTCGTCGCTCGTTTGTGCGAGCGAGGCGTTCATGATGACCGCAGCCAACCGGGCATGGTGTTTGTCTGTGGTTTCGCCTGCGTGAGCGAATGCGATGGCGGGGGAGCGTGACTCTGGCTGAGGCTGGTGGCGGCGGAGGATCGCGATAGGCACACGCAGTCACGTGCGCCAGGCAGCTGCAGGCCAAACAGGTAACACTTCAAGTTGATGCCTCAGGTAATACTAGTAGGTCGTCAAAGATATAGTATTACTAGTACGGAGTACTAGGTCTCAGTGTTTCTCTTTGGCCCAGACCTGTGGTACAGGATGTGGATTATCAGAGGTCTGCGTCAAACCCATGTACATGCAGGTAAGACACTTTGTTTCAAGCTTCTTTCATAACCCCTCCTCTACCTACTAGATCAGTCACTGTTAATGTATGTACTAGTTGTATATGTGAATATCAACAGCTTCTTCCTCTCCCATTCGCGGAATAATGCCTCGTGTCCTTCGCCTAGTTGCACGTTTGACGATGCACATGTCCGTGTTCGTATATGCAGAGCCATTGAGGCCGGATCCGTACTTGTACTTGTAGGCGCAGCAATACTTCGTATCTACCTAATCACTCGGCCTCTCTACCCAAGGCGGCAAGTGGGCACGACCTCCAGGCCTTGGTGGGTATGACCGCATCTGACGGCGTTAGTCAGCAGCTCTTTTGACAGCGGGACGCGCATCCAGGGACAAAAGACAAAGAAAGGGACCAAGTACATACAACGGAAGCTCTTGAAGCTGCGCCTCTCCAACCTCGGGATCCAACAGTCTGCAGCTCCCGCCTGGCAGCAGTTCCGAGCCGTCGATTGTCCCTTTTCCTGCCTGAGATTCGCCCTCAATTGCGAGCAGCATCGGAGCACGCCTGGCTGCGTCACTCCTGAACAGGTCGCCGCAATCTGGCCTGAGCTCCACGGCCGTCACTCGACGATTCCGCCACCGACAACCTCGCCTCTCCCACCTCCGACAGCCTGCGTGGCATGATATAACCCTCCGCACGATGCATCTCCGGAATCCTGCGCCCACGGCGCTTCTGGCGGCCCTCCTCGCGCCGCTGGCGTCCGCCTTCTACCTCCCCGGCGTCGCTCCCACCTCATACAAGCCCGGCGATCAAGTCCCGCTATTCGTCAACAGCATCAAGCCCGTCGCAGCGCCGCAAGATGCCCGGCTGCACTCGGTCGTCTCGTACGACTACTACCACCCGGCCTTCCAGTTCTGCAAGCCCGAGGGCGGGCCGAAATATGTGTCGGAGAGCCTGGGTAGCATCCTCTTTGGCGACAGGATAATGACGTCCCCTTTCGAGCTCAAGATGAAGCAGAACGAGACCTGCAAGGCGCTCTGCTCTGTCAAATACCAGGAGAAGTCGGTCGAGTTTGTCGCGACGAGGATCGAACAGGGCTACAGCCTCAATTGGCTCGTCGATGGGCTCCCCGCCGGCCAGCAGATCCAGGACCAGCTCACGGGCACGACCTTCTACAGCCCCGGTTTCCTGCTTGGACAGGACGACGAGCAAGGCAACATCCTCTTCAACAACCACTACGAGATTTGGGTGGAATACCATGAGGTCAGCGGCAACGAGAACCAGCTGCGAGTCGTTGGCGTCGTCGTCCAGCCCAGCTCCAAAAAGTACGAGGGAGAGGCCGATTGCGGTGACCACCCGCCACTCGTCTTCGCTCACGGCTCCGGACCCCACGAAGTCAAGTTTAGCTACAGCGTCTACTGGGTCAAGTCGCCCACCGCTTGGGCTACCCGGTGGGACAAGTATCTGCACGTCTTTGACCCCAAGATTCACTGGTTCTGGCTCGTCGACACCGCCATCATCGTCGTCATCCTGGTCCTCACCGTCATGTCCATCCTGATCCGGACTCTGAAGAAGGACATTGCGCGCTACAATCGCCTTGACCAGATCAACCTGGATGATTTGAGCGGCACCTCTGTGCTTGAAGATGGAGTCCAGGAAGACTCGGGCTGGAAGCTGGTCCACGGCGATGTCTTCCGAACCCCGTCGCGCCCACTGCTGCTGTCTGTCCTTTTGGGCAACGGAGCCCAGCTGTTCGTCATGACCGGCTTTACCATTGTATTTGCTCTGCTAGGTTTCCTGTCGCCCTCCAACCGCGGATCCTTGGGCACCATCATGATCATCCTCTACACCGTTCTCGGCGTTGTTGGCGGATACGTATCTGCTAGGACGTACAAGGCCATGCAGGGCGAGCAGTGGAAGCTCAACATTGTGCTGACCCCTTTGCTTGTCCCCGGCATCGTCTTCTCCGCCTTTTTCCTGCTGGATCTCTTCCTCTGGGCCAAGGAGTCTTCTGGCGCCGTGCCATTTACCACAATGCTGGTCATCGTCGGCATCTGGTTCGTCATCTCCATCCCCCTCTCGTTTGCGGGTTCCTGGCTGGGCTTCAAGGCCCCTCAGATCGAAGCCCCCGTCCGCACCAACCAGATCCCTCGCCAGATCCCCCCGGTCACGACATACTTGCAGCCCATTCCCAGTATGCTCATTGTTGGTCTCTTGCCCTTTGGCGCCATCTTCGTTGAGCTGTACTTTATCATGAGCTCCATCTGGTTCAGCCGCATTTACTACATGTTTGGCTTCCTCTTCCTCTGCTACGGCCTCATGATTGCCGTCTGCAGCGCCGTCACCATCCTGATGACCTACTTCTTGCTATGTGCCGAGAACTACAACTGGCAGTGGAGGTCATTCCTTGCTGCGGGCATGAGCGGCGGCTACGTCTTCCTGAATTGCCTGCTGTATCTGGTCACCAAGGTTAAGCTGGGCGGTCTTGCGGGCACAGTTCTGTACATTGGCTACAGCGCGCTGATTTCCTTTTTGTTCTTTATCCTTTCAGGTATGTTGTCGGCCCCGTCCCTTGTTCTTACGGCCAATGTTGTCTAACATTTGCCCCAGGCACGATTGGCTACTTTGCTTCGTGGTGGTTCGTTCGGAAGATTTACTCTTCCATCAAGATTGATTAAAAGAAAAGGACCGTTGCTATAGGCGTGATAGCGATATGTTTGAATTACGCCCTGGCAACTCAGAAAGGAGCCTTTCTTTCTTCGAGAATATTTGCCCACTTCAGGGTCACCTGTAAAGTACATGTACGACCATGGTTCGCGGAGGGTATCGCCATGATGAGGATGGAAGGAAAAAAAGCAGGCGGTTTCTCCTATTTTGCACATTTACAGCACCGAGATTTCCTCCTTTCCATTTCGATGCAATCTTGGAGGGGGTGAGCGCGGTACAGAGCGTTGCGGGATAGACTTGACGATTATTGAAAACCTCTTTCGACTCCCGGTGCCTGCTTATTCTTGGCTGTGTCACAATACCAGCTGGGCATGTTTGATTGCTTTGCTAGAAGGTAGATAATTCAGTGAAGTCGGGTGATCAAGAGCTCCTTGACCTTCTGTACTGGTATTGAAACCCAACTCTATGCTCTATCATCCCCAGATATCCAAGAACTTGCCATTATTATAACGTACCCTGTGTATATCCCTTGAACCAAACTCCAACGAAGCAAGCCTCTAGTCCTCATCATCATCGTCGTCCAAATCATCCAGATTCGTAAACTGAAACTGCTTCTTCTCCGCCTTTGCGCTGGGCGGCCCGCTGACGCCCGCGTCCCCGGAAACACCAGCCGCGGTGCTCGCCCTGCGCCACTCCGCCTGCTGCTTCTCCATCGCCCGCTGCCGCTCCTGTCGCTGGCGCTCTGCTTCCCGCTCGCGCTCGGCGCGCTCTTGCTTCTCCCTTTCCTCTCTCTCCTTGCGCTCTTCTTCTTCTCTGCGCTTGCGCTCCTCTTCGGCGACGGGGTTGTAGCCGCGGGGGTCGATACCTTGTTCGAGGAGGATCTGGTTGGATGCGAGGGCTCCGGAACGGATCTTGTCTTCGAGCGGCCAGGGAAAGAAGAGCTGTCCTGATAAAGGGTTGAGGAACTGGTTCATGTTGTCTGGAAGACTTGTATGCGCCGAGGCCTGCGTCTGCTGCTGCTCGGCGACGCCATTGGTAGGAGCGGGACTCTGCATGGGATTACTCGGAGTCTGCGCGGACGGCGTCATGGCCGCCTGGGAGGCCTGGGGCCCGGCATCGGGAACCGGCGTCTGGCTCTCTTGGTTCGCGGGGGCCCCGGCCATGGCGTTGAGGATGGCGGCGGGCGGCATGGACGTCTTGCTGATGCGGCGGGCGAAGCCGAGGAGCTCCTCGTAGAGGAATGGGTAGTTTGGTTCGGACGGGTAGGTGGTGACCTGGGTGGTGACGAGGTCCTTGCGCGTCGTCGCGAGGGAGGTGAGGGTTTCGCGGATCTGGGCGTCGAGGGCGTTGGACATTTGGCGGAGCTGCTGGATCTTGAGGTGGTTCTTCTGATGGATCTCGACTGGCGAAAAGGGTGGGAGCTTGTCAGTCCTTTTTTTTTCTCTTCTTTCTATGCGCTTGTCTGTCGAGGTGTCTAAGGGGGAGGGGCCGTCGTCGCTATCTTACCTTGCTCCAGGCCTTTGCAGAGTTCATTGTCGGCGTTCTTGAGCTCTTCTGCTTGGATCGGCGAGGGGTGGTATTTCGTGACGGAGTCGATGAGCGTCGCCAGGGCCTTTTCCAGGCGCTCGAAGCGGCTGTCAATGTACGTGTCCATGGTCTGTTGCGGCTTCAGCCTCTTCCAAGCGCGAGATTGCAATAAGTAACAAGAGAGACGTTGATAGTTCGAGAGCAAGAGGCCAAAGAAGAGACGAGGCTGAATTCCGCTACGTACCTTTTGAGCATCGAAAGCTGGTGTGGGGCCAACAAAGGGCGATCATGCGATTGGCCCCGGCAGGAAGTGCAAGGCCTGCTTAGTCATGGCCTCGGGCCCAAAACCTCGCCGAGAATCGCCGGGAATCTGCAAACTCGCGCATTTTTTGGTGACGACAACGAATTGACGAGCAATTGAACGGTATTCGCTGCCAGAACTAGTCAAGATGGTTTCTCCGGTATGTCACGGATGCTCCTGTCAGGTTAACGACAGTTTGATTGTCTGCCTTGGTTGGGCAAGACTGGGATCGGGAGGGCAATTCGTGCAAGCAGAGTAGAAGAGCTAACTCTTGTTGCGAATAGACTCCTTTCCGCGCTGGGGAGTACCGCAGCCCCTACGGCCCCAAGTACGTTCGACCTCTGTGATTCCGGCGATGAATAAAGAATGTTATGTAGGGGAGGGACTACGCGATGCGAAAGAGGAGGCGATTGGGAGGAGAAGCTTGCGGCTGTGGTAGTCTGCGCATTGGACGGAGGTGTAGATGGACTGACATTTGGCAAAGATACGCTTTCCAGCCCCACTACCGCGGCATCAACCTGCAGACCGCTGTCCGATAGTGAGTCTTCATTTTCGATACTCTGGTGATCTTGGTAGAAGGGCCGCAGGAAGTGTCGAAACGAGCTCGGAGAGTGGTGGGGGAAGTGGTGTGATGGGGGAGTTCCTAGACATCAACGGACCCCTGAGAACTTTCCGAACGACGACGATTCGATACAGCCTGGCCTTTTCCAAGATCTCGAGTCTTCATGCCGACTTCAGTCGTCCATGACCTTGCTAACAAGTATCCAGCGGCGTGCGAACTGCCACCATTGGCGGCGGCCTCGGCGTTGCCCTGCTGCTCTTCGCCTCCAGCATGCCCCGCGTCCGCGCCGACATCCTCTCCGTAAGCTCTCCCACAGCTCCAGTGAAGGGCAGGGGTGGATGAATGAATGCTCACAAGCTGTCTAGAAATTCCCCGTCGTTGGCAAGCTCTTTGAGAAGCAGGAGCCTCACCCTGCTGACAACGTAAGATTCCCTCTTTGATGCTCTGAATGCGGGAACCTTGGATGCTGACTGGTGATACGCCCTAGCCCTTCTAAACGGACGCATGGTATGGTGTTTCGGTGAAAGAAAAAAAAGTAAATCAAGGCCTTGCGCAGCGGTTGCGGCGGCTTGCCTTTGTATAAGAGATACACAATAGACTTTTCTACCTATGCACTACGTAGTTGGATGCCCTTCCTCATGCGGCGTGTGACTGTTCTGAACGGTTTCTAATGCCCTTCATGTCCCTATATGATTCCAAGTCGGGAACTGTCGATATCAAGTCTTGAAAAGCGACACTTATCCATTTTACAGCCCCTCCTCCCTGCTATTGTACAGTTTTTATTCTGGTATTGCCACTGTACGTTCCTGCATCATCTGGACAGCTCATCTCATTTCAACCTCTCGGTGTTTCAACACAAGCCAGACATCAATACATGAGTCTCAAATCGGAACATGATACGCTCATTATAACCCTCACTGCTCTGCCGTGCATGATTGCACGTCTCGTCTCTCTTTAAGGCTCTATTAGCCAATTCGCGACACCTTCTTCCGCCAACATGGCATCAACCGCCCCTGATGCCCGTTCCTTGGGAGCAAACTTGCAGTTCACAACATGGGCTGTCGGTGCTGTCCCCATTGCCTTTCTGGTACACGTATTGCTCTTCGGAGGCAGCGGAAGTCCTTCTGGCGGTCTGGGTCTCTTTTTCACCGTTTCCCTCACTGCAGCGGCTTTTCTATGGCTGGGCCTGGTATCTGAAATCGTCCCCGAGCCGTATCTGGTGAGCACGAATCAACAAACCAAGAACACAGTGTGGCATGTGCTCATGATGCATAAACAGGATGAAGTCTTTCATATCCCTCAAGCCCAAAGATACTGCCAAGGCAAGTTCCTAGAATGGGACAACAAAATCACCACACCCCCAGGACTGTGAGTGGTGTCTGTGCTTCTCGATTCACAGAATCGCCTCTAATGTGCTGCCAGATACTGGGTCTCCATCTTGATCCCCCAAGCGGCCAAGATGAGCGGCCTCCTATCCTCCTACACATGCGACCCCAAGACCCTCCGCGTCACAAACGCACTCGGCATCCTCGTCCTGGCCTACTTCGCCCTACAATGCCGGAAGGAAATCGAAGCACGCCTGCACCAAGCGCATTCACCCCTTCGCTTAAACGGCACATCACAGTACGCCATGCACACGGCGTTCAACATCGCGCTGTTCCCCTTGCTGTTCTTCTTTTCGGGGCTGTACTACACGGACGTGGTGTCTACCGCCGTTGTGCTTGCGTCGTTTCTGAACCATTCGCGTCGAGTGGCAAGGTCTCAAAGTTCGCTTGTTAGTGATCTTGTGACGATCCGGCTGGGGCTCTTCGCTCTTACTATGAGGCAGACGAATGTGTTTTGGGTGGTTGTCTTTATGGGCGGGCTGGAGGCTGTTCATGCGGTCAAGACGTTGCGGCCAGAGGCTGTCAAGCGGCCGTTGATGACGACGTTGTCGGAGCAGTTGCTGTTTGTCGTCAAGAGGTGGTCTGTTGGACATGTGCATGACTTGCCGCTGCACATGGCGTATCCCGAGGGTGAGGCTAAAGACAAGATTGAGTTTTTATCAACCTGGAAAGCTAACTTGTGAATTGGAGACATGCTATTCACTGCCGTCAGTCTCGTAATAGCAGCCCTCTGCAATCCTATCCGTGTATTGAGACAGACATGGCCATACGTCTTCGTCTTGGGCGCCTTTGGCGGGTTCGTAGGATGGAACGGGGGCGTTGTTCTCGGAGACAAGTCGAACCATGTCGCGACCATTCATATCCCCCAGATGCTCTACATCTGGGCGTTTTTCGGCTTCTTTTCGCTGCCGCTCTTCCTCCCCTACGCGATCCTGGGAATAGATGTCGTCCGAAGCCTATTCGTTCCGCAGAGGAATGGCGCTACAAAGGCACCTGACAAGACGAGTGCAACAACTTCCTCGAACACAGCACCCCAACGAGGGATCTCGCTCCCGCTCAAGATCTTCAGCACCATCTTCACCAACCATCTACTCTGGCCAATATATCTAGTCTCGACATTCATCCTCTCCGCCGTCATCGTCCGCTTCAACACCATCATCCACCCCTTCACCCTCGCCGACAACAGACACTACATGTTCTACGTCTTCCGATACACGATCCGCCGCGCCCCCTGGATCCGGTACTTTCTCATTCTCCCGTATACGCTCAGCCGCTGGCTCGTATGGGGTACTCTATCCGGCTGCTGCTCGACCCGGACCTCGACGGGAGCTTGTTCGGCATACTATGGCTCGTCGTCGTCGCGCCCATCGCCATTCTCCTGCGATCCATTTACGCTCGCAACCACCAACGACTCTGGCGACAAACAAACCCCCGACCCTGAGCCAGCGCCGACACAGAAAGATGTAGAGGAGAAATCCGCGCAGGACCCCCTCCTGTTCTCAAAAGAACCCGTATCGACATCCACAGGCCTCATCTTCCTCCTCGCGACAACCCTCTCGCTCGTCACCGCGCCGCTCGTCGAGCCTCGGTATTTCATCATCCCGTGGGTCATATGGCGGCTGCTCGTTCCCGCATGGCGACTGCACGACCACCAGGCCGCGGGAAATAGCTTGTTCAACAACAACAACGACAACGACGCTCCAACATTGTCTGTCTGGGGCAGGGTTATCAGTTTCTGTCGGGTGTACGATGTGAGACTTGTCTTGGAGACGGTTTGGTTCATTGCGATTAACGTCGTCACTGGCTACATCTTCCTCTTCAAGCCATATGTTTGGAGGGCTGAGGACGGGAGTATCCTCGATGAAGGGAGACTACAGCGATTCATGTGGTAGGAACGCATCTTATTATAGATATTGCATGGTGGTCATAATAAATGCATGTTATTCAGGAGAGGTTCAAATAACCTCAAATGTTTCGTTCTTATGCCAAATCAGGTGGACTTCGTTTGCTTGTTAACCCGAAAGAATGAAGAGAAACGAGTCCCAGCCCATAGCCCAACGCCACGCCCAGTTCCCAAAAGTCCCGAATGAATGCCGTCCAGTCGGCCTTGATTTTTTTGCAGTTGCAGCCTTGTTGCCCAAATTCCAATGTCGCTCTAATCATATGTATATACGGATTTTTTCTCATGCCAGTAGTCGAAATGAAAGGGGAAAAAAAGAGAGGACAAGAGAACGACGGGCAGCCATTCTTGTCAAACTCTCAGAGTGGGTGATGCCACTTGCCGTGTCACCTATAAGCTCAGGCGATCCAGGCTCAAGCCATCGTTACTCCTTACCCGCCGAATCACACCCAGCTTGAAGAACTTTTCCTCGCCTGCCGCCGTCCTGCCGCCGATATACCACTTGTCCGCGCCCAGGGCGTCGCGGAAGCCCTCGCTGCTGCTATCGCTGCCTCTCCTTCGCGAGCCGTGCGGAATGGGAATGCCACCGCCGGGCGAGCCGCGGGGCGTGTGGATGGCAACGTTGGTGGACGATGACGATGTTGTCGTCGGCGCGGCGCTTGTGGAGATTGCGCGGGCGGCGGAGGAGGCGGGACCACCTGTTGATGAGGCCGCGGCTGCAGCGGCTGTTGTGGAGGCGGCGGCGGCTGCGGCTGATGCGGATGCCGCCTGGGACGAGTTGAAGAAGGAGGAGAGGAAGAAGGGACGTTGCGAGGGCATCGCGGGTGTTTGTTTCGGGGGTTGTTCGTTGTTGGTTGTGGTTATCGCTTGGTTCCGGCGGGTTTGTTTGTTTGTTTGTTTGTTTGCTTTCCCGGGTGTATGTGCTTAGGTTGGTTTGTTTTCGCTTCGGCCTTGTGCAGATTGCTGTCGATGTTTGATGCAGCTCGCTGGCTATTTATTTATGCGTCGAGGTGGGTTATGACGACGGTGCGTGTGCGTTTTCGTGTAGGGTTGAAGAAGGGCGAAACGGTCTCCAACAGTTGCTTGGCCTATCAGAGGATGCCGCGGCTTGCAGATGGATGATGTATGCGAATGCGCAACGGCCTGCAGCTGCTGGGAGGGCGATCGAATGAGGCAACGGCGTCGCGCGGCTGGGCCGTGATGCGGTGAGGCCTGGCGGTTTATTTTCGGCAGCGGCAGGTTGCAGTGCGATTGAAGAGTCGAGGACGGAGTTGTGTCTGGTGTGTCTCGTGTGCGAAGGATTTTCCTGAGGGAGATCCGAAGGGAGATGGAGAGAGGCGGAGACGGGAGGGGGAGACGGATGGAAGCTGAGAGGAAAGAGGAACAGTCTTGAGTGATGGCAGATGCGGAATAGATCTTGCTGTTACTGGCGATGAAAAGCAAGCCGAGGAGTTGCAGGAAAAAAGAGGCCGTCTGTCCGGAGATGGACCAAGCAAGTTTATGGCAGCGATTCTGACGTCGAAGAGAGTCGGCAAAACTCGGGCAGTCGGAGGCCAGCTGCAGTGACGGCACTCGGTACTTGTACCTAGACTGCTGGACCGACCGGGTCGAGGGGACTGCTGGCGGGCCCTGGAGTGCTAATGGCGGCGCTGCGATAGGCCGGGAGAGCCCTGGATGTGGGAATTACAGCACCTGGATGGCCTGGGGGCGGGTCACGGACCAGCCATGCAAGTCACACTGTGCAGGTACCGGTACTTTGGCGCATGTCCACGCGCGATCCGTCGTCGGGCTTCTGATTTTGTTCCGGAGGCGCGAGGAGGGACGGTGAAGAGATTGATAAAGAGGATGCATATGTATGCCGTTGCGTACGAAAGAGGGTGTAGTCTGCATGTATCTATGGGCTGATGAATGCGGGGGAAGTGAGTTTCTGGGGAGTTCTGTTCTTCAAGGACGCCAACACCAACGGAACAGCAGATGTGCAGGATGGGCGCCATTTCCTACAAACGGGGCGGCGTTGAAGTTGTGAGCCCTGCTTGGCTCGAGCGTGGCGTGACAATTCTGCACCGGCGACATGGCAAGCATGGGGTGTTCTATTAGTATTCGACAGTCCTCGCCATTATCGTCGTCCAACGCCGTCTGGAGTCCGGGGTAGTTCCGTGCATGCCGTGGCGCGCGCTGTGGTGTCGTTGGCTGCATCGGTGAGGCATGCAGTAGTCTCTTCTCTGTCGATAATACTAGCCCTCTTCTCCGCACTCCAGTCCTTTCGACTGCTCGATGCCAGGCACTTTTGGGATCGCAGACTGTGGGTTGCATTTGAGCAGTTGTTAACTATCAAGTGATCATACAGGGTGCCTCTGGGACGCCCTCCGAGTTGTTTTCTTGCGCATTGTATCATGACAAGGGAGCGTCACTGGAAGCGAAAGAGAAGGAGTCATGTGCTCGCCGGAAAGGGGAGGACGCATCTGTCGAGGCTGACAGCCTCGTGTTGATCAGGGGAAGTCGATCGTACTTGTACAGTGCCTGAAGATGCAGGGGGTTATACCGTGAACCGAGGAGTTAAGGTATCCAAAGAGTTGACCATGGATACAAGTCGCATCAGATTCACCTGTCGTGTTTGGATGACAAGAGCTGGGATCAATGATTCAAGGGTTGCGTCGTCATGCGCTGTGGCAGGGCTCGACTGAAGTGGTCGAATTGGGCCTAGCGCGGACCACGCACAGGGCGTCGGCGTCGGGTCACCTCGGGCTCGGTACGTACCCGCATCAGCTGCTGCTGGTTAGCGTCGGCCGTAAGAGGTCAAGCGTCGCAGAAGCATGTGAAGGACGTGATGATGTCGAACAATTCAATTTCATCTAAGGTAATTACAGCATCACCTGCTATCCCATCTATATGCCATCAAAACACCAGCACGCTCTATCCATTCCAATATAACATGAATAATCAATAGTACCAAAATGCTTCACCACAACCCCTCACACCATAATGCCCCCATTCACCAGCACCGTCTGGCCAGCAACCCATGAGCTCTCGTCGCTGGCCAGAAACTTGATCGTGTTGGCCACCTCCTCAGGCTGGCCCAGCCGGTTGAACGGACTCCAGGCCTTGATGGAATCGACCAAACTCTCGGGCTTTCCCTTGAAAAACAGCTCGGTAGCCGTCGGGCCGGGGGCCACGGCGTTGACGACGATGCCCTTGGCAGCCAGCCCCTTGGCCATGACCCGCGTCATCTGCTCGATGGCGCCCTTTGTGGCCGCGTAGAGGAGATACTTGGGCGGCACGGACGAGTAGTGGCAGACGCCCGTGGAGATGAAGATGATGCGCGAGCCCGGCGGCATGTGCGGCACGGCCTTTTGCGCGAGGAAGTACGGGCCCTTGACGTTGAGGTCGAAGCTCTGTGTGAAGTCGTCCTCCGTCGTGTCCTCGACGTCCCGCATCAGCATCAGGCCGGCGTTTGCCACGACGACGTCGATGCGGCCAAACTTTTCAACCGCGGTATTGACCAGGCGGTCGATGTCGCTGATGTTGGCGGCGTCGGCCTGGACGGCAATGGCGCGGCCGGGGCCGAAGGACTCGACCAGGGCGTTGGCGGAGGCGGCGTCGGAGCGGTAGTTGACGACGATGCGGGCGCCTTCTCTGTGGAGCCGCTGGGCGGTGGCCTTGCCGATGCCGTTGGAGGCGCCGGTGATGAGGACGACCTTGTCTTGGAGAGACATGGCGAGTGCTGTGGTTGAGTTGGAAGTCAAGTGTATAAAGAGCTCTGTGATTGGGTCTTGTAAAGCGTGTAAGTGATGCTTGGTGTAGTGCTTGTTGTAGTGCTTGTTGCTTGTGTTGATGGCGTTGGGATTGACGACAAGACGAAACTGGACGAACCCATCCTCCTATATATACTTGAATTGATCCTAACCATCAACATCTACTTTATTTCCGTTTGCAGTCGACGAAACCGAATTTCGTGCGATCTCCATCTATACCGCCGCCATGGCGTTGTTTGTAAGACACCAGACACTTGTCGGATTTTGGCGCCAGTGGAAAAGTAGCTCCAGATCGGATTTCCAGGCACAAAGCGTGTGTCGATAAATCCGACCGTGGCGTCGCCCCGTCGCTTTTGTCGTTTATCCTCGTTTCCGCGCGCCCGACGGAGGATGACGTGCGCGAGCTGCCGACCAAGAGTGGTTCTATTTTCTTCTTTTCTATGAGATAGATACTATCTTTGTTCTTAAGCTTCTTTTTCTCCGAATCTATCGCGCTATAGGATGTGACTAATGTTACCTTAGGATTGTGAGCTGTTTACGGAGATGGAGTTAGTACGAGTGAGAGGCCGACCGTCGCACAGCACGCGACATGTTTTACCTTGTTCCGTGCTGATAATCCCGAACAACTCATTGTCTGTCAGTTCGCACTATACGGAAAGGCCAACCACTGTATCCGTTTCTAACTATCTAGTATTTCTCTATCTTACATGCGAGGCTAGAGACGGACAGCAGTTGAATTAATCCAGGGTATCTTGTTCGTCTACCTCTGAAACTTTCCGAAATAGGCACTATCCCATGGTATCAAAAAGAGGAGCAACAGCATCATTTTCCTTACGCGCAATGAGTACCTTGGCCTGGAAATCCAATACTGAGTCCGACAATCCTGCCGCTCTCCTGTTGTAAGGCTCAGCAGCTGAATGCATGCCAATTGACGTTACATTGAGAGATGTTGCTTAGCTGCCCCTCAATGCATGGCCCAGGTTCATGGTAATCACTCCACTTACATTGCCGTGACTTGCATCTTGCAGCTTCAAGTAGTACTCGTATAGTCTCGCGGTTCAACCACCTGTGCAAGATAAATGAGAGAGACAGACGAAAGACGAGACAAGGATACATCTAACCTTCAATGTGAGACTCGATGACATGATTGTTCGATAGCGGAGCTCATCGCGGCCGCACTTGTGTGATAGTATCACTAAGCAAGTAATATAAAGCGATGGAATCACATGCTTCCTCCAGCTTATTCACCCAGCTCAAACCCAGCCTCCATCTCACACCAAACATCTCCAAATACCCTCATACAAAATCACTCTGCAATGGCCAGCTGGCAGGCCTATCTCGCCTCGTGGATGGTCTGGTGGCGCTTCAAGGGCTCCCTCCAAACCGTAAAGGCCCTCCGCCAACGCATCGAAAACGACCGCCAGACAAAGAGCACGCGACCCCCCGCGCACCTGGAAACGCAGTTCACCATCGAGGAGCGCCGTCTCGGCGGCTGCGTCCTGTACGATGTGGCGCCGAAATCAGAGATGCCGAACCAGGCGCGGATCCTGTACCTCCACGGCGGATGCTTCCTCTTCGAGATTGACGCCGCGCATTGGCAGATGGTGGCCGTGCTGGCGGAGCGTCTGCAGGCTGTTGTCACGGTCGCGATATTCCCCCTGGCGCCGGAGCATACGCTGATGGAGATTTTCGATGCGGTGAGGCCGGCGTATGAGGAGCTTGCTTTGCCGGCGCAGGACAAGACGCCGTTCTTCGTGGTCGGAGACTCGACGGGCGGGAGCATGGGCCTTGCGCTCACACAGGAGGCTCTCAGGGGTGGTCGTCCGGCGGCTTCTCGGCTGGCCTTGATGTCGCCTTGCGTGGAGTTTACCTTTCAGAATCCGCAAGTGCGACAGGCTGCTCAGACGGATCCGTGGCTGGATGTCCCCGGGTTTGAGGAAGCGGTGCGGTATCTCTGTCCGGATGTGTCGCCGGACGATCCGCGCGTGAGTCCGCTGTATGGAGAGGTTGACAAGCTGCCGCCGACGCTGGTCTTTGCCGGAGGGACGGAGATGCTGACTCCTGATGTGAGGAAGTTTGTGGCCAAGGCGGTGGAGCGGGGGAGGAAGATTGAGTATGTGGAGGGAGAGGGCTTGATGCATGTGTGGCCGCTGGTGCAGTTTCTGCCGGAGGCGAGGGAGGCTGTGGATAAGCTGCTGCGCTGGCTGGAGTGCGGCAAGGGTTTGTGATGCTGGTTTCAGCGAAGGACCGTCTACTGGGGGACCTGGGGTGAGATTGGAAATGGACGGACGAGATGGGCTGCATGGTGGGTTTTCACTTATATGGCATGAGAGGAATTGGTTTTGCAGAATGAAAGAATCACGGCGTTTTGGATATAGTCTGACAGTGAGCGAGAATGCGAACTGCTGGATCGTAACCATACCCATTGAACGACATGAGGCTCGGGCACAGTAGATGACATTGCGTGAATGGTTACCAGCTTGCGTGATCGAAGTGAGAGTCTATCTTATGTTCTTTCTCCTTATTGATGACACCATGGCTCAAGTGCCCGTCGGCGGTACCCTAGTTCTTACCCAGCAGCTCCAGGTAATGGCCCACCACGGAGACAACCTGCTCCTCAAACCGCTTAAACTTGAATCCAAACAGCTTCTCCGCCTTGGTAGTGTCCACCTGCGTCTTCTGCGTCACAAGCTGCTCGACAGCCTCAAACTTGAACAAGCCATCCGCAACCGCCTGCGGGAAATGCTTCTTGATAATGCCGATTGAGTCCCTCCAGTCGAACGGCTCAAGGGGATGGGATCCAGCCAAAAAGTCCTGGTTACCCTCCACCTCTGGATCCAGCGAGAGAACATGAAGGCGGGCGACATCGTCAAGGTGGACTGGGGCGCCTGGAATGGGAGGCCGTGGTGTGCCGAGGAGAGGACCCATGAGGATCTTGTTGGTACCCTTGACGATTTGCTCGGCGGTGGTGACGGTCTCGTCGCGGCCGATCACGTAGAGGGGGAGGACGTGGATGACGTCGAACTGGGGGGATTTCTCGGCGACGAAGCGCTTGGTTTCGTTGAAGGCGGCGGATTTGGAGGCGGCGTAGGCGTCCATGACGTTTGAGAATGGACCATGCGATGTTGGGACTCGTGATTCCTCTGTGAAATGTTAGCGAAATAATCTTGACTTGAGATCCTCTGGATATGCACGAGGTGCCGGATCTTGAGGAGTGACTTGCCGTTAATGTATTCGCCCGAGCCTAGGATTGCAGGAGTGGTTACAGACATGATGGACCCGGTAATGACAATCCTTTTCACGCTTGTCGCCTTGATCGCAGACTCAAGGATGCCCACTGTGCCGTGGATGGCTGGCTGGACCATGTAGCTGTCATAGTCGATGCCCGGAGGCGCGTTGCTCGCCAGCGGAGAGGCAACATGCACGATGTACTCGACGTCCTTGACGGCTTCGTCGTAGGCTCCCGAGACAGTAATGTCTGGGACGATGATGCTGCTCAGCTGGGCGGCGTATGGAGCGACGGGCTTGAGTTGCGAGATTCTGTCGAAGCCGGCTTGGTTCCTGACGGCGGCGCGGACCTTGTAGCCTGCTTCGAGGAGGAAGACTAGTGTCCGGAAGCCGATCATGCCAGTGGCTCCGGTGAGCTATAAGCTATTCAGCTATGGATCACGAATACTGTAGAGGCGGGGAGGTAACTTACAAGGACGAATTCACCGGCCATGATGGTTAATGTGAGAACTGTTGTGATGGAGAGTTGAGATCGAGATTGTAGGGCTTGCGAGGTAGGTGTGATATCACAGCGACATGGAGTTTACCTTAAAAAGGATTCACAACGAAGACAATATTGATGCCGAAGCAGAAGTCCGATAGACACGCTTGGTAAACTTGAGCATGTCCGAAACGATACAGAATGGTAAAGATGCTAGCAGAACTCTATTTATCCGGATCCAGCCAGATGCATCAACTGCCAGCCAGCTGAAGCAATCCGCACTAACCGGGCGTAATAGTGTTGTCGGATCCGGTTTATTTCCCCTGCGTATGTACATGGCTTGAATCCTTCAACTTGATGGTAGTTGTAAACACTCCCGATAGACCTCGTGATGAATAAGAGTTCATTTGTAATGAATGGATACAAATGTATGGAATCAAGCCGCTGGGCGAGTGGTGCCGGTTTCCTGTTTCAGGGTTTTACCTCGGGTTGCCTTGGGAGTCGAGGCCCCTGGAGAAGTGGGATAGCGGTCGGTGAAAGGGTCTTGTTGAAGTGCGGACGGGAGGCTTTGTCATGGATGTGGTTTGTGAGTTTAGTGGAGCGAAGTGATTGCTAAAATGCCGAAATTCTCCGCTAATGCAGTGAAGAAGGGCTGTTTTTGGTGTCCATGGAGTGGTTGTGGTTGGGGTGCTGGTTCTGCGATTAATAATGGTGTTGCTGACGCCGAGTTCGATTTGCGGCTAGTAGTTGGGTGTTGATGATTGGTGCGAGATGTCTTGGAAAGATTGCCTGATTAGGGTAATGGTTTACTGCAGGGCTGGTTGCTTGGGGATTTGTGTCTTGACAATGTATTACTGAGTGTGAGTAAGGCACTGAGTGTGAGTAATATCGAAATGAGATTCAGGTTGCTTGCGGAGATAAGAGATTGAACGATGGCCAAGACGCAAATGTGAAGTCATCCTTGGGATTTATGCTAGGAGCAACTTGGGGACCGTTGATAGTTATAGCGACTTGTGATGGTGATGATGGAAGTTGTAAATATGAGACCATATCAAGAATATCCAGTCTCTGGGCTCTCATGCGTTAGCAGATATGGATATACTGAGTCGGCTGTTCTTCAAGTGTTGACTCCTCGAATCTATGCGCACCAATCTTGGAGGTGCTTGTTGCGGCAATAGGCGGTGGTCAAGTTCGATGGAAATGCCGATAGATGAGTGAAGCACCCGCAACATATGTAGTAATCAACGATTTCTCACAACAAAGATATGCTCTCCGGAAACACGCCGGTAGGCAAATTGACAAAACCTGTGCAGTACTTCTCCAAGAGATGTTATGTTGAATCCTGTGGATAAGCAAGCGAATACACCATGTTCCAGTTTATAAGTTGCCCTCGCCTAATGTTTTTGCCGATACCAGCTGACAAGACGAGCTGGAAGTGTGTGAGCCAACCGCAACAAAGCGCGAGGTCTCATAATGAAACTGTCATTTTAAAGTGCTCACCATGTCCGAAGGGCTTTGTTACCATCACCGTCACGACTCGAAATGAGCACCGCGTGTCAATCTTTGGCATCAAAACTGGCAACGCCTCTCCGTTAAAGCGTCCGCCATTTGATCTATTCCACGTATTTCCCCAGTTATCCTGTTTGGCAACGCGCAGCGAATCAACGAGGAGCACAGCTTCAATTATGCTTCTTTCTGTTTTGTCTTTCATTTCTTCATACGACGAAGGAGAAAGCTGGCAGCAATGCTTGGGTTGATGGCCACGACGTTGATCCGGGGCATTACAACCAAGAGGCCGTGGTGGATGAGGTTGGATCTGGCATTCTGGAGTTTTCAACGGCGAATATAAGTAGTAAAACTCCATCGCCTGAAAGAGCTTGAACCGGTACCTGCAGTGAGAGTTACACATCGAAAGGTATGTCCATTGTAACAACAAGTCGGGGATTGGGCAGCGAATGGCCGAAACAGGAATCTCTCTGGATTCGGATAAAACTGAAGATCTCCGGCTTCATGCAAGCTCCTTCAAAGGACAACAGGTTTGGCGTGAGAAACAATAGTAATCTCCAAAGAGAACGGTTTCCAGAGCTCGACTTTGAGACTTTCTATCGTCTGCTGTCTGTAAAGTCTTCAGCATGAATCTGTCTGTGCATGCAATAGTCACCTCATACTGGCGGGAGGCAGCGTGATACCCCGCCCAACGAGTCGGCTACTTCTGCGGATGAAAGAAGAAGCGTACGAATGCTGATCATTTGCCGTGTCGTGCTGCTTCTCCCATCAGTCTCTTTGTTCCACTATTTGCCCCAGGTTTTACCATCATCATTTGATCTGGTCTTGCCATCTCGCTCCCCTTCTGGTGATACCTTATACAACGGTGCCGGCTGACGCTCAACCGAGATGACGGCAAAGCCCCTCAAAATCGCCGTCATCCCTGGCGATGGCATCGGGAAAGAAGTCATGCCCGTCGGCGTGGCCTGTCTGGAGTCTCTCTCCAAGATCTACGACATCCCGATACAGTATGAATGGTTCGAGTTCGCCAGCTGCGACTATTTCCAAAAGCATGGCGACATGATGCCGCCGGACTGGAAGCAGACGCTCCTCCAGTTCGACGCCATATACTTTGGCGCCGTGGGCATGCCGGACATCGTCCCGGATGATGTGTCGCTCTGGGGCAGCCTGATCAAGTTCCGCCGCGAGTTCGATCAGTACATCAACCTCCGCCCTTGCCGCCTGATGCCCGGCGTTCCATGCCCCCTGGCCAACCGCAAGCCGGGCGACATCGACTTTTGGATCGTGAGGGAGAACACCGAGGGCGAGTACAGCAGCATCGGGGGAAAGATGTTTGAGGGGACGGACCGCGAGATTGTCGTTCAGGAGACGGTCATGACGAGGACGGGGGTGGATCGCGTGCTGCGGTACGCGTTTGACCTTGCGCAGAGCCGGCCGCGCAAGAAACTGACGAGCGCGACCAAGAGCAACGGCATCAGCATCACGATGCCGTACTGGGACTCGAGGGTGCAGGAGATGGCGGCCAAGTACCCGGACGTGGCCGTGGACAAGTATCACATCGACATCCTGACGGCGCACTTTGTGCAGCGGCCCAACATGTTTGACGTCGTGGTCGGCAGCAACCTCTTTGGCGACATCCTCTCAGATCTTGGCCCGGCGTGCACCGGCACCATTGGCATCGCGCCGTCTGCAAACATCAACCCGGGCGGCCAGTTCCCCAGTCTCTTTGAGCCCGTCCACGGCAGCGCTCCGGACATTGCGGGGCAGGGGATTGCGAACCCCGTGGGCATGGTCTGGGCTGGGCAGATGCTGTTGCAGCATTTTGGGCATGAGGAGGCTGCTGCTCTGTTGCTTCAGGCGATGGAGAGTGTCATGGCTCGGGCGGAGGAGGCCGTGGTTACAGCAGATATTGGGGGCAAGGGGACGACGAAGAGTTTCGGGGAGGCCATAAACAAGGAGATTTGGAGGCTGGCTGAAAGTAAGGCGACTTGAAAGGTGTGAGTTTAGCTTGTTCAGCATTCACTTATATGATGCCCGGGATCATACGGGACGGGTATGTCTACTTTGGGTCACCGGCATCTTACCACGCTCAACAGCATAACATAGTTGGTCCTATCAATATGTTCAAAGTCCAAATCAGACCGAGGCCCTGTCAAAAGCCAAAGACGATGATGGCGTCTTCACGTCAGCTTGTAAGCCACAGTCTGCCTCCTACGGACATCATGCCAGACCTCGGCATCCGCAAGCCCAAATTTGTCAGCGCCGCCCTCCCGTAAACCCGCACTTGAGCGGTCATATCAGCTCGCATCTGTCCGCAAGATGCCGCAGCCCCAGCTAAGCAGTTTCCCCCATCCCTTCAGCCTGCTGCGTGACTCGCCTATCCGCAGCCCATCAGTTATTAATACGTGCCCGGGATAACGCCATCTCCCACCATGGACAGGCGATACGAAAGCCTGGCGACGACGCCTGCGCCCTTTGCCTGCCTAGCATGTCGCGACTCGAAGAGGCGGTGCGACCGCGCTCTTCCGCAGTGCAGAGGCTGTCTCCAGTGAGGTCAAACTTGGCGTCTGCTTACTATCGGGTGTTCTCAAGTTGTCTGTTATGCTGATCAGCGGCAACCCGTTATAGAAAGCGGATTGTGTGCGACTATCCGTATCGCCGCAAGAAGAGAGAGCGAAAGACGCAGCCGGCACCGTCCAATGCTGTCGTCTCTCCCACCTCCGGCTTGCTGACGGACCAAGCTTCACTTACAGCCGAGATATCATCGCACCCAAGCCCGGACTATGATGCCTTCCACCCCGGTTCCTCTCAGTCCGCCGCGGCCAACTTTCTCACGGAGCGCTTCCTTGATCCGGAGGCGTTCGTCAGCGCCCAGTTGAAAGTCCCGGAGCCATCCGTAGATCATCTCATTACAAAGGAAGTGTCGGACTTTGTTGGTGATGTTGCCAACATCAAGGCAATTTCTGACAAGTTCTTCACCTCTGTGCATGAGTGGATGCCGATTGTGTCCAGAATACAGTTCCTGGCGAATCTTGTCGGCTGGCTCACGCATAAGCGTGCCGAGCTCTTCTTTCTCATTCTTGCCATGAGATTGTCCAGCGAACAGGTTTCGAACCCGAGGTCGCGGCTTTATCAGGTCACAAAGTATCTGCAGTTTAGGCTCGAACATTCCGGAGTTTTGTCTCTTCAAGTTATTCAAGCTTCGGTTCTTGTGGCTCTTTATGAGATCGGACACGGCGTGTATCCATCCGCATACTTATCCATTGCTGGATGTGCTCGCTATGCTACCGCTCTGGGGATCGACCAGTCCATTCTCTGCCGAGACTTGAACGGCATATCGTGGAACGAATTGGAGGAACGCCGCCGTGTATGGTGGTCGATACTCGTTCTGGATAGGTACTGTTACTTCCTCATGCTCCCTATTGCAGCGATTCCGTGTTAACCATAGTCTCCAGGTTTCTGAACCTTTGCGATCCCAGCCGCCATCTGGTGACGCCTGACCCGATCTTGGAGAATTGGCTTCCTGTTGACGATGCTGCCTTTAATGACGGAGTAAGTCCTGGGCCCAATCTTTGCAGCGGTTCATCTTTGACACGATGTGATTAGTCTGGCAGGCCGGAGGATGCATACACGTTGGGCTCAGCCACTGCTCTCGACCTGGGCCGCTTTGCCCGCTTCGCACAAGCTGCTCATTTACTCGGCCAGGTTCTCCGCCATGTCGCCGAAGGATCCCCAGAGAGCGAGACGGCCCAGCTGAGGCGCACCATCTTCTCCCTCGTCAGCATTTCAAAGCTAGAAGCGCATCTGAGACAGATGGAATTCTGCTCTCAGACGGCCGTGTGTTATTGGTAAGTTCTCCTTGTCACTTTGCTCTTTTTCTTCTGGACTCTAACAGCTTCAAGCGGGATCCTTCTCCTGGACTCTTCTCAGGCGAAGAACAAGGACAGAGCGGAATCTTTTGTCACATCTCTCGATCAGATGTCCACGGAAACCAATTTGATATCGCAATCGGCTCTCCAAATGTCCAACTATCTGATTACACGGCGATCCTTTATGGACATACACAACCGATCGTCCCCGTTTCTCTTGCATATGATGTACAGAGTTGCACTGCTCTATCTGGAAAGCTCACGGCCTACTCCTGGTGACACCACCGCTGACAAGTTGCATCTGATCAAGCAAGGGATGGAGATCATCGGCCGTCGATGGCAAATTGCCCGTGTGTATTTACCCAACGACGCCCTTGAATATTCACTGACATGCTGTATAGAGTCATACCTTTCATTGCTGTCGCGACACGAAATCATGCAAGCGATGAAGTAGATGCGAACACGGCTTATCATCGCTGCTCATCGCTCCCCAGATAACTTGTGCAAAGCTGGTCCAACCGATGCTCTTTCTTACCGGACAGGCTGAAAGCGAGCCACAAAAGGCTTCATCGGTCTGCCCTACCTTACATATAGCCCGCTTTCTTCCCGACTTCGGTCAAAAAAAAATTGTAGAACTTGACACCCGTGTCGAATCCGGGGCACGGCAGGATGGCGCTTGGTTAGACGCACGTCTGTGGCGGCTTATAGAGTCACAATGGGCCATGTTCAGCTCTCCACATTCAAGTGTTTGACACAATATGTGGCGGATATTCTGATTCATCCCAAAGGATAGAGACTCATCACACCGCTCATCACATGGATCACAGACATGACTGAAAGGTGGCACCACGCATTCTTACCGTTTGTCTCGGGGCAGTACGCGGGAACGGCCCGGGCTGCCGACACACGTTGTCATGTCTTCCATGGTATGCGGTCATTGTATGCGGAGATGGAAGCTGTAATATGATACGACTTCCGAGACAATGTTCAGCAAGATGCCTTGATTGTGAGTAACAGGTCCGAGACAGGTTCGCGCGTTCAGGCTGGCACATGCGTCGTTATGTCGGCCGAACGCCACTATCCTGCAAGGCGTCGAAGTCTTGCGTCAAGATCAACCTCATGTACGACTTTTCAGCTGGCAACTTGAACAAGTGATACAACATAGATTGGTCCCGCCCAACGTCATAGAACTTGACCTTGGGCTATAAGTATACTGGATTCCCCCGCGAATCACTTCCATCAAGTATTCCTCAAGCCATCTCAAGCATCTCACGCATTCTCAAAATGAAGCCCCTTTCATACATCGCCGTCCTTGTCGCTGCCTCCGGCGCCGATGCCAGAGTGACCAACCTTCCCACGAACAATGTAGTCTGTGGTAAGATAGTACCCAACCCTGAAGAGTGCAATACATAGATGGCGTCTTACTCGTTTCGACAGGCAACATCCGCGCCTTCACGCCGACCGATGTCGCGAACGCTGGAAATGCGGCTCTAGCGCACAGAAACAATCCCATTGGTGAGCCACATACATCAATTTGGTCTGTCCACGGCTTCTTGATTGACAAGTTGTCGTCTACTAGGTGCACGAAAGTATCCTCACAGATACCACTTCAACCGACCAGACTGTGGCAGCCAGCTCTGGGGCTTCCCGCTCTCGTGGACGGTTCCGTATACCGGAGGAGATCCTATGCTCTCCAGGGCTATTTTTACCTTTGTTCAGGATGGGAACGAGCTAGTAGCGAGGTGAGCTCGTAAAAGCATCCCGTGTTGTGCCTGATGTTGGTTTACTGACGTTCATTAGATATTGCGGCACTTATGCGCACAGGACGAGGCCTGACGACAATAACTTTTACCAGTGCACTTGAACTGAGGAGTGGCTTTTTTGATCTGTTTATAGTCCTCTGAGTGAATAGGTAACAAATCAGGGAGACTCAGGTCTTGATTGCTTGACTGCTGACATTCCTCCTCCCCATGTGACCTAGAGGGAAAGATGAGGAAGACGTGACTCTAAAGCACATAACGACTCATGCCTGAGACAATCCGTGAGCTTCTTATCCTTGAATCCTTCTTCTTCTCAAACATCTCCGAAACCGCCCTATTCCCACACGCAGCAGCCGCATCAATAGCCGTCTGCTAAGCATTATCCTCCGCCATAACATCAAGCCCCATATCCATCACCTCCCGGAATCGTTCCACATCTCCGCCCACAGCAACATTCAGCAGCTCTCGTCCTTTGTTATCTCGAGCGATTTGTCTTGGGGCAGCTGTAGAATGAAAAGAGGGCTGTTGGGGTCTGATGATCGATGGTAACGATGTTACAGCAGAGGCAACAAGTCGCGGCTATAGAAAGGAATGGCCTTGATGTCCTATACATGGATGATTGGTACTCGTATCATGAGTCAAATTCATTAACAAAACAGTCGCTGGCTACTTCTGCCGTGACAATCAACGCCTTAATGAAACTCCCAGGCATAAATCAATCCACTTGCACATTTCCAATCACGGACCAGTTCGAGCCGTCATATTGCACCTCCCTGATATGCCCATCAACCAGATAATAACACCGAGCCATGCCGTAGTCCGACAGCAAAGATGTGACGGACCAAATCGTCGGCGTGAGACAGGAGATGTCCGTGCCATTGTCGGGGCTTCCCAGGGATGCAGGCGTCGACGAGGTTCGCCATCCTGTGCTGTCATCCTCCCAAGTCATCTGGAGAGCGCCCGTGTCGTCTTGCCAGAGGATATACGTATTCATGGCGCCGTCAGATGTGTTTGTACTATCTCGGGGCACGGTGAATGCTCCCATGGGTGCATTGGCCGGGACAGTGAAAGCTGGCGCATCTAGGGTTGACCAAGTATGAGAATCCGGAGGACCGAAAGGACGTAAAGGGGGGATTTCACTCACCCGTACTCAACTCATCGGTCAAATTGTGCCTTTCTTCGACAAGGAGCTTCTGGTCGTCCCGCTGATAGATGAGCCTCTCGCCTCCACTTCTTCCTGCGTTGACAGTGTACGGAATCTCTGCAATGCTTGAGTTTCCATGGCACTTCAAGCCCACCTTCTCTTGGTTCCAAGTCAGATTGGCAAGATAAGCTTCTTGCATCAAGTTATCGCCGTCCTGATAGATGACGCTCGGCCAGTATGCTGCTAGCCTTGAGTTTGTCCCTGCCTTCCAGCCTTTGGACGACATGATTCCGCTGCCATTGTGTGTTTGTGCCGAAGACGAAGGGATGTCCTGCTCTCTGTAGACCCACTCTTGGAGTTCGTCTTGGTCGTTGAGATAGAATATCTCTACTTGCATGTAGTTCTTCACAATTCAAGTCCGAGTTAGCCGCATCCACGCAACCCCAACTGGGTGAAGGCCAGGCTCACATTACTGTCCGTCACCGGGGTGAAGTAAAAGACGGGAACATTGAAGCACGATGCCGCAATCGGAGTGCCTCGCTTAGCCTTTGTGTCCTCAAAGGTAGCCAACATCGACCACTTGCCATCGCCGGAGTGATACCGCATCAGCCGCAAGTCGCCGTCCTGTCCCTGGTAGATGAGGCGGATGTTGAAGCTTGAGGAGCTCGTCCACCACCCCGTGACTCCGACGCCTGAGCGCGCATAAGCGGCATTGGGCGAGCTTGACGAGTTGGAAGAGGTCGACGGGGTGGAAGAAGGTTGAGAGCCCGCGGAATCGTCTGGTCTTGTTGTGGCTGACTTGTGTCCGTGTCGTCGCGATGCAACAACGCCGCCCGCAACCGCTGCGGCAATCACAAGCAGCGAAATGACGACGCCTGCTACGATGAGCCACAGCTTCTTTCTCACAGGTTCTTTTCGTTCGCTCTCCTTGATTTCAGCCTCGTTTTTGGAACCACTACCAACGGCGTCCAGCCCAAAGTTGACAACCTCCAAGCCGTCGTCACCGCGGAAGACTTCCAGCCCCTGTCCGACTTGCGCATTTGTCGAGACCTCTAGACCGGGATAATAGGCTCGTTGATGACCCATCGGCAGCTTCGCGGCGTCGCGCTCGGAGATGCTGTTCATCACATTCACGTCGCAGGTGGTTGCACTTCAAGAAAGACAGATGCCATAATGCGTTATGTTGTCGAGTCTAAGTTGACCCCTATTGAAGGTGGCCTACCTGGATGACTTGGTTCTGAAGGCGGGCGCGTGGCAGATCAGGCCGGAGCCTGGCTAGATCCATTCTCGATAGTCTGATCGCGAGACGAAGAGTGAGCGGCTACGCGACAGAACCCCTGGCGCTTGATGTGAAGGATTCGTAGGATTTGCCGGAAGAGCCAATGGCGAGGCTGTGCGTTGTAGAAGCGGCGTTTTCAGGCGCCAACAGCACGTGTAGATGGATATTAATCCTGGAATTCAGGGCGAAGTAGAGTCTCGTGGCGATTTGTGAAAGGATGGAGACAGTCGGAAGAGAAGATGACGATAAGTCGAGATCCGAAATCAATGACATATGGATCGCAGGATATCCTTATAGATTTGTGGCCTTTGACGTTTGTATCATCCCTCAACCACCCACTGACTAGGTTCTGTGTGATGCTGGACCGTCGGTATATTCATTCCCTGTTAAACCCGCCGTCAGCGATCACCGTCTTGCAATCAGTGGTGAACCCATGTCGTCTGTTAGCTTCACCAGCACTCGTGGATATCTCATAGTCTCGTATACTCCTTCGAAATGCTGCTGAATGTGATTCTTACTCGTCCAGCGTCTGAGTCCATTATACAAGCTATATGAGTATGGAATGAAGAAAAGAGAGAGAGTGAGTGAGTGAGTCTTTATGCAGGAGAGGCTTCAATCAGTTTGTGACATGGCCGTGGAGGCCGTATGTCGCATGGGCATGATCTAGAGATTCAAGGAGACGGGCGCTTACCCTGCAACTAGCCATGACGATTGGTCGACCTGCGTTTTTAACCCGTGCAGTGGATATTTACCAGTACAGAAACTTTCACACAAGAGAATGTCTCAACAGAAAATCAACCGCTATGCTATTTAGGAGTAGGTAGAAGATGGCCGGTGGTAGTAGTACTGGTGCATCAAACAGCATCTGGTAAGGTAGTTGGAGGGTATAGAAACACTGACCATCGCCTCATGGCTGCAACATCGGGCCCTCACTGGAGTTGTCGTCAGTTGAGGGCCAATTGGAGCATAAAGGAAAGAGAACAGCAGCTGGATGTCACCTCACTCTGTCATCACTTGCTGTGATTCTGCTCTGCAAGTGCGGCCTTCTCATAGTCGAGCGAATCGAAGAGGTTTCGCGTGCTCGTACTCGTACTCATGCGGACAACCTGCCCTATCAGGCAGCTTCAATTGCTGGACGCTATCGATACAGCACCTTACGGTGCCTGAGTCCGAATGACGTAAACACAAGAGCGCCGATCTCCAAGAACTTGGAACATGAGAGATTGAAGCAAGTTTGAAGCCGAAACGATGACCCGGCTGTTGCAACGACATGTCGAGCCCAACGACATGTCGAGCCCGGGTTTCACAGGTACTACTACTATCTCCCAGCCGCGCAGCCACAGAGAGCCCAATCAAGTTGTCGCACCCGAGTTCAAGGGCCGCGCGTATGATGACTGATGGTTTGAGGGGCCGAGTTCAAAGTCTGGGGCGAGTCGCACAGTTGGTGCGAAGATGAAACGGCGCATGCAGTATCAGTGTCTGAGAGTTGCGCCTAGTCCAGCGTTTAGGGACAAGAGGTGCGGAAGTGGGCGAGGCTGCGGGGTGGGTTGGCCCAACAGAAGGGACTTTTCAGGGCAATTAGAGAAAAGAGAAAGAGGGCAACAGTTGGTGGGACAAGTAATAATACGAGGGGGATGCAGCTGTTATCGAGGAAAATCATGCCCAAGCATGACTGATGATGATTCCATTTTGGACCATGCCTGTACGTAGGTAGGATCAACTTCCTGATTACAGCTCAAAGGTGGCTGACTTGGCTGATGTCGGCAGTCAGCGCATGCATTGAGGTGAGCTGAAACCCACCGCGGCTGCTATGTCCGACCGTGTCCGCGGAGAATTGGAGATTGAGTCTCGATTCCTATTCACGAGCCACGAAGCAAATAGCATCTCATCTGTTTTCTGAGATGGAGAAACGTCTCCAGAAGAGGGGCTGGCGAGAACTTGTCCTGGTTCAATCGAAACAGGGTGAATGGTAGGTACGTAGCATTTGAGGGCAACTTAAGCCATGGCAGGGGCTGCTTGCGCTAGGCTAGGGCTTTAAAATGGATAAATTTAGCAGCAGCAGTTGAAGAACGGATACACGTAGCCTTGCTGTTGTCAAGTATCTGTACTCATCACGTTGAGTTGAAGTGGTAAATGCTTCAATGGCTAGAGTCTGAAACGTTAAACGTAGAATAACCCAGCCGACGCAGGTTACATCTTCTTGGCGGTATGAGCATCTTGTCTCTCTTTTGCGTGTCTCCTACGTCTTCTCCCTTTTGATGGATTTCGTTGGATCGCAACACTTTGCCCAGTGCTTGCAGGTACGAGAAGGAGGCAGTGTCAGAGCGCTGAAGGGTCCGGAGCCATGGCGTCAGCCGCTGATCTGTGGCGGTTTCCGGCTGTTTGCTTTGTTTCTTTATTGAATGCACGTAGCCGTAGCAGTGGGCAGGGGACTTTCCGGTAAATGCCAGATGAGCTCATATAGTCACTTCGTCGATTTCCTTCTTCGTACAACCTGGCGTAAGTCACTTGTACGGTAACTTGAAGAATCTGGCTTTTCGCGCGTTTGATTTGATCGAGAGGCCACGGGGACAAGGGTCCCCTCGCCGTATTCGCAAGGCCGGCCGAGGTTTTCCTGCATGCGAGTGAGCACTTGTACAACACCGGCTGTTGGGCAAGAGAGTCCAGGTTTCCATACCAGTTCCTGGTATGAATGAGCCTCTGTTGGGCCATGACTGAGCGCAGTTGTTCGTATTGATGCATCGGCAGAGTCTGTTGGTGGTACGCGTATTTTGCTGCCCAGTGCAGCTATCACGTAAAGTTATTTATAGGTGGGCTCGTGATAAGGTTCATCTACAGCGACTTTGGCGAGTCGTGAGTTTATTCATCCACCGGACTGGATGTGGGCTGGCGCATGTGCGAGGAACGTGGCTGAAGCTGGCGAGCCTGGCACTTACTCCATGGAGTAACTGCAGCTTAGCAGTGACGGTATCACCAACCACCAGCAGCAGCGGAGCCTACACACCAAATGGATGGACACCGTCCGTCGTTAGACTCGAAAGATGCATCGTCGCATCGATCCGCCTGCAGGGACGGCCTGAGATGCGTGATCTGACAGCCGCTTGTTCTCCCGACTCCTTCTCAAGTCTAATACCTGCAACTGCCCATCAACCGACATGAACCTCGAGCTCTGTATTTCGAGCACTCCAATTGATTCAGCCACTGAACCACAAACCACACAGTTCGAGGCGTAACTCGAAAGTATCGGTACGCGGCCCCAAGCAGTGGCCCCCCCAAACTGCGCCCCCTCTCCCGGGCTTGGCCAATGGAACCCCACCAGTAGGGGCCTCCGGTGCTCGTCAACAGCGCCAGCTTTAGTGCTCTCCAAGCCTGCAGCTCCCTGCCGTCCAACCACCCCCGCCCTCTCAGCGGCGTTAGTCCACGGAGCGCCCCTCCGCAGCCCCAAACCCCCTTCAAGCCACATGCGCATCTCCATCAACAAGCTTGGAACTTTGTACACAGACGCCATTGCATTGGATCTGATTTCATACATAACTCGCAACCCTGCAGCGCAATCCCTTTCCCTAGGTACTGAACCTTGCAGCCTTTTTTTTCTTCATCTCTTGCAATTCGCCTGTTTGCTCCTGAGACTCTTGCTCTCCATAATTGATACCCGCCTCAACTCGACTGCTCTCGACCATCTCCCTGCGCCCGCTGTCGCATTGGCCCTCGCATCCGGCCTCTGTATTTACCGCCACTTCGACGCATCATCCTTTGGCTCTCACCATAGCCACGACACATCTGGTCATCCGTCGATCCCGCGACTCGCCCATGTAATCCGAACTCGACTACCGCCAGTCCGATTTCTCATCTACTCCCTCCTCTCCTCCTCTCTCTCCTCGGCGCTCTCCTTCTCGGTCTGCAAGCTCGTCGCGATCCTCTGGCGCTCCTCTTCCTGCCGCTCTCGACTCGCCCTTCTGGGGCCCGGTGCTCGAATCCGCCATGGACGATGATCTGCTCTTCCCACGAGGAATCGTGCCAGGAGGCGATGACTCTGTGCGACCGGGATACTACAAAGCCATCGGCATCAGCCTGGCCATAGGATCGGGGCTGTTTATCGGAACGTCCTTTGTACTGAAAAAGGTCGGCCTGCTGAGGGCAAACGCAAAGTATAACGAAGTTGCGGGCGAGGGCTATGGCTACCTCAAGAACGCTTACTGGTGGACCGGAATGATCCTCATGATCATCGGCGAGATCTGCAACTTTGTCGCTTACGCCTTTACCGACGCCATCTTGGTCACGCCCCTGGGCGCGCTGTCTGTCGTCATCACCACCATCCTGTCCGCCATCTTCCTCAAGGAGCGTCTGAGTCTGGTTGGAAAGGTCGCCTGTTTCCTCTGCATCGTGGGCTCCGTCGTCATCGTCATGAACGCGCCACAGGAGTCCTCCGTTGCCGACATCCAGCAGATGCAAAAGTACGTCATTACGCCCGGGTTCCTGTCGTATACGGGCGTCATCCTCGTCGGATCCGTCATTGTCGCTTTTTTCGTTGGGCCAAAGTATGGTAAGAAGAACATGCTGGTCTACATCTCCATCTGCAGCTGGATCGGGGGCTTGAGCGTTGTGTCGACCCAGGGCCTGGGCGCGGCCATTATTGCCTGGGCTAGCGGGAAGCCTCAGTACAAGGAGTGGTTCTTATGGGTGCTCCTCGTCTTTGTCGTCGGCACTTTGCTCACGGAGATTATCTTTCTCAACGTGAGTTTTGCAGATCTCCAGAACCTTGTGAATGAACTAAACAAAATTCCCTGCAGAAAGCCCTTAACCTCTTCAACGCCGCCATTGTCACGCCTACATATTACGTCTATTTCACCAGCACCACCATCATCACATCCGCAGTCTTATTCCAGGGCTTCAAGGGCACTGCACAGTCCATTGTCACCGTCGTCCTGGGCTTTCTGACAATATGCTCCGGCGTCGTGTTATTGCAGCTTTCCAAGTCGGCCAAGGACGTCCCCGACGCTGCCGTGTTCAACGGCGATCTCGACCAGATTCACACGATTGCCGAGCAGCCGCAGCCTGAAACGGAACCCAAGGCGGATGCGATCCGAGGCGCAGCTGCTATCATCAGGCGCATTTCCAACGCGCGCCTCCGCATGGAGGCCGAGGAGCTGAGACGTCTCCACGAAGAAAAGGCGGCCGAGGCCATGGCCCCTATCAGCGAGGACGGGCAGCCGATGTACGAATGGGACGGGCTGAGGCGAAGGCGAACTATTGCGTCCAGTATGCGCAGCCGGTCGACGAGGCTCTCGACCCCGATTCCTCCCTCGCCAGCCCCTCCGACGCCTCACCCTCCGCTGGGCATGTCGCATTTCCCTACCGAGGGTGAGCTCGAAGAGCACGACCGCAACGTCAACGTCTTCTCCAGCCTAGCGGGCACCATCCGCGGCCGCCGATCCCGCCATCATCAGCATCATGTCCTGCCGGTCAGCGAGCAGGACGAGGATGAAGAGGAGGTCGAGTACGGCATCGACAAGGTCCGCAGCCCGATGCATCCGCTGCCCCTCACCCACATTGCTATACCTGAGGCGAAGCTCGATGACGAAGCCGGGGCGTACTATGGCCCGACACGCGAGCAGTCATACTTCTCCCACGACAATGTCGACACGGAGTATCGCGGCGCCGCTGCCAGCCCCGGGCTTCTCGGTCCCACGCCCCCGCCACACGGCGGCACCAGGCGCCAATTCTCCTTTAACGTCTTCCGACGAACGCCCCAGCCTTCAGAAGAGGAACAGGTTGGGCTTGTCAAGGAAAACAGTGGCGACGGCAGAAGACCGCCGGGACCACCAGGAGGCGGAGGACCTCCACCCCCGGCCTTTATATAGATTAAAAAGGCCGGGACACGATGAGGGAAGCGATGGTACTGCATTCTAGCGGCGTTTTAGATGTCTTTTCGAGGATACGGGCTTGGGGTGAAGGGATCACACATATGTGTTTGTCTCTTGGCGTATGGAGAAAAAAGGGGCGGCGGCGTGCTTGTCAACACATCATGACGGTTTGGAATGTCGTTTGTATATATGGGTATAGAACAGGATTGGCTTATGACAGGCTTGGGCTTGGAAGAGCAATACATGATGTACATGACTGGACCGCAATTTCGTCTCATAATGCATGATTTAGGGGTGAATTGAGTGAATCTTTGACTGGTAAATAGCAGAGAGGTTCATTACGTCTAAGATAAATGCTATAGAAACGAAGGCTAAGTGCTGGAAAAAAACCCCGTAACGCCATGCGATGCCGTTTACTCTCGCAGAGTCTCGTACATTGTATCCCAATCGTGACAAAATATGGACATTGATATGAATTCATCAAATATTTTCGCATCGCCTGCCCCTCCCCCTTTTATAATTCCATGACATTAAGAAATCCGTTGGAGAAGAGAAGGAAGATCGTGATCGACTGAGGCAAAAGTAGTTTAGTTGATTGGCGTGTTGCGGGTTTACCAATCGGCCGCCCAGCCGTTCTTCTCGAGAAACTCCTCGCAGGCCTGCCGCAGGGCGAGGTTGGGCCGCAGGTCGGCGGGCGTGAGAGGCTCGCGGGTGAGGGGGTCGGAGGGGTGGCGGCGGAGGTGCTCCATGATGGAGGCGCGTTCGTAGGATTTGCCTGTTTTTGTCTGCTCATGAAGCCATTGTCAATGTTTGCTCACTTATATGAGGCAGAAAGGGAGATGAGCTTACGATGACGGGATCGACCATGACGTTGAAGCTGATGTCGTCAATGGCCCATTCGGGGACTTCGCGCTTCTTCTGGTCCTGTGCCCGCGCCGCTTCAAAGACGTCGCTCAGGACTTTCATCCTCTCATTTGCCTCGTCCTCAATGGCCTTTCGCTCAGCCTCGTCCTCGGGCGCCACGTCCTTGAGCATCTCGTCCCTCTCCTTGCGCAGCAGCTCCATCATGCGGTCCTGGACCTCGCTCTCCAGCCGGAGGCGCTTCTTCTCGCGGTCCGCCCAGCGCTCCTTCTTGCACCTTAGGACGATGGCGGTGACGGCGCCGAGGGACTTGTCGTTGTTGGCGGCGGCCAGCTTGTGCGCCTCGAGGGCGTTGTGCAGGGCGGCGTCGAAGTCGCGCAGGGAGAGCTGGGCCTGGGCGAGGTAGTAGTGGGCCTTCATGTTGTGGGGGGAGAGGGCGAGGCAGGTCTCGCAGTCGGAGATGACGGAGTCCCAGTGGCCGAGCTTGAGGCGGGCCATGGCGCGGTTGGTGTAGAGGGCTGGGTTCTTGGGGTCGGCGATGATGCTGGTGATGGCGTGGTGAGTTTTGGTGTTGAGGTTGAGGTTGATGAGGGGGGGTTTGCTTACGCTTTGGAGTAGAGGCTGTCGGCGCCGATGTAGTCGCCGGCTTGGAAGTGGCGGTTGCCTTCTTCTTTGAGTTGGAGGGATTTGGACATTTTGGCGTGTGGTTGTTGTGTGATGTTGTGTGTTGATTGGTGTTGATGGAGATGTTGTGTGAGAGGTGAGGATGGTTTTTGCCTAATGGCGGGAGATGTTCATGCCTGTGAACGCAGCAGAGCAGACTTGAAGCGCTTTGTTGCGCCAGTCAAGGCTCGATGAAGTGCGGTGTGTTTCTACGGCTTTACTGTATGTTATGTAGTCCTCGTATCACCGGGCTATGTCGAGGTGGTGCCCAATGGTGAGCTGCGGAAGTGATGAGATGAGAGGGGGGATGTAAACAGATGTTGTCGCTGGCTGTGGCTGAGAGATGAATACAAAAGCAATCGATGGATATTAGGCCCGATAGTCAAGATGCCGTGTGAGTATGGATGGAGAAAAAAAAAAGTCAAAGAAAGGAGAAAGCTGTTGTGATTCTGCTGGAGAGACTACTTATCGCGCCACGTCTGAATTGCATCAGATGCCTTCAATGGAAGACGAATGAAGCGGGAGGACCCTGAATCTGCACGGCTGTGGCGGGGGCGGGCATTTGGGAGGGAGATTTCTAATGCTGGGGGGGTGGAACATTCGAGAAGGGCTTTCTATGAGAACTTGGATCGGGAGATGTTGGGGGATGTTCTGTGTTTGCAGTGCGGAATATGGCAGTTGTGGTTGAAAGCAATGATAATTAGATCTATAAGATTGATCATTAAGAGAGTTGCTAATTTCAGGTGTTTCCTGTCTTGTTTGTTGCCTCGTTTGAATGTGCAAGGGAGGTCAAAGTTGCGTCTGGTGCATCCAAGGCGATCACGAAAGTGACTTGGTACCTGTCACTTTGCGGAGGTGGGTCCGGTGCCTGGACTCAACTGTCTCAATTGAACTCATCAAGCTCGAGGTTTCGAGCTAAACACTGCGCCAAAACCGAGCCGGCCAAATCTTGTACTGCCTAGGTACATGTAATCAACGTTGACACACAGAATACACCACTCAATGCTTTCCACCTATTGCGCCCATTTCATAACGTCAATCAACGCTCATTCTCACTCATCCATCACCAGCACGTTCCTGAACCGCGGCTTTCCCGCAATCAAGTCCTCCACCGCCTTCTGCGCCTCCGCCAACGGGTACCGCTGGATCATGCACCGGATCCCGTGCCTGACGGCAAACTGAATCGCCTCCTCGCTATCAATCGCGTGCCCGCTCGCCCAGCCGTGGACGCTCGACCCCTTCATCACCAGCGATGTCGTGTCGATGGGCACCGGCCCCATGAGGGACAGGTTCAGCAGCTTCCCCCCCGGCGCCAGCGCCTTGACGAGGGCGCTCAGCGTCTCGGCATCGGGGGCCGTCTGCACAATGATGTCGGCCCCGCCTAGCTTGAGGATCTCGGCGACGGCGTCCGAGGCCTTGGTGTTAATGTAGTGGTGCGCGCCGAGGTCCTTTGCGAAATTGGCCTTGTCGTCGCCGGAGGAGAGGGCAATGACTTCGTAGCCCATCTTGTTGGCGTACTGGACTGCGAGGTGGCCGAGGCCGCCGAGCCCGTTGACCACGACGATGCCGCCCTGCTCGACGTGCAGCTTGCGGATTCCGTTGAAGACGGTTACTCCCGCGCACAGGAACGGTGCAATTTCCGCTGCGTCGACCTCCTTGGGCACGCGAACGGCGGCTTCGGCGCGGAGCAGGACGTATTCTGCGTAGCCGCCGTCATGGCTGACCCCGTTGACGGCCTGGTTCTCGCAATACTGAAACTGCGAGCGCTGGCACTGCCGACACGTCCCGTCATGGCCGCCGTGCCACGGCCCGCCGACCCGTTGGCCGACTGCGATGCGCGTCACGTTTTCGCCCACGGCCACGACGTCGCCGACCAGCTCGTGGCCCGTGACGCGGGGGAACACGGGGCCGACGTGGCCCGAGATGACGGCGACGTCGGAGAAGCAGACGCCGCAGGCGAGGACCTTGACGAGGACTTGGTTGGGGCCGGGGCGCTGCAGGGGGAGCTCTTTGAGGGTGAAGGGGGCGCCGGCCTCGAGGGTGACCATTGCTTTGTAGGTTTGGGGGAGTGACATGATGTGTGATGTGATGTCGTTCGATGACTGAAAAATCGTTGTAGTTTGAGGTTTTTGGGATCAGTTGTCCTAGGGGATGATGGAGACTGTGATGTTGCTGGCTGCTGGGCTTAATTATCCTCTCATCGATGGCAGTTTACCGGTATATATATGCCTGCGTGACTATATCATGATGAACAACTTCTTGCATCCGTCTACGATAATTACGTTCCAATGGAAGCTCTCGGAAATGGATTTGTTTCACAATCAACAAATCCGATGAAGCAGAAGCTTGATCATCCAATGATTGTCTCTTCATTCTATTGCAAATGGAGGCGCCTCATGGTTCGAAACTATTTCCGAGGAGTTTAGCTCAGGAACGCGCGAGTTGAGTGGGGCTCAAGAGCGAAAAGTCCGGGCTGGACGTCTTAGAGTCACGACCCAACTGGACGCAGTTGACGTATCTTGTCTGGGTCGTTTACTATAGATGTCCTGCGACGAAAAGCTGATAGTATATAGATTTGCTCTAAAGCAATCATGCAATTTATAGTAAGGTTTGGTTTGGGATATGGTGATGCTACAGATGGCTGTTAGGAATGACAATCTTCAGAGATGCACATGTAGGAAGCAACCATTTTCCACGTTGTCTACGGATCTTACTCATTTTCTTCGTTGTAATACGTGGTTATGAGATGCGGTTCTGCTGGAGCTGGCGCAGTTTGTTCACCATATTCCTGTCTCGAGCTTTGCAGCGTTTTGGTGGAGATTGTCTAACTCCGAAACGCGAGCCTCCTCTGCGCAGCTTGTACAAGTATGTATGAGGTTACAAAATCTCAACGCTGCTCCAAACACATAATCGGAGATAACTTTTTATCTACTTACAAATAATTCAAAGGCTATAGAAGGTGTTGTTAGAGTATTACAACCATGTATTGTACTGATGTCACTTCCTGCGTAGAGCTGGAGTGGCATATGCTTCAGCTCATATAGTAGGTGGCGGCTTTTGAGTGACTCGCGCAGTTGGTCGGCTCAACTCCATTACAGCTCAGGGCAGTCTATGAACGAGCGACTCTAATAGAATTGAGGATAAAAACGCATGTTTCGCTCATTTTATTTCATGACGCTTGATTATCATATTTCATCATGTCTAAACTATCGAAGCTTATGCTCACAGCTCTTCTTCGTGGAATGGTTGATATACTAAGCTCAATCTTGACAATTCATTGCTTCTCCGCCTATGCCCTTTGTTTGACGAAGGAGAATCTGTTAGATGTTAAACCTTCCCATTTCAGCCATTATCGCTAGATGGTGTACAATTGCTATGTTTCTTGGATGTACTGAACATGAATGGCGTTTATAACCCCGGTGGCGTGAGATGATTCGAAGTCAACTAGAACTGCCAAAATAAGCTTGATCCGGGATGACGTAGAATGTAGGTACACATGTAATGCCTAATTCGTCAGTCCAATGCAACACAACCAAAAGTATGTCTCTGCAGCAGATAGGCCCAGGATTCTTGCATTCCGCATTCACATATACTATAAATCGTGCCAGTGGTGGTACTTCTGTCCGAGCACAAGGCTGTGGGCTTTCAGCCGGACAAGTGTTCGGCAATGCGGGTTGTCATTCGCATTTATTAATTCCGAAAGGGTCCTTATCCCGAACGACGACTCCAAGTCGGCCATACGTGCATCTCAGTCGCATCACTTGATGGTTCATGACGATTGCATCAGACATAACTTGGGGAACCAAGAACATGTATAAATATCGTGCTATCAAACTTGTCTGAATGGTAAAAAGAAAGTAGTTAAACAACCAAAGCAGATCCCATACTCACACCAAGTCTTTACCAGTTACATTCGCAAGGCAACCTATACCAGGCTTCATCATGGCTCAAGTATATCTCATCTCAGGAGCATCCACCGGCTTCGGCGCCCTGGCAGCTCGAGCCATCGCCAAACGAGGCCATACCGTCTTTGCAGGCATGTACTCGCACAGCGGAAACACGAAAGAATACGAAGACGCCATTTCGCAGTTCGCCCAGCAGCACAAGGTGGACCTCCGGGCCATTCCCCTTGACCTCCTATCCCAAGCCTCTGTCGACGAAGCCGTGAGTCACATCCTCAAATCTACCGGCCGAATCGATGCCATTGTCCACAACGCGGGCCACCTGTGCTGGGGCCCATCCGAGAGCTTCAGCGCAAAGCAGCTGCTTCACTTGTACGACGTCAACGTCGTCGGCTGCCAGAGGCTGAACCAGGCCGCGCTGCCGCACATGCGGAGGGCGCGATCCGGCCACCTGATTTGGATCTGCAGCAGCTCGACGTACGGTGCCAAGTCGCCCATGGCGGGCCCCTACTTCGCCGCAAAGGCTGCTCAGGATGCGCTCGCGCAGTCGTATGCGGCTGAGCTTGCGCCGTGGGGGATCGAGACGACGATCGTGCTGCCGGGGGTGTTTGTAAAGGGCACGAATCACTTTATCGATGCTGCGAAGCCGGAGCTCAAAGATGTGGAGGCAGAGTATGAGAGTGGTCCTACGAAGGGCATGGGCGAGGAGACGATGACGGGGACGGCGCGTGTGGTGCCGCAGGATGCCGAGCCGTCGCTTGTTGCGGATGCTTTGGCTGACTTGTCGGATGTGCCGAGGGGGAAGAAGCCGTTTAGGGTGTCTGTTGATGTTGTGATAGACGGAGGGGATGTTGGTGCGGCGGTGATAGATAATAACAAGGTGAATGCGTATCGGCGGATGGGGCTGGAAAGGTATGTGAAGGTGCAGTTGTGATTCTTGACAAGGAGAACATGATGGTCTAAGATAGTCTCTCTTACATATCATAGCCAAGTATCATATATGCTTTTCACACTCTTAAGAGTACGTCGTATCTTTGCTTCGGCTTCAGTTGTCATATGGTCCTCAGGTTAAGAATTTGTCATCTACAAAATGACTGATAACAAAAAAGATTCGCGTCTATGCTGTTCTCGTACCCCAATGGCCTTAGGCAACTCTCAGACGTGAGCTACCAGAGACTCTTCAAACGTACATAACAGTCCTTGGGCCTGTTTGCCGAAACCAAAACCGAGTCATAGCCCGACAACGCCGGCGGGCACTGCAAAAGCTCAAAGTTCCAGATAATGAGCGTCAGTAATATCCTCATCTCGAGATACGCGAGCCTCTTCCCAAAGCAACCTCGGAGCCCCAGCCCAAAGGCGAGTACTGGTCCAGCTGTTGCGTTGAAAGCGTCGCCCTTCTCTTTCTGAACAAGCCAACGCTCGGGTCTGAAAGCCGCCACGTCACTCATATCCCAGCCATCTTCTGGCCCGAGTTTCTTGACGGGTTGATCAGCTCTTCTTCGGCTGGCTTCGTCAACGGCAAAACCGGGCTCTACCATGCTTGGACCGTTGGTCAAGCAAATGACTACGGTATCCTTGGGTATGTGATGACCCAGTAGTTCAGTATCAACCACAGCTTGGCGGTCAAGCACCAAGGTCGTTGGACAACATCGCTGTAATTCTTCCAGAACGGCATCGAGGAATGGGATATTTGTGATGGTGATCTCTTGGATAGTGGGGTTACGGGCCTCTTGCTTGGCCGCTGCGAAAGAAGCTTGTAGAGTATCTCGCAGCCTGTGTTGCGACTGAGGGTTGTCGGCAAGGATCTTGAGCGTCCACTTCATGGTGGTGCTGGTGGTATCGTGACCAGGCAATATACAAGACCCAAAGATCTGTGGTCCAGTAAGTCTTTCATCCCTGATCTTTCGATGTCTGACAACAAGACTTACTTCATCAAACATCACACGGGAGAAGTATTCGGGCTGTCGCCCTTCTTTCTGAGCAAAGCTCCTTTCTCGCAAAATCATGTGGTGAACCGCCGACCATTCTTTGCCGGCGTCGCTGTCATCCAAGAGACTCACAGCATGCTTCAACTCTCTCGTGAAATACTCTTCCTTGATCCGAGTTGCCCTCTTCACGTACGGCTTTCGCATGATCAATGCCCAGGCCAAACTCGGTGGCATGGCGCCTCGTACTTGGCCAATTGTTTCCGACAAGTCTGTAATCGCCTGCAAGATATCAGGTACAGGCGCAGTAGAAAACTGTATCGGTGTAGTCAGTGACCCTGTTTCCTTGATCCGCCGAAGCGACTCTTCTCCGAGTCCCTCCATCAACTCCAGTGATGGTCTGGTGGCAGTTTCTGTGAACCTCTCGCCAAATGCAAAAGACATGACTGCATCAAGCGCAGCGTGGCTCATGTCCGTGCCTGCTTCGAATGGTTTTCCCTCCGCAACCTTGGCCTTGAGCTGCTATAGTTGAATCAGATCAATCGCATTTTGATGGATTACAGGACCGGCGACGTTGTGAAGGAATGACGGAGTCACCAGATCCTGGACAAGCCGGCGATGTGACCTCCACACATCGTTTGTCCGCAGTCGAAGGTGATGATCCGGAGCGATGCCCTTGACTTTATCCGCAGTGTTTGAGGACCGATCAAAGTCCTTGCGGTGAAGCATGATGTTGCGCGTTTCGCGGACGTCGCAGAGGATCAGCAATGGCTTCTTGAAGGGTTTGAGGAAGAGCTGGATCAGCGGCGCGTCTAAATCTTTGACGGATGCCAGAAGCCAGGTGGCGAAGCTTCTCCCCTGAGCTTCCGAGACATGCTGTCTCAGGAGTGGGACATCTCCGAGGATCCTTCGAGCTGAGGCTTTGTTGTAGGGGATTCCGGGGATCGGTTTGGGGAGGGCGAGGCGATATAGCTGGAGGAAGCAAATGCCGGCAACGGAAATGATGAGCAGTGCATAGCTCGCCGCTGGCCATTCGTGGACGACTCCCCAGGGAAGGTCTTGTGAAGCCGGCATTCTAGCGCAAAGGTTTGTGAACAGCTCGAAAGGACGGATCTGTTCAGCACTCCAGCACTGCATCACAAATCTTTGTCCTGTGCGACTGAAAGATGATGGGTTTAATATCCATCTTCCTTGGTCGAAATTCTTTGTTCTAAAGTCATATGGCACAATGCTAGCTTCAGGCCTATCGTCTCCTTTACAAACATGGAGCAAGTTTTGGAGCAACAGGGTAGAACTAACTGATCGAACACTTGAGGTGTTGCTTAGCATAAGCTGCTTATTGCACATAAGCTACGTCGCAACGCTTACGATTATTCACCTATACCAGGAGGCAAGAAGAGGCTGGAAGATCTAGCTAGACGTGGTCCAAGTGAAGCATCGACTGCAAGGTTTATCATAGATCTACCCTGTTCAAAGACATGCGATAATCGTGACTGAGATGGTACTGCAGCTTATAGACATGGCATTCTCGTGGGTAGTACATTTATAAAGGCTTACCAGTAGATTTTTACGCAAAGGTTACCTTGACTATTCGGACAGTACCCAATGTAGTACAAGTCCCTAGAAACTGGTCTACGAAATAATCAAGAAGCATATCCAGCGGGGAAAGAAAAGAAAAAACCCCTGATTCGAGTGAGATAAAATAGTGATAAGTCCTCAGAGCCCAGCGAGACACTGGGGTTCGATGATATAGAGCCTCAACGCCAACAAAATCATCATGCCAGCCACCCAAGACGTTGCTCTAGATTCGGACACTGTCCTCGACGCTTTCCGCGATGTAAAGCAAGCCACCGACGACTTCATCGTCAACAACCATCTGGACACATACTGTGACGAGTTTCTGCCAAAGTCCAACAAGCTCGCCATTTCCATTTTCTGTAATGTTTTCGAAGAGCTCGGCTGCCCAATTCGATCCGCAAAGCCAGGCACAAGGCTCGAGCGCATCAATCATGCGCCACAGCACAAGAAATACGTGGATTATATCTACAGAGTGCTGGAAAAGAATGCGGGTTTGGTCGAGATACATGACAAGGACATCACCAACGTGACTCGCACGGCAACTGAATGCCCCAGCAGAGATCTCGGCCCCATGTTTGACCAGCTTCTGCAACAGCGGCCAGCTCAAGAAGCTGAGATCAAGCTCATGCGATTGATGAGTCCCAAGATAAGCAAGTGTCTCCAGGGAGAAGGGGAGGCCATCCATTTCCTTTTCGGCTCTCGTGAGGGACGCATCCTCCTCGACAGGCTTTACGCCACATCCGATGCCAGCAGCACAATCCTCGAGCAGCTGGAAACCTTTCTGAAGGAAATCGGCAGCGAGTGGCCATCGCACACTTCGCCTCTCAAAATCCTTGAGATTGGGGCCGGAACCGGGGGCACTACGTCTCGCCTGCTTCCAGCACTGGCGGCACTGAATATCCCCATAGAATACACCATCTCGGATCTCAGCGCTTTGCTCGTCTCTGAGGCAGCCTCTACCTACGCGCAATACCCCTTCTTGAAGTTCAAGGTGGTCGACATCGAGAAGGAGCCGGACGAAGAACTGCTCAAACAGCCAACACATCGTTCTGGGATCCAATGTCCTCCATGCGACCCGAGACCTGGCGGTGTCTCTGAAGATTATCCGTAAGATGCTGCGTAAAGACGGCTTTCTGATTTTCCACGAGATGACTTCGCAGATGCTTTGGGCTGATGCGGCGTTTGGGCTGATTGAGGGCTGGTGGAGGTTCGAAGACGGCCGTAAGCATGCTCTGCAGAGTACTCAGGCTTGGGAAAAGGTGATTTCCTCTGCTGGGTACGGCTTCGTGGACTGGACGGATGGAAAACGGCCTGAAGCAAAGTCTCAGAATCTGATCTTTGCGATGGCATCAGACCCCGGGTAAGTTCTTGTGTCTCTTGCAACTGATTCTGGAATTGACAATGATTAGGTCGATATATGGCTAATTGGGAGCATCGAGTACGGTCGATGGGCATCTGCGTGACGTATGAGCTACAGTTGACACTACGCTGCGAATTATAAGCTTAGAGCAAGGGCAGAGATCTTGCATTGTGCTATATACCTGCGTAGCTTGAATGAAGATGTGAATATACGTATGCTTCTGGCCCTATAAGATGCTCTGCCTGTGATTACTTTCAGGCGTTGCCCGGCAGTATTGCATAACACAGACCAGCCATAGCCATGATTACTGTTTAATCGTCCACTTTAAGTCCTGGGACAGAAATAATACAATGTATATATAGCTTTGAGCGTAGCTATTCAGCATGAGTCTGTTGTATGTGTAGATGCACCTGAACCTGCACCATTTCCATTGCCCTCCATTTCATCAGCAATGCCTAACGAGCTTTCAGAAGTTCCGAGCTCCTCTGCCAATATGAACCCAATGGAGAGTCCAAACCAGATCGAGATATCGAGCTATCACATGGTTTTTCTAGTCGCGATAGCTTTCGTCGTCTATGGTGCTTGCCTTGGAATTTACCGCTGTACGCGCTGGACTTGTTGCAGCATCTGAGGAAGCCTTGCTAACACTGAGAAATCACAGTAAAGTTCTCTCCCCTTTCGAAGATTCCCGGGCCCAAGCTGGCTGGTAGGAGTGCATAACATCAATTGATTACACTATCTGATCTTTCACAGCTCTGACGTACTGGTATGAGACTTACTATGAGGTATGGAAGGGCGGACAATACTTTCGCGAAGTCGACAAGATGCATAGACAATACGGTATGTACTCGGAGGAATCTATCTCCTAATCCTAGGACGTTTGCTTGAGAAGACAAAGGTCCAATTGTGCGAGTCACCCCGAATGAGGTACATTTTGACGACCCAAGTTTCCTTGATGTCATTTATCCCAGCCGAGGAAAAAAGATCAACAAACCCGAGTCTGTTGCCGTGAGAGCAGGGAGTGAGTATCCTTCTCAAATAACCACTGAGGCCAGACATTCATTTGGTTTCTTCAGCACCGGGGTCCATCGTGGCCACTGTCGACCACGACACTCATCGCCGACGTCGAAACGCTTTGAACACTTTCTTCTCAGGTTCCAGTGTTCGCCGCCTCGAGCCCATTGTCAAACAGCAAATTGAGCAGATCTTTAGGCGCATGGAGGACTCAGCTAAACGGCAAGAAGTTGTGAAGATGCACCACTTGTTCAAAGCCTGCGCGAGCGACATCATCACGCTCTATGCTTTTGGCGACTCGTTCAGCTTCTTGCACCAGCCCGACTATGGAAGAGGATACTTTGACGCATGTGATCAACTCAACACCATGACACACGTCTTTGGCAATTTCCCTTGGCTTAGGATCTTGGCTTCGTCTGCCCCTGACTGGGCTATGAAGAAGCTTTTGCCGTCCATGTCGGAATTTTTGGACAAGAAAGAGGTAGGACAACTCTTTCGCTCGTTGATCTCTTCCATTGACCCCATGTTTCTTCAGTGGTGGATCGGAAAGATCCGTGAAATCAGAGGCTCTGTCGATCCAAAACTTGCGCAAAATACCATATTGGGTGGCATACTCAACAGTACTCTCCCTGCAGAGGATAAAACAGATGCGAGAGTGGCGAGTGAAGCACAGTTGGTTGTGCTTGCTGGCGAAGGCACTACTGGTTAGATATACCATCCCTGTCACCATCTTGAGACGGACAGTGTTACTGATTGCTACGCACAAACAGCGCTCGCCCTCACTACATCTCTGTATCATCTACTGGCGAATCCTGATATTCTACAAAGACTGAGAGATGAGCTTATGGAAGCAGTACCTGAAAGAAACCGCCTCCCGACCGCTTCAGAAGTCGGTGGACTTCCCTATCTGAACGCCATCATCAACGAGGCTATTCGCCTGCACCCCGGAGTCATGCATCGACAAGTCCGCGTTTGTCCCAGCGAGACAATTGTATACAAGGATCAATCCAGTGGTGCAGAGTACTGCCTTCCGCCGGGTACATGCTACAGCATATCACCGCTTACCAGCCACATGAATTCGAGCGTCTTTAAAGACCCTTATGAATTCTGTCCACAGAGATGGATCGAGACTCCTGAGATCTCTAGGGCATTTATGGGCTTTTCAAAAGGGTCAAGGGGCTGCGTAGGGTGAGAATAGTTTCAGCTTCGGTGCCCCAGTCCTTTTCTTCTACGCATCATGGCATTTTGCCGCTGCTAATGATGGGTTTTACTCAATAGCATGGGCCTTGCGCGCCATGAAATGACTCTGGTGTTGGCCAGCCTGTTTCTCAAATACGACGTGTACAGCGGGCAAAGCGGACCAACGTTGGAACTGTTCGATACGATTCGCTCCCGAGATATCGATGCCAACAGGGATTACATCGTTCCACTTCCTGCTAAGGGGAGTCTGGGCCTCCGTGTGAAGATACGGAATTGAGGAGGGTTACGTTGGGTGGGTACAGCTGAAGGAAGAAAGATTGCGTGACCAGGGGCAGCTCAGTTGCAGAAGTAATACTACGGTAATCACAGGAGAGCAGCAATAATCAACGTCATAACCGCGCGTTATAAGCAAGCAGTTTCAGTCGTGGTAAACTGGTAAGCGTTGTAAGCAGGCAAACTATATAATCTCCTCATGACATTTACAAGTAATGCTTTCTTCTACGAGGAGCTGATTGATTACCTATTTTGTTTGGTGATGGTCATGTTTTACGCATCCCGCGTAATGGGGGAAATGGCTCGACCGAGAATGAAAGGGCCTGTCCTATGTAATTGACCGTCCGGGAACAAAGAGAGGTACTACTCAGATGTACTGTTGCAGTCCAGTCTCGACGTTGGATATGGAGTATTCAGCCTGCATAGAGGGTGCAGGGGCTGTGTTTCGTGCGTTGGGCCTGCCATCGGTCCTCTATCTTTCTCCGCACTTTGCAACTCCTGTGCCCCCAAGCTTCGATTCGAACCTTCATCTTCGAGTTCGATTTCGAGTCATATTCCAGAAGAGAGTTGACAGATTCGACATGGCAACACAGAAGGAGAAGCGTTCCATCCTCATCACCGGCTGTTCTGACGGCGGTCTTGGTGCTGCGCTTGCAGTCGCCTTTCATGAAGCCGGCTATCACGTCTATGCCACGGCGAGAAATGTCGACAAAATGAAGCAGCTCACGGCTCAGGGGATCGAAACCTTGGAGCTTGATGTTCAATCGGAGTCTTCGATCAAAGAGTGTCTGGGCAAGATTCCGCGCCTCGACATCCTGCTGAACAACGCGGGCACTATGCTCACGATGCCCGTCGTCGACACCTCGATCGAGAAAGCAAAAGAGCTGTTCGAGACCAATGTGTGGGGCCCACTTCGCATGATACAGGCGTTTGTTCCTTTGCTCCTGGAATCAAAGGGTATGATTGTGAACAACACCTCGATAGGCGCTTTTCTGGCGGCCCCGTTCGGTGGCGCATATAGTGCCTCCAAGGCCGCTCTCGCCATGTTCACGGAAACGCTCCGTATCGAAATGGAGGCGTTTGACATCAAGGTCGTTGACATGAGGACCGGCACAGTGGGCCCTACCAACCTGCTCAAGAACAACACCTCGCTACAGGGCTCTAGGTCAGACCCCATTCTGCCGAAGGGTTCGATCTACGAACCTGCGAGAGAACTCGTGGAGAGCGTGATTCGTCGAGATGGCTTCAAGAGAACCGGCATGAACCCTGCTCTCTGGGCGAAGGAGGTTGTGCAGGACCTGTCCAAGAGCAAGCCGCCTGCCGTGATCTGGCGCGGACAGAGCGCTGCCACGGCGTGGTACGCTTCCATGCTGCCGCACGGCTTCCTGGATGGATTCATCAAGAAGTTGACGCAGTACAGCAAGATTGAAGAGATTATAAGGGCTGCGAGGAACTAAACACTACAAGCTCAGGGTGTTAGATAGCCACTAGATGCATGACTCTGGTTTATTGAAAGGGTATTTGTTGTTGACATATGGTGTCTTTACCTTAACATGTAGTCCAACTATAAACCGTACTTTTCCACATCTTGACACTTGATACTTGTCTTACTTTTGTTTACTATCAATCTACAAGGCCATACGATGCACACTCGTCAAGTAAGAAAGTAGACAGGAATCGGTCCACGTCACAGAGGTGAATGATAGATAGCTCACTGCCCAGGTATGCAGTGTTACCGGCACCATCACGGATTCACTACTCCTTTCCTTCCACATGTGAACTCACCACTTCAAACGGTACCTACTCGAATCTGTGTCACTTATTTCCCTACCTAGTTTATGCCAGATAATGCTTGTCCTAGATACTATCCACGCTGCTCTCAGTTACCCCTTCATCATGTCGGGCTTTATAATGAACGTCAGCCCCTGCTTTCAAAAGCACCTCCACAGCCGCCTCGAAGCCGATAGCAATAGCTATGTGAAGGGCATTCCTTCCATCTTTGGTACATCCGTTGATCAACTCGCCATCTCCCGCACAGTGTTTCAATAGCTTCTTAAGGAATCGCTCTCGGCGATGTATAACAGCCCCGTGAAGAGCCGAGCGATCATTGTGGTCGACATGCTGGATGCCAGCTCCATGGGACAAGAGAAGATCTGCCACGTCTTCGAATCCCCTGATGGTGGCATATGCCAGCGGAGTTAGACCGTGAGTGTCCTTTGTGTTGCAGTCTGCGTCATGCTCAAGCAAGATACGCACGATCTTGCTGTTCCCTTTTTGCACGGCCATGTGCAGTGGGCTCCTCCCAAAGCTCAGTTGGTTGTTTGGTGGTTTACCGAAAGGCCTCGACCTCTCCCTGTTTCTGTTCTCTGAGTTGAGAAAGGAGGCATCTTGCTTGAAGCTGCTCAGTACTTGATTCAGTTCGTCGGAGTCGACTCCTTCAGCTGACGATGAGTTAGGGGTTGCATATAGTCCTTGGTCTGGCTTCAGGAAGCTCTCCATGCAATCGAAGTCGATGGCTTTCAGAAACACGTCTGTGCTGTCTGCAGATATGTACTGGTCCTCTGGCTCAATTGCAATAGCTGGTGCAGTTGTGGCAGTCAAAGCCGAGGAGCCAGATAATATAACGTCTTCTGGGTTTATGTCTTGCCCAGGAAATGGTTCTGCAATGGCACTAGGAGTACGTGGACGCTGCTCGACAGATTTTCGCCGGCCGTGTCTCTCTGATAAGTGATGACAGTCAGTTCAGCCCATGTTCCGCTTCACATTTATGTGGTATCGGTATCTCATGCTTACCGCGAAATCTACGTTGCGCCAGGCGATTCTGCTCGCGACGCCGCTCAAGCCCCTTCTGGTTTTCAGACATCAGATTGAAAAATGGTGTTCCTTGTTGGAAGGTTGTTTCGATCTTTTATTCTCGATGAATGGCAAGTACCAGAAAGCTGATCTCGTAAAGACCATAACTCCAGCATTGGGCATTGGCCCTGAATTGTTCAACGACACCAGGTATATGGTACCGCTATAACGAATTGGAGTTCGTGTGCCATAGAATACAGTCGAGTACCACGCCATCAGTCCATAAGAGTACGTGGGATTTGGGGCTGGATAAAGAGTTGTAGACTTTCAATCCGAACATTCGAGGCAAACTTCCGCCGAAACACATGAATATGGCGTTGGCGATTTCATGTTACATTGGCCACTCAGGGCAGCGAACCCCCATCCCATAGGTGATTCCTACAGGAACAATGCTACCCAGGTATACTAATCAGTAAGTACAACAGGATGCTCAATGCTATGCATTGTAACCGTGGCGGGCGTTAAATTACGCTCGCATAGAACGGTAGGGTCTTTTGGTTGTTCACGTACTGGATGATAAGGCTCTGGTCAATCAGATGAGCCGTGCTGTCGATGTGAAGCGAGGCTCGCTCGCATTCGCTAACCTGGTAAAAGGCGGGCATCTGTTTACTCCAGTCCCAGGGTTCGGGGCCTACTAACATACTGAAGGTTGCAATGCTAAACGAACAGAAAGCATGTGCTATCTGGAGGATCGGGGTCCTTTTCAGCTGGTTGGCGTTGGTCGGGTTTGACAATCCTGCCGAAGGGCGTGGCAGCGTGGCTCTCCCCGCATCAATCTGAATCCATCAAGCTCAGTTTTGCCGCCGAGGATTCAGTCCTGCATAACAAAACCCGATAAGCTTCGGTCTTGAACCTTCCAGTGCTAACTAGCTTCATGTGCAGCAATAGAGGAGTAGAGGATCTGGGAACTGTTCGCTCGACAAGACAGCGCTGTGAATATCAAGTCTCTGGAGCCATGACACTCAGAAAAAACACCTCTGATTTCTTAGATGGCCGTAGGGGTTTCTACAAACAACCAATGGGGACTTCTCCCGGGCCGGTATCTGCCAACGACGTACTCTTTCTAAGTTGGGCAATATGTACATGCCTCTGTCAAGATCAGCCTAAAAAAGCCACGATCAATCACATTGTCCGCTCTGTGTTACATCCAGGTGGCGCAATATCCTACCTCACCGGCCCTGACCGACGACGGCTCGATCCGGACTAGGGGGTTGCTCACTGTGTATAAGACGTGGTGACATGTTATACACCCTTCGTATTACAGATCCACAGTCATACTTCTTCTACCAGCAAAAGTGCAGACGAGGTTATCTAGGAGGAATGACTCTCCGTGTCCTGAACGCAGTGGCAGGGGATCATCATTTGGCCAGTTGTTCAGGGAGACCAGCTGAAGCTTTCGCTGCTCCAGTCACAGATATAAGCTCTGCTGGTACGGCTGAAGAGAGCTTTGAGTCTCTAAAATAACCAAATTGCTAATAACGCGTGCTCATCTGTTTCTAGCTTTCAGAGCAATCTTTTCGTCGCTGTAGTTTGCCTCACTGAGCTCTTCTTTCATGCCAGGCGCATCGCGGACACATTACTTGTTCCAAAAGATGGGTATATGGCGGATCGAACGGCCAGAGGGCTTTTCTATAACATGTGAAGAAGCATGCGCGGGGCTAGAGGTGGCGGGTTCGACCGCGTATATCGGATTTCGAGGGTTGGTGGATGGGAGAAGGGGGAGGAGGGGGCGTTGGTCGAAATAGCCACAGGCCGTGCTGAGGCACCACCATACAGGTATCACAGGAGACCCCAGTCTTGCGATGAGGAGCTTCAGAGCCCTCGGGGCTGAGTTTTGATCCTTTGACTTATATCCAGCCACCAAAGTGAAAGAAGAAAAAAAGAAAAACATGCAGCCTACCAGTCTAGATGTGACCCCGGATAAGACATGATCCACGGTGATTTGTGATTGTTGTATAACGGCGGCCCCATGAGAGAGGTTGCAATCCATGGGAGGATTGGGGGATCTTGACAGCGCTGAGGGGGTGATAAGCCGCGGGATTCTTGCAGCTGACAGAGGAAACATGTCAGATGTGTGAGGCTGATGACGATATTGCATAGTAGTTGTCATTACCAAGCCGATAGGTTGCTAGAGTGCTGTAATAAACGGTAAAATCTCTAGGCTCTGTTGAATCTGAATATAAGATGATCAAGTATAGCTAACATGGTAGTGTGAGTCGGTTCTTTGATCGCGTGTGAAATGTGTAAGGTAATCAGGCGGATTTGGGGCCTGAGAGCATACCATGTAGGGAGCACTACCGCTACTCTGAGCCATATCCAGCGTCAGATGTGGCAGCAGAGTCACCCATGTAGTTGGTCAGCATGTATGTTAATGAGCTTGAGGGCCCTTTCCGTCTCCTCGACCTCATTTGCTGCTGTAACAGACTAGATACATAAAAGCCTGATTCACCATTTGATAACAGGTGTAAGTTGAAAACATGGCTTGACGAAGTAGTCAAAATACTGTATCTGCATAGTAGCAAAAATCGCAGTGATTACCTGCCTCTCTGCAGATCTGGTGCTTACCAAAGTCTCTCCGATGTTCCCTCGCATATTGAACTGCGTTGCAACACTGGCCATTATTGCAGCCAATCTGCCTCCATTAGCTGCATCTCCTGCAGCATTCCGAGCAGGGAACACCCGAAAATGTCGCCATTTGCCAGGAGACCACGAGTGGCCCAAGGAAGACGAATGGAAGCATCTCAATGAGACCCTGGGTGGAGGGCTTATCCGTGGCAAACCATTAGCCCAGCCGTGCTATGGTCCAGCGAGAGATGCCACGACATGCGAAAGTGTCCGGGAGCAGTGGGTGGCTGACAGACTGTAGTAAGTAGAGGAAGCCTTTGGGTTTTGCACAGCATTGACCAACGCCTTGTGATCAGTTGCGATGACCCTGTCAATGTCATGTTCCCATACTGGTTGAACGATTCGTGCAACCCCTTTACAACGCGCGATGGGACATGTACTCTAGGCAACCTCGCCTCGTATGCAATCAACGTCTCTGCGGCATCTGACGTGATTCACGGGGTCAAATTTGCTCGGAAAAAGAACATCAGGCTCATCATCAAGAATACTGGTCACGATGTCATAGGGAGGTCCTCCGGGAAAGGGTCTCTTGCGCTGTGGACGCACAACCTGAAGAACATTTCTGTGTTCAATTACACCAGCGGACACTACAACGGCCCAGCCATCCGAATGGGAGCCGGTGTTCAAATCACTCAGCTGAATGCAGTTGCTGGACAAAACGGACTGCGAGCAATAGGGGGATACTGTCCCACCGTTGGTGTGGCTGGCGGTTACACGCAAAACGGAGGCTATGGGGCTCTCTCTGCAAGCTACGGGCTAGCCGCGGACAATGCTTTAGAGTTTGAGGTCATCACCACCGATGGTCGGCATCTCACAGCTTCACCTGACGAAAATCCTGACCTGTTCTGGGCTCTGAGTGGCGGAGGCTCTGGTAACTACGCAGTGGTTATCTCGCTTACAACAAAGGCTCATGTTGATAGCTCTGTTGCTGGAGCGACATTCATCTTTGCCAATACGAATCCAGATGCTTACTGGAAGGCCATAGCTGCATGGCATGAGCATCTTCTCGTACTCAACGAGATTCGCGGGTTCTCGTCCGTGGCGGTAATAACCAGCATTGCATTTCGTCTCAACATTGCCACTTTGCCTGGAGGAACGGAAGCCAGTATGACGACTGCATTGGATCCCTTCTTGAAGAAGCTCGAGAGCCTTAATATTGCCATTACGAGCTACAAAGTTACGGAAAAGGTAACATATTTCGAGCATTACAATACATATGTGACAGGGGACCCAGATGAGTTCCCTCCAAACAACACCGTGGGGGAACGCCTAGTACCGCAATCGACAGTACAAGACGACTCCCAAGCGGTTGTCAACATCTTCCGTGAAATCATGGAAGACGATACGGTGCCGTTTCAAGCAATCACCCTGGCTTCCAGCAACGTATCTCTCGCCCAGGTCGGTACTACATCTGGTATGCGTGCTGTCTTGCCAGCATGGAGAAGCTCTCTGTATACCATGAACTTTGGCATCGCCTTTCCAAACGATGCTTCTGTTGGGGAAATGCAAAGATATCAGGCCAAAGTCAATGCCTGGCAGGATAGGTTCAAATTTTTGACTGATGGAGCATACATCAATGAAGCGACGTATGATAATCCGGACTGGAAGCAGGACTATTTTGGGGAGAATTACGCTAAGCTGCTTGACGTCAAGAAGAAGTACGATCCTGAATTTGTCTTATGGCAGCATACGTCTGTGGGCTCTGACGCTTATTGGGAAATGACTGAGGGCGAGAGGCTTTGTAGGATTGTTTAGATCTCACGTCTTGTTGAGACGGCTTTTCTTTAGCGTTTGGACTTTCACTCTTGCTTAGGTAGTTTCTTTCTACGTCGTTCCATTATACACCATCATTTAAAGTTGTGTTGTGGCTTATAATTTCGAGAGGGTTAAGCGCAACTCTGTTGGTGCCAACAGCGAAAACTGTAAGCGGGAAGGAAGAAGACGATCAGCAAGAACACTTCTACGAAGATAAGCTGTTAAACAATGCTTTCAAAGTCCATCAATGTTTACATCCGCATAGCTATCTACCCTACCGAATATCTCCTTGAAGCGCTGAACGAAAGAACTGTAACATGACTGCCAATACGTCAGCCGATCCCTCTCCAGTGAGAACATCCATGTGTCCTGCATCTTTTGCCCAGTGAAGTCTCTTGGGTGCCTTTATCTTCTCAAAAGCCGCAAGCTGGTCCTTGGGAAGAGACAGAGCATCTCGCTCCGGTATGATCATCATGGTTGGTAGCTCCAGCATCTCGTCAAGAAGATCCCCCGGACGAAACAATGCCAGCTTGTGGAATGTTTGGAGGGTGATTCGGTCCCGAAAGTTGGGGTGGCCACGCTCCGTAGCGGTTCTCATGAGCAAGTGCGCTTCGAGTCCTCCGGGACCACCCGAGCCGGCATAACCAGCTGGATTCTCTCCTTTGTCGTTGAACGGTGGTAGCGTGAACGGCTCATTACCTCTCAGCTGGGACTTTCGGTCCCGTATGAGCTGGGCAAAGGCCGTAGCTCGTTTATCAGGTCTGATGAAGGCGAAGATGGGGCAGACCATGAGCACAGCTACGACTCGTCTATCGATGGCTGCTGCACATCCGCTTATACTGGCTCCTAAGGATATTCCCCAGAGCAGGATGCGCTTGGGGTCGACACTGGGATGTCTCAACAAAGCTTATAACATCTAACGTATCAAAGATCAAGGTCAGCCGTTGATGAAGTATGAAAATAGGGTCCGCGTAGGGTCCTACCTGATAGATCCTGAGTGATCTGCCATGGATCAATTTGATTCCTCGGAAGACCCCCGCTGCCACCAACGCTCCTCGAGTCGTATAATAGGACATTGTAGCCGGCTGCTTGAAATGCTTCAGCCGTCTGCTGGAGGCTCATCTCTTTGATACAGTTGAGCTAATAAAAGTTGCGCTCAGATCGAGTTCATGCAAGCATACTGTGGTTGACTCACGCCATGGGTCATAATGATGGCTGGCGCTGACCCTTTGACCTGCCAGAACCATGCCTCAAGCCTGATGCCATCAATGGTCCTGCATTCAACGGCTCTGTAGGACGTGATTGGTGCCATAATGAGAGATGAGACTCATTGAGTTACTGGGGCGCGTGTACAGCAGTCCGTAAGGGGAGACGCCACTAATGTGGCCTTGATCTCATGAGTACCCAACAGACTGAGAAGGTTAGGAAAGGTTGGAGAGCTTTCCATATTGTCCAATTTTCGAGGAGAATTTGTTGGTAAGATTTGTATGGGGAGGTAAAATGCATACAAGGAAATAGGTGTGTGTAAGCACGTAAGCAGGGCTGGGAAATCCAACACCAACTTAATGCGGCTATGATAACAGTAATGTGATGGTAATCAGCAGTCGATTGCAGATACGCCGACATCTTACTTTGTATCAGAACTCACATAGACTGGGATGGAAATAGTTGAGGTGAAGCTGCTGTTATAAGACGTATAATGGTGGATAACAAATTACTACGTGTATCCTTGTGAATTTTCATTTGTCTTTTGTACAACCCATAGTCTCCTCCGTTCTTCAACAGACGTCTTTCAACTACTCAGGAGGAACAATTGAGGAAACAAAGGCGCCAGAATCACCGTTTCCTTCTTCTTGCCTTTGCCCAACCCCTCGGAAACTCCTTCACACAGCCATGGCAAAGTCAGACCAAGGCGCACCGGAGCCCATCGCCATCATTGGCTTTGCATGCCGTCTTCCCGGAGGCAACTACAGTCCACATCAACTCTGGGACTTTTTGGAGAGGGGGGAGATCGCCTGGAACGGGGTACCCCCAACAAGGTTCAATCTGGCGGGCCACTATGATGGATCTATGAAGCCCAAGACCATGCGCCAGCCTGGTGGCATGTTCCTCAAGGACATAGACTTGGCCGACTTTGACGCCGGCTTCTTCGAGGTCGGAACTGGCGAGGCTACCGCTATGGACCCGAATCAGCGTCAGATCCTCGAAGTAGTATACGAAGGCTTAGAGAACGCCGGCATTCCGATGGACAAGTTGGACAATCAGGTCGTCGGCTGCTACGTAGGATCTTACGGCGTGGACTATGCCGACATGGCAAGCCGGGATCCAGAAGACAGACCGCTGGGCAACGTCGTCGGCATCGCCCGCTGTGTCATGGCAAACCGCATCAGCCATTTCCTCAACCTCAAGGGGCCGAGCATCACGCTCGACACGGCATGTTCAGGGAGCCTCGTTGGCCTGGATCTGGCATGCCAGAATCTGCGCTCGGGGACCATCAAGATGGGCATCGTCGCAACTTCAAACTTGTACATGAGCCCGGAGCACGTTATCGATGCTGGAAACGTCGGAGGCGCGCACTCTCCCACGGCGCTGTGTCACACTTTTGACCTGGCGGCGGATGGATATGTCAAGGCTGAGGCAGTGAGCACGGCAATTGTGAAGCGGCTGTCGGATGCTATCCGTGATCGTGATCCGATAAGAGGCATCGTACTCGGCACAGCCTCAAATCATAATGGACGGACAGCTGGAATCGCGAGTCCAAATGCCGAGTCTCAAGCTCTCGCTATCCGTGCGGCTTATGCGAACGCTGGCATCACAGACTTTAGTCAGACGACGTTCCTGGAATGTCACGGCACGGGCACGCAGGCCGGTGATGCGAACGAGGTCAGGGGCATTGCCTCGGTATTTGCCGCAGGGCGTTCAGATGACAAGCCGCTCATCATTGGCTCGATTAAGAGTAACGTTGGGCACTCGGAGCCTGCTGCTGGGTTGTCTGGGCTGATGAAGGCCATCATGTCGATTGAAAAGGGGGCGATTCCCGGCAACCCGACCTTTATCACCCCGAACCCCAAGAGTATGTGTATACCGCGATATAGAATATAAGCCCCATATGAGAATGAAACTGCTGACTGACCATTATCCAGTTGACTTTGCCGCAGCCAAGGTTAAAGTATCCCGTGTCCTTGTCAAATGGCCCGAGGACGCCCCTCGAAGAGCGAGCATCAACTCCTTCGGCATTGGAGGCTCAAACGCCCATGCCATCGTGCAACAGGTCGATCCCTTGGATGCAGTCAACCACACGTCTTCCTACATTGATGTTGAAAAGGACTTTGATGCCGACAACCACGAGGCAAGCCGCCCAAGCGTCCTTGTTCTGTCTGCAAACGATGCCGCCTCTCTTAGTGCCAACATCAAGGCTTTCTGCACCCACCTCATCAACCCACGAGTCAAGGTTGACCTGTCAGATCTGGCATATACGCTATCAGAGCGCAGGTCACGACTCTTCCACCGCGCCTTTTGTGACCACGACGACGACGGATATCCGGGAGGATGACTTCACCATGTCAAAGAGTGGCTCGCAGCCTCCCAAGATCGGCTTCATTTTCACCGGACAAGGAGCACAGTGGGCGCAGATGGGCAAAGATCTGCTGGAAATGTTCCCTTGGACACGAGCAATTCTGGAAGGGCTTGACCAGGTGCTTCAAGCTCAGCCCGATCCGCCTGCATGGTCTCTTTTCTCCGAGTTGACGGAGCCTCGCTCTGCAAAGCACATGCGCCAGCCTGACATCTCCCAGACTCTCGTCACAGCACTGCAGCTTTGCATATTTGCCGTGCTGGAGTCTTGGAATATCAAGCCAACTTCAGTCGTCGGTCACTCCTCCGGCGAATGTGCCGCAGCTTATGCCGCTGGTTGGCTTGATCGTGCGGGTGCCCTCAAAGCAGCCTACTACAGAGGCCGAGCCGCAATCAATCGTGCTTCCGAGTCGGAAAAGGAGGTCGGTATGCTTGCGGTTGGACTCGGCGCGGAGGGTGTTGCCGAGTTTCTGGAAGAACACAAGGAGAGTGTTTCCATTGCGTGCTACAACAGCCCCAACAGCTTGACACTCTCTGGCAAGAAGCCTGCGCTCGAGGACATAGCCAGCAAGATCAAAGCCGCCGGCCACTTTGCTAGGATGCTGCTCGTGGATATGGCCTACCATTCCAAGTTCATGGACATTACGGGCGAAGAATACCGAAGGCTTCTGGAGACCGATGATGAGTTCTTGCCCCTGGCAAATTCGTCGTCCGGCGTCAGCATGTTCTCGTCTGTCGCCGGTGCCAGAAAGAAGACTCCTGCGGACTCGTCGTATTGGCTGGCCAACATGTCTTCTCCCGTTCGTTTCGACGATGCCCTCAAAGAGATGATCACCCAAGATTCCCCCACGCTTCTTGTTGAGATCGGTCCTTCTGGAGCTCTGGCTGGTCCCGTCGCCCAGATTCTCAAAGCATTGCCGAACGGAAAGGACGTCACGTACTGCTCCTCGTGGTCTCGCGGATCTAACGCCGGCAAGTCTCTCTTCGACGTTGCCGGCCGGATCTACGCAACCGGTGGCCCCATTAACCTGTCCCTCGTCAACGACTACAGAGATACTGTACGCACCATCATTGACCTTCCCAACTACTCTTGGAACCATTCAGTCAAGTACTGGCATGAAAGTGCTGCGAGCAAGGACTGGCGATTCAGGAAGTTCCCCGTCCACGACCTGCTCGGAAGCAAGGTTCCCGGCATCCCTTGGACTTCGCCGGTATGGCGCCACACGCTCAACGTTGCCAATGTGCCTTGGATCTTGGACCACAAGATGGGCGGCGACGCCATCATGCCTGGAGCCGGCTTCCTCACCCTCGGCTTGGAAGCCTTGTATCAGAAGCATTGCGCTCTCAACGAAAAGGAGGCTCCGGCTTCCGCCAACGAACTGTGCTATCGCTTCCGCAACGTGCGCTTCAACAGAGCCATGGTGCTCGAGGAAGGCAAAGACGTCCGTCTTATTCTTTCGCTGAGCCAAGTACCCGGCAGCAAGGAATGGCATGAGTTCCGAATCTCAACGACCGAAGCCGATGTGGAGGTCGAGCATTGCTTTGGCCTTGTCCGGATCCAGGACCCCGTCAACGAGAAACTCGACGACATCGCGCCCCTTGAGCATCCTCAGAACGCAAAGCAGTGGTACAAAGCCGAGGCCGAAATCGGCATGGACTTTGGTCCCGACTTCCAGAAGCTCATCAGCATCGAGGCAACCAGCGGCTTGCGCTCATGTCGGACCTTGATGTCGCTGGCACCGCCCAGTTCGAAATGGTCGCCTCAGTCCTACTATCCGGTTCATCCCGCCGCTCTCGACGGCTGTTTTCAGACTCCTATTCCAGCAAATGCCGTCGGCGAGCGTGTCAATGTCAGAGACGTCATGATCCCGGCCATGTTTGACGATGTCCTCATCAACAGCGTTCCTTCACGCCTGCACGAGGGCGTCTCCTATGCCACTTCTGTGTATTCGGGACGTGGCCGCCCAGATCAGGACAAGAGCTGGAAGGCGAACAGCTCCATATACGACTCGGCCACCGGCAAACTGGTCGTTCGAGTTACGGGCATCAACTATGTCAAGCTTGATGTGGCTCCAAAGCCCGACCCTCATGTGTTTGATCGCATTTCCTGGCAGCCCGACATTTCTCTTCTCACACAGGATCAAATGATGTATTTGGACGTTGAAAAGGCACAAACCATGATTGACCGAGTTATCGACCTGATCGCGCACAAGAAGCCCGCGTTGAAGATATTGGAAGTCCATCTGGAGGAGACGGACACTTCTTGTCTCTGGTTTGGCGCCGGCAACTCACCAGCCAGAGCCGCATATTCTCGGTATGATTTCGCTTCTACTGATGCAAAGGCCCTGGTGGCTGTCCAGGCCAAGCACGAGGGAGCAGATGGCACTTCCTTCTCCGTCGTGAAGCCAGATATTGAGGGCCTTGGAATTCCTGCCGAGGTGATTTATGATTTGGTCATTGTGAAGTCTTCGATAAAAGTCCAGCTTGAGACAGATGAGGCAATGAGAAACCTGAAGCCCCTACTTGCGGCTGATGGCCTGACGCTGGTGGTGAGAACCAGAGATGAGACAGCAATCGCAGGAGAACGATGAAATAGACGGAGTCGAAGTTTTCGAGAATTGGTATCAGAACCAGTCTCCCCAATCGCCAGGAACGCCTCCCACATCCTGGGGCTCTGACGGCGATCGACCCTCCAGTTCCCTGGACTCGACAGCCAGTGACCTTGAAGCGTCGAAGACGGCCCAGGACGACGTTGGCAGTCTCGAGCGCTTTTCCAGAAGACGTCGTGAGAGAATCCACGAACCCAGTCCCATTCTCACGATTGCTGCCACTGATGACGGAAGTCTGGGCTTTCTGTCGCGTAACCCTACAAAGACGGCGCCCTCGACTTCGCGACATAGGCTTCTTGTTGCCAGTCTTAAGGGCACGAGCAAGCCGGCTCTCGGTCCTTCTTTGCTGGCCACATTGTCTGCTTCTGGCTGGGAAATTATACAGCAGACATATCCATTTCCTCCTGTTCCGGCTGGAACAGTTGTGTTGATTGTCGACGAACTGTCGCATCATGTTCTCAGACATGCGAGCGAGCCTCAATGGGAAGCTATCAAGGCACTCGTTACTTCGGGCAATCCTCTGCTTTGGGTCACGAAAGGCTCTCAACACCCCGTCACCGATCCCGACAACGCCCTTGTGCACGGGCTCTTCAGAGTTGCCCGTCAAGAGGACCAAAGCCTCAAGCTGACCACTCTTGGTGTTCAGTCCAGCACAAGTCGTGCCACAGAGTGGGCGATTGATCGCGTGCTTCAATTGCTGGCTCAGGATGCCTCGCCGGAGACGCAGTACATGGAGCGTGACGGCGTCTTGCATATCCAGAGACTCATCCCGGACGCTGCCGTGAATGATTTCAAACGCGCCGAAGTCGAAGGCCTGGAGCCCGTCTCCAAGCCGTTTCACAACAATGAGGCACAAATCATGTTGAGGACCGAGCGAATCGGCACTCTCCAAAGCCTGACGTGGTGCGAAACAGATGTCGAAGAGCTTCCACTTGAGCCAGGCTGGGTGGAAGTCGAAGTCAGAGCCGGGGGTGTCAACTTCAAGGACGTCGCCATCACCATGGGCATCGTCGCAGATAACGAATACACGATTGGTGTTGAGTGCGCTGGTCCCATTCGGCGGATAGGCTCCAACGTGACCAGGTTCAAGGTGGGTGATCGAGTCTGCGTGCTGAAGCCTGGCACATATGCGAATCGAGCGCATGCAGAAGCCGATCGTTGCCATCTCATTCCGGACACCATGACTTATGAAGAGGCTGCTACCATTCCCTCGGTTTATCTGTGCTCGCTGTATTCGTTGTATCACCTGGCGGATATCCAGGAAGGACAGGTGAGCTCATCATTCTCTCTTGCTGACTCGATTCTTCAGATGCTAACTCATTGTCAGTCTGTTCTTATTCACTCTGCTACTGGTGGCGTTGGAATCGCATGCATCGGACTGGCTCGGTATAGGAAAGCAGAGGTGCGTTGTTTGGCATCTCAGCATCAACCAACCCCCTCCCCCCCGAGACTAACACAACGTTTACGTAGATCTATGTCACTGTGGGAACAGAAGAAAAACGCGAGTTCCTCGAAAAGAACTACGGTATCCCGAGGAGCCGGATGTACTCTTCGCGGAGCACAGACTTTGCATCGGAGATTATACGAGAAACTGACGGGCGTGGCGTCGATGTCATTGTCAATTCTTTGACTGGTGAGCTGCTGGATGCCTCGTGGCGGATCGTCGCCGATGGTGGCATCATGGTCGAGATCGGTAAGAGGGACATTATTGATCGCAACACGCTGGCCATGGAGCCGTTTGATAGGAACTGCTCGTTCCGTGCCGTCGACATGTCGTATGGCAAGCACATGGACGAGAAGAAGGTGGCCAAGTAAGTCGACTTAGCCTTACCTACTTGGAACCATCTATATATGTCTAACCTATTCAAAAGGCTTTTCGAGGAACTATTTGCTCTGATCAAAGCGGGTCACCTCCAGCCAATCCATCCTGTCACCATCTTTGGCTTTAATCAGATTCCAGCTGCTTTGGCTCATATCCGTGCCGGACGGCACATGGGCAAGATCATCATCTCCAACCAGCAAACGGAAGACCTACAGGTCCCAGTTCGTCCCGCTGTTCGCAAGCTCAAACTGCTGCCAGACGTATCTTACCTCGTCGTCGGGGGCCTCCGGGGTGCTTGCGGAACGCTGATCGTTCACATGGCGCAGCATGGAGCCCGTCACATCGTTGTCAACAATCGGAGTGGCATTCAGGACGATGCTTCTGCCAAGATTGTGCGCGACTGCCTTTCTCATGGCTGTGTTGTCACTGAGGCGAGAGGAGACGTTGGTGATTATGAAGTCGTGAGCGGCATATTCAAGGACACGGTGCCGAGGATTGCCGGCGTTGTCCACGGCCCTATGGTACTAAATGTAAGTCAAACCCCGAAGATCTTTTCGAGCATCGTTTTCCTGACTCGTTACCACAGGATAAACCGTACGAGAACATGACGGTGGATGACTATCACTCAACTCTCCACGCCAAGGTCAACGGGGCATGGAACCTTCACCGGGCGTCTACACAGGTCCTCAAGCAGCCTCTTGACTTTTTCACTATGCTGTCCAGCATCTCAGGTATAGTCGGGCGAAAGGGACAAGCCAACTACGCAGCTGCAAACACTTTCCTCGACGCTTTTGCCAGTTACCGGCAGCTCCAGGGTCTTCGCGCCAACGCAGCGGACCTGGGGATGATTGTGGATGTTGGCCATATTGCAGATGACGAGACCGGCCTGGAAGACAAGTTTGACAAGACCCGCTGGATCCCAGTCAACGAGGCAATGCTGCGCAGGATCCTGACTTACTCCATTCTGCAGCAGGATCCCAACACTCAGCTCAACAAAGAGAGCAGCACCCAGATCATCACGGGCATCTCTTATCCCCTCTCATTAGATGAAGCCCACCTGGTCTATGACGCCCGCTTCAGCTATCTCTATGCCGGCCGCGGCAGGCAAGTAGGGCCCGACACCAGCGGCGACACCAGCGACAAGGGCGATCAAGCACTACGAACATTCCAGGTGATGCACAAGGCAGAAGCTGACACGTCGAGTATGGTGAACGCATGCGTCGAGGCGCTCTCTGGGCAGTTTGCAAAGATTCTACAGCTCCTTGGGCCGGTAGAGCCGGGTAAGCCTCTGATGGCATATGGGCTTGACTCGCTTTCGGCTATTGAGCTGCGGAACTGGACGCGTGCCAAGATGGGCGTTGAGTTGACCACGCTGGACATTATCAATGCGAGTTCTCTGATTGCCTTGGGTGAGAAGGTTGTTTCCAAGTTGACCCAGTCGGAAGATGCCAGCAAATGAGTGGATGGGAATAAGGGGCTGAAGGGTTCTTTTCGTGTAGTTTCATATGAATAAGAAGCATCAGAGTTTTGGATACTTGCATCCTTGGCTGCATGCTCATAGTTCACTCCACAGTTGGCTGAATTTGACTCGGATCTTACGTTGCCATCCCCAATGGCTCTCACGAGTTGTCTTCTCTGAACAGCAGGTAGAACAGCCATAGGCGGCTACACTGCTTGTATGGGCTCAGAGGAGACTTCTGTCCTATCGAGCAGCTTCTAGACCATCTACAACATTCAACGAGCGCAACCGCCATTGTAGATCAAAGTTCAGGCATATGAGCAGCCACCCATTACTTGCTACATCACAGCTATCCAAACAGCATCTGGCATCCAAAGCCCTGATTACCTGACAGATGGATTCTGGATCCTACTACGTTGGGGGGGTAATAACGGTAAGCAAAGAAACTTAACACTACTAGCTAGTGTACAAGTAATCATAAGCTGCTTTCTGAACAGGACAATACATGCCAAGGCGTACTCTAATTGAGGATGCTGTTTGGGCGAAGCTATCATGGGCCAACCTAAATTTAAGGGCATGATAAAAGGCACTTGGGACAAAGACACAGAAGGTAGACAGTTTTAGTTTCTAGTGGTCCAAGTAAACATCTAGATCTCGAATAACACTCACAGATATTCTTCCATCGCTGGTTGGACACAATGATCAAGTCAATCGCTGTTCCCGCTCCCCCCTTTGATCTTACCCTATCCCACTGGGACAGAATCTTCCCACCTACTCATTCCAAAAGAATCCTCTGCTTCGCTCTACCAGATAATGCCGACAAAGAGCAAATCATTGACCAGCTACATATTGCATTACACTATACCGTCCAACAAATCCCTTTCCTTGCCGGTTCCCTGGTGCCACGCGTCGAAGATGAAGGTAAACGCCCCTGGCTTCGAACAATCTCCTCCGCTGGAGCCGCCTATTTGGACGTTGTAGAACTGTCCGATCAACTTTCTTTCTCATTTTTTGCCGAGTCCAACTTTGACCAGCAATTGTTCGACGCCGATCAGCTCTGCTCTCTACCTCAAGTCGCATACGTCCAAGAGGAACCTGTCAATGTGTGCCGATTCCAGGCCACCTTTATCGAAGGCGGACTTTTGCTCGCCATCCAGATCCTGCACACCGTCGTCGATGGGCGAGGCGTGACAGACTGCATCAGGATCTTTGCCGACAACTTTCGCAGAGCGCAGTCCGGGGCAATTGGCCATCCCCTGGAAACGGCGACGAGCGTCTACTCGTTGGATCGCAGTGCTCTATTGTCCGCTGATGGGGCCGTTGGAGACGAGGAGAAGCATCCCGCCTTTACAACTTCGCCGTTAGTGAGCGGCAAGTTTATCGGTGTCGAAAACGGCTGCCACACATTCCACATGAGCGCCAAAGCTCTCGAAGCTCTCAAGAAAGCTGCCACTCCCCAGCCGGGAGCCGAGGACGCAACATGGATCTCAACCGGCGACGCAATTGCTGCTCTCATCTGGCGCAGTGTCATGCTCGCCCGACTCCGGGCCGGACTCTTACCCGCCGATGCCACCGTCGTCATGACGCAGCCTTTGGATGTTCGCGCGATGCTGGGCCTTCCCGAGCCGTATTTCGGGAATGCATTCTACATCACAAGACCTTCTCTGCCGCTCTCCGCTCTGGCAGATCCTGAAGACGGACTCCGAACTGCTGCCAAAGCCTTGCGGACGGACATCAAGTCGATGACCGGTGACAAGTTCAGGGACTTTCTCGGACTCGCCGAGCGTTCAGCATTGGCTGAGCCGATCCGTCTGAGCACCATGGGAGACGCAGCCACCACGGCAATCACATACTCGAGCCACTTTGCCTTCAACGTGCACGAGCTAGATTTTGGCCCTGCGTTTGGTGACGGACGTGTCAAGGCTTTTCGCCACCCTGCAAGAGGCACGATGCCTGGGGCTGTCATTGTGATGCCCAAGTTGCAGGACGGTGGGTGTGAGTTTATGGTCACGGAGCAGCCTGACACTCTTAAATATCTGGCTGAAGATGAGTTGTTCGGCCTGTTCGCGAGAAAGGATAAAGGAACTCACGACAAGGACTTATGACTATCTATGATGGGAAAGGATGAGAAGATACTGAATTCGTCGTCCCAACATCGGCCGGACTCAAATCATATCAAGGTGTCAAGCAAGGCTCCGACGCTCGTCGTGAGCAACATCCCAGCACCACACGTGGGAACCATCAAAGTGATCCAGCTGAACCGCCCAAGTGCCAAGAATGCCATATCCGTACAACTATTGCAGGAATTGGCCGCACAGATCGAAGGCATTCACAGCGAGGACAGAACCTCGCCACATCAGACAAGAGCCCTGGTTCTCGCCAGCGCACTCAACGACGTCTTCTGCGCGGGAGCTGACCTCCGTGAAAGGAGAAATATGACCACGGCAGAAACACAAGTCTTTCTCGCCTCGCTGAGAAACACATTCTTCAGGTTATCGTCGCTTTCCATCCCTTCGATAGCCTGTGTCTCAGGCCTTGCACTTGGCGGAGGCCTCGAGCTCGCACTATGCTGCAACTTTCGCGTCTTTTCCTCACTCGCCGTAGTCGGTCTACCGGAGACCAGGCTTGCCATCATACCGGGAGCGGGCGGGACATATCGCCTGCCAAAGCTCATCGGCCAAATGCATGCCATGGACCTCATATTGACCGGTCGACGCGTACCTGCAGCGGAAGCAGCCGAAATGGGCATGTGCAACCGTCTTGTTACCGTGGAGGAGACGTCAAGTCTTGAAGACGCAAGGAATATGACGCTGGAGGCAGGCATCCTACTTGCGCGAGAGATTACGTATGGAGGTCCAGTGGCTGTGCGTGCGGCCTTGACGGCGCTGGCAGGCATGAGCGAAGAAGCTGAGAACGCTGCGTATGAGACGGTGCTTGAGACACAGGATCGGCTCGAGGCGTTGCGGGCTTTTGGAAACGGTCATGAACCCGTGTTTGTTGGGAACTGAAGCCTTATTCAGGTCGTGGCCTCCTCTCGGGAGGTTGCTATTAAGAAGCTGCTGTTCTTTGTTGTTGAGTTCTTCTTTATATCTAGATGAGGCCAGCCATCAACTTGCATTTATCTCCACTCTACTCCTTTTCTCACATTCTCAATGATTGCGTCTGCCATCCGCTGCCGAACCCGATGCGGAATCTCATGCCCACAGTCCTCAAGAATAACCAGTGTCGCCCCTTTCACATCATCTCTCAGAGTCTCCGCATGCTTCATCGGGAAGATTTGGTCCTTTGCGCCATGGATAACGACAGTCGGACATTGCACTTGCTTCAGCAGCTCGCGCGGCCACCTCGGTCCCGAAGCATCGGAATGATTATACCTTGTCCACAACGTCCCGCTCTCTCTCTCGCGGTAATATGTAATCTCAGACTCCCGTCTTGATTCAGCCCTTGCTTCCTCCGTAGGTGGTTGACTTGACAGCGCAAGGTCGAGCTGCGTATAGGAATGTATCCAAGCTTCATCATCATCCATGTCGTCTGGAACGGTATATGCCTCGGCGATGAGCCATTGCCCTTCTAAAAGGACGGGTGGTAGGTTATCGCTGGGCATTTGCTGTCGACCAACTGGACTCGTGAGAACAAGGGCCAGACTTTTGACAATGTCGGGCAGCCGAGCAGCGGTTTGCCATGCTAGAGACCCGCCCAAACTGATGCCGATGAGGTGGGCGGCTGAGAGCTCGAGATGCCTGATGAGGCCCACGATGTCGTCTACCATGTCACTCTGCGCATAGACCGGTGAGCCATCGGGTGGTTTTGTGAAAGACGTTGAGCGGCCGGTATCGCGATGGTCAAACCGAATGACGAAGTAGGGCTGATTCGGAGGACTGAGGAGCCGGACAAGGCCATCCGTCTTTTGTGTCATGGCACAACTGTGGCCCGAGATGAGAAGGATGGCCGGATCCAGAGGGTTTCCGAAGACCTGGTAGCAGATCTGGCAGCCGGATGGGAGGGTTACGAAAAGCTCCTCGGACATGTCTGTGTATATCATCTCGGTTGAATACGGCCTGTTTTCAGCGATGGCGGTCGCAAGTAGAGAGTCCTCCTTTTGCTTCGTGAATAGCGGCAGCAGTGCGGGGTGCGACGCTCGCGTTGTGCAGGGGGGGTGTGAAGTGGTGTCTAGTCGGGTTGCTTTGTGTTGGTCGTTACCATCGAGGTGTCTGTGTCTTGAGGACCAGTCGAAGTGACCCCGCTGTATCGAGATCAACAAGTGCCAGCTCGTAATTGATTACAGAAGGTATTATTATGTATGAGTACTTGGGAGGTAGATTGCAGTCTATCGGGTTTAAGAGCAGCTGTAAGTCACAAAAGGGATGAGACAAGGCATTCGACAAACCCCTTTTTGGACACGGGCTAATCTAAACCCTAGGACTCTAGTAAGTGATAGTGTCCGGGACACCTCTATCAAGCCTGAATACAGTAACTGCCAAGACAGAATCGGACAGGCCTTATCCTTCTTTGAGGCTTTGAAGCAGCGGTCCAACTACGCTAAAGGGCAAAACCGGCTTCTTCTCAGTAACATTCAGTTGCAGGGGGTAGAAATAGGCCGGTGACGTCCAGAAAATCCAAAACAGAACCCATACATATCCAACAGCTGTAGTCCACCGACTGTATTGGCCCTTGAAACCCCGGCTCCAGATCGCCTGAACAGCGTCCTCAATCATGAAGCCCAGAGCTTGGATGCTGTAGAAGCGCAACGTGCCAGACTGGTCCCAGCGGATTCCGCCTGGATACTCCTCGCCGAAGAGATGAAATAGGCCAGAGACTGTGAACGTGAGAAGAATGAACATGTATCGGCCTGCAATCCCTCCTTTTTTGAGTCCAAGCAGGGAATATGTCGTGTAAATAGGCGGGACTGCTGATTTTCTGACGAATGGCCTGATGCCAGAATTTTCTGGTTGCGATAACAGATCAGCAATGGTGAAATTTCCCATAACCATAAGAGAACATAGGTAGGCTTACCCCCAAGTATTGCGGATCGTGTACATCTCGGAGATGGAACCGAACAGTGGCGGCCACCTTTGAACCGGCGAAACGCCCGCCGCGACACACACAATAGCTAATGAAGAGTAGAATGCTTGGACGTAATAGTATATGGCCACCCAGCGGATGTATACGACAATTGTTCTCAAGATGACCTCGTTTCTTGTGACTTCACCCAGCCGCGTCAGGAAGAGGACCTTGTCCCACGAGAACTTGGTCGCATTCACTGCAGGGTCGGGCTGGCCTCCCATTAGGCTCATTGCATCGAGAATTAACAGAGACCAGATCAAGGTGATTGCCTTCCTGACAATGAAGCGTCCGCGACTGGGCACCATTGCAAACTGTGGTGTGCCCTTTACCTCCCATGGTGTCGCCGGAGCACGCCAGGACGTGGCGACGTCAAACGCCCATTGCAGACGAGAGACCAGATGGGAAGCCTTCTGCTGTGGTTTCTTGCGGTCTGTTAAGCCGAGGTTTGCATTGGGCTGATTGCCGCGTGGTGATGTAGGGCCATATGCCGAATATGACCAGCGACTGATGAGACCAACATCTAGATATTGGAGAAAGAGGCCCGCGGTGTTCATGTTGATCAGGGTCCATGTTCCCTTGTGTGAAATTGCTTCCTTGTTGAAGATGAGAGCATGTGACACGAGAGCGGCCAGCATAGGCAGGACGAGTGGACGGATGAAGGAGTTGGCCGATGTGAAGCCAACAACTAGTCCTACAATGCCTACCAGTAAAGCCTGGTAGGCCAGTACAAGCCAAAGAGCCATGATGCGCTGTAGCTGATTTGCATAGAATAGAGGTATGTGGCGTTTCTCAAAAGTCGGTACTATGAATGATCTTTTGAGATGGCGGCCGTCTCAACAGAGGCTCATAATTACCACAGCAATCAAGCTCTTGTCAAGAGCAGTTCCAATGATCAGCGAGAGATTAGCGTTACGATATGGGATTACCAAGTAGTAATGCTACAACGGGTGGTAAGGTGGCATGCTTGATGACCATGTAAACGCCGCATAAGCAGAGGTAATGCGTAATGCATCGAACAATTACCATCTGATGAGAAGTTGATTAGGAAACGAGAATCGTGATAATTGTTTCATACAATGTAGCTCTGTGCTACAATTAGTGAATACAGCCTTCAGCTCAAGCAATGAGATGCGTACTCATCGGCGTGCGAAGCGCTCTCTCTACATAGTTGAGGTTTGGAGTCGATACAACCCAATGGGGAACTTCAAGGGCCAATAATACAGCAAAGTATAACAAGGGTGGCTTACTACAAAAGGAAAGAAAGAAAACATGAGCTGCAATGTCTTTGAATGTCTGTATCCATAAATGCATCTCTAGGCGTTGCTAATGTGGATATTTGGCCTAGTTGAGCTCTTACTGTCCCGGTAGTTGTCCAGGACCTCATTGACCTTGGCCGCATCCAAGCCCTTGATAACCGCATAGGGAGTCGGTCTCAAGATCCCCTGCTCAATGAGCCCCGGGAAAGCCTTCCAAAGGGTTGCCGACAGTTCACGTCGATCTGCCGCATGAGGGTGGCAGAGAAAACGACGCAGCTCGTATCCGGCCTTCTTGTTCAACTTGGTCTCATCAACCTCGCCTTGAGTCACGGTCACCAGCGTTCCCCTCTTGTTGTTTGACAGAATGCGAGCTCCGAGTGTTTGATCCTTTGCCAAGACGGCAGTGCACACATGCAAGAGATCATCTCCCACGTTGTTTCGCACCTCAGCTTCAATCTCGTCGTCACTCAGTGTCCTGTCGATTAAGTGAGTGGCACCAAGCTCCCGGAGATGATCAGCCTTGGTCTTTCCAGCGATTGCGATAATAGTGCCAAACCCAGCCCATCTTGCAAGCTGAATCGTAAATTGGCCGCAGTTTGAACCAGCTCCAATAATGGCAAGAGGTGTGTTCTTGTAGTCGAACGATTTTCCCTCGGGCGTCAACGGGGAAGGGAAAGCGTGTATAGATAAATGAAAGAGCGCAATGTACATGGTGAGCGCATTCAGTGGCAATGTTGCAGCTTCGCCTTGCGTGTTTGAGGCGGGAACCCGGCCCATGAAGTTGACGTCCATGAGTGCGTACTCCTGTGTGGTTAACATCTCGGCGGAGTATCGTCATACGAACATCCTGCGATGGCCATCTTGACCAACACTTCACCGGGCCCGGGAGTCGGTATGGGTCGGGTTCCCAATACGACGGGGTTGCCGGGCCCGGTAACCAACAGTGCTTTCTGTTCCGCCATTGCTGTTTATGATGCGAGCCAGAGTTTTCGGGTGTAATTTTGGCCTCACTACGACTCAATGACTATGTTAACGTGTTCCAGTATGATTGGGTTTCTGGAGATATTTATCTTGCCTTTGGGGGTACACGGCTATCCATCAACCATCTCTATGAGCTTGCAAATCTCAAAGTCCGATCTATCGATTGTTGAATGATCGAAAACTACGCATTGTGACCATTTTCCATGATTCCAAATCTCTACAGCTGGATTCTAACTGTGAAAACCGAGACAAGAGTATTATTTCAGGTCATAAAGCTGCTGACAGCGTACTATTTAATAATCAGTGCAGGCTGAAAGATTAGTATAGTATACCTGAGGTGCGTGCGGCTTGTCCCGTTTGCAACCAACGTCAAGTGTTTATAGTCGTAGCATGGTGATCTATCGAGAGCTTGATTCCTAAGCATTTGATTCTGATACATTGAAACGTGAAGGTCGTATATTTCCGATATCTCGAACCTGGAATCATGCCAACAGAGTCGTTTCAACAATTTCGTATCAAAGTCCTTCATATTATCAAGGCCTTGCGTGCTCAAAAATTGCTTAGTATTCATGCTTACCAATCGACGTACCAATTCGGGCTCTGGACCTTCGCTTGTGATCCGCTGTCTTCAGTGCCTGTTCCTTCATCCGAATTGGCAATTTGGCTGTCTGAACTCCTCTGTCAAGGTAGACTTTAGGACTACTCACTCCGTTGCTCAAAAGTCATTGCCCTTTCTCCGTAGTCCTATGAGACTCCAAAGTTGGTGGGTTGCTTCTGAGGGACATGCTGGAGTTATATCAGCTCTCCCAGAAAGCGGTGCAAGCTTGGATGTGCCCCATCTTGGAATTTGAGAATATCATGTTGGGAAAGGAATAATAATCCATGCTCCCTTGAAAACTCCTGCGTAGTCTCACAATGGCGACAATAGAGACTTGAGTCTAAAACAACACCTGATAATCTAAAGTAAAACTTGAGAGTATACGACGAGTCCTGAGTCTACAACGAAACTTGAGATACCAATCTTATAGACTTCTACAAGGCCACTCTCCTTCACTCTATCCGTATTGTTTGTCATTATTAGGACTATACTCAGGTTGGCACGAACCGCATAAGAAACTTGATCATTAGAGTTTGAATCGTATTCATTGAACCTATTGAACCATTCGACCAACCGCCCAGCCCGATATATACACTTAAGTCAATTAAAAGGCCTGGATATAGTACAGTTCTGAAACGCCGTTGTAGTCCCATGTCCACTGGCCTCCGTTGAGGCCTTCGCCGCTTACACACTGGGAGATGATGTTGCTGAAAGCCTCCTATAGCATATGTAAGCCATGAGTTGTTCGATGCTTGGTTTGTGAATCTACAATGGCAGTAGACGTGATGGCACGTACCTGGCAGTGGAGCTTTTCATTGCCCTGGTAAACAGCTTGAATCTGGTGGCCATCGATGTAGCCATCGAATGAGGGTCCGTAGTTGCAGACCTGGTCGGCAGCCTGCTGGTAGGCGGAGGCAGAAAGACCGGGGTTGCCGTTGCCGTAGCACGAAGCCGCAAGAGCAGCTGGGGCAGCAAGAAGAGACAGGATGATGGAGCGAGACAGCATTGTGGCTAGATGTAGATAGTGTGGTTGGTGAAGGTTATTAGAAGACTTGAGGGACTTGGTGGTGTTGAATGACTTGGTTGTGCAAGTATACCTAGGAAAGGGGGAAGGCTTATTATTTATATATGTCTTCTACTACCGAAGAATCCCTCAAGTCTCGTCAATCGATCAATCCTCATTACCGCGCAATACCCAGATAAGCGGTGAGAATAACAGCAGGCATGAAAGACAATTGGTGGAAGCAATTTCCTTGGACATTAGTTTGTGAGTTGTCGCTGAATCCACTTTGAGCCTCGCGTACGGCAATTATACAAAATATCAAGCTCGATATATCCTCACAGCCACCAAATTGTTCCGTAGCTGAGCCCACATCCCCCTGTCAGCTTCCTAATCCAGATATGGGGGGACCGTCAGCTGAGTCATAACTGAATACTATAGATAGAATAATCAGGCAAATGAGCCCCCAAAACATGTGCCCTATAGCGCCCGACCAGGCTGAAGCGGCTTTGAGTCTGCGCAAGAGCCAATGGTTCCTCGCCGTGTTCGGGCTTTGCGGCCCTGAGAGTATAGTTGTGAACCGATCCCTGCGCGGTAGCTGGGTTAGTGGTTGTGAGCTGTTCAGGGGTATGTTTCCCCATTGTAGACAAAATATCAGTACTACAACGGGTACCATTGTCCTCATGAAGTCTTCGAAGGTCAGTACTCACAAACAGCACAGAGAGTTAAGGACATTAAGAGCCATTCCTATCGTTGTTTCCGTTTATTGCATGGAACTTGGCTGGATTGGCGTCCGACTTCTAGTCTCAAAGTCCGGTCCTTTGCGGGCCGCTCCGGGTTAAAGGCATTGTCCAGTGGGGAGTCCAGCTGGTAGTGGCAATTATAAAGACTAGTTTTAAAATAGAACTGAACTCATTATTGCCACATGTAAATCCATGGTTCGAAAGCTCGTGGTCTCTTATGAGCCTGGCTGCAAAGTTTGCGGAGCAACGTGTTCTCTTTACCTTCAGTTATAATCTCCATGAGAATACAAGACCCTACCTAAATCTACATAATCCGCTCTCCTCAACACCTTCGTCCTGTAGCTTTGTGCCTGGATACTCTACGTACACATGTTTCAATTGGTTCCAATTGAGACTATTATAGTCAAACCCTTACATGCTCCGTTAGTTGGTGACACGCTTTGCAACAGGGTTTTGCAGTTCCCTCGGCGTCGAGAATTTAGTATTACTGAATATCCAATTGAGCGTTGTCCAAGTAGAAGCCAGTTTCAAAGTGACAACTAGTTGTAAAACAAGACGTCGTATGGGATCGGCGATCAGGAACACGGTGCAGTGTCAAGAGAAAGACTTGAGGTAGTCTCTACTGCTGCTCCCGCATCCTCGATGATTAACCATTCAGATGTGCTCGAAGCTTTTGGGAACCTTGTGTGTGGTTCTTCGGAGAAGTCCAATACAGCCAGCCATACGAAGACAAAAGAAAGAAAAAGAAAGTTTCCTCGCAGCCCATAGAGCGACGCAATTTCACGGTTTTCTGCGATTTCTATCACTTGAAGTAGGGGTCCCGATTGTCTGGTCCATTGCCAGGCCTTTCCCCAGATCTAAGCACGATGCTGTTACATGAACAGGGGTCCTATGTTTCTCTCCGAATACGAGCCAAACATTGAGGGGAGCATTCAATGTCATCCGAAGCATCATGACAGTTATCCGTCCAGATCTGATCAAAGTATCTATGTACCCGCTCCTTCAAGGAAAGTTCAAATCCAGACACACGAGGCTTCCCGTCTGCTACACACAGGCGTACTACAGGGGTGCTGAGCCTTCATGTTCCCGTGCCCCTGTGTCTCGCCTAAAGGAACGACGTGGTAGTCGAACGGTCAACAAGGGGCCCAACAAACATCATTGGCCCTATCCACAACAATCAGATCAAGTATCTTGACGACCCAGGCCTTTTCTTTGTTGAGATCATGACTTCTGAAGCCCGACGGCCCAGATCCGGCTTCTTCAAACCTTGCACAGGGAGATGTCACCCACTTCGCAACACAAGACGTGGTTTACATTGACCTATAGAAGATTGAGTTGATGTATCCAGTCTACGTTGACATGGCGGATGTCTCATCCTCTGAGATTGCGGTCGATTCAAGGACCTGGGTGAAAAGGAAGCACCTCTGGAAGAGAACCAAGGGACCCAAAAATGTCCCACCACAAAGGCTCTACATACTGTCCTCTTGTGCCAAAAGAGGCCAGGGTGATTTTTAATTCTAGGGCCACTCCGCAGGAGCGACTGGAGAATCCCTCAATTCGAAATGCCCCTGCCCGCGTCTACAACGACCATATCAGGGGCATATCCCATCAATTGACGATTTGGCCGTATATAGCAGGGTGGGTGAGGGTGCTTGAGCACTTCGATACCGAGAACGTTGAGACGGTGTGCAAAGAGGAAATCCTTTGTCTTTATGAAGCTTCATGGACAGGATCATAGTCCCAGGCCTTACAACGATTAGCTCACTCACAAAGATCGTGACATCTAGGGCAACCTTTTGGCCGCGATAACGTGCGTTTTCTATTCCCATTCAATGAACGTGGTAGCATAAGGCTTATATCCTATTTCGTATACTATATTCCGAAGCACAATACAATACGCTCTTGGTAACAGCCTGTCAAGCACCCCGGCCCGTTGAACCCAACCACTACCATCCCGCTCGGACACGCAACATAAATCGCTAGTCAAACCAAACAAGAAGAAAGAGGAGCATCAAAAAGGCTCACCGCCATTATCTACACAAAGCGAGGGGTAAAGCCACGAGTTTTCTTCTGCTCTTTGCCGCCACGGTACACCAGTTGACTCTGTCCACCCTGGATCCAATTCTGTCGAGCAGTTCCAATAAGCTTGGCAAGCTTGGTCATTCTTCGGTTGCGCTCCCGCATAGTGATAGCGGCATCTGGCGCTCGAGGCATATCGTTTATAAACCAGTTCCAGAGCTCGTCGAACGGAGTCCGACACGAACCCAGGCAGTGGTATGCACTGAGAGAAAAGATCCATTCGTTGCTGTCCTTGTCCTGCTTGAGGGAGATGTCGAAATCCGTGTTGCATACCACGCAGGAATCTGACTCCGAACTCACACACGGTGGCACCATGTACAGTCCATTGCACATCAGCGACCGCGGAAACTCATTGCCGTGACGTTGCGGTGGGATTAGATTGCAAAAAGGGGGGGTTGAACCGGCTGAGCAATATACATGGCGGCATACTTCTGGCTCCAGACTGCTGATGAGCCTTGCCAGGCATGGCCAGGGCACCAGCGGTCCGTGGAGCTTGTAGAACCGAGCCAGATATAACTTGCCGTCGACGATCCTTGGAACGGTTTCATGCGAGAAGCTCCACAGTCCCGCCAATCGAGGCAGCTCGTCCGTCTTATTGTGGCAAAGACTGACAAGCCCCTGCCCATTCCGAGGGTGATCCCCGGGATGTAAGCTATGATTGCCGGAGGCTTGACATAGATTGAGCTCGATCTGGTCTTGAAATGACACATATCGCTCCAAGCTCTTGAGCGGTAATCCGTGAGAGGGGCCCAGAAAATGAGCGTTCATGACCAGATAGGCCTCCATGAATTCGACATGAAAGTGGCTCTTGAAGGTAGGGTAGTGGTATGGTGCCGGAACATGCCAGATGTTGTTTTGCTCGCTCATCCACCATGCTCGGATTGTATAGGGACCAGGGGTCCATCTGTGAGGCTGGCCGTTCCAGTCCTCGAATGGGTCGAGGCGCCGCAGCTTCCAGCAGCAGAAGCAAAAATATGTGTCAGGCACATCTTTCTGCAGCACTGAGAGGAGTTGACTTCGAGAGTTAATGTCTCCTCTTTCCGGCACGATGTTGAGACTATGCACGAGGCTCCTCAAGGATTTGCAAGTCAAGGACAGAGATATAATCCACGCCGGCGGGAGGTAGTCGAAAATCAGGCAGAGAAGCTCCTGTGGAAGCTGCAGAAGCGGACATTCTGATTTTCTCTCTGGCAACGGCCCGGGGAAGTGCTCGTCTCTGACTTCAACCATGGTGCTCTTTTCGATCGAGGAAGTCTTGTACGGCGGTCTGTGGTTGATTTCGCGGTAAGGGGATTCGGTCGCCTGTGTTGTTTTGGCCGTCTCGAGAGTATCTGGGCAAAGACGCGGGAGGCAGGCTGCTGCCTTAATATATATCAACGATCAGAACAAAGAATCCAGCAGCTTCTCAGATTTGATGAGCGTATAAGCCAACCTGCCCAGTAAACTGATGCTTGGGGCGTCTTGTTGGATGACTGTCCAAAGAATGAACTTGAGAGCTGTCATGGGGAGAGAAAGATCAGGTGTGAAGTAAAATGCTCCTTCTGGATGCATGTCATCGGTAGATATGGTCAAGGTAGGTACGGTGCAGCGACCAGACAGGCATAAGCTGTTAAATCTGCCTTCCTTAACAATTGTACCTGACACATTGAGGCGTCTTGCTCGTGTCCTGGTCATTTAAGCCCCAACTCTAGGCTGTTGTTCTGATACTGGCAGCAGGGAGTATGTCCGCCATGATGGCATCTAAAAAGTACCAGACGTAAGTTTACGAGAAAATGAACCCAATTGTGACAATCAGACTCTCATTATCTTCTGATCTCTTTAGTTCTCGAGAAACAACTTGTATTCCTTGTATTTTCTCTTCCAGGGCTGCATGGCAAGGAAAGGGCAAGATACAGTGCGCCTCCCAGTCCTCACAGTACGCATCGGAGCACCTCTCCCGATCTCCCGACCTCGCCAGATGCAGATCCACCACATAAAACATGCAACCGTGATCGCCTCACTTGCAACCCGCGCACCTGCGAAGCCAATTGGGAGCTGACACGGCTGCCGTGTCTCGCGCCAATCATGTCCGCCGCACTGCTTCGATCGCGCCTCGCCGCCTCAGCCTCAGGCCTCCGACCAGCTGCCCGCCCGACGACGATATGCCCGCAAAAAGCCGCTGTTCCTCGCCGCTTCAACTCGACCTCGACCGGCGGCAGCTCCCCCGGCGCCGGACTCAAGGTCGCCGCCTATAGCGGAGCGCTGGCGGTGACTCTCTTTGCCTCGTACTACTATGTGACCGACACGCGAGCGTTTGTGCACCGATACGTGGTCCCGCCGCTGCTGAGGACCTTTGTCCCTGACGCCGAGGATGCGCATCATCTGGGCGTTACCGCACTCAGGGTGCTGTACGAACTAGTCCTGCACCCCCGCGAACGCGATGCCGCTGCGAACAGCCCCAGCCTCTCGACCTCCGTCTTCGAGCACCAATTGGCGAACCCGATCGGCATCTCCGCGGGTCTGGACAAAGATGGCGAGATCCCCGATGCTCTGTTTGCCCTGGGAGCGGGTGTCGTCGAAATCGGCGGCTGCACGCCAATGCCGCAAGAGGGCAATCCCAAGCCTCGAGTCTTTCGCGTGCCCGTTCTGGACGGAATGGTCAACCGATATGGCCTCAACTCAAAGGGCGCCGACGAAATGGCGATCCACCTGCGCAACCGACTGCGACGATTTGCGCTCTCAATAGGGGTCAGCGAGGAGGACGTCATCAGCGGCGAGGCCGGTGTTCCCGTGGGAAGCTTGAAGCCCGGACGGATACTCGCTGTACAGATCGCAAAGAACAAGGAGACGAGCGAGAGGGACCAGCAGGCCATCGCCGCCGACTACGTCTACTGCACACGGCGGCTAGCCCGCTATGCCGATGTTCTAGTCGTCAACGTCAGCAGCCCCAATACACCCGGCCTTCGGGACCTGCAAGCCACCGAGCCCCTGACGCGGCTGCTCGCGGCGGTGGTCGACGAAGCGGGCAAGACAGATAGAAAGGTCCGCCCCAGGGTCATGGTCAAAGTCTCTCCTGACGAGGACGAAGACTCTCAGATCGAAGGCATTGTCCAGGCTGTCCAGAGGAGCGGTGTCGACGGAATCATTGTCGGAAATACCACAAAGAGGCGGTCCGGTCTCAACCTCAAGGGAGCCAAGCTGTCCATCAGAGAGCAGAAGGCCTTGATGGAGGTGGGCGGCTTCTCTGGCCCCGCCATGTTCGGGCGGACGCTGGATCTGGTTGGCCGCTACCGCAAGATGCTCGATTCACAGCCCGGCGCTGCCAAGGGCGAACAAAAGGTTCTTTTTGCGACGGGCGGCATCACGAATGGGGAGCAGGCGTTGAAGGTGCTGAATGCGGGTGCCAGCGTGGCGATGGTGTACACGGGCCTGGTCTACGGAGGAGTCGGAACGATTACGAGGATGAAGAAGGAGATGGTCGAGGCTCTATGAGGCTCGATAGGGGGGATTGACCGCGAGGCGATTTGATGCCTTGATGGGATATCATGAATGTTAGAGACATATCATACACTGCTTTGTATTTATACCAAAAGTCGGATAGCAACGCTATACCATGTCATTGAATTAGACCTTTCACAAGAGATCAGGATCTTGAGTTCATCCACCACTCAATTTCTTCCAAGAAACCCTGGTCATACTGCATTTACATACTCGTACAATTCCATAGCCTTATTGGGAGCTCGTCACCAAGCAGCTGAGATCAACGCTAGCTGGATCAGGCAAAGCACAGGCACAGCACGCTAGCGCCTCCGACCCCACTAAAAAGTCGATATCGATACAGACTTCTCAGGCTTCGAATTTTGCCATTTCTGACCCTCAACCTCGCAATCAAACAAACGTCGCTGGCCATCCCATCAGCCTCATCATGGCCGCCGCAACGACTCTCCCCGCCTTACTGGCATCTCTCACACAGTCCCTCTCCCTCGCTCAAGAAGGAACATCCAAGCTCTCGACAGTCGAGCACCCCAAGGACGGCATTTCGCTCCTCGACGTCAAGAACGAGCTGCTGCTCTCGTACCTCCAGAACCTCGTCTTCCTCATCCTCGTCAAGCTGCGCAACGCCAAGTCACGAGGGAAAGAGGCATCGGAAAAGGAAACAGACCTGGACGATGCCGTGCGCGCTCAGCTCGTGCAACTGCGCTTGTACCTCGAAAAGGGCGCCCGGCCGCTGGAGGAGAAGCTGCGGTTCTCCATTGACCGATTCCTCCGGGTGGCGGAAGATGCGCAGCGGCGCGAGAAGATGAAGGAGGCCAAGGCCAGCGGCAAGACCGGCTCCAGCACGGACGAGTCGGGATCAGGCTCCGATGACGAAGACGACGAGGAAGACGATTCCGAGGCCGAAGACGGCTCCTCCAGGCCCCGGCCCCGACCAGGCAACCTCTCCGCGGCCCCCAACATGGGCTCCCTCATGGACGACGTCGCCCTCCGCCCCGCCAAGCGCGACCAAGACGACGACGCGCCCGCCGGAGTATACAGGCCGCCCCGCCGCGAGCGCCAAGTCATGGAGACGACGCAGACGCGCGAAAAGGCCGCCCGCCGGCCCATGCGATCACACACGATGGAGGAATTCGTCGCCTCGGAGCTGTCCGCGGCGCCCATCGCCGAGCCCAGCATCGGCACGACCATTGTCCAGGGCGGCCGCCGGATGAAGACGACGCAGGAGCGCAAGGAGGAGCAGGAGCGCAGAGAGTACGAGGAGACCAACTTCACGCGCCTGCCCAAGGAGAGCAAGAAGGAGCGCGCCAAGAAGGCCAAGCAGGCGGGCCGCAGCGGGCGGATGCAGTTTGGCGGCGAGGAGTGGCACAACCTCGGCGAGGGCGTGGACCGCATCGACCGGTTGACGAAGCGCAAGGAGGGCGGGGCGGGATCGGGCGTCAGGGCGATGCTGGAGAAGAGCCGGAAGAGAGGGGCCGAGACGGAGGACGGGCCGAGGGGGAGCGGGCATCAGATGGGAGAGAGGTTTCACAAGAAGGCGAGGCTGTTGGAGATTGGACGGGGAGGCAAGGGCAGGGGGAAGAAGTGAGGGTGTTTGTTTTCGCGACGAGTAGCATCTGTTTCTATACGGCGTTTTGGGCGTATGAAAAGTTGTATACAGATGTTGTATCAATATTACATCGACGTCTTATATCTCGAATTATATACAGTGAACAGTTAAGGATATCCGAAAGATAAGCCATCCTCTAAACGCCAAAATACCCCTTCCAGGCAACCCATCAACCCTTTTCATTCCTAAACAGTTCGCTCTCCGCCGCCTTGGGACACATGTGCTCCCACCGAATCACCCGCCCCCTATCCGTCGCAATCCCCTTGACCAGCATCTCCGCGCCCTCCCTCCTCCTCTCCTCGAGCAGCATCCTCGCCCTGCCATACCACCACGTCTCGCTCCACTGCTTCTCCCGCTGCCACTTCTGCACCGAATTGTGATGAATCATGACCGGCACCGTGCCGATGCAAATCTCCGTGTACAAGGGCATCGCCTCCCACAAGTCGGGCCAGCTGCCCGCCATCCACGGCAGAGGCAGCTCCGCCGGCAAGTCCCTTGGCAGGGCAAACACGTCCGACTTGGGCACGCAGTCGAACTTGCCCAGGTCCTTGATCTGCTGCGCCAGCCGCCCGTCATGCCGAATGTACCGCGCGTCCGTCACCGCGTTCGACGTCTGATGGCCCAGCAGGCTCCAGTAATCCAGCGCGATGCCAAACTCGTACGGCTTCTCCGGGAGATGCGTCTTATTGTACTCCTGGTGCGTGAAGCTCGGCTGGAGGAGATCCCGCACGGGAACCTGCCCAACGTGCGTGGGCGGCGGATGCGCGCCTGCTCGTCCCGGAACGAACCTATCCAGCACGTCGTCGATGCGGCGGCGGTGGTGCCGCCGCATGACCTCGCGGTAAAACTCCTGCTCGCCAAACATCTCGACAAAGATGCTCTGGTCGCTCCCATGGTAGCACATGTCCGACGCGCCCGACCCGTCGTCGAAGGACACCCCCTTGCGGTTCTGGCACTCCTCGAGCTTCTCCACGGCTCTCTCCAGCACGCGCCTGACCTCGCCGACCGGACCCATGATGTAGCCCGAGTTGAGATAGCGCGTGCGGAAGCTGCTCCAGGGACTCGTCCCGATGAAGGTGTCCGTGTTGCCGCCGTAGAGGTCGTCCGGGAGGGGCGATTCCGGGACCGGGTAGCAGGATACGGAGGTGAGGAGGTTGGGCGCGCAGCGTTTGCCTGCGCCGAAGACGACTTGGGAGCGGATGCCTTCGTTGGAATAGGCGCGGCCCATGCGGTGAGCGACGCGGGCGTGTTCGTCCTCGAGGATGGCCCTGTAGCGGCTCAACAAGACGTCGGGAGGCAGCTGGAACCAGATGTCGTAGGCGTCGAGCATAAGGACGAGCTCATCGTCGAAGCCCTCTTGTTTTCGACGCTCAGGGTCACTGACATAGTCCAGTGTGCGAGTGATCTTGGCGAAATGCGAACCGCCTCCCAAGAGGCCATCTGCGTGATCTTGATCTTCCCATGCGACAATGGTTGGGTTGGGATAGCCTAGAATGGCCATGGTGAGGAGGGTCTTGCAGAGGTGGATGTTGGCCCGCGTGGCTGGTAGAAGGATGTGAAGCTTTTGATCCTTGATGCTGGTGATGGATGAGTTTTGGGTGGCTGCTGTATGAGAGCTGCTGGTTGGCCATGATGAGCGAAATGTATCTGAGCTTTGGCGCTGGATGGTGTACTTGTACTGATGTGAGTATTGGTGATCGAAGTGTATGTGCTGAGAGGAGAATTGGGCCACTTACTGGTGCAAAGATGCATAGAACGAGAGTGCTAAAGACGAAGGCGATCCCAACGAGCGATACTGGTCGCCGGATACTGATCATCTTGACGATGTTGGCCTATGGATAATGAATGAGAGCCTATGGGTAATGAAGTACAGTAAAGGCAGAATTCATGAGTTTCTTTGTGACAATTTTCAGAAGTAAACGAGAGACGAGACCAGAGTGAGTGTTGCTGTAGCTGAGCTACCCCCCTGACTCTGGCGTGAAGAATGACAGTCCCTCACTTTCTACACCTCAACAACAGCTACAGAGCGAAACAAACAGAATCGAACAAAATACAAGAAATCGAATGAAAAGAAGATAAGGAAAAAAACACATCCATGATAAAGGAAGAAGAAAGGCTCAAGCAAAAGCACACGCGTTCCCCACATGACCACGACGCGGAATGGCCTGGTGTTGCGGGCTATAAATCGATAGCGCAAGGGGCTTTCTTCAGCCGCACATTGCGAAGCGCATCTCCTTTTTTTTTTTTTCTTTTTCTCTTCCATTTTTGACACCGGAAACTGGGGCTATGAGTTAGAGCAAGTAAACAGCATTCCCGAGATGGTGTTAGAAGAGACATTAGTTCACCTGTTTTACATGTCCAGAACACAGCCAAACTCGGAGTGCATAAGAGATTCGATACGGCTTTATACGGGGAATGAGTGGCGATGTGCTCTTGACTTCCCTACCCTTGAGCCTGCGCCTCGATGTGTAGTGTCATCCGAGTACGGAGTACCTATGCGTATCATCCTTGATTGGGAGAATCATATCATTCAATCTTGTAAACTCGGTATAAGAGGCGAAGAGGTATAGATGCTTAGACGTAAAGTTGGGGCATCCTGCCTAATCGTGAACAGGATGGGCACCATCGATTCTAGTCTCGACCGATTTTTGACATTTGATTCGCCTTGACTTCCCAGGCATCGATAGCACCAGCTTTAACTCACATCGATAGCTGCGATTAGATGAGGGAGACGTGGGGGAGATCTGGAAGCACGCCTGCAGTCGTATGGTGGTGGTGACCAGACAAATACTAGGGACCGCAAAATGAATATTCACACAAATTAAGAACAAGAGCACTATTTGAGTGGATACTTTGCAGACGATGTGTGCGCATACTTACCGCCTTGTGTGCTCCCAATTTTGAGATTTCCTGCCTATCTTTCTGGTCCCGCTTGACTCCCGTCGTTATTTCGACCCTCTCCAAAGCCTGAAGGTCGCCTTATACAAGGGCAAGGATCTCGCCATGAAGCATCATCACTGGGCAGCAGTCATGCATGCTGACGCATCTGTGCACCGTGAAGTCTTTAGGGATGAGTAAGCGCTGTGAAGCTACGAGTACATGAACAGATGCCCGTCGGTTCCACTTTCAGTAAATAACCAACTGTTCGGCTTCCTTCTTTGCTTGGCGAGTAAAATTTATTTCGAGTCCTCCTATTTGAACCGTGGAGAATTCACAGCATTTTTAACCCTCCCCGAAGCCTCGAGGCAACCCTGCAACCCATCCGACGGCAGGACCGCGACTGGCCATCACTCCAACTCTCCCCACAAAGTCCGATACTCCATGCATTCACAGCAATTTAAGCACCCCTTAAGACTTCAAATGCCAGATACTATTACCCAGTAGTAGTATTCATGTTCCGAACTAGACGGATGTGTGTCAGCACGGCGACTGCTGCCTGGTCCGGTTGCCTTTTTTTCCTTCTACGAGGTCGCGACTCTTGCGTTGAGCCTCTATAAGGCATTTTCACAGCATTCTTGACTTCGTCCGAGAGGCTTTCCAAGGATCATCAGTTCATCCAATTACATCCACTTTCTTCAACCGAAGACTCAGCCCCAGTACAACAGCCCATCCTCACACCAACCCAAAACTCCCCGAGACATGCATTAGATATTCTCGCCCACCATCGCAAACCCTTCCATTCGCATCATCCCCAGCACAGCATATCCATAAGGTAAGCACCCTCACCAAGATATTTCAAGTAGTAGAATAATCCAACACCAAGTGGCAAGAAATGCACCCTCCCCCTCTCTCTCACCGTCCCAAAGAAATCTCATGCATGACGCACACACACGTTGATGTCAACGTGATACAACACCAAATACAAGCACTCCGTACTTCCTCTGCAGTAAACCATCCCCCCTTAAGACAAAATCCCCATGCAGAGCAACACTCCATCACCAACCTCACCTCATTCGCAATTCCGTAGACCTCTTTTGGGCAAAAGTGAGGGGTCGAAGAGAAAAGTGATGCAGATCCATAACCCGATCAAGGTATCACAGGATTGGTGAATGCGGACTCATAAACAGAGCAGAGACTGAATCAATGAAGAAACAGAAAAGTGATCGAGAACTCCATCATTTCATAGACCTTAATCAGAACCCAAACAATCTCTATACACCATAGCATCAACTCATAGCAGCCATGATTCCACCTCATCTCATCTTCCATCTCACACTCACACTCACACTCACCCTCCTCCTCCCCCTCACCCACGCAGCCGCCCTCCCCCCGCAAAACGATACATGTCCACCACAGCCCTCAACCTCCTCCTCCTCCCCTCCCATCATCGACCTAGGATACGCCCAATACCGCGGCATCAGACTCCACGACGCAGCCGTAGACACATTCCTCGGCATGCGATACGCCCAACCGCCCCTCTCCAACCTCCGCTTCCGCGCCCCCCAAGATCCATCCCCCGAGTCCTCCATCCAAGATGCATCCAAGGTCTCACAATCTTCTTCTCCCTCACCCACCCCTCTAAGCACCAATAGCAGGAGTCCTAATATAATCAAGACAGTTTGGCCCCATATGCATAGGCACAGGCCAGTCCCCCTCCCCATCCACCTCCGAAGACTGCCTCTTCGTCAACGTCTTCAAGCCCTCCCGCGCAGATCCCACCTCCAACCTCCCCGTATGGGTCTACATCCAGGGCGGCGGCTACTCCTCCAACGGCAACGCAAACTACAACGGCACCCCAGTCGTCCAACAGTCCGGCCACGGCCTCGTCTTTGTCAACTTCAACTACCGCGTCGGCGCCCTCGGCTTTCTCGCCAGCGAACACGTCAGGAGAGATGGACACCTCAACGCCGGATTGCTGGATCAGAGGAAGCTCCTCCACTGGGTGAAGAAGCACATCAAACAAGTAAACAACTCTTCGATTCATCTCCCATATCAGTCTTCTTGAAAACTCACTGCCATTAAAACGCAGTTCGGCGGAAACCCAAACCACGTCGTCATCCACGGCGTCTCCGCCGGCGCCGGCTCCGTAACGCACCACCTCACCGCGTACGCCGCCAAAAAGGACACCCAGCTCTTCGCAGCCGCCATCTCCGAGAGCCCCTTCTGGCCGACCCTCCGCACCGTCTCCGACATGGAGTTCCAGTACCGCCGGGTCCTCGCCAACGCAAACTGCTCCTCCCTCGACTGTCTCCGGCGCCTCGACACGCAGGCCTTCCTCGACGCCGCACCGGTTGAATTGTTTCCAGGGGTGAACCGCGATGCTCCTCTCCCGCTGTGGTACTGGCTCCCTGTCATCGACGGCGACCTCGTAACAGATCACCTGTACAGCCAGTTCCAGCACGGCAACTTCATCCCCGTCCCCCTCATTGTAAGCCACGACACAGACGAAGGCACCTACTTCGGCGCCAACGCATCGACTCTCACCGAGGCCAAATCCTTCTTCCTCAGCAACTGGCCTAATCTCCAACCCTCCCAGCTCAGCGCCATCTCCCAGGCCTATTCCCCCGAGGATCTCGCCTCCCTGCCCGACCACGCCCCCTATTTCCCCTCCACTGAAGCCGCATACGGCGACGCAACCTTCATCTGCCCGGGCAACACCGTCGCCGCCTCCGCGGCGCACCACTTCGACCCCCGCCGCGTCTGGAACTACCGCTACAACGTCTTGGACCCGGATAACGTCGCCTCGGGCCTCGGCGTTCCACACACTTTCGAGACGAGCGCCATCTTCGGGCTCGGAAGCGCAGGTCAACCGGCGGCTTCGTACTATACCATCAACGCGGCCATCATCCCCGTCACCATGCACTACTTTCTGAGCTTCGTGATGAAGCTGGATCCGAATGCTGCAAAGTATGCTTCCGCACCGCACTGGGATCCCTGGGGACAAGGGACAGGGCAACGACTCAGACTGGAGACGAACAATACTGCCATGGAGCCTGTTCCTCCTGATCAGAGAGCGAGATGCCATCTTTGGAGCCGTCTACAAGGCTACACTCAGTTATAGTAAGAAGGGTTGGAAAGAAGTAGTTGGAAAGACTTGAATTTGTAGCAGACAATACAGCAGAAGAATAGGATAAACTTACTGCTACCTCATACTCAAAGACGTCCGCAACTCCAACTCATACCTGGGTAGTAATGTAGCCAATGTCAGCCTGGAAGAAGGCTAGTTCGATACGCAGTATGCAACCCCATTTTAACAGTATTCAATCCCATCCAATATACAGTACCATTCAATGCTGTCGTGCTCGGTTCCTGGGCGTTGCCTAGACACTGGTCCCAACCTCGTCCTTGCCATTGATGACCTGGCTCTCCCTCATCGACAGGACAATTGTCGTCAGCTGATCAATCTTCTGCTGCAGTTCGAGAATCTGCGCCTCGACCGGCGACGGCGCATCCGCGTCATCTTCCCCTCGCGTTCGACTAGACGGGCGGAGTCGCATCACCCCCGACCTACGAGGAGACGCCAGAGAGGGCCGGCCTGTGACAGATGATGGACCAGCCTCGGATCTCCGCCGTCTACCCTTGGGTTCTCTCGGGCCCTTGAAGCCGCGAAACTCGTCGTCATCGTCTCCCCTGTACTTGAGATACTCGTACAATTTGATGATGCCGACGATGGGTGCGTGGGTCACCTTGAGAAGCCAGATCCTACCTGCACGGTACTTGTGCGACCTCGGGAGAATGTAACGCCACGGGCGGAACATGACAAGGGATAAAAGATTGAATGGGGGATAAAAGTGCGTCAGGCGGTTGCTGGTCGATGCCTCCAGCACATAGACGCTGTACACGTAGAGGTACTCCTCTTTGGCGTGGGTAATGACGCGCGAGAAGCTGTTGGAGAGCATACCGGTAAGCGAGCCCATGAGGAGGAACGAGGACAGGGTGATGAAGATGATCATCAGGGGAGGGCCAAAGACGGGGTCTATCTGGTCCATGACCTCAAATCCAACATAGCTCGAGCCGTAAAAGATCTTGGTCAAGATGCCCGTCATCTTGCCGAGGCTGAAGATGTCTCTGCCGACGAGCGAGAACGTGGTAAGGAAGCCAAGGTAGACGATCACGACGAGCACCATGAACTTGAGAAAGTCCTTGCCCATCTCTTTAAGGCAAGGGATGAGGGTACCCCAGTACGGGCTCAGACTGAGGATGGAGCAGATGCGGGGGATCATGAAGAGAGCTTCCAGGGCCAGCACATCAAACGCCAGGTCGTTTAGGCGCAGGTCTTCTCGCACGATGCCAATGATTCCTGTATCGTGTTAGCGTGCCACGTTCTTTCATCATGCGGTGGCTGGCGCAAGGCATCACTCACGTAGTACAGCGAAGAGGGCGCCAATGAGAATCATGATCATGTCAAACAGGTTCCAGATGTCCGTTGCGTAAAAGATGGCTCCGGCATCAATCCACTCGCTCAGCTCATCGTAGAAGAAGGCTGCAATCCAGAAGAACAGGGCGATTTCAGGCTTCGTCAGGCGGCTCTCATCCCGCACAATAAGAACAGAGTAATACAGGCACATGAAGACGCTGAAGAAGAGCACCTCCCAGCATTTAAGATACTTGGGCACACGAAGTCGGGAGTAGGGGTCCGACGTAAAAGGATTGTAGAAGTGCGGGTGCTTGGAGGAAGTGATGGACATGGTGTCCCAGAAGACAATGTCACCGTTCCAGATGCCAGCAATGATCTTCTGCACAACGTGCTGTGACAGAAACCTCTTGGCGTCGGCAACGGCAGCAATCTCAAGAGCATTCAAGCCTTCAAAGGCAGCGGTGGGGTCGTCATCGTCATCCTCGTCATCATCGTCGGAGCTGAGGTTGGTCAGACGAGAAAGAGACGAGAGAAGCTGCACTTTCTTTGACGAGCTCCCCGTAGGTAGGTGAGGATCTGCGCCGTCAAAGGTGGCCAGCACGCGGGGAATCAAGGGAGCGCGCTCGCCAGCTTCGGGGTCGGACCTGGCGCCGTGATCCTGCTGCCGCCGTTGCTGCTCTTGCTGCTGCTGCGCCTTGAACTTTTTATGGTCAGGAATCTCGTAGAGGCAAAAGGACACGGCCTCACGCTCCGAATGGTGGGTCAGGAATCTCCAAGCTACAATCTCACAGGCGTTGGAGCGAGCCTCGCCGAGGCCTTGGTTGTCACGGTCCAAGGCATAGTGCCATTTGAGCGCCCTACTCGCGGATGAGATGGAGTCAAGCAGGCGCGGCAGGGCCAGAAGTGGGCGAAGCGGAAGAACCTACAGCAGAGCATTGACAATGGCGGGATTGACGCAGGTATCGCTGAGATGGTCGACCAGGAGGCGCAGACAAGTGCCGGCCGAGGTGGTGCGCAGCTGTTCAAAGGTGCTGGGCATCTCGACGGCATCGGTGATGTACTGGGACAGCTTCTTGACGACAACGCGGAATGAGTCGTCGGGGGCGATGTAGGGAAGCTCGACATAGTCGTAGCGGGCGGAGAAGGGACTGTCCTCGCGCGCAGGCTGCGGCTTGAGCCTGACGCGGATGGGCATCTTGCTCGGGTTGAAGCCTTGATGCGTGTTCGAATATGGAGAGGATGATGCACGGGTATGGATGGACAAGGGAAGATGAAAGCCCACAGAGAAGTGAGATCGGAAGCAATGAGACAAGATGAGATGAAAAAAGAGCAGATGCAGAAGAGAGTCCCGGCCAGGGGATGGAAAAGCCCGAGAGGGGGCCAGATGAGGTCGGTTGGGATGATGCGTGATGTGACGGATGGAGATGGATGGAGCTCTCCAGGCTGGTTGAGAATGGGGAAGCTGTCGAATCTGCTAGCGACGTCAGTCTAGCGCGGCCTGGCCTGTGCGTGGCGCAGGTGACTGCTGAGGGCGGTACGAAGAGAGTACTTGATTCTGGGGAGCAAACAGCACATCCTCAACAGCATCTGGTACTGCTAAGCGGCTTATCATGTCCACATGCTGGGGTACCTCGCAAGTACGGCCGCATGCTGGGGCTGCTAGAGCCGCTATTACGGGGCGCTGGTCCCCTAAACAGCCAGCGAGATTCAACTGTCCCCGTTGACGCCCCAAATTGGACGCCAATGAGCGCAGCAGCCGCCGCCATTTGTTGATGCTGCTGCATGTCCGCTGGTGCCGTTTCAGCCAGTGAAGCCATTGATCATCTGGAGGGCTCCAGTCCATCCTGACCCCTGTAGCGCCTCTTGCGCCTCTTTTTCTTTGTTGGCTTCTTTGGGCATCAGAGTTGAGATGCGATTCGCTGGAGCAGCTGCTGTGCTGCCACCGGGGATGCACTCCACTGGGTGTGTACGAGAGGACGTCATGGTCATGCACCTCTGCAATTGATGAATTGATCTTCATGGGCAAACTAGTATCATTGTCAATGACTTTGATGCCATACCGTTGAAGCGATAGCCTATCTGCTGATTGATTGTCGCCCGGTGAACAGAATCAACATGCTGATGTAAGGGACGGCGATGGCTTCAATCCGGTCTAGATGGTCTCAGCTCGCAGTTCGAGATCCAGCTCTCCCTCTGCTTTTCAGCAACCGCACAGTTCAGATTGTCCTGAGACCGGGTGCCATTTCATCCATCAGAGGAGAAACAATCATCTTAGTTCAGGTTCAGCCGTCTTGAAACTTGTCCCACTCATGCTCTGCCTCCATTCGCATCCCCAGAGCGCCCTTGCACCTGTTTCAATACCCAGCCTCGTTCTTACCACAGCGCAAAGCTCGTTTGGCCCTCTGATTATACGGCCAGCTCCCGTACTTTCAAGCTGAAGTCTTTGGAGAAAGGCCTCATGGCTGCTCTTCGGCCAAACAGTTCAGGAGAACGCCTCGTTGCTGGCCTGACTCGTCTTTCCGAGCAATATCGCAACGCGCAGATCAGCGCATCTCTCCTCAATTGCGGCCGGCCCCAGCTGTTCATCACCGAGCCCAGATCCTGGTCCGGCCCGTTAGAAGCAGGGCCGCCAATCGGCAGCTGCGAAGCCACAGAAAAGGGGGGTTGAGCTTGGATCGAGCAAACAAGCAGTTATCATGCTCCATTCATGCGGTGATCAGTAGCAATTGCCGGCCATTGAGGGCCAGTAACAAACAGCTGAATTGCTTGTATGGAGCATCATGCGCTTGTGCTTGGTGTACGACATACAGACATACAGACAGACGCGCATGGACCTTGAGGTTTGTGTCACATTTCTCTCACCTTTGGATGGATGGAGCACCGGCTCCCGCTCATTGTTCACCTCTCCAGGCTTATACAAGGGGACGGACCTGAAGCAGCTGCCGCCTCACAAGCCTCACGAATGCCTCCCACAATCGCCTCACAGAATACATGCTGTCACCTCATTCTTCTCTGCTATTCTCACATGTTCGACGAGATGCACATTCCCCTCTCTGCCTGCAGATGACACGAGATAACGCATGAGCGGCTATTTATACCATCTCGCAAACCCACCGCATACACGATTTCTTCCTCCCCCCTGCTTCCCCCATTGGTTCGACTAATGTACCCTATCCGACACCAGCTGGGGCCATTGCAGGGGTCAAATACGAACAACTTTGAACCTGGAAGGCAGAAGAAAAAAAAACACGGAGTGGTACTTGTACGAACCAGCGCCGGTGCTACCTCACCTCGCCCGGCCAGCTCGCCCTCGGGCCTCGAGGTTACATCTGCCAAACAAACCTACTCCATACAACCTACGAGTACATAATCACCAGCTTCTCTTCTTCCCACGCTCGTTTTTCCGGCTTTTGAAGTGCTCTGTTTTGGTTACTCTCCCGTATCACTTCCGCCCTTGTTCTTTATCAGCAGCACCAGCAACCATGGCCGTGGCCCGTCGGCCGCCATCGTCCGCCGTCTCCCTCACAGCTCTCGTCCTCTCCTCGACGCTCCTCCCGATCGCCTCCGGCCATGCGCTGCCCCGAGAGACAAAGACGGTGCCCGTCCGCGAGCTCAACGTGGTCCCCTGGCCGATCGCGACGCCCGCGCCCCAGCTCGACCTCGGCGCCGTGCCCGCCGCCGACCTGCTGCGCCGCGACTTCAACACCATCTGCGGCTTCATAGGGGGCCACGCCGACTTCCCAGCGACCTGCCTGGCCGGCTCGCACTGCGCCGTCGACGTCGACAACAAGGCCATCGGCTGCTGCCCCGACGGCGCCCCCTGCACCGGCGGCATCTTCACCGGCTGCGTCGACGTCAACAGCCCGCCCCAGACGGAGCTCAACCCCTATGTCTTCACCTGCACCGGCGCCGACGTCTGCTACCAGAACCACTTTGACGGCGGCTTCTTCCAGTTTGGCTGCGGCGCGTCGTCCGCCCTGGCGACGAGCGTGGCCACCTCGGCCTTTAGCCGCGGGCCGCTCGACTTTAGCCACGTCTCTGTCCGGCTGACGGCCACGCCCACGCTTCTCGCGACGCCGACGACGATTGGGTCGCGCACGGGAACCAGGTCTTCTGACAGCACTTCTACTGGCAGCAGTAAGACTAAGACAACCGATGCCTCTGACACGAAGACGGCCTCAACCGAAGAGTCTACGGGAACCGCTACCGAAACCTCACCTACCGAATCTTCTACCTCAACCTCGACTGCTGAGCCCGCAGCGCCCACTTCCAAAGGCAGCTCAAACACTGGGCCCATTGTTGGAGGCGTTGTCGGTGGTCTCGCCGGCCTTGCCCTGCTGTTAGGCCTCCTTTTCTTTTTCATCCGTAGGAAGAAGGCAGCCAAGCCTGCCCAGTACATCGAGTGAGTAGCCACATCCGCCCCAATGGCAGCCAGCCATGATGAGATAACAACCAGTTACTGACCATGCCATCCAAAAACAGGCCGTCAACTGAAAAATACAACAACTCCGAACCCCAGTACCCTCCCAAAACCCCTCTCCTTACTGAAGAACGTGGCGTCCACCCAGAAGGGGCCGAACTCAGCCAGCTCCCCCGAAGACCCAGCGAGGCCGCCCCCCAGCTCGGCGAGATTGGCCTGGCCGTGCCCTTCAGCCCGACCTCTGAATACAGCAGGCCGTCCGACGAGATTCCTCTCCGGGAAAATACGTCCACTCCCAAGCCGGACATTTCGCCGCCCATTGAGACCGGCCCGTACATCCCGCGGAGAAGAGCCGACGGCGACGGCACGTCTTTTTGGTCACAGACGAGATCCGAGTCGCGGTCTCGCGGCCGGCCATGGGTTTGATTCTTCACTCAGCCCTTGCTTGTTTGCCTTTAAACTTTGATACCCCCAAATATTAATAAAGGAGAAGAAGAAAAGAAGAAGAGAGAGAGAGATGCCGTTTGTATATGCGGAGTGGCAGTAATATCAGTCTGCCTTTTGTATCTTACCTACCGATTTTATAATGTTTGATATCCGAGACCCTCGAAAGCCTACCTTTACTACCTTACCCTTTAAGATATCTCTTACCTCACCCGACCTTGCCTTGCCTTATATCATGGTTATACATACAACGGCCATTGCGCTGGCTACGGGAATGAAGAAATAGGTTCACGCTCGATTACTCGTCGACACATAATGCCGTCTGGTCTTTGGGAAACTCATCTGTTTTTTCTTCTTATATTTCTATTTCTATAATATCCTTTACCTCTTTCACTTTTTTATCTTTTCTTTTCTTATTGTTTGCTTGTCATGTACATTGTCACTCATGAAGCATGGCTCGAGGGAAATGGACACAAAAAGGGGGAACTCGGACGATACAGAACGAGGTGGTTTCGGCAGAGAGAGGCAGGCGTTAATACCGCTCTATTTTTTTCTGCTTTCGGATATCATGAGGTTAGCATAATATATCATGAATATACCGTCCGAGACCACATGCAATCTTTCCACCACTGGTTTGGACTTTTCCGAAAGGTAAGGCAATAAGCATTGAACATTATTCAGACATATGTATTTGTTCAGGAGATGACCGCTCAGCGAATCGTCATGCTAAACCCTCTCCGCCAATAGACCAGATCTTCAACGAAGACTCATCAAAAATTCTACTAGTATGATTCCCATCGAAACGACCAGACGTAGCATCCAGATCCTTTTCCCGCGGATACCCCCATCCTCCCGAGCAGGTTGCCACAACAGAGCCGCTAGAATGCACAATCGTGCTCCCAACAGGCGACTCGTGCGCTTCCCACGTCCAAGAAGGCGCAACGACATCGTTCCGCATGCCAACCCCCTCCCATACCGCCACCGCGCCGTGCTGCGTCCCCGCCCAGACCTCGAACCCGTTCTCGCCCGGAAAGATGTCAAAGTGCAGCCGCTGCTGCGTCGTCGACGCGCGGCCGTCGAGCACGGCAAGCAGCTGCCCGGTGCCGCGGATGTCGTAGACCAGCAGCCCGCCGGCCTGGCGCTCGTTAACGACCAGGTACCGCCCGCAGGGGCTCCACGCCGTCTGCACGATGCCCTGCCCGCCCAGGGCGACGCCAAACGCCTTCTCGTCCGCGCCGGCGATCGACCAGTTCGCGACAACTCTATCAGAGCGGTGCAGATCGTACGTCCCCATCCAGCGGGTCCAGGTGCCGGCCGCAAGGATGGACCCGTGCCCGTGGACGTCTGCAGGAGGCGACGCCGCCAGGGCGGCCACGGTGCCCTTCATGCCGACGCCGCTGCCCTTGGCGATGTGCCGCCGGGAAGGGATCGTGGCCACGGTCAGCGTTGGGCCGTCGGCGCAGTGGCCGGACGTGTCGAACAGATCGATGCGGTTTGCTGAGCCGCACACAAAGTGCGTGCCGGGTTGCTCCCAGAGTAGCGACGCAGGGGTGATGTACTGCTCCGACTCCTTGCGGATAAGCTTATAGGTGTAGAGGGGGCGACTGGCAGCACTGGTACTGGCAGCAGCAGCATCGCTGTCAGTGTCCTCGTCTGCCGGCGGCGGGAACGCATGGTAGAGATGGAGGGGGTGATCTCGACAGCCAACCAGGAACGTCTGCGAGGCTGGGTTGGCCAGGGAGAAGTAGGGCGCAGCGGCGAGGGTCTGGGTGGGCTCCGGCAGCCGGATGCTGGCCTGGCGGTGCAAATGGCGCGCTTCTCCTGCAGGCTGCAGGAGGTCGGCAGGAAGGACGAAGGACGAGACGCTCTGGTCGGACGACAGGGCGAGGATGGCGGTGCCATCGGCGGTCCACTGGGCGGAGGAGAAGAAGCGTCGGTTGCCGGCATCAGGGCCCAGGGACGCCGCTTCAGGGGGGCTTCCTCTGGTGTCGTCCTCCGGCTGCGGCTTGCTCAACTTGGCAGGACACTCGGCGAGCAGGCGGGTGGCGGGCGCCTTGAGCTGGCCATGATGCTCGTCTGCGAAAGGCGGTGCTTCGGTCTGCTGGTCCATGGCACTCGCAATCATGGCACTGTCATCGTTGGTGCTCGAATAGCTGCCCCCGGTAACACCTGAGTCTGAGGTATGGACAACTGGAAGGCTGGTGCCGGACCACATTCACCGCTGCATGATCGATCGAATCACCTCCGTGCTCGTTGCAGCAACGATGAGCAGCAACCAGGTCGTCTAATCAGGCCAGGACTGCAATTGCGTGGCTGCAAGGGGTGCTTGATAAGGAGGGATGAGGAGAGAAAAGATGAGATTGATGAATGAGATTGGGACGCTAACGGCGGAACCGCTGAAAATCAGATGCAGCAGCGCAAAGTCACTGAGTCGTACACGATACAGGCGCATGTGCTGACCAAGCCGTACCTTGGGCAGATCTAAATGGGCTGCCGACGTCATCCCAGCACCTTGAGGGGTGGGAAGAGATCCATCCGCCGGTCGCTTCTCTCTCTCGGGTTTTGTATTGAGTACAAGTGGTCAGCACAGCGCGCTCGTACCAGCTACCTAAGAAGAGCAGCCCCTATTATGTTGTGCAGCATCATCACGATCATCCATCTCCGTTGAATCATTGAGCTTACAGCTGCAGCAGCAGCATCACAGCACTCCGGTCTCCCTCCTTTAGCGCAAGAGCTGGTGTCCAAGACCCCCTGGAGCTCCTCTGGACCTCTCGATACGGGGTACATTAGCCTCGGGGCTTTCCACAGCCCAACGGCGTGTACCATCGATCAGGTTAGCCTTTGGTGCAGTCGAGGTCTTGGTAGGGTGACACTGCAGCTGCCCTGCCGAGAGATGCTGGAGAGGTAGGTAGGTGCCTGTATGTATGGCAGTTGAGCGTCTTTCTGGTGGTGATGGTGACCTCCTCGCATCGAGACCGTCTGGACAGCTACTGCAGGTTTGAAGTGAGCCATTCGCTGCACATCACCACAAGTCCGACTGCTGCCCGCACCGTTGCATGCATTGACTCACCTTATCCCGTCCAGGCTCTTCTGCGCTGGACCCCCTTACATCTGCCAAATCCCGAGATCCTCTGCTGTCCGTATTCCGGAATGCCAAGAAGCCCCCCAAAAGAACGGATCAGGCACCACCGAAAGCGATCCAGTTGATCGCTGCTAAGCTGTCGAGGTGCAGGTGTGCCACAGGGACTACAGGGACTACAGGGCCTCGGGGCGCTGGCTGGCAGCGCACAGGTACCCGCTGCGTACCCCGTAGTGGCCCCTACCAGCAGCCCCGCGGCAGCTCCAGCGCCGGCGTTAGCGCTGCTGCACTGGGTACCGGCCGCTACCGGGCCACTAGCAGCACCAGCCCGCGCCATCAGCGACCCCTGCTCGCTCAACACTCGTCCGGCCAGTGACAACCCGGGCCTGGCCTGACCTGACCTGACCTGACCCAAACCGCCTTGCCTCGTCCCTCGTACTTGTACTTGTACGGCTCTGCTCGCCTCTGCCTGTCTCACCTCTGGCCACGCTCTCGCCCTGCCCTGACCTCGACACTGACAGGCTGAGACTCCAGCGAATCGTGACTCCCGGCTGATCATCAATCAATCAATATCAATCGCCCGCCGCCCGCCCGCCCTTGTCGCCCGACCATGAATCCCGCATAGCCCGACCTCCAGAGACTCTCTTCGCCCCTCGCGGCCCTTCAGCCCGACCATCAAAGGACGACCAAAAGAAGCACGACGACTCCCGGACAACGAACAAGGCAAGCCACCGACAGGCTCCATATCGCAAGACATTCCAGCCTTATCCCCTCTCTCCCTTACGAACCTTTCTTCTACGAACCTTCCCCCCAGTGTTGGCGACGACTGCGACTTCTCCTCTTGACTCTCTGATCCATCCATCCGACCGACTTCCACTGCGACGAAACCACTCTCTCTCGCAGCATCGATGCCAAACATGATGGAGGCCTCTCCCTTGACGGTGGCCATGGCCTCCACGTGCGAGGCGCTTAAGACGCCCTCGTATATGGAGCTGATTGTCTCCATGTGAGCAGCGCCCCCTTGCCTCTTTGTGCCCCCCCTCCAAGCCGTCTTCGATGCTGTAACTCGACTTCCGTATGAATTCTAACGATACTGACGCTACATGGCAGCATCATCCTCGTCGGTCTTTTAATCTCGTACCTGCCACAACACTACCGCATCATCTCTCGCGGAACCTCCGAAGGCATCTCCCCTTACTTCGTTCTGCTCGGCACCACTTCTGCAACTGCTGGCTTCGCCAATATCCTGACCGTTGCGCCCTCTCGCAAGGCCATTGGCTGCTGCAGGGAGCTGGAGACATTTGAGTGTGCCGCCGGTCTGCTTGGTGTTGCCCAGCTCGGAACTCAATGGCTGTGTTTTACTGCCATGTATGTCGTCTGTCCCGTGATTGCCCCGATGACCTTTGGCTGACTCTCTGCCCGTTACAGTCTCATTTTGTTCCTCATCTTCTTCCGCTATCGCGAGGCCAACGTGCCCCCGGAGGAGCTGGGCGGAGAGAGCCCTAGATGGCAGACGGCCGTCGCCGTGGGCGGGCTCTGCATGCTCCATGCCTTGATTGTGATTGCCTTGACCGGTGTTTTCGCCATCGCCAAGCCTGACCTTCTCAACTTCTGGGCCAACTTCCTCGGCGTCATGGCCGCCGTCCTGGCCGCCATTCAGTACATTCCTCAGATTTGGATGACGTACCACCTCAAGCACGTCGGTAGTCTGAGCATTCCCATGATGTGCATTCAGACGCCGGGCGGCCTTCTCTTTGCCGCCAGTCTCTTCATGAGACTAGGCATGGAGGGCTGGAGCACATGGGCCATCTACCTCTTGACAGCTGCCATGCAAGGCGCTGTTCTGGCCATGGGCATCTATTACGAAGTCACAAGACACAGCGACGACTACGCGCACAGCTACACTGACAGTGCGCCCCAGTCGCCCATCGACCATCACTCCACGCCACAGCGCCCCTACGCCCCTCGGACCTACTCCGAGGGCTGGGAGCGCGGCCTACCGGGTCCCTTCACTGGCCATCCCGAGCGATACGCCGAGACGGAGGAAGACCTGGACGACATGGAGGAGCGCGAAGAGCGGGCCATTGCCAGAGAAAACCAGCCACTTCTCAGGCCAGGGGGTATTGGCAACCCGCACAGGAGTTACCACTCGACCTCACGTCATTAGGGTGACGAGATGTGAGTGAAGAGGCTGTCTCGGAAAGGGGCAATGGCATTGACTGCTGCTGCTGCTGATTTGCATGTGAGCTACGACTTGTACCATTGCAGAGATAGAATATCTCAATGCGCGAGAGAGGGTATCGATGCATTGCCAGATTGTAGGGAGGCTTCTCTTTTGTTCTGCGAGCTTGTCGGTTTATCTATCGGGTACGGATGTAACAATATATATATAGTATTCTGCTGCCACTTTGGTTTGAAGCAATTGAGGCCGTTAGGAGCCGGTATAACATCTCTCATTGATTCAGTGCTCTGGTAGAGACTTCTTCACGATAGCATGGAGATGCGCATCATGCAATAGTCTTCGAACGTTGAACTCTTGAACATTGAACGACCCCGTCATCTCCGTTGTGTTCTCCTGTATTCGTCTAAACATCCACCACCTCATCCAAGTGGTGAGAACTCGTATCTTGATCAAACCTCGATATTCTCGAACAGAACTTCCATCGTCATAAACACGTAAATGTACATCTAGTCATGATATCCAAAAGAAAAGAACGAGAAAAGAAACAACCGCCGTTTTATCTAAAAATTCACCTCGCGCACATCCTTCCTATCCAGCCTCTTGACACCCGCCTCCCTCTCCTCGTCGTAGCTCCCCTGACTGCCTCCGTCATCCGTGGGCTGCGCCTCGTCGTCGAGCTCATCGCCGACCTCCATCCAGCGATCGCTCGTGGCAGGAACCGGCGAAAGTTTGCACAGAATCCAGTACATGCCCAGCGAAACGATGAAGCCGCAGAAGAAGTTGAGGTTGTAAATGTAGGTCGCGCCGATGGGGACCTTTGTGCCCACGGCGCCCGCGAAGCCGACGACGTTGATGAGGATGCCGGAGATGTACGCCGCGTAGGCCCGCCAGTGAATGCCCCATGTGTAGAAGTAGGGCCCCGTGCTGCGGCTGTCGTAGAGCTCCTTGACTTCGAGGTAGCCCTTGCGGACGAGGTAGTAGTCCGAGACGATGACGCCGGCGATGGAGCTCAGGAAGACGCTGTACGGAGAGGTAGGTGGTGAACTGGTTGGAGGAGCTGAGCAGGTTGTAGGGGCACATGGCGAGGCCGACGACGGCGCAGATGTAGGAGCCGCGGCGGATGTTGATGTAGCGCGGGAGGAGGGCCGTCATGTCGGTGCCGGCGGAGACGGAGTTGGCGGCGATGTTGGTGCCGAGCTGGGCGAGGGCGAAGGCGAGGGCGATGACGAAGACGCCGAAGCGCTGGCCGGAGCCGCCGTCGTCGATGAAGCGGCCGAGCAGGTCGAGCGGGCTCCAGATGGGCTGGTCGTAGATGATGGTGGACGAGGAGGAGACGATGATGCCGATGAAGGAGGTGATGGCGAAGCCGAGCGGGATGGTCAGCAGCTGCGACCAGACGGCGTCGCGGGGCTTGCGCGCGAACCGCGTGAAGTCGCTGTCGTTGACGACGAGCGTGGCGAAGTTGGCAATGGACGACATGACGCCGTTGACAAACTGCCAGCCGAGCTCGCTGCCGTGGATGGTGGCGGGCTGCCGGATGATGGGGCCGACGCCGCCGGCGCGGACGCAGGCCCAGACGAGGAACGCGACGCCCGCGACGGGCACGAAGTAGGCCTTGACGGTGAAGAGGTGGCGCACCTTGTGCACGGGGAACCACAGCGCCGGCAGGGAGCAGAGCCAGAAGATGACGAAGGAGACGTACTCGGGGGTCGTTGTGGCGCTGGTGCCGAAGGTGCCCGGCATCTTCGAGGCATCCCAGGACTTCCAGATGGAGCGGATCATGAGGTAGACGCAGGTGCCGCCGATGTAGGCCTGGACGCCGTACCAGATGCATGCTGTGTGAAGAGGAGAAGAGGTGAGTACAAAAGATGAACAAGTTGAGGAGAAGCTCCGAGTGTCATCCTGAAGAGCTCAGGAGCAAGATCACTCACCCATCGCAGCACGATTGAAAACAGGCCACAGACTGCCCCAGATACCAAAGGAAGCTCGCCCGATGATTGGGAATCCGATGTGGTACGTCGCTCCGATGCGTCCCGTCATGACGATGAAGCAGGCGGAGATGGAATAGCCCAGCCAGACGCATATCCAGGCCTGCCACCAGGACAGGCCGACGATGATCATGGACGAGGAAATCATCCACGTGTTGATGTTGAACGAGTCGGCGATCCAAAAGGCGACGAAGTTCCAGGGGCCCCATTGCCGGCGCTCCTTTTCCACAGGCTTGAGATCATGGTTGACAAGCTAAGAGGGATGCCAGAGTCAGCGCTGCGGTCTCACTCTCTTTTCGTTTCTAACGTAGGCATGTCTCGGTTTTGGGGGCAAGGCTCGGGATGCTCTCAATGACACACGTGGTGACGAAGTCATGAGCGAGCAAGGGAGAGGGATCTCATGTATTAGGTAGTAGACGAAGAGGAGAGAGTGTAGAAGAGCCGCACCATCAGCTGTCTTGTTGACAAGCCGGGCTCTGAGTCAACAGCCAGCTTGTCCGCCAGATTCCTGAATCTCTGCCGTAACGCCATGGTGGTTGATGGAGGGCCGCAAGCAACGGGCCTCTCTCGAAAGTGCAAAGAGGTTCAATTGCGATCAAACAGCGGGCATGCGAGATGCCTTTTGTTTCTTTTTCTTTTCAACCAACTGGAATCGACTTGATAAGAAACTGATCAGCCACAGCCGGCGGACTGATCGACGCACAAATGACGTGGGGAGCCCAGTATTGTTCGTCTCGAGATGGAGGGCGACAGGACGTTGGGTTTGTGGGGAGGTTTTCGTTGGTTGGTGAGAAGGGCGGCGATCAGCCAACCAAGAAGTTCCTTTTGTTCTTCTAATCCTCTTGGACAGTTGCACAAGCAATTGAATCATCTGCTGGGCTTGTGCCTTGGGGTCCCGGCTCGGCGTTCGTCAGAGGCTTGAACTCAGCGGTCCGGCGGCGCAGAATGGTGGGAGAAGCCACCGGCTTTTATCTGATTTCCTCTTCCGGGATGCCAGGCTAGATGAAGGCGAGATACGATACGAGTACTATCTCCAGCTGAAGAGGCGATAAAAAGAGAAAGAAAAGCGGAGGTGAGAATCAACGGGCTGACGATGGCAAAAGTGATTGACTGATCCATGTCTGCCCTAATAACCGACTTGCTCCTATCAGCGTTGCCCATATCTTGCTTCCCTAACCCCAAGACGATCCGGCCTCTGGCAGACGGCTTTTCCCCATGGTCCCAGAGCGGCGATGATACCCTGCTAGGTATTGGGCGGCGATAGTGTACATGTACAGTATGTTTGTACGTGCCACGATAAGCTAATGCCATGAGATAGCAGCGGGACAGGGGAGTGGCAACTGGTGAAAGGGAAGAAGAAAAAGTCATCAGCCGGGACAGGACGCCGAAAGTGCGGAGGGATCCGCCATCCCGCAAAGAAACGTGTGACTAGGACGAGGAGAATTTGTTACTCGATCTAATCGAGTCAACAGAACAGCAGCCGGGGTGCAAGGATCGAAAGGCCGATAACTGCACGGATGGCTCGTTATCTTGTTTATCTCGGGGTGTGAATAAGGTGGTGAGATACGCGGGAGATAAGTGAGGATACCGCAGATAGTGGCACGACGGGTATGGAGAAAGCGCATGTGCTAGGGAGAACAGGGACAATAGCGCTCAGGCTAGGGCAGAGGCTGCTTGAAGGTTAGTGTCCGATCCCACGATAGTACCTCGGCCTCGTTTCTATGTGGAGGAGGAGGAGGAGGAGGAGGAGGACGGGAGGCAAGGGGAGCTGGTGCGGTGCCGCAAGCCACTGCGAGATCCGGTGAGGATGGATGGATGTGGACCCTGCAGCTGCGGAGGGGATTCTAGAAGACGACTGATTTGCTTGTAGTATCAGGTACGGTAGAGTGCACGCGAATGCTTTCTTGGCTGTACGAGTATGTACGAGCATGTACGGGTATATTCCGCGATGGGCCGACTGATACAGGTCGTACTTGATTTCTGCTGCAATAGCTAAGGTAGTAAAGATGTTTGATTGATGACATCGGCGCCCGATGCTTCTCACAATGACGATGCGCGCCTCGGAAGCTGTGGATCGTGGCGGACAAGGGAGCAGCTGAGCCGATGCTTGTTGCTCTTTTGTATTGCCCAGCTTGCATTTGATTTACCCTCAACGAGCTGAGAATGTGTACGCAATGTTGGCAGCCGAGGCTCATCGTCAGTACCTAAGCCTCTGATGCATTTAATGTGTTTCTTCTGTCAACTTTCATTACCCAAGCTAAGCGTTCCGTATGCACATTCTCAATGCCAAACTTACAAGATCAGCGGAGTTGAGAACTGATAATCACGACAGTCTGAAAGAGAATTGAATAGCTGAAGCCCATGGCATTCCCGCGCTGTATCCATTTGTCTATTTTTCAAATCTGTTGATTCACTGGTTGGTGTTTATGAGCGGTTTGCATGCGCTTTCATATGATAACCCACACTGACACCATGTTGATTGCATGACCAAGGCAAGCAGTCTTTCACACAGCGCGATTGCCAATGCGTTCGCGGATACATAGAGACGATATTGTAACTTGATCCAAAGCCAGCTCACAGTCTTCAGTGCCATATTATCACCATTTCTTTTACAACACTCCCTTCATGAGATTCAACAGAGACTACCCTAGAGTCCCTACTGCAGACTCAGCTGAATGCAAAATACAGTGCATTGGTTCGTTATCGCGCCTGCATTTCTTATCGCCCGCCTCGCCCAGCCAACCACAGACGCGCAGCCAGTCACCAGCCCGCTTTTTTTTGTTTTCATCCCCCACCATCCGTCTCCCCTCCTAAACCTCCAAGTTTTGGAACCAGCAGCATCTCGTCACTCTCTTAACATCTGGCTGGAACAGACCGCAAGGGACAACGAAGAAACGGCGATACCCGACACTCACTCACCAGCCCGCATTGCTAGCCCGACTCCAAAGTACAGCCTCGCCCACCATGGAGGACCAGCTGGCGCAGCTCCTGGCCAACACGCAGCTCCCCGACCAGGCTCCCCGCCAAGCGGCCGAGATCGAGATCAAGCGCGCCCAGACGAATCCCGCCTTTCCCGTGTCGCTGGCCCGCATCGGCGCGCACTCGTCCATCGACACCGCCATCCGCCAGGCCGCCCTCAGCACGCTGCGTCTCTTCATCGAGAAGAACTGGGCCGTGGAGGAGCTGGACGACGAGCCGCAGATCCCCATCTCGGACGAGGCCCGCGAGCTGCTCAAGCAGACGCTGCTCGAGCTTGCCCTGAGCCCCGAGGACGACCGAAAGGTCAAGATTGCCGCCAGGTACGATTCACATGGAATGGTAGATCGAGAGAAGCCTCGGCAGTTGTCTTGTCTGACTCACCACTCTTCCTCAATTCTAGTTACGCCGTTGGCAAGGTTGCCATTCACGACTTTCCCGACAACTGGCCCGCCCTCCTCCCCACCATCCTCAATGTCATTCCCAGCGGCAACGACGCCCAGCTCCACGGAGCTCTGAGGGTGCTCAGTGACCTGGTCGACGAGAGCCTCAGCGAGGACCAGTTCTTCTCCATGGCCCAGGACATCGCCAAGGCCCTTACCGAGGTCGCCCTCAACGAGAACCGAAAGCCCATGCTGCGCGCCCTCGCCATCTCCGTCTTCCGCGGATGCTTCGACCTGATGTACATGGTCAAGGACGACAACAAGGACGTCAAGGTCTTTGCAGAGGAGCTGCTGAAGCAATGGAATCCCTTCTTCGTTGCCGTCCTCAAGGGCCGTCTGCCCGAGGCCGAGTCCGGCTCCGGCGCTCAGCCAGAGTCCTGGAACAGCATCATTGCCCTCAAGCTGCAAGTGGTCAAGACGCTCCTCCGCATCCGCAGGGTCTTCCCCAATCTCCTGCTCCCCCAGAGCACCACCTTCTTCACCGCCGTGTGGGAAGAGCTGAGCATCATGCAGGCGGCCTACGAGCAGCTGTACATCATCGACGAGGTGCAGTCTCGCTTGGAAGACTCCGACAACCTCCCGTATACCCTCGATCTCCTCATCCTGGAGGAACTCGACTTCCTCAACCAGTGCTTCCGCGCGCCTCCCGTCCAGGCCGAACTCGACAGCCACTTGAACGCCCATGCCCATGGTCACGAGGTCCCGTGGATGATGGATCTTATGAAGATGCTCGTCGGATACTCGAGGGTCACTCGCGAGGAGCAAGAACTCTGGGACTTTGACTGCTCCCTGTACCTGGCAGAGGAGACTTCGGTCACGGCCAACTATACTGCGCGCACTGCCGCTGGCGACCTGCTCATCAAGCTGGGAGAGTGGTTCAACGAGAAGACGGTCGACGGCCTGTTTGGACACACAAAGACCCTCTTCCCGGGCGAGGGACCCTCGGCCTGGAGAAGCCAGGAGGCAGCCCTGTACTTGTTTGTCATGCTCGTCAGCGACTTCCAGGACTTGAGTAAGCCTATTCCGGACGCCGTTGCCAACGCATATCTGGAGCTTGTCGACTTCTCCATCAACCAATCCAAGCACCCGCTGCTGCGCGCTCGAGGATATCTGGTCGGTGGCATCATCGGCCGCTCTCACCAGACCCCGCCCAATCTGGTCGACGCCATCATTCACTCCATTACGAATGAGGAGTCGGAGGTCGCTCAGGTTGCCTGTATCAAGGCCATTGAAGGCCTTGTCAACTCGGGCCGCGTGACCCCTGACCGCCAGACACCCATCATTGCCGCCATCCAGGGCTACATGAACGGCAAGGATCCCGAGGAAATGGAAGAGGCAGACGAGCTCCTTGTTACTCTCACGGAGGCTCTGAGAGCCGCCATCGGGCTCGAGAGCACAATCGTCATTACCAGTGAGATTCCGTCCATCGATCTTCTCTTCCTGTTGGCCAAGCTTGGAGCCAGCAACTTCCAAGTCACAATGCTCGTGACCGAGGCATTTGAAGACATTGTCGGTAGCCTCTCAGACGCCGCTTCTTATGCCGCTCTGTGCGCGCGCATCCTGCCTACCCTGACTGGCGCTTTCGACGTGGCCAATCTGACCGAGGATAACCCCCTTGTTACGGTGAGTTGCCAGACCTACCATCTGGATGAGATGTGCATTCTAACAATTGGCGTATTCTAGGTCGCGACTGAACTGCTCGTCGTGCTGACAGAGCACGGCTCAGAGCCTCTGCCGGAGGGCTTCGTGGCCGCCACGCTGCCCAAGCTCAACCGCTTGCTGATGGAGTCGGGAGACGGCGACGTTTTGCGGCCCGGATCCGAGGCCGTCAAGTGGATTCTGGTGCACGACCACCAGCAAGTCTTCAACTGGCACGACTCCAATGGCCGGTCCGGTCTGGAGGTGTGCCTGCACATCATCGACCGGCTGCTGGGGCCTTCCATCGAAGACAATGCTGCCTCTGAGGTGGGCGGACTGGCTGCCGAGCTGGTGGAGAAGGCCGGACAAGACCGTCTGGGCCCCTTTCTGCCGCAGCTTCTGCAGGCCGTTGCCAACCGACTGGCCACTGCGCAGGCCGCTGCCTTTATCCAGTCTCTCATCCTCGTCTTTGCCCGACTATCGCTGGGCGGCGCGCAAGACGTGGTTGAGTTCCTCAGTCAGATCCAGATCGGTGGTGAGAGCGGGCTGCAAGTCGTCCTGGCCAAGTGGCTGGAGAATTCGGTCAGCTTTGCCGGCTACGATGAGATTAGACAAAAGTTCGTTGAAGGAGTCTCCTGGGCGAACCCCGTTCCCGTGCCGTCCGAGATTTGCTAACATGGTGGTAGCGTGATTGCGTTGTCCAAGCTCTACTCGCTCAACGACCCGCGGATAGCCCAAACCACGGTCAAGGGCGATTTGATCGTCGGCGCTGATGACGGGATGATCAAGACCCGATCACGCGCCAAGAAGAGTATGTCGAAGCATGGCTTCTTTATTCCCACCACGGCCGCCGTCCTGGACCGGCTGTGCCAGCAGTACACGAGTGAGATGGAGACTAATAGGCCAACCAAACGAACAGACCCCGACAAGTACACCATCATCCCGGCCACTCTCAAGATTGTCAAGGTCCTGATCGAGGAGCTTCTCTCTGCCTCTGGCGCCCGGGCTGCCGCCAGCGCAGCCTCTGCTGCCGTGGCCAGTGCGGAATTTGAGGACGAGGACAATGAGGAGGAGGGCTGGGAGGATGACGACGACACGCTCGACCTCTCCCTGGGCGCGACCAAGGCCGACCTGATGGCCTTTGGCATGGACGCCAACACCCGACAGCGCGACGACGAGACGCAGCAGTACCTGACGGAGTTCTTCATCCGCTGCGGCCGGGAGAACGTGGCCAACTTCCAGGAGTGGTACAACATGCTGACGAACGAGGAGAAGGCGAAGCTCAACGAGGTGGCCAATGCCGCGGGGCAGTAGAAGCGCTGTGCGGGATTACCTTTCAAGGAAGCTTCTGTAATTATGACGGTGAAGTACGTGTGTGAAGAGATCAGGAGTGATTGAGCGGGTATCCCGAGGGAGGCGCCCGGTTCCGTATGGTTTGTTTCCAACCTCTCCTGTCGTTTCTGTCTCTTTTTCTTTTTTTTTTTACTCTTTTCATCTTCCCTTGGTGTGTTTATATACATATACATACACAAAACCGAACGAAAGCGGAAAAAAGAGGCTGCTGCTCAAAAGCTGTCTTGGATGGGTGACGGCAAGCGGGAAGAACAAAAATCAAAAATACAACGACTCCAGAGAATGGAAAAAAGAAACAAGCCGAGATGATGATTGAAATGAAAGCGTTATACAACGGGATGGCAAGAAGTGGTGCTGCGGGTGACGGAGATAGATTCCTTTACACCCTTGTCTGCCTTTTATTACACTGCTACAGCTAGTTTGATAGTATAGAGAGACGGGAATGAGAGAACGTGGTAACGTTGTGTTAAGGCAGCGTTCATGGTCCTCGAGAAAGCTAGTCTCTTTAGACTATAAGCGGCAACTTGAGCGTCTTGTTGAAAGCGGTCGATACAATGGCCTTTGCAAATCTCAGTCATGTTTTCAAATTGACCATGGGCTTGAATTCACCATATCAGACCTCATGCTCAACGCAACGGCTGTGAGAAAATGTCATTCAGTAGCTTTGGTGAATAGAAACCACAAGAGTACCAGCCTATGTGATCGATAATGTACAAGGAAAAAGCGAGGCAAGATACACCAAAAGCCACTCACTTCCCAGCCTTTAAAACACCCTCGCCGCAACATCTCATCATATAATATCACCTCCAAACCCAAATCCACCACCCCCAAACCCTCCGCCGCCATTCCATCCCCCACCACGACCGGGCCCAAACCTCGGCCCACCGCCCGGCCCGACCGGATCCCATCTCGCCCCCGGAGGCGCCTGCGGGTCGTAGAACCCTTCGTCCGGCCCCTCCCCGCGTCCCCGTCCCTGGCCGGTGAAGAGCGGGTCATCGAATGTGGGATGCATGCCCGAGAAGCCGCCGGCCCGAGGCCCCCGTCCGCCGCCTACGAAAGATGCCCGGAGCGGATCGTGAGGTCCGAGCCCGCTCGGGTTCAGATCGTCGTGTCCAATGTTGAATGGGTGTCCTCCCTGGCCGGGCATGCGTAGTCCGCCCATCATCCCCGGCGGGCTGTTGATCTGGTGCTCGTCTTCGAATCCCGGAGGCGGGAAGTCGCCCATCGGAGGTGGGTGACGAGCAGAAGCTGGCTGGGGGAACGGCTGGGGAGGGATGCCATATGGATTGATAGGATCCGAGCTGGTAGGGCGCGCAGGATCAGAGGGATTGTGACGGCCCGGTTGAGGACGACTAGCACCATTATCCACCTCCTCAGAATATCCCTCCTTGACCAAGCCCGGAATCAGCTTCTGCACAATCTGAACCTTGACATCGCGCGCTATCCGCTCAACAGCACCGCCCGCAAACAATCCCCCTATGCGCTCAACCAAAACACCCTCCCGGTCTAACTCATTCCCGCTGTCGTCGGTCATGCGAAGCGGCAGCGCGCTTTCCTGGACGACGTCCTTGACCGCGTACTCGATCCGGTAAATCTTCTCGTCGCCGACGGCGAGGCCCCGGATCTCGGCCTTTGAGCCCAGGCGATCGACGCGCACGACGAAGATCATGGACGACTGCTTGTGCTTGTACACGAGCGACACGGATTCCGGCCTCTGGTTCCATGAGGGGGGGAGGCGAGGGGCGAGGGATTCGCATTCCGCTGTGGGAGTGTCAGCCTTCTGTGCATCTTACACAGAGTGGATGATGTGTAAGGTGACGGGAGAGCATACGTAGAAAACGAGACTCATCAAAGCCAACCAGCCGGAAGTCGAGCAGAGCCAGATAGGCGTGCACAGCCAGAGCGATGGCCTCGTACGGGCTCCTGATGGCTGGTGAGTCGTTTTGGGAATCGTGGGCGGGCAGAGCTTCGGCCATGGCCTTTTGGATGGCCGATGGGCCGAGAGGGCCTGCCTCGGTAGCCATGATTGATGGCGATGGCACTATTTGGTGAGGTCGAGGGGTCTATAATGGATAGGGACAGTGAGGGTGATGACTCTGAGTAGTTTTGAAGTTGAAGTTGAAGTTGGAGAAGTCAAGAGGTGTGATCGAGAAGAGCTGCAGCTACAGTACTAGTAGTACTGCCTACCAGTAAGACGTCATTGCTGCCTGGGGCCGGGGAAGCTGCAGCGAGCTCTAGTGGAGCTCCAGTTACAGCACAGTTGGACGCTATACATAGTATTGCTTCAATCACATGACACCGCGTCACCACTCAACACGCCCCAACACGTCCCTCAACCTCCTCCTCCTCCTCCATCCTCCATCCCACTATCAAACCACCCAACCCCAACACCACAGACAAACCCCCCCATCACAACCCCAAATGCCCCCTCCTCCTCACCCTCACCCTCCTCCTCCCTCCCACCAAGCACAAGCAACATCATCATCCACCGCATCCCCATCCACATCCTCCTCCTCCTCCTTCCCCGCAGAAGCCGCCTCCCCCCTCCTCTCGGCATTCACGTCCTTCCTCACCATCGCCATCCACTCCATCCTCTACCACCGCGCCCTCTACCCGCAAACCTCCTTCCTCGCCGCCCGCGCCTTCAACCTCGCCGTCCGCCAGTCCCGCCACCCGGGCCTCTGCGCCTGGATCAACGACGCCGTGGCCGCCGTCTCGTCGCGCCTCCGCACGGGCTCCGTCTCGCGCATCGCCCTCGTCGTCCACGGCCCCCCGCCGAACCTCGCCGTCCGCGAGAGATGGATCTTCGACGTGGGCCGGTTTCCCAACTTCTGGGGCACCCCTGCGGAAATACGAGCCGCTGCACGAGCACCGCCGCCTTCGCACCAGCTGCGTCCAGACGAACAACAGATGGGCGGTCAAGGCGCGGACAGCCCTGAAAAGATCAACTGGGCAGACGTCCACGAGGCCCTCAGGGCAGCCCTCCAGAGACTCGCCTTTGCGGCCCAGGCGGAAGCAAAGTTGCCCCAGGGATGCACATTCACGCTCGCCGTAGAACTCAGAGAGGACGCCGAGGCGCCCATAGGAGTAAGCCTTACGACTCAACGACGCACACTTTCATTGATAGAACCTATAAATATTATCCCTTGTGACAATGTTTTTATATACCGAACAACAAACGTAACCCCCAAGAATCAAAAGCTCCAACTCACTAATCATTTCCGTTTTGTCCGTAGCATCCCCAGGAATGGATCCCTTCCGAAGCTCATCTCCAACCACCAACAAAGGAAAGGCCCGACCAGGGAGAAGCCCTCCGCGGTGCGTCCACCAGGCCCATCCGCTCCGTGAGAGCGAACCCGCTCTTCTTTGAATGCTGGTTAGAGAGAGGCTCCGAGGCGCCCGACGACGACAGCAGCACCCAGTCCCACATCGGTACCTACAGCGCAAGCTCCTCGTGAAATCAAGCCTGCTGCGGCGGCAAGATCCACCGAATGTACATCAGGAGTACAATAGAGGCTTTATGAGCCAATGGGCAATATGTTCGGCAAGACTGGTGTCGTGATCTGGCGTGATCAATCTCGGGACATGAATGAAAAGATTTGCAGAGGCAATAAGGAACAGCAAAATGTTGATTGCATTATGCAGACTCAAGGCCATTTTTGATGATTGGGTCTGCCCGGAGTCGTGTTCTGGCCGTCCTGTCGTAAACCAGAGTCGAGTCAAGACAGTTGGATGTGGAAAGTCAACTATAAAAGGGACAAAGCTGAAGGGGTGGAAGAAGAAGAAGAAGAAAACAAGCCCAGCTACCCATGTTCTAATAACAAAAGAAGAAGACATTATCCCGGTTCGGACCACGTATAACGAAGCGACAACCACCCCCCCTAAAAGAAGAAAGAAGGTCGCAAAAGGAGGAAAGGGCAACACGAAAGAAAAAAAGATCCCAATTTTTTCATCAAAGACAGAATATCCTTTCCCCGAGACTCCCCTATTTTCGCGTTGTTGCATGTTTTCAACCTTCCCCAAAACCTTTTCCCCTTGCAAATTAGAGAGATGAGACAGAGGGAACGACCGAGGAATAGTGACCCTGTGAAGTTCTGCTTTGCTCTCTCTCTCCCTCGTCCCCATTTCCTGTGCCAGCCTCACCTAGGCGTCTATTAATAACAGAAAGATTTTGTAAGAAGGAGCAAGAAGAGGAAAAAAGAAGGCCGACATTACCATGCCATCATGATAGAGAAAAAGAAACATCAAATCAGACCGCTTCTCAGGTACAAGACATGATTTAGAAAAACAAAAAAAGTCCACATCTCTCATCATCATCATCGTCGTCGCTTCACTCCGTCCCCTTGAGTGCCGCGCGCAGGCTAATCATCTCCCGCTTCAACCGCGCATTCTCCTTCTTCATCCTGGCCAGCTCCTCCCCTTGCGTCTTGAGCTTGACAATCAGCTCCTCCTTGTCTTCTTTGCCCTTGCCCTTCAACGCCTTGACAATCTTGCCAAGCTCGGAATTGAACCGCTCGTACAGCAGTTCGTTCTCAGCCACGGCCTCCTTGTGCAGCTGGTCAATCGACCGCATCTTGGACTCGGTCGTCTTGAGCGTGATTTCAACGTCTCGTTGGAGTTCGTCTTGCCTGTCCCGCAGTTCCTGCATCACCGCGGGCATCTGGTCCTCCAGCGCGGCCACCGACGACGCCAGCCGCTGCAGGTCGACCAACGGGGGATCGGAATAGCTGCCACTATTCACTCGTGCCATTTCCTCGCCAATCTTGGACAGCTCCGACTGCAGCACGGCGTCGGCTTCGCCCACAGCCGTCTTCTCCGTCTGCAGCCTCTCACGCAGCTTCTGCGGAGACTGTAGCCGGAGTTTCTGTGCCGGGGTTCGCGTCGGGCTGCCGGACTGTCTCATCGGTGATTCGCCAGACGAGCTTCCCGGCCGGATGGGCTTTGGCGGCAGCAGCGTGGGAATGTTGGACGTCGACAGCGTCTTGCTGTGCGTCGGCTTCGGCCTCCTGTACGGGGGCGGGTCCTGCCTGGTTGGTGAGTTCCCGCGCATTGCCTGCTCCAGCTTGGCTTGTATCTCCTTGATGGGCGTTCCGGCTCTCAGCCGGACGCTGCCGTAGAGATCCGCCGTGGCAATGTTTTCCTTTTGCCGAGGCGACCGGAGCTGCTCAGGACTCATGGGCATCTTGGAGGCAGGGATCGTCGTCTTGGGACTGCCGTTGATCTTTTCCGACGTCTCCTTTGTGTTCTGCAGAGGCTGTAGAGCGCTTTCCCTTTCCTCACCCTCTCTGTCCTCTTCGATGCTGGCCGTATCTATCAGCGACTTGAGATCCGACAAAGAGCTTCTTCTCTTGTAGTGTCTTCTGGGCGATTCAGGAGTCGGCGGCTCGTGGGCAGGCTCTCCAATCGTGTTGAGCGGGAACTCCATGCGATGTGAGCTCGTCGGCCTCGCCGGGTCCTCAAAGGCACTCGCAACATGAGGTCGGTCTCCGGATCCCGGCCTACCCAGTGTAAATCGCTTCACCACATTGTTGTCGTCAATCGACCGTTGGCGTAGAGCCTGCTGCATCGTCGCCCTAGACATGCTCGCGCTCTCGCCCGTAGCCGGGTTTCGATGCTTGCCCAGACTGCGCCATACAGAGGTGCGCTCCTCCTTGGAGTTGGAGTTTTGCCGGAGCAGCATGTCGAGGCCAAACTTGCGGCGCAGCGACGATGTGTTGGAGGTGACGGATCCCTGGTGTGATTTGTTACCGCCGCCGCCGTTGGCGCGTGCCTGGAACGATTCTATCAGAGCCAAGTCGGCCAAACTAAAGCCAGCATAGGTGGGCTCGCCGAATATCCTGTCGCAGTCGTCCACCAGGCGGTCCAACAAGTTGATGTAGTTGGCTGCCGTGCCATCTGTCACCAGCATCTCCGCAAAAGCCAGCGTCAGCGCGCCGCGATCGCTGTCGTTGCTGCAGCCCTCGAGCAGATCGGCCAGCAGCTTGATGAGCGCCGTGAACGCTCTCCGGTTCTGCGGAGCCAGCTCCTTGAACAAGAAGTTGACAAAGTCGGCAAACTCGCCGGGGACTCTCTTGTTGGCTCGTTCCTGCAGGGTGTCGAGCATCTTGATGGTCGTGACAGGTCCTATCTGGTCAGCCCAGGCGATGTGGAGAAAGTTCTCAAACGCCGTGAAGACGACCTCGGTCCCGACATCGTTGGCCACCTCCACCTCTTGCGGATTCTCAATGAGTCGATTGTACAAGTCATTCACCAGCAGTTCATCGGCCATGGCGCGGTGCAACAAGGTCCTCCCGTGAATGGAACCCTTGCGGTACTGAAGGGCCGTCGTAAACGCCTCAAACGTCTGCTCCAGCCGAACAAGGGGGTTCTCAGGCATGACTTCCTCCAACGGCCGGCGCGAGTTGTCCCTGCCCCTGATGGAGCCATACATGGAGTGATGACTGTCGGCTCGGTGGAGCGAGGCCTGGTGCGGGTGCTTGGCTTCGGACAGAGTCGTCTCGGAGGCGTTGTTGGAACCACTGCTCCACAGGCTGGTGAAGAGCTTGACGGGGGACGCGGCCAGGAAGGAGCGCGTCTTTTCGGCACGGTTCGATAGGCACAGTGTCCGCAGCATCTTGGAGTGGTACGAGACCATGGGAGCCGTGAGATTCCGGTTGGAGACGTTGAACTGGATGCTCAACAGCTGCATTACTAGACATGGGATTAGATTCGTGCAGACATACGGAAAGAGGGGGATGGAAGCTTACTCCGTCTTGACATGGTTGGGAGGAAATCTTCCAGAGCCACGTCATCCGAATACTGCTTCCCGTTGAGGCCCACCGTGAGCAGGGAAATCCTCTTCATGTTCTTGCTCGCCACGTTGATGACAATCTCAATACCGTAATGGCCGACGGGAGCGCCCTTGGTCCCCTTCTCATGGTCAACCACGACGCGAATGAAGGCGGGCTCGCGTCGACCCTCGACGAGCTGGTCGGCTCCCTCCTGGAATATCGCGGCGTGCAGCCCGAGATTGTTCTCGGGCATGCGAACTGACCGCAGCGTCCAGCGAGAGTCCTCTCTCTCCGCCTCGGGAAACCGCGCCTCGATCCTGGCCTTGACGACGTCCTCGCTCCACTTTGCGGCTTTTCCCTCCCAGGCCTCTTGCAGCAAGAAACAACGCGACGTTATGGCCTTGGGAACCTTGTGCTCACCCGGGTGCATGCCCTTCATCTCTGCGCTCGACGTCATCCAGACGAGGTGGCCGTCTGCCGACTCCGTGAAGCGGACGTCGGCAAGGTAATGCCACCCGGTGAAGATCAGGTCGTAATGGCCGGGGCCGCCGGCCGCATTCGTCATGGAGATGAGCAGCTCCGCCGCCGAGGGCTTGTCGATCTCGCGCAGCAAGTCCCGGCCCGTCATATTGTTGTCGCCCGATTTTCTCAGCATGACGACGCAATCGGAGAAGAGGAGGAAGATGCCGGCGTCGTCGGAGTCAACCGTGGCTTGGTACGGCGGCGAGAGCTCCAAAAAGTCGGCAGCCAGGATCAAGCGTCCCTGGGGCTCGAGGTCCTTGGGCCACGCTTCGACCATGTTTCGCAGCCGGTTCGTGATGTGAGGCTTGTCCGGCAGGGGATCGTCCATGGAGCAGATGTTGGTGATGATGTCGCGTGCCTTGAGCATGGGCTGCAGCGCCGGGTGGGTAATGGGCAGCGATGCGATGATTTGGTCAATGAGCAGGCTGTACCGCGGCAGCCTCTGAACTGGCTCGATGAGCAGCGAGCGGATAGTCTGCTCACCCGCCTGGCTCACGCGCTGCCGAAAGCTCGACTGCTGGTCCAGAAAGGAATTCAGCAGGGTCGGGAAGTGCTGACTTGCCTTGATGTAGTCTTGGTAACATTGAGTGAATTTGGGGAACCACTCGAGGAACAGCTTGGCCATGGCCAGGGCGCCCAAAGGATCTTTGGGGCGTTGGCTGGCATTGCTGCCCCCCTTTGATGATGAGAAGTTCATGCTGGGCGACTCCATGTCCTTGACGGCGTCTTCCTCCGTCTCGTCCATGATCTTGCGCAGCTCCTCAACAAAGGCCGAGTTGACCTGCAGGATGCCGTCCGACGACTTGGGAAACAGCTTCTCCAGCTCCTCCTCGGACGGACTAAGACTCTCGACGGATCGCTTCTTCGCATTGTTCCTAAAATCGTTTGCTACCGTCTTGACCAGCTCCTGCACCTTGAGCACGTAGCGCTCCTCTGTGTCGACGAGCTCGCCCATCTTCATGCGCAGCTCAATCTTCTGGTCCTTTGTGAAGATTTTGTTGCGGTTGAGCGGCGTGGGCTTGGAGGGCGCGCGCCGCAGTTTGCTGGTGGGCAGAAAGACGGGCTCGCCAAACAGCTTGACGAGCGGTGTGTAGGGTCCGTACTGGCGCAGCGTCGGGTCGATGATGTCGTCCTCGTCGTCGGGCATCTCCTCGAGCTCCGAGGCCTGGGGCGGCACGATGGATCCCGGAGGCAGGATCAGATCCATGTCGACGTTGCTGATGTGCTGCGTCTGCAAAGCCTCTTCCAGGGTGGCAACGACATCGACCGTGTTTTCGCTCTTGACCATCTCCTTGACGAGGTCGGCGGCATGCTGCTCGCTGAAGAGCGCCGGTGCGCTGGCCGGACGCTTCGCTTTGGGCGGGTAGGTGGCCTTGAGATGGGCCTTGACGGTGTCCGGCAGCTCCTTAAAGTAGCGGAAGAGACCAAAGGCTAGGCCGCGGTAGACTTCGTCGCCCTGGAACTCGCGCGGCAGGTGGTTGACGACGCTGTAGAAGGGCGAGGTGGGAGAGATGGTGATGCGCGGAAAGGACTGGAAGCCGGCCGGGGTGAAGACGTGGACCTGGACGCGGGAGCTGTTGAGGGTGTAGTTGGCCGTGGTGGAGGGCCCGTGGAAGATGAGGACGGGCAGCTGGCCCAGCAAAGGGTCGGGGGCGTGGTAGAGAGCAACATGCTCGGGCGAGAGCGCCAGCTCGTCCGTCACGCGCACCATGGTGTCGAGTCTGGGTCAGTGAACGGCGCTCATAGCCCGGCGGAGAGGAGTGAGGGGAGGTGATGATGGTTTCGAGGGGGAGGGATCGTGGGAGGTTCGTTCGGTCTCGTTCTGTCTCGTTGTCGTGTGTTGTTTTGGATCGCTCTGCCGCGGCCGCTGTGACGAGAGCCAGGCGCTGGGGAGCGCGTCTGTGAGTCGCCCTGTATCTACTTCGCTTCGCAATCGTCGGCCACGTCTCAAGAGGGCTCGCTTCGGGAATCGCTCGTCTTGCCTCCGTCCAGCTGCAGCAGAAAAGTGTGATGCGGGATGGAGATCAATCGGTGTCCAGAAACAACGGCCCAGAAACAGTCAAGGCTGCCGTGGGAGGGGTGACATGGGCGGCCAGGGGTGGGCCCAGGCTATTTTGTTTAGGTCCCGTCTCCAAGTTCGAGGCAAGGTGTTTTAAGTAGCTCGTCAACTCCGCTGGTGGCTTGCCGTGGGCTGTAGGGAAAACGAGCGAGATGGTGCTGTAGTGATGCTGGAATAGGTGATGATGGGAGCGGTTAGTGAGCGTCGACCAGAGGCTCGGGTCGGGCGTTGAAGTGGCACAAGATGGCGTTGATGCTGGCAGGAGCAGGAAGGGCCGGTTGCTGTGGAAGCGGATTTTGAGTTTGAGCAACGACTGTTTTGTCGGGTGTCTGGATACACGTACAAGTAAGGTATGGAGGACAAAGTACATGTAGAAGAATGAAAGTCCAGATGAGATGAGCTTGGAGAATATTAGCATCGACCATTGGATCAGAAACAGGAATCGAGAAGCGCGCTCGTCTCCCCTGGCATAGCGGTGGCGCAATGCGTTAAACGAGAAATTAAGATGAATCTCGCGGCTTCATCGACGCCTCGCCCAGGGGCCTTGTCGAGGCTCTGGTCCAGGGCAGCTTGCAGCGGTCCAGGCACTGGGAGAGGGCACCCGACCGCCACAGCGAACCGCCAGCCCAGCCCTGGGCACCCCGTCAGCAGGATGCCCGGGCGGCAGAATCCATTGCAGTGACGCCAAATCTCCTCCGTGAGATGATGCATCCCTGCCCTCGAAAATAGACACCGCTCTCGGAACATTTGGCAGCATCCTGAACCCAGCTGAAGCACTGATCAATTGATCTCCAGCGCTGCTCCTCGCACCCCCCCAGCAGCCGCCCCCGCTGTTTTCTAATGAGACGGGCCCTGTGAACATTTGAAACCCGCCTCAGCTCCCTTGCAGAGCCCAGCACCCCGCTGTAAACAGTGGCGCCGGCGCTGGTGACATTCAAATTTGCTCCATCCCTCCACAGACCAGCCGAGGGGGAGCTACATATTGTATGGCATATTACCTATCCAAGCTACCTATCCAGAGCTATTCAGAGCTATGCAGAGCTATCGATGGATTGATTGATTGAAGCTTGAGCTCTTGGCCCAGCTGCCGGTGATGCTTGTACCTCGTCAGTATCAGTGTCCAATGTCCGACCCTCTCTCTGTTCGTCGACTCGCCACAACCCCGCCAGTTGGTGCTGGACCTGAGCTTCATCAAGCTCGATCGCCTTCCTGTTTCTTTTATTAGCCCACAAGTACGGGGATACCTGACGGTACCTGACGGGGCTATCAGACGCCACCGCGGCTTCTCATTGGCTGCTCGAATCAGAGGCATCGCTAAATCTCATTCATATTTCGTGCCTTCTTCAACCTCATCTGTAACTCTCATTCTCACTCCCTCACGGCCACTCTCACGAAATAACTGCAGAGAGCAACAACAGAGCTCAAATATTGTTTACTATACCACACCTACTTACTAAGTCACACAATACATTTTATTTGTTCTCGCCGTCCCACTCAACCGGTCCCAAATACGCCACCCATTTCCTCCTCCGAGAGCTCCTCACATAGAACACACACATCACATCAACGGTGTTCATCATCATCACACGCACGCCATCACAGCACTTCAAAAAATGTCAAGCTCTCAGACAACGGAGAAAATCTCCCTCCACCACCAGGCAGACGATACCGGCTACCGCCTCATCGAACTCCCTTCAGAGCTGGAATCTCTCCTCGAATCAGAAAACGCCCCAGTGTTTGTCCTCCCTTCTCTCACACATACGGAGCACTCATCCACATGGCTTGCTTAAAATTACTAATCACCTCTCACAGTCTCACCCTCGAGTCTTCCGAGACCTCAGCCCTGCTCAAGACGCCAGATAGGACGTACGCCCTGCGCCAGAAAAATACGTCCAACTCTGTCATTCTACTCTCTCCAACTACAACATCAACATCACAAGACCAGGGCATGTCTGCCATCTCCACCATTCACGAAACAGTCGAGCTGGAGCTGGTGCCACAAGCCGTGGCTACGAGCGGCCCGCTCAAGAACACAGGTAGCAGGGGCAAGTGGCACGAAAGGTTCGGAAAAGGACGGTAGCTTGAGCGTCAGGTCTAAATGAACACCCAATTACCTTTGCTCTACTTGTCAGCGAATATCACGATTTACGAGTGGAGTCCTGGTCATATCGCAACGAAAGTCGTCAGCGAATAGAACTCCCCAGTGACTGTTATGAAATGGTGAAAGAGAAGAGGCAATGAAGCTGTGTGTTAGCTTTATTGCACTCTCGCCGCTTCATTACACACCGCCGAGACAGGAGAAACTCACCCGTCACATATCAAGAAGCCCCATTCAATACACATAAGTTTCTCGAAGTCAGCATCAGCTACATAGATGAGAGCTCAGCGGATGGGGTTAGCCACTGACCTTGCCTCACCAGAGGCATTATCTCATGCCAAAGAACAGCTAGATAAGAAAAGGACGAACAGAAGAAAGACATGAGTTAGAGGATGGGAGAGTGGTAAAGCCATTAGCCTTGGTTCCGCACAAACCGAGATCAAGGCGACGTACCTGCTGGGGAGAAGGAGAGAACTGCCCGGGGCCCTCGCCGTCGTCTCCACGTTCAGTTGCGTTGCCGCGCAAAGTTCACATCCAGGTGCCGGAATATTGACCGGCCCCCCTCCCAACCACACGAATGACCCGAACAAGACGAAGCAAAGGAAGAAAGAAACTCCAAAACCCGGATGATCTCAACAATTGGTAGGCCTCGGCGTCAATACACCTAGATCGAAGCGTAAATAGCAGATAAATGGCAAATAAGAAAAGGAAAATAAGAAGAAAGAAAAAAAAGAAGAAAAAGAACAAGAAGAAAAAAAAAAAGAAGAAAAAAAACAAGAAGAAAAAAAACAAGAAGAAAAAAAACAAGAAGAAAAAAAACAAGAAGAAAAAAAACAAGAAGAAAAAAAACAAGAA